TATGTCTCAAATGGCCTCGATACTCATCCAGGCCGGGGTAATTGGGTAGCTTCCATGCATTGAATCTTCCAACCGCAGCGATGACAAAGTTGAACGTCTCGGTTGATGTCTGTCCATTTTCGAGATTGTGCACTTGGAGATTCCATTGGGACTTGGCATTGTCCCACTCTGCTTCGTCAACGCGACGTCGCAGTTTGACATACTTGTACACATCGTGCTTCTTCGCCTGCTCTTGCCAATAGTCACGGATCTCGGCACCCTGGGCAAAAATTTCGGACCATTGAGTGTTTGGCGAAAATGTCGATTGATAGACATGAGCAGGTATATCACACCGCACTCCAGGGTAGGTGTTTTCCAGCCATGTTCCGCTCTGGGATTTTGTCAAAAACGTAGGAATGAGGAGCGCGTTGTAAAACTTACCACATCGCTGTTCTTCTCAAAGATGGTCAACTGAATGCCAGGAACCTTGACCGGTAGTAAGATGCCAGCACTGATGCCTGAGAGTCCAGCACCAATCACTCCGACTTTGATATCTCGCACATGGTCAATGTAGCGATTAGGATCAATCTCGAATCTTGAAACGGGGTATGGTATGTTCAAGCTCGGGTGAGTAGGTATATTCACATTCTCAGTTTCTGCTGGGGGTGCGAGGTGCCCTGTGAGCTGCGCAACGCGTTGAGTGGACGTCGCTGCCTTGGCTTCTGGCGTTGTTTTGTCTGCATCGGGGATTACTGAGTTTCGCGCCATTACTGGATATTAATGGCGAGTTTCGGGCAACAGTGGTGTCTGAGGTGGCGACTCTTTGATGTCCCTAGCTTGTACAACGTTCCCATGCTGAAATACATAATTTACATATGTCTTCGAGTGGCTCATAGCATCATCTCGGTTATGCCGTTATCGGGCTTCTGCCGTGCATAGATACGGAAGCACGCCTTCTCCCCACCTGGTGACGGAATGGCCAAAGAGCCTCCGACCCCGCCAAGCATGGACATGCTTACCTACGAAATTGGAGTCATCGGTAGGAACATCACAGGCTCAGGAATCCTGAGGCTTGGTAATGAAGCTTGGTAAAGGCTTTCAAGCTCGAGAGACCGGATATCGGCACACTGGCGCGTGGGCTGACATGGTATCTCCACACTCCATGTTTTACCCCGCGAGCTTAAGCGGACGACATGGCTTCAGGGAAGTCGATCTGGGGAATGTAAAAATAAATGCGTATGTTTACATACTAAAAGAAGTGATTAAGCACTTTGTCTAGAGCTCGTTGGTCACGAGGCGCCGTGTATGTTAGGATGGGTGGCGGTTTCCAACGGTTCCGAAGTTCCGACGTTCCGAATCACTGGCAGGAAGCTTGTTCCAACCCTCCAAGCTCCTCAACTTCGAGCACCCCGCGATACATACAACCTACCTCTTCGTCCCAACGTGAACAACTTTTCTTTTCTCTAACATCGCGGTGGTCAAAGATATCGGTTATGATGACGTGAGCGTCTTGCGGGGAAATGGTGGATATACTCACTACATGAGCACTGGCTCCGGCGCTGACGCGTTAGAGTTTCAGAGTAAGTTGCTTGTGCTCCTCTGCTCAATATCGACTGTCGATCACAACGCGTAGGCGCTTTGGAGGTGAATGAGTGGTTCTCCCAATCTGGGGCCAGTGCATGCGATTCGGGATAGCGTCGCATGCGCGTTACGACTTGGAGTGGTCCTACTTACTGCTTGATACTAGTACATACTCATTCACCAAAGACCCGGTTTTGCAGCTAGCGCAGGCTCCTCCCTCTCGGCGCGGGCCCTTGCCTACGGGCCTTTTGTTGATGCCGACGAAACCCATAAAGCCTCAGGCCCAGCACCTCAGTGCTCGTCGTCCACGCTGTCGGAGGCCCCGTAACTCACCTTGATTGCGCCCAGTACCGCTACCACAGCCAAGTATCCCAGTAGTCCAGCCGAGCCATCATTGACCCCCCACAAGGAGCTTCCATGAAGGTCTTGCTCACTTCTGACTGGGTTGTCGATCAATGGCAGAACCTCGGCCAAGCCGAGGTTTGGGCAATGAGACGTCTTGCGTACGTTTCCGACTGTGAGTAGGTGGATGGTGGCAGCGAGGCAGACCAGCAGAGGGATGCACTACTCGGGGCTCAAACAGTTGGTAGTAGGGTCGGGTATCGTATAGCATAGTGAAGGTGCAACTCGGATAAGAGCTCAGGTCCAGGATAGGGTGAAAGACGGAGCTACCAGGCTCGGCATGCTCCGTTGCAATGTCGAGACCCTCCAGTTAACGCCATCAATATTTTCTAGAAAACCCATCTGGAGATACACGTGGGGAAACTATTGGAGAGGAACCGCGACGTTGGTGAGATGGATTCAAAAGAGACGACTAACGGTCACAAGCCAGCCCACGTTCTAGTATCGTTCCAGCTCATTGGCCAATTTCTCTACACTCAGCTCTATCCCGCCGGTCCCCCGCCACGCCTGCCAAGCTACAGCCAAGGCCCGCCCAAGTGACAGAGGGGGCGTTGGCATCGGCTTGATGTCTCTTTTCTGTCTGATCAGAACTGAGAAGCATGTCAACCCTCTCACGCTCCACACATCTTGCCAATGAGAGGCCTACTTTGAGCGCACGTTCTCTTGGCAAGTCCTCTCACGTTGCGCCTTTTGAGTGGCGGCCGACTAGGGCGTATAACTTTCTTGCATGCAGTGTCATTCCGTGGGTATAGTTCGTTCCCTGGGAGTGCTGGGGTGGTCCGACGAATACGGCCTGGAAGCACCGCACATGGCCGAAAATGTAACACGGGCATATATATACATCTGAACCAATCTCTCTTTTGATTATCATCTCTCAGCTCTACTTGTGACCAGCACTCCTCACTTGTTCAGACGCAGCCTGTATCCAGAGAGGATCCACCAAGATGCCGCGTCTCACGCAGTACAACTATGTCTTTGCCATTGGCACCTTCTTTGCCATGCTCGATGCTTACAACAACGGTGCTAGTACGTACCAAATCGCCCAAACACTCATATGATACAATGCTAATTTTCTCAAAGACGATGTTGCCAACGCTTGGGCTACTTCGGTTTCCTCCCGCTCCGTTTCGTACCGCCAGGCCATGATCCTGGGTACCATCTTCGAGATGGTGGGTGCCATCACTGTCGGTGCCCGTACTGCCGATACCATTAAGAACGGTATCATTCCTACCAGTGCCTTCAAGGGCGATGCTGGTGTCCAAATGTTGGCATTCACCTGCGCCCTCGCTGGTGCCTCTCTCTGGGTCATGTGGTGCACCAAGCACTCTGCCCACGTCTCGTCGTCCTACTCCCTCATCTCCTCGGTTGCTGGTGTCGGTGTTGCTGTCGCAGGTGCTTCTCAAGTCCAATGGGGATGGAACAAGGGCAAGGGTCTCGGTGCCATCTTTGCTGGTCTCGGAATGGCTCCCTTTGCCTCTGGATGCTTCGGTGCCATCATCTTCATGTTGATCAAGCTGAGTGTCCACATCCGCAAGAACCCAATTCCATGGGCCATCTGGACTGCTCCCTTCTTCTTCCTCATTGCCGGAACCATTTGTACTCTGTCCATCGTCTACAAGGGATCGCCCAACCTCGGTCTCAACAAGAAGCCCGCGTGGTATGTCGCTACCGTCACCATGTCTTGCGGTGTTGGACTCGCTGCCTTGTCCTTCATCTTCTTCGTTCCCTACCTCCATGCCAAGGTTGTCAAGCGCGACTCCAGTGTACGCTGGTGGCACGCCTTCCAGGGACCTCTTCTTTTCAAGCGTCCTGCTCAAGACGATGCCGACGCTGCGGTTGTTCCTGACTACGCTGTCGTACAGGACGATGATGAGATCACCCTCGAGCACAACAACAGCGACTCTGAGATTGGCACTAGCACTGAGAAGGGTGCCGTCGTTCAGGAGCAGCGCCAGCTTACTTACAAGGAGCTCGTCCAGCAAGGTGAGGAGCGCTTCCACGCCAAGCTCAGGGCTAAGACTGGACCTCTCGCCTGGGCTATGCGTTACCTCCACGAGAACAAGATCGAGAACGGCGAAATCTACGAGAAGAAGAATATGGTCATCACTCTCAAGCGCATTCCCGCCCAGCTCGTCGTCGGTGCCCTCTATGGTGTCAACTACGACATCCACGCTGCTCAAACTGGTATACACGGCACTCCCGAAGGAAAGCGTATGGAGCGTGTCTACAGCCACGCCAAGAAGTACCCCAACGAGGTTGAGCACACCTACTCTTTCGTCCAAGTCATCACTGCCTGTACTGCCTCTTTCGCTCACGGTGCCAACGATATCGGTAACGCTGTCGGACCTTGGGCTGTCATCTACAGCGCTTGGAACACCGGCGAGGCTTCCCGCTCCAAGGCTCCCGTCCCCATCTGGCAACTTGCTGTCCTTTCCGCCACCCTGTCTCTCGGTCTCATCACCTACGGTTACAACATCATGAAGGTCATGGGTAACAAGATTACTTACCACTCCCCTAGCAGAGGTATGTATCCCCCAACAACACTCCCTTTTTTGCATCATTTACTAATTCGCACCAGGTTGCTCCATGGAAATGGGTGCCGCTCTAACCGTCCTCATCTTCTCGCAATACTCGCTTCCCGTCTCAACCTCCATGTGCATTACTGGCGCTACTGTCGGTGTCGGTCTCTGCAACGGCACTTACAAGGCTGTTAACTGGCAGCGTGTTGGTCTCCTTGTCTTCTCATGGATCATGACCATTCCTATTGCCGGTACTATTGGTGGTCTTTCTATGGCTATCGTCCTCAACGCTCCTCACTTTACTTCTTAATTGCTTTACTCCTCGCCTTTGAGGGAAGGATGATTTTACTTGTTATGATACGCATGGGTGTGTAGTACTAGAAAGAAAGTGCTTTTGAATTTATTGGTTGGATAGACATTGCTTGCGGTATGGTTGCTTGAGTGATGCTTTTGTGATGTGGGGACTTGCGGGTGTGAGATTAGTAATAGGCCTTGCCTGCAGAAGTCATATTGAACATCTCAAAATTCTTCGCACGAAAATGTACATGTGCACTTGGGCACGTGCGTGTGGCTGTTCTGGAATAATATTCCAGCGGTGTCCTGTAAATTCATCCCGCAGATATCGTGACATGCACTTACTTCACGCCAAATGCACAAGTCAATAAAGTCTGTTGAATCATATACAATGACATTACTTCTCACATATACACATATCCAATTCTATTTACATTGTCCTTCCCTCCTCCTCCCCCCAAAAAAAAATAAACAAAATCCTTCTACCTACCTCTCACCAATCTCAATATTCTCATACGCCGCCAACCCCTTCGCCTTGAACGAATTCCCCGCATTCGACGACGACCCAAACGTCGCTTTACTACCACTACCATGCTGCTGCTGAGTCGCATCACCTGGTTTATACCAGATACCGATGATGCGCTTGGCAAGGTAGTGGATTTGCGGGAAACATGTTACGGCGATGCTGAGGAAGGCTTCGATGGCGGACCATTTTACGACGGGGATGTTGGACCCTGTTGGCGGTTAGTGGTTTGAACGGGAGGGCGCTGGGGAGGGAGTGGGGAAACGAACAGGATCTGTTGTAGGAAAAGTCGGATTGGAGGAGGATTGCTATTCTGGTTACGGATGTACCTGTTATACTGTTTTTGTTTTGTTAGACAAGTGTGATGAATTGAAGATATACGGGAAAGGGTTGGGTGAGATAGTTTTGGGGGGGGCTTACAGGAAACCGACGCAGAAAACAAGTAAAACGCCTAGTTTTCTCTGCCAGGTGATTTTCAGTTGGAGTAATCTGGGGATGGGCAGCACAGTGATGATGCCGTCCATGATGACGTTTGTGATGTTGAAGGCGTAGTTTAGGTTGTTGCGTTGTACGCTACAGATTGGGTTTGGGGGCTGGGGTATCAGGGTGCCTTGCCACTGTTGCCAGACGAAGGAGACTGGGAGGCATTGGAGGAGATGGGCTAGGAATATCGATATCAGTAGGCATGTGCATATTCCGATGAAGAGGTAGGAGAGTTGGTGGACCCGGCCCATTGGGAAGACTCGGAGGTAAAAGGCTAGGACGGTGATTTTGGTCATGAAGGTGAGCGTGACGTAGCCAAGTTCCTGAAAAGTGTAGTACTGTTGGGGTCAGCATGGATCGTGTGTTTGCTTGGGGAGTCCTCATACTTTGACCACGTCAGTAACCTTTTGGGGTTTGAGCATCCAGGCATCTTGACCTAGGCCAGAATCAATTGCCAAGAGTATAACTGCAAGATAGGCTGCAGCTACTGGCTGTATTGGCATCAGTATTGCAATTCGAAGCGTACAAATAGAGTATACGAACCACAAGTGCTACTGCGAGCCAATCGTCAATGCCCCACTCGACAGAGAGAGGTGGCAAGCGTGTGGTGAATCGTAGTATCAGGGCTGCAAAAGCGATAGAAGCTACGGTAATCACCTCGTTGAATAGTGGGGTTGCTTGATTTCGGATCGGAGAGTTGCACGTGGAGTGGTATAAGTAAAGTCCCTCTGTTACTATCGTTAACATGACTGTTTTGATAGAAGGGCTTTGTGAACCAAACGAACCGTAGTAACCAAGTACTGGACAGAACCACGCAAGGCAAGTATCAAGACCCTGTGCAATATCTGGAATTGGGCAGAAACACGAGGGGTCAAGGGGATTACACCCGGTCATTTCAAGATACCCAAGAGTGCATGCTTTCTAGGTGACGTAACAATGTCAGCTTGGAATGGAACGAGCATAGATTTCGTTGGCTGACTGCAAAGGCAAAAAAAAAGGCTATAGTGTAAGCATACCGCGCATTGAGGAATTTCATCGAATACACCCCCCACAGTGACATTCAAAAACCACCTCTGTTTGAAGCCATTGTCTCCTGGACGTTGTGCCTGTACACTGCAGATACTAGTAGCCAAAGCAATAGCAAAGGCAAGCAATCGCATCTTTTCCCAATAGCTAAAGACGACACCGCACACCACAAGAAAAGCAAACGTTTTCAAGCTGTTACTAAGACGAACGAGAGCTCAGACCGAATGAAGTTAAAAAAAAAAGTCGACAATTTATATTCGACACAGAACTGCAAAAAGCGACAAACATAAGGAAGGATACCCGGGCAAATGATTAAGTTGCTTAAAGGGATAAGAATGCTAGATGGAATGTCTTTCCCCCAAAACTGTGCTAAAAAGATGAAACTCGCAGGGCTCCTCGCCAACACTTAGCGGCCTCGCCCATTACCTTTCCCCCCTCCCCTTTATTGCTAAACCCAAGCGAAAAGCGCATAAGTAGATAAATAGAGGCAGGTCATTCTCCGTCTCAGCGTATATCGGTGACTGCTCCTATTGTCAGCACTGTCAGCACTATAATATTTTACTCCAGTAGACAGCGAGACCGTGTTAAGATTAGTGGCTTTTTTTTTTTGCAGGGTTAAATGCGTGTTTGGGAGCAAGCTAAGACGTTTGGTGGGGACCATTCACTGCTTTCTTTTAGAAGCCGAGACTGCTCGTTGAACGACTTTGTCAAACGCCTCTAGGGATCATGGCTTTCGCATTGTCATGGCGTCCTAAGGGTCCGTCTTTTTTTTCTCCGCGATTGCCAATTCGACGTCTGTTTTTAGCACATAAGGCTTGATTCGGCACTTAGTCAGCTGGCGCGTGCGTCATACATTAGCTTTGTTTTTAATGTTTGATGAAGAGGTCGTATACGATATCCCCAGTTACAGACGCAGCATGGCTAAACGAGATGGATGATTTGTTGAACATTGCATAGAATGCATATGTATGTGCGTATGTATGTGACCTGGAGGGGTGTTGTTGCATCTTTGTTTTGCGGCAGTCGAACCCCATGTGGAGACTTGTGAATGCATTGTTATGGCTGACACGAAATGAACATGTATGCTTTTTGTTTCAAGATACCGTTGAAATCGATCGGCGCTCGGTTTGGACACGGCAGAAGCAATTGCAATGGCTGTTAGTGGTCAGCATGGGTACATGGCTCCGCTGCCGTGTTACTTGTCGTCATCGTCATCGTCTTCGTCTTCGTCGTGGTTGTCACAGAAAGATGTATGACAGCCTTAGCACAACCAGCCATGGACGCGCTTGTGGGATCTGGACCTGAGTTCAAATATGACTTGTACTAGCAGATGGGCTGTTATGATCAGGCCCCTGGACTACCACGTGTTGCCCAACGGAAGTCTCCACAGCCGTGCACGCCCGTGCCAAAAGGTACTTGGAGCCAGGCACATCACCACCCGTCCTGACAGCATAGGGCTCAGGGCTAGGATAGCTTCATCAAGAAACCTTACCAAAACATTGCCAACAGACTAGCCATGCTCGTTGCCTCATTGGCTTGTATCAGTCTTTTACTGTATACTCGGAAATTTTCAAATGCTCGCCTTTATGTTGTGATGCTGATCTAACCACTCCTTTACCTACAGTTTACCCCTTCTGCTGTCGACGGCTTGTCTCAGCTTCTTGATCACATCGCCAGGGTCCGCAGCGCCAAAGACAGCGCTGCCGGCAACAATGACATTGGCGCCGGCATCAGCAGCCTGGTCAATCGTCTTTTCGCTCAAGCCGCCGTCAACTTCAATGTGCAACTCGGGATACTTTTGTCGGAGAGCGGTTACTTTGGGGAGTTCGGATGCCATAAAGGATTGACCGCCAAAACCAGGCTCTACCGTCATGACCAAGACCATCTAGCAACGTCAGTATTTGTGCTTAAAACCATGTGGCACTGCGCGGTGCCATTGTTGATTCGTGAGGTTATTGATCCTGCAGCGGGAACAGCCAGCGGCGTAGGCGACCGAGGGCCGATGCATTGAGTTGCAAAGGTTTGCATGCTTAAGCGCCGCCACAGCGTGCCGCCGACACCCAAACATTGTCAGCCCTATCAGCCTCGAACTGGTCGACCACATTGGTGGCCCGTCTGACCAATATATACCGCGCGCATCCCCATTGTGTTATTGATTCCGGCGGGCGTAAGGGTAGCAGTGCAGGGGACATGAACTCACATCAGGCACCTCTTCCTTGTTTGGGCAGTCCAATATCTCCCACAGTACGTCAACGGGCGTGCTTGGCTTAATGGCAATACCGGCTTGCATGCCCTCAGCATGTATGAAGCGAATCAGTTCTTTTGGCGATGTCTTTTGGTCCGACTGTCCGCTGGGTGAGTCTGCGGCAGTAGACGAGACGGCGGCCTCGTAGTGGAAGCAGTAGAGGTCGCAACCGGCCTTCTTGAAGTCGCGGACCCAGCGCTTGGGCTCGGCAATCATCATGTGGCAGTCAAAGGTGCCCTTTGCGTATGCCGTGGCGGGGCGGTCAACGTGTGAGCGGATCTTTGTGACGACGGGGGCGCCAAACGTCATGTTTGGCACAAAGTGGCCGTCCATGATGTCCACCTGCACATCGTGTCAGTCACGGGGCTGGTGAGGCTATGGCTACGGCTACAGGGCGCATACATGAAGCCAGTCGGCGCCCTGGGCAATTGTGTCTGAGCAAGCCTTGCCCAGCGCTCCAAAGTCGGCCGACAGAATAGAAGGCGCAATGATGGCGGGCGGTGACATGGCTGGTGAGGTGTGTGTGTGTGTGTGTTCGCCTTGAGTAATGGCACCAATGGCAGAGAGGGCGCGGTTGGGTCGGGATTCTAGAACGGATATGTAGGTTTGTACGTCTGTGCTGTACCCGAAGCTCACGATAGCTTTTTGGTGTTGTGACGACATGGCTCAGCGTCACGCCTGCCCCGCCCCGCCCGCATGCTTGGCACGTCTTCACCGCACAGCACAGTAACCACTTGGACATACGACAACAGCAACATGTAAAGTACATTCACGCATACGCATGAACTCGCCATTCCCTTGCAAACTATATTCCAATGCTGGCGGTCAGACGGGACGGACTTGGCAGCACGAGATGGGCTACACCAGTGGGCGACTATGCTGTCCAGACAATGTTCGCCTCGCCATTGGTCCGCCGTGCTCAAAGCGAGAGCTGCAAATAGCACAGCCCGGCGCGTAGACAGCAAAACATCCAACCACATCGGACACAACACAGCCTCGCTAACCCACAGCAGCTAGCCTCTGGTAAACACCATCTGCTCGTAGGCCTTGTTGGCCCAATCATGCCCTTCTCCACCGTGGTCACCATGTCGTGGCCACTACTGAACCGCCATTGTCTCTCCACTCACTCGCACCGTAGCTCGGACAAATCCAACGAGTAGCCAGCGTCTATGTGCAATATATCCCATCGTCGCCGCGCCCGCGCCGCATTCCCTCTTGCTGTCATTCACTTCTAGCCCTTTTCCGAGCCTCCTTTCCCTCGCAAAGTCTTCGTTGATCGAAGCATTCCCCAGTTTTTCTAGTAGGCTGTTGACCAGCGCAGTTCAGGGCTATAGCCCAAATTAATATCCCTTCTCTTCGGCCCCCGGTACTTCGGTATTTGGATCCTTTACACCCACGCCGCAATCCCGCCCCCTCGGATTTCAAAGTATCTTTAGTAATAATTGCAAGAGGCGGTGCTCACGGCCCCCCAAAATATCATGATGCCCCAGATGCTCGAGCCTGCAGTATACCATCCTGCGGCCCCCAGCACCAGGGTATCCTCCCACCATGCCTCGTCTCCGCTGGACCAGAGACAGGCACTTAATAATACCACACACGACGACTGTCCCATCCCCCCTTACTACCTTGCTCAGAGACACTCGACCTCTTCGGCCTTCCAACCCAGTCCTACATCGCCATCCATCATCGACGACTTCCCCACCCCCAAAGCCCGCTTGTTCTACATGTCTCAACAGTCATCACCGCCCTTGCCTACCCACTCGGCAACGTTCCCGCCACCGAGCCGGCAGAGCCGTACAGACAGTGACTTCGACTCCTTGTACGACATCACTGATGATGAAGCCGAAGTGCCTCTCCACGCATCAGCATCAGTCAAGAAGCTTGCAACACAGCCAAGGAGAAGGCGCTACCCATCCATTGTCATCCCCTCTCCATCTGCTTGGCCAACTATCGAAAAGTTGAAGAGTGCCAATTCGGCCATGCCCGTCACTCCCTCACTAATGCTCACTCCTTCACGCCGTTTCCTCGACATGATCAACTCTCATAATCTGCAGGTGCCAGAGCACTCAGCCGCCCCGTCCTTGGACGGCAGCCTCACATCGGAAGAGATGGATAAGCTCAGCTGCCCAGCTACTCCAATATCACAACGCAGGTGTGGATCTCCCTCAAGCTCCGACTCCTGGGGTCCTGTCCAACTTGACCTTCAAGCCATGGAGACGCTCCAGCACCTTGGCACCTCACCTTCCACTGAACAGCACGACGCGCCAAGACAACAAGAGCCAGGAACAGGCGCGACAGGAGGTGAGATGCGCGAAGTTTCTCGGCCTAGTCTCGGCCTCAACATCCCCTCTGCCTTTTTCGGAAATGGATCTTCTGGTAGTACTCCTATTTCTGCCCTCTCGGTCCCATCGCCAGGCGGCTTCTTCTCTTCACTGCAATCGACTGCTCGTCACACATGGAGCATTCCTAAGCGACAGGATTCTATCCCAAACACATCCACTGCTGAGAAATTTTATAATCTTCCATGGGAGAGGGAGAACCGCAGAAACACCTCTCCACACCCTGGGCCAGCGGTACCGGCTCCTCCACGTCGAAACTCTACTCTACAAGGATCCACCCTTGATGGTTTCGACGAGCCATTGCCAACATCACGACCGGTCATTCTCAGTCCGACTGACGAAAATGTTGAGATTAAGGAGATCAATCCTAGCAAGACCGTATTCCAGTACAATGAGAATTACAACGCTGAACTCCAAAAGGCATCTTCTGCGAATCTTGAAATGACGGGTCGGTGGTTGGAGGAACAAGACGAGCTACAGGCTGCGCTCCGCGATATCAACGACATCAGCTCGCCCAGCCTCTCGAGTGGAACCCACAGCCGCGGCAACTCACTCGACAAGGCTGTGGTCAAGAAATCAGTCAAGTTTGCTGATGAGCCCGCCAGGTCTCCAGTGAAAGAGTCAGCTACTGAGCCTGTTACAACCTACGTGCAAGGCCTTGAGTACCTCCGCTCTCGTTGCCAGAAGAAGGATACATTCATCCACCGTCAGACGCGCGCTGAGGCTCTGCATGTGCAGCGTCGCTGCAGTCCATTGGCGCATCGTGATCAACTTCTCGGCAAGTTTGAGCTTAACCAGCCTGATCGTCCAGCACCACCACGGCCAGTATCTGAATTCTTTGTCAATGACCCGACTGTTTTGAAGGAAAGAATTGCACGGGCGCAGATGGAACGCCAAGCGCTCGACCAGATGCTGCCCATCCACTGGGTTCTGCAAGCACAAAAACAACTCAATGGAGGAAGGTTGCTGAGCAAGGCTGCTGCACGACGGGTTACGCGTGCCAGTGCACCTCGCATTCTCGACATTGGTGGCGTTGCGACCAACGACTGGGCTTGGGACGTTGCCTATGATTTCCCATACGCCACCGTGATTACGGTTTACACAGAAGGCAACAACATGTCTTTGAATGTCAAGGGCCCAAGTAATCACAAGCACATGACCGTCCCCAACTTGTGGACTCTTCCCTTTCCCTCTGGCCACTTTGATGTCATCTCGGCGCGTACACTGTACGAGCTTCTCAAGACCAGGAAGCCCATGGGCAGGTCGTCGGACGAGTACGACTTGTGCTTGAAGGAGTGCTACCGATGCCTGAAGCCCGGAGGCATTCTCGACTACTCACTCATGGACGCAGATGTGGTGCATGCAGGCCGCAATGCGCAAGCCATGGGCGTCGAGTTTGGCTTCAACCTCAAGACACGCGGCTATGATGCGCAGCCTACCAAGGCTTTTCTCCCCCGCATCTCCAAAGCCGGATTCAAGGAAGTGCAAAGAGCTTGGATGTTTCTGCCTATGGGCAAGACGGCCGCTAACTGGCGCGATACGCTTGCGGTTGGAGCTGAGCCGAAGCACCAAGAACGGAGGATCGCAGAGGATGGTAGTATTGAGGTTGAAGATGCGCCGGTACTCGGTACGACTATTGACGCTGCGATGCTGACTGGTATTGTCGGCAGCTGGGCGTGGGAGAGGTGGCTGTTGAGATTGCAGATGGAGATGGGTAAGGACGAGGATAAGTTGCTCGAGGGGGTAGTCAATGTGTTGGAAGAAGGTGCACAGGGCCACTCTGGATGGAGGACGCTGACTGGTTGGGCAAGGAAGTAAGTGATTTTCGAAATTCATTGGGTTTTGAAGGAGGAGTGACGTATGAAATGATGTTCTATGATGGAATTTGGCAAAGGCAATTTGGAGTTGGATAAGGGGGGTTGTTGGCTGGACACGGCAAAGGATTGATACCACATTGACTCTTATTTTTTCTTTTGTAAATCTCCCTTTTTTTTCCTATGTAGACCTTTTTTTTCTCTTTTGTAAATAAATTGATAAAAAGTAACACTATATCAAGATACATGAGACTTCACGAAGTACGTAGTTGAAAACTGTTTTGTTGTACTGGAAAATCAGTGGTAATAGTTTTGACCCAACCCAACCTGGTTTTCAGATCTCTCTACCTTGACGTTGGCTGGCGGCCACCCCCCCCCACACGGTCCCTGCGCAACCTTCCATCACTCCGCCCTCCAACACCAAAAGTCGCAACAACAACAACCCGCCATTCTCATACCTCCCTTGCACCACCGCCACCGCACCCACGCACCCGCACCAATCCTCCAGCTGTGCCTCTCGCCAACCATGTTATTCTTCAGGTCGGTTACCTTTACCCCCTCAGCCACCGGTAGGTCGCATTGCACAACGCTTGCATACTAACACAACACCAGCTTCTTCAAAACCCTCGTCGAGCACGAAATCACGGTGGAACTCAAGAACGAAGTGCAGATCCGCGGGACGCTCAAGAGCGTAGATCAGTATCTGAATATTAAGCTGGATAATGCCGAGGCGGTGGATGAGTTGAGGTGGCCGCATTTGGTACGTTACCTCGTCTCCTTTTTCTTTCTTTCTTAACTTTGTTTTCCCTTGTATTTCATGTCACATTGGACAACCAAAAAAAAGCGGAGGTGGTGAAGGTGGGAAGGAAAAGGGAATTGAGGGCGAATTGAGGATTGAGGAAGGGTAAGGGAAAAAAAAAGAGGCTAACGAGAGAGCAGTGCTCAACCAAAGACATGTTCATCCGCGGCTCCGTAGTACGCTATGTACACTTGCCTTCGGGCGCGGTCGATACGGCGTTGCTAGAGGATGCGACGAGGAGGGAGGCCGAGGCGGCGAAGAATAAGGCGAAGTGAAGAGGGTGCTAGGGAGGTATGAAGGAGAGGCATGTGGGATTCTGAGAGAGAGAGAGAGAGGCGGGGAGGGGATAAGGATATTGAGAGCGCTGGTGGTGGGTGGTCTGGAGTGTGCACAGGATGAATGGGAAATGGCATTTACGAGGGTAATGAGGGATAGGGCGTAAGGAATTGTGGGATACCCATCTGAACGAGAAAAAAAAGAAGAGAAAGAAATGAATACCATCATCTCGGTTTCTGAGGCTTGACAGAGAGAGAGAGAGAGAAGGGGGGCAGGAGGACTCGAGAGATCTGGTTGTCGTGAACATTTGTTGAATAAACATAAACATTGGGCAGCGGCTCAAACTACGCATACGCACAATCCATAATTCCCCGCTCAGACATCACACCGGCGCTTCTTTTCTCATAAAACCTCGCTTAGAGAGCAAAAAGAACGGACAGAATCGCAAGATTACATGTGGGTTTTCAAATGGCACACACTCTTCTCATACAAGCGAACCATGTGGTAAGCACGGCAGTTAGGGCTAGGCGGCCGGGCTTTTGCAAATTACACCAGTTCATGGGGAACACAAACGGCGTTTGAAACAAGCAAGTTTCTATGAACATCTGACCCTTGCGGGAAAGCCGTCAATGTACCAATAGCATTGTGAACCGCTGTGTACCGCTGAGATTACATTTGATGCCGGGTCTTTTTACCTCTCCCCTTGATACCAAAGAAATAATCATGACCATTCGCCATTATCTAAGCGCAATCCCCAATGATCCTGCCTTGATTTCTTTTCGCCCACCCCCCCTTGGAAGTCAAGACGCGGCTAATATACCCGTACATATAGAGCGATCCACTCTTAGCAGCTATACCCAAAGTGGACGCAAAAGAGGACCGTATTGCGAAAGAAAGAAGGGGGGGTATATAGGCAGGACTATTCCTTTAGACGGACGAAAAGGCTGTAGCAGGAAAAAAAGCCCAGCATTGTGGCAAATTGGACCTTTCCCCGCTTTCCATTGTTCAATTTGTTGGATGTAGGTTGCGGAAAACGATACGAGGCTCGCTAATTCCTCTGGGAGAGAATTGGGACAAGCATAATGCCCTGGGATGGACGGGCAATGATCAGCGCAAGGGACGACGTCCAAACAGATTACGCGTACGGCCGCTTACGAGGCTGACAGGAATAAGCTCACATTGCTGATTGCGAAAAAAGCGTTACCGGTGGTTTGGAATCGATACTTGGCATTGGGCAACATATGGTTCGAGGACCCAAGTTTGTTTGCCATGAGGAAGAGATGGGAGGAACGGATGATATCCTGGTCAAGGCAGGCAATAGAGGACTCAAGCGCGCCGAAAGGTTGGCGGTTTGGTATGCTTGGCGAACATGTGGCACATGCATGTGAAGGTGTTGAAGGGGAAGAAAGGGCCTCGGCGCGCGTTACTCGCACGTGGAAAGCATCTTCTTGAGCACACCCATGAGGGTGCCATTTTCAAGGGCAGCGGCAACGCGCTCCTTGTCGCCCAGCTGTTTGTTTACCTGCTCGTCTGTACTGTGGGTGCCCTTCTTTATGCGGACATCGACGCGAAAGCGCGGGGGCAGGGCCTGCTCCAGACGAACACGCACGCCTAGGCCGATGACGGTGGCCAGCGAGCAGTGGGTAATGGTCGGGGTGATTTCAACGACGACGGTGCTGATGTTGGACAGCGGCGAGGCAGGGGGCAGAATGTGGATGTCGGGTAGGTTGACGACGGAGAGGGAGCCAAGGGACAGCGGATGCTCAGGGTCGCAGATGGTGGAAATGAGGTCTTTCATGCATGGGGTCAGGTACAGGTACAGCTAATGAGGCAGGCAAGCAGACAGGCAGTCAGGCAGTCAGGCAGGGTCAGGAAAAAAAAAACTAACCATAGATTTCCTGTTCGTCAATGGGGTCGTCATGTGTGTCGTCGCTGTCCGAGTCGGCAGGCGAAACAGGGTCGTCCAGGGGGTCGACGAGATATGTGTAGCGGGGGATCAGGTCGTCAAACAAGCCAGAGCCGGGGTGGTGCTGCCTCTTGCCGGCTGCATCGCTGCGGCGCGAGGGCAGATCCGAGGGGTTCAAGATGGTGGGGTTGGCGTTGTCCTTGTCGAGCTCCATGGCGCTGCTTTGGGCGGGGGAGGAAGGGGCGTGGCGGTGGTGGTGGTGGTGATGGTGGCTGCTGATGTTGGTGCGAGGGTGGTGATGGCGATGGCGATGGTGGCGGTTGCGGTTGTGGTTGCTGCAGCCCCTCCGTTGCGCCGGCCATTGCAATCGTCATTCGGCATATTGGAGCATGTGGGCAGCAGCATGGCCCTGCTTGCCGCCCGCCCACTCGCCTGCTTAGCAATCGCTTTGTTACACACGTACATGGACATGTACGTAACCATCTGTGTAAACGTCTATGGATGTACATACGTAGCTACATAGTAGACCTTGTGTGTATGTTTCCAATCTCCCGCAGATTACCCGTGAGCAAGATGGGATGGATGCAGGGGAGACAAGTGTGGGGTGGTACACCGTTTGACTAGTGCCTGCACATATCGAATGGGCGTCGTTTTGTCCTTTCCAGGTTATGGCCTGGCGGCTGTAGACACACACTCTTTCATACACCCCCTTCTTCATACGTGCGTATGCTGCAGTTGTTAGCAGCCGTGTAGTAGTGTAGTATGCCGCTCGTCCAGATGACGGGCCCCCACCGGCGAGCATCGGCAAGACCCGACGTCGTGGCCCCGCAGCCTGAAGGTTCAAGGCGACGAGGACCGAGGGCGGGCGGCGGTGAATTGCTCGGTCGCCTCCCGGACTACGGTTGACCCAAATCAAAGGGTTTCTCGTCGTGTTTCCAGAGGCGTGGCCTGAGACGGAGGCAATCTGAGTCTCTCGTGTTGCTGCTGTCGGCTCCTCCCGCATTCTGGCGGAAATACTTCCCAATCCGGCAGACGGTCAGTCACAGGGCTGGTTCCTGAGCGGCAGGGAGATCAACGCCAGAGATCAGCGCCGCCCCGGTGAAGTCAACAGCACAAGCACAGGAGTCGTGTCAGCAGTAAAACAAGACGGGAGTGCTATTGCTGCGGTGCCATGGCCACGCCGTGTTGGCTTTGGATCCAAGGCCTGCAGCTGCATACAACTGCGACCTGCATTACTGTACATACCTACCTTCGATGCGCCTTCGATGGCTTGCCGGCGGCCGCCCCAGTCGGCCGTGGCCGCCACCACCACCATCACTACTACTACCACTACCAGCAGCATCATACCCACCACCACCCGCCTGTCAGACGAGCCTCGGCTTGGCAACGCCCACACTGCAACCCCGTCAGCCAGGCCGCCATGATTCCCAGCGATGATACACGTACAAGGCCTGGGAACTAGGGTCCCGCGATCCCCCAGCCCCTCCAGCTGTCTTGTCGCGTGCGGCGCAAAAGCACTCGACCCGCCAGTCTGGTTACCGCTCTTGGTCAGCCATGGCCTCTCCTCCCCAGCTGCAGCTGGGCCTCTCTCTCCCCAGTCGACTGTCTGGGGCCGTGTCTGCGTGTGCACGCAACTGCAACTGCTTCTGCTCTCGTCATGCCCGCCAGCCCGCCACCAACCAGGCACATGTTGTGGCGGCTCACGGCATGAGGGGCGCCAGGCCCCCTTCCCCGTGCGGGAGTGTCGATGCAGATGGTTTGAAGGCCTTCTCGAAGTCTGCTCGGCCGTGTTTCGCTTCGCGGGCGCAATGGTCGTGTTCAGTTCATGCGCTGCCATGCGGTAGGCCTGTCTGCCCATGTGTCCATGCAGACTAGAGCCCTCTACCAGGCCCAAGCTGCCTTTCCCCCATGCGGCGTAGCCATGGGGAGGATTATTGTTTTATGCAGGCTGTGCTGATGGTGATGCGTCTGCCGTTAGAACCTTGCAGGCGACTGCGACTACCATGCTTTGGCCCAAATCAATTCGCCGACAAGTGTGGTGCGCGACATCGACACCGGCTCACCCTACGGCACACGACGGCATCTCGCCAGGCCCAGTCAGCCCGAGTGCTCCTAGCCTGCCCATCGAGTGCGTGCCCATGGAGATGGCACCGATCCTGAGGGCCCATGAGCAAGGCAGCGAAGCGACTGTCGGTACACCGCCCTATGCTCAAATCGGAAAAGCGCCATGTCACTCTCGCCCTGTCTGTGGAAAGACGGACGTTTCGCTTGAGCTCCTGACAAGACGCTGCCAGACTGCTAACACTACGCCAAATGCTCGTACCCCTTTCTAGCCGGCTAGTACCACCACTACTTACTCTGACCGCACCACGTCTAGCATCATGATGGTCCCCGGCTAGGTCCAAGTCCTCGTCATCGATGCCAATCTCTCGCTCCCTCGCTCCCTCGCTCAGTGCTGCAGAGACCCACTCACCCGCTCTGCCATGGCAGCAATGTCCTGATGAGATGAGCATTCACGGCTTGCTCAGGCACCTGCTCCAGCCCCAGCCCAGCCAGAGGCCAATCTTCGATTCGACCACATGCATGCGCAGCCCTCTCTGCCTTAATTCCCCCAGTCGTATCATGTCATGCACACTGCTGGCCATTTGTACAATCCAAGTCGTCGTTGTCACCGTCGAGTGGTCGGGGCCCTAATGTACTTTTTCTGGGCAGTCCATCCACCGGATGCATCCCGCCACCAACAGCCTCTTCATCTTGGGGACAAGCGTACGCGGACAGCCGGAAAGATTTTTGCCTTTTCGCCCGTAGTTTGCTGGACATGAGCGGCACCCGTCCCTATGTGTGTGTGTGTGTGCCTGTGCCTGTGTTGTGAGGGCGTCTGTGCCTAGCATTCGCCCGTGTGCAACAGCCTTCTTGCTTTGCTCATTCATCATCAGCTGTCAGACTCTGCCTTGCCCCCCCGCCGCTTTTATAGCAGCACCAGTTCCCAGCGGATCGCGAAGCTCAAAAGGTCCACACTAATACCCGTCGCTCAGCATATACGTGATACGATTCAGATAGCAGTAGTATCCAACGGGCGCCGCCACCCCTGCTCCCTATTGCCTCACACCCCCACAGCACGGCAGTTCCCTGTGTCCGCAGCATCTGGGCAGCGGACGCTTGCGCTCACGCGCCTGCAACTTGGGCGCCCACACAGAGACGCTATTAGTGCGGTGCGGCTCCTGGATCCTGCACGTCGCATACCACCTACCCCTCGTCCGCCTGTTTAACCCCTTCATACACGGCGAACCACTTGGGGACCACAATACTCGAGCCTTTCAGGAGATCCATACACGACAACGCCACCATTGCGCGCGTGAGCCACGCTGCGAGCCCGCTGCCAGTGCGTCGTCGAAACCCTGGCATGCCAGACATCGTCTCCACCTGCCCTCCCTATGTGCCTGCTGCTGCTGCTCCTGCTGCCCTGATCTGCCGTATAACCTAACCACGCCCGCGGCACTGCGGAGATTTCGCGAGCGCTATACCATCGTCAGTCAACAACCTGCACCGTCTGCCCGTGGCTTTTGGCGGTTTAGTTTCTACCCCATTCTGAACAAGGCCCTCTTCTGTCCGCCAGCAGCAATCTGTCACATTCTGGACCCCCTCCCGTCACTCCAACCTTCTATTGGCCGCCCACCCACCCGCGACTGCACACAACCTCACCACCTTGGTGGAGAACCCACGACCCCGCTGCCCGCAAACCACCGTGCCAGCTCCCACGCTTCCACTCTGGTCTGCCCTTGGTCTTGACCAAGAAACACAATGGCCCCAGAGACAACTGGACGCCCATTACTACCTCAAACCGCCCAAATGCAGAGCTTCACTTTTGCGCCGCCGACCCTGGCGCCACGCGAGAACCAGCGCAGTAAGTTCAAACATACACACTCACACCGCCCCGTGTGCTGGGCACTAAAGAAGCAACTGACATGGCCCATCTAGACTATGTATTCGTAGATGAGCACAACAGACACAAGCGCTTGAAAGGTGTGATTCCATCGCCTCGCCCGCCCGCCCGTGTTGCTCGCGCTCGCCGAGAATGACATGCGCATGCTAACGTGATGCAGTAATGAGAGCATGCGAAGGCTGCCGCAGACGCAAGATCAAATGCGATGCCGCTACGACGAATGCATGGCCTTGCGCTGCCTGCATCCGCCTAAAACTCAACTGTGTACCACCAACAGTCAGCTACGACAAGGACTACAACGGTTCCCAGACTTTTGATCTGGAACCCAAGCCGTTGGAGTATGCTTCGGATGTGCCTTCCCAACATGAATTTCAACGGCAACCATCCATGACCCAGGCCATGCCTCACCAAATGCCGCTGTCCATGGCCGGTGCTGCCCAAGGCATGTATCAGCCTTCACCCTACGTGGACCAACAGTCGCAAGACCAATGTCACTATCAGCCCTTGTCACAGCCTCAGGTAGTCCAGCAAACAATGGGCTATGCTCCTCAACAACCCTACCCACAAGCATCGTCCGCACCACCAACTATCTTGACCCCACCCGAGTCAGAACCTCACTGGCGGAGCGATTCTGCCTCAAGCTTATCTGAAGCTCTGGGCGAACTCAAGATAGATCACACCGCTGTCGGTAGGTTGCATCAAAGCCTTTTGCAAAGTACGATCCCCAAGTTGACAACATGCAGCACCCTACATCACAAACATGAAGAAGGCACTGGCCGAAACACCAGCACAAGAGGAATACGAGGTACAATTACCGCAATCCGTCAGCCTGGATCACACTGTCCGCATACCACCAGAAATGATGCCTTCGGATGACCAGGCTCTGCAGTATTTTGATTATTTCTTCACCAATGTACACCCCTATTGCCCAGTAATCAACAAGGCCTACTTCTATCAGCAATGGCACAGCGCGCCAGATTCAATCTCGCCTCTCATGCTCGAGGCCATCTTTGCCTGTGCTACATTGATGCTCGGAGATGTGGACGAAGGCAACAAGTGGCTAGCGCTTGCAACGAGTCAGTGATCTTCTGTTTTGCTACTGACTCGCTTTACTGACTATAGTCGTAGGGCATGAAGAAAGTTTTAGGGACGTATCGCGACTCAGCACAATGCAAGCCATGACTCTCCTTCTCAAGGCTCGCGAAGCATCGCCAAAGCGCGGGTACTTTTGGCGCTCTTGGATGGCTACCGTCAGCCTTGTGGCAATGGCAAAAGACTTGGAGTTACACGAGCATTACGACATTCATCAAATGGGAAAGTCGTGTGGCTCAACACCGCACGACTGTGTTGCAAAGACGAGGGTGTGGCAGATTTGCATGGTTTTTGAGGTGATGATTGGCGGTCCGCAAGGTAGGCAATCAGTTTCAATTACTCGACTCAGAATACTGACGCGATCGTCACAGGCCGCTACGATTTCGGTGTTGACATTGACACGGTCGATTTGGAAATGCCTAGGTCAGTTGCTGGACAGGATCCTGCGGAGGTCCAGATCGCGCGTCAGTTCATCCAGTTTTGTCGCATCGCCAAGAACGTTTATCACTCGGCTTCCATATTCAAAAAGCTAAGGAACAAGACACCAGACTGGCCATTGGACCCTTCGTTCGTGGCTCACAATACCGACTTCTCCATCTGGCTTCGAGAATTGCCCGAGGATATGCAGCTTGTCTACCCCCAGGATGGTTCGGCTCCCTGGATCCCGTCCCACCAGATTGCAAATATGCACAGCTACCAATACCTGGCCACCGTAATGCACTTCCGACCTCAATTACATGCGGTGTCTGACTCGTACGACGGCATATGGAAACAGCATATGCTCACGTGTTACTCAGCTGCCAAGAATCTATGCAAGTTACAGGAGGCTATTCTCAAAACTTACGGCATGCCTGGTCTGTTGTGCGCGGTACGAGGCATCAGCTTCCACATCTATGCCCTGCTTACTTGCACCATGCTTCATCTAGTAAGTTGCCGGTTACAACTCTGGTACACGCTCACTAACAAATACAGGTGGCCGTGACCTGCCCTGATCCAGACATCAACCACGACGCCAGAGAATTTTTCGTGAGGCACATGCGCGTTCTGGAGACCATGTCACCTTCTTTCCCAATGCCCGAGATGCAACAGCAAATCAACAGCCTCCGCCAAGCTTTCTCGGCTGACTGCTCCAAGCCGTTTGAGCTGAAACCATCGTTTCCCTTTGGAAGTCCTCAGGTGGCCCCGCAAACGAGCCCCATGAGCCACCAAGGCTCTTACCGGTCTCGTCACGCAAGCCATTCATCGCCGATGGAACAACCAGGTCAGGTCAACTACCATGCACATCCCATTACTCCACCAATCTCGGCATCCGACCACGGATCAAAGGCTGACTCTCCAGTAGCCCAGTCTTTGGTCATGATGGCATCGGGTCAACGTGCGCCTCAGTCCGCATCTAACCTGCAAATGCCGGACAGTGTTCAATGGAATCCACAACGCATATTTGAGTGAGTTATTCTGCATTACGAAGGAGCTTATGCGCCATACTAACGTGTTATAGTCAATGGAATGTTGCCTTTGGTACGCCCCCTCCTACTAGCGCCTCTTCCCAGTCTTCCCCGCCGCTAAGACCCACTCCTTCAGGAACCAGCTACGACATGCGGCAGGCGCAGGAAACCATACAACCCAGCTACCAGATGGCCAACACCTCTCCGCAGTCCAGCCATATCCATGGTGCGTCTGGTCAAATGCCGCCATCGTCAACTTATAGCAACCCTGCGCCCGTTTACGTCACTCCGACCATGTGGCAGGAAGCCGTCACCAGTTCTTTACCAGATGGCCTCAAGCGCAGGTGGGATGGCAACTCCATGCCAGACCAGTCCATGTACAAACGATCGCGTTGATACGGTATGAGAGTATGTGACAGATCACATTACTTGCAACAGGACCTATCAGAGGAGCTTTATGAGAGCAAAACAAGGTCAAGGGTACAGCAAACGACGTACGGACACGGCTAGGAGATCAGATGCCGAATTTTCCTTGCAAAAAACCCCCCCCCCCCCCAGGAGGAAGATAGATTTGTTGCACGTGTTGACCGTCGATTACACATTCCCTCAAGACTGCTGTGCGGTCCCACGGAATTGTTTTCTGCCTCAAATGCGGTTTCAGACAGCCATCTTGGCTTCGCTACCAGCCGCTCTATTGGATTGCGAATAACAATCGAAGCACTATGCACACCACGACACAAGCGCGGATGTACGATATATTAACCTTGCACCATACGCAAGCACGACTTGAATAATGAATAAGCAGCGCTATTGGCAGAATTTAGCGTAATGCTCTTACTGTAACACTAAGTACACTGGCTAGACAAAAAAGCTTTCTCAAGTTGTCGCTACATTTACACGGACCTTCCTCATTCATCGGGTTACTTTGTGTGATATCCACTTGTCGCATGGACCCATAGCCACGGGGGCATTGCGATAGCCTCAACAATATGACGGCTCAGTTCCTGAAGCATTCGGGCCTGGCGGGAGTGTTCCACGGACTTGTGGCAGGCTAGAACTCCGTCAAAATTGATACTTGGATCAACTGGTGTCCCAAACGCTCTCCACTTGATCCTTCTTGTTTTGTTCCAGGATGCAAGCAAAGCCGTCTTAGCTACCAGCTTAGACAGGCAACAAAAATGTCATGAGTTTCCATGTATATACATGCGTCATACGCCATTGTTTATTCCGGCTACTATCATATTGCTCCGTTGACGAAGCCAAAAGGCCGAATGTCTGCTTTGCGCCAATGCGCCAATCAGAAGGTTGTATGTGGGGTGCAGTAACATGGTGGCTGGCCTTAACTTTTCAACCTCCTTTCAGTCCTATTGCGGAAGGAGTCTAGCTGCTGTCGACCTCAAGTCTGATAGGCCAATATGAAGTTGGAAATTTGACAGCCATTGGACAGTCGGACCGCTATTCATTGCACGTTGCCACAAAACCCTGGCCTGGGCAGTACCGGCAATCAAATCCGTGGGCCTGTTGAACCAGGTTTCGCAGTTCTAGGCAATATCGAGCACACCCACAAGGCTGGGAAAGATCCCGAGGCTCAACGGTCTAGCGTCGATGTCTATGGCAGGAATTCGGCATGTGAAATCGTTGCCACACACTGACTGGTAATCGACAGCGTCATCCTTGCAACCAGGGCTCTGGACTAATCGACACGGACCGCTTTCGTAATGTGGAGAAGAAGGCGCTAAGGAATCAAAAGGATCAATCTCGACATGGGAGGGACGGGTGGTAGTCAACGTACGCTACTGCAGCGTATCACTGTACATGTACATGTGGTGTACGTGTGAGCATGCGGTTATCAAACCTAATACACGCAAAAGTTACATCGGCGGATGCAGCTAGCCAACAAACCACAAACATGTCCATGCACTTCCCTTCCCCCCACTGATCGCACCAAAGGTTATGCATTTCTATTACCCTTTCCTCCCCACAGAATCTTGCTGCCTCTTTGCAGGCGCGCGCAGGCGCGCCCAGAAGGACCATACTCAATTCGCAAACCTTAGTCCTTCTTTCCTTTCTTCCTTCCTTTTCTATAATCCCAGCAATCTGCAACCACGCCCTCCTCCTCTTCCTCCTCTTTCTTCTCCACACCCCTTGACCCCTAGTTTCATCGTTCCTTTGGCGAAGGACTAGCATATACCCACATTTTTCTTGCTGTTGCTCTCATCCTGAATAACCCCACCGATAGCAATCACGCTCGCTTTGGTCCACACCGACCACTCCCATGGACAAGCGCGTTCGACTCGTCCATACATTTTACGTGTATGCATTGAGTCAGTAGGCTTGGCGCAAGAGTGGAGGTGTGTGTGTGGGTAGAAGGGTTTAGGTTGACTCGTTGCCGATCTGGCGATTGCGCGACTGGTGCTGGGGGAGCAGCGCCCCCGGCTGGCTTACAAAACGCATCATGATCGTCGTTTTCGAAGCAAACAGGATAGGAAGGAAGGGGAAGGGGGGGCTGAGGGGGAATGGGGCGGCGGCGACGGCGCTGTCGGCTCGTGTGGGAGCCGCCGGATGGCGGCAGGGCGGCGAGTCAATTCCATGACTCTCTTGTTTGTTTCTCATCACGAGGAGTATGTAAAAAAAATGGGTAAAATGGGCATATGTTGTATGGAAGTACTATATAATACAAGAAAAGGGCCGGTTTTCTTTGGGACCCGCACTTGTATGTGGTTCGTTCGTGTTATTTTTTTTTCCTTCTTGCTCTTCGCATGTGGGCCCCTTGTCCTTGCTGTTTTAATTTTCTTGTGCAAAGTATCTTTTGGTTGGGCTTATACAATCTGTCTATTTTTTTTCTAGGGTTTCGCTACTATATAACCCTCTTTTTTTTTTAACGATGACGACTTTGCAAAGGGAGAGGGAGGGGCCGGGGGGGGGGAGGGTCACTTGACGAATTAGACCGAAAAATCACAATGAAAATAAAAATCACATTATATATTTCGACTTTTATCCAAAAAGTGCCCGATTTTTTGATTTTTTTTTCCATTGAGAACAAATTTATTACCCATGTTCGACCATCTTGCTGCGGCGCTTATTTTACTTTTCTTAAATCTACTAACTACGTAACTGTTGTAATGTTTTCGGTCCGTAATCTAGTAGTACTTTACAATTTTTTTCAAAAAAATAGAGTTCGGCGACCGAAAGAGTGGGTTTCTCGTTATTCCGCCCCTCCCCTCCCCACACCCTCACCGATCATCTAACTTGTCTTCTAACTTGGTGCGTGTGTGTTTGCTTTAAAAACGGTGTTTAGCGCGGTTATCGGCCTTGTTTTTTGTGTGTGTGTGTTTGTGTGTGTTTGAGGTATACCATGGCCGAAGCCTTATCGTATGTTTGACAATCCCGCTTGCGTTTAAATCGCTCGTTTTTTCTTTGGCTTTGTACGTATGCGAGTAAGTGCATAACACAACGTATGTACCCACTCATTATTCGTGTAGATAAAAAAGAACCTCATGGACCCGAAGACATCCGCTCGAGCGGGGGAACAAGATAAGGTTAGAAGATTGTCGTTGGAACATAGGGGATGGGAATCGTGGGGCACACAGACGAAAGATGTCGAGTGCCGGTAGTATAGTACTTCGTACATAATGTACGAGAGTGTTACATTGCGTTTATGCACACGTTTCCTGCACGAGGCATGATGTGCGGTTTTTGCTTGCTTTACGACGGGGCTGCACCTAGTACTTTTGGAGTCGAAGATGCATGTGCCCCCAAAGTCCTTGCTGTACGTAAGGGAGTACGTAGTATTCAAATGTCTCGGGATTTGAAAGTCTTGGCAACCTCGGAACTTGGTGGGCCTAAGTAGTAGAGCGAAATTGATCTATCCGTTGATTGAACGACATGGCATTTTTGGCAGGGACAAGGCTGCTTTTCTGGCTCGTACAACGAGATTCGGGCCTGACATTCCGTAGTGCAAACGTGTAAATTGTAAATGACGATATCGGAAGCTTGTCAGAATCGACTAATCTTCACGCATGGCAGCCCCAAGATGCCCTTCATTCGTTGCCATATGCCAGGATCGGTACAGGACTTTGATCTTTCAGAAGTATTGTGTTTAGGATTACGCCTACAATGGCAGCAATGACAAATGGCGTTTCAACCGCGAGATTGATTCCCTGCTCAAATCCGATCAATTTCTCATTTGGTCCGTTGTACGCCAGAACCTGGGCAAACCAGTCAGGTTGACAGATATCCATGAATCCGATACCAAGTGCGACGGCAAGAATGAAGCGATCGCGACGTGTCCACGAGATCAGTGCGAGGACGCGAATGCCCGCTACGGCAATGGTACTGTAGAGGAAGACTTGCATACCACCGAGCACCGAAGGGGGCATAGAAGCAAAGACAGCCCCAAATTTGGCAACGACTCCCATGAGAACCAGAAACCCACTTGCTGCCCAACCCGCTCGACGAGACGCACAGCCCGTAAGCACTATGACACCATTGTTGCCGGCTTGGCTGACCATCGGTGGACCGGTCGCAAGTGCACTCAGGAAACTGCCAATGCCATCGCACAAGATACCGCCCTGGACTCTGCTGTTGAACACTGTACCCTCGATATCCACATCCGACAGCTCGGCCGTAGCCAGGATATCCGGGATGCAAGACACCGCTTGACACGCAAACATGATGATCATGGGTAACACTAGCGCTCCATCGACAGACAGCTTGAACGTATGCACCCAGAGAAATGTGCCGCCAGGCGCTCGATCCAACTGCTCAGTAGACCAGTACCCCGTTGCGCCCGACACGGCGCAGCCAACTGCCAAACCGATGACTACGGAAGCCGAGCGCATGAGCGGCGCACCCACAGCTTCTACAAGTACGATAGTAGCAAACACGCTAAACCCCAACCCTATCAACTTCGGGTGCCCCCAAACCAACGGTTTCGGCGCAGAAACATCAGGACAAAGCGCGTAGAACCCCTCACCATCGTGGCAATTCGAGGACCCGCCCCAATTCTGCAGCCCGTTTCCGACGAGATACACGCCGATCAAGGTAAGTAGGGACCCAGTGACGAGTTTCGGAAAGACTTTGTTGAGGAGCTTGGGGGGTACGAATGCCATGCCTATTTGGATCCACACGCAGCAGAGCATAGTTCCTAAACATGCGCCCCAGGCGTCTGGGCACGGTGCTTGTGTTCCGTCGGCGAGGACGGGACAAGAGCCGGATTTGTAGCGTAGGGCGGCGTAGTTGAAGACGATGGGGAGGATGTCGAAGGTGGGTCCTACGACGCTGAGCAGGCCGGTGCCGATGAAGAAGGGCGTTTTCGTAATGTGGAGGCGTGTGACTTGGAGGGCTGTTGCTAGGCGGTGGTGATGAAGGCGGTGGAGACGAGGTACGTGGTCATTTCCGGTTCGAAATTGAAGGCGCCCGAGGCGATGGCGAGGGGTGGGGAGACGATGGAGCCGATCATGGTGAGGGCGTGTTGGAGGCCGAGGAGGAGTGTCAAGAGGATAGGGACGCGGTCATTTAGGCCGTAGAAGGGGGCCTTATAGTTTTTGTATTTTTTGTTCAAGGGCCAGATGTTTGGGGTGATTAGGTAGATGTAGTCCTTTGTGTTGTTGTTAGTATGTGATATTCTGAGTAGCATTTCTAAAAGATAAACTCACGTAGTTACCGATCCAGCCATCTTTCGTCGTAAACGAGTATTTGAGCTCTGCAAGCATGTCTTGCCATTTTGTCGTTACAGTGCTTGCTTCGTGACTGGTTACGGGCGAATATGGTCCTGTTTCTTCTGCGTACTTTGACTTTTGCTCCACCTCACTTGGAGGTTCCACGGCCATGGCTGCTATTAGTTCAGGTTGAAGCGTCAGCTATGATTTCAAGTAGCTCTACGTAGCTCTGGTTGACGCGATCGCGCTGTATGTATATACAACATGGTCCCTGCCATTGCTATTTCGCGGTGCTAAGCTGGCGTCGCGCCTTTCCTACGATAGGCGTTCGTGAGTTTGCAGAATCCCGCGACAGCCAATCCACTGGAGACCCGCTATCAGAGGCAGCATAATAATCAATGAGCGCAAGAACTTTGTCGGCATGTCCTGTGAAGTAAGGTAGACAGTATGACGATAAGGGGATGCTATCATGCTAGCGTCGGCCGCCCCTTGTCACTTTTAGGCGAGCTGGTGGGAGTGGTAATATACGCAACACTGCACGTATGGTTAGAGGACAGCAGATGTCCATGTGTACAGGAGTCGATAAATTGAAGTAAAAGATTATTTGGTTTCTGCAGCCACTTTTACTTGATGGCTCTGTTCACGTTCGAATTCACATACATCAACATCTTAAGGAAGAAGGCTGGCTACGTTTAGCACATACCCTGCTGCAGACATCTCAATTCTCCAAACAGACCTCAACTCTGGCTAAGGGAACGATGGGTTCGGCAAGCGTAGCTCTGAGAGGGCTTTTGGTCCACGCGACTATCATCACTGTCAACAAGAACCGGGAAATCATCCTGGACGGCGCACTACTCATTGAAAACGGCCGCATCACATTGCTTGGAAAGACCGCAGACCTCCTGAAGCAAGTACAATTGGAAAGCAATCAAGATATTGAAATCATAGATTGCACGAACAAAATCGTTATGCCTGGCCTGATCAACACACACGCACATCTGGCACAGTCACTACTACGGGGGCTCGCCGAGGATCTCCCACTTCACAACTGGCTGTGCGACGCGATTTGGCCGTTGGAAGCAAACTACGCCGAAGATGATGGCTATATTGCGTCCATGTTTACGATAGCCGAGATGCTCAAGACAGGAACAACGTGTTTCCTCGAAGCCATGCTCACGCACAGAAGCGGGCTTGAAAACGTGGTTCGAGCTGTACAAGAGACCGGCATAAGAGCTTGCCTAGTGAGTTTAGGGGAAGTTGACCAAAGTCACTGAACAATTACTGACAAACTGCCAAGGGAAAACTGATCAAGGTCGCTGAAACAAACGCAAATCTCAACATGAAGGACGCACGAGATCGCGACGTCGACTCCATGTCTGTAGCTGCTGCACTTTCAGCCCACAAGAAACACCACAGCACCTGCAACGACCGTTTACACGTGTGGTTTGCCGCCGGAACACCTCGAGGCTCTCCAATGGCCGCACACGCCTCGATAGGCGAGACAGCGCGAGCGCAGGATATCGGTGTTACAATGCACTGCGCAGAAGCCCCAAAAGACCTTCCCATCTACCGAGAATACTACCAATGTAGTCCCATGGAGTTCTGTCGCAATGCCTCGCTGATAGGTTCTAAAAGCGTGTTTGCACATTGCGTACACTTAGATCCAGCAGCTGGAGATTACGACATGTTACTCGAGAGCAACAGCACTGTTTCGCACAATCCAACGAGTAATCTCAAGCTTGGCTCTGGAGTCGCGAGCATACCGGATATGGTCGCTAGCGGTGTTAATGTGGCTCTGGGAACAGATGGTGCGCCTTGTAACAACACATACGACATGTTCCGGGAGATGCATCTAGCGGTGATACTTCATGGCGGGGTGAGGCAACAGGCTGGTGTGCTGAGTGCGTATGATGTCTTGGAATTTGCTACGATAAATGGCGCTAAAGCGTTGGGATTGGATAGCGAGATTGGCAGTTTAGAAGTGGGAAAGAAGGCGGATGTTGTCGTTGTTGAACCGAGAGGTGTATCAAACGCCCCATGGATTGCATCTGAGCAGAGCACTGGTGGAATAGATCCAGTCACGGTGCTTGTCCACTCTTCAGGAGCAGATGTCGATACTGTGATAGTGGACGGCCAGATTCTTGTCGACAAGGGGAAGTTGTTGCACATCGATGAAGATATGGTTATGGGTAGAGCAAGGGATTCGATAGCAAGCATACGGCAAAGAAGCGGCGTGGGTGCGAGAAACCACATGTCGTTGAAGTATATATAGACTCAGAACCGAAATAAGAGCAGATCATCAAAAAGACTGTGTCCTCTACAAACCGTCTGCGACGGCAACATATTCACAAAAGAGTCCCATGAAGCATCCCCCACATACTCGGGAACCTGCACTGTTGTTGCAGAGGTAGGTATAGTCACTTGAAGGTTTTGCGACATGCTGCTGATAAAACTTTCCACATCCAACATGCGGGCCCGCTTCCTCGATGAACAAGCCGTATCACTTGACTCTGCTGTTCGTGGGCGCTTTCTACTCCCAATCGTTCCACCTTCTCGGATCTCCCTTTGCAACGCGGAAAGTAACTGGATACCACGCGAAGCGATCTTGCTCTCATCGAAGCCTTTCAAGTAGTCGATTGTGTCCGCGACAAGCTTCATGTGTTCCTCGACTTCCTTTTCTTCTGCGCTCCGATGCAACGCATCGAGGCTGAGAATTATGCCTGCGGCAATCGAGAACGCCTGCTCAATCCACAATATCGGGGCCCGCTCATCATTTTGTGATAATGCCTCTTTCAGGATAGTCTTGGACGCTGCAATACATGTGCGGCGAGTAAATGAGAAGGCTGAATTAGTAAATGAAAGTCCTAGGAATTTTCGGTGTATCATGATGATCTTGTGCGAAGCGCAGATGGCTAATGATCGCCTTGCCCACCCTACATGGATCGGCCAGTCGTTGGATACGGGCGCGTTGGTTGATAAGAAAGTCGGCATACAGGCCGTGGCAAGCTTCCGCATCTTCTCGTCATACTGCAGTACCTTTTCGTACTTCGTAAACAGTGTATTGCACTCGGCCATAGCGTCTAGCAATTGTGGCATGAGTTTAGCAATATCATAACGGTAACTACAGTAGCTTGCTTGGGTTGGTACACACAAAGGCTGAAGTATCATATCGTCGCCGTTACAATTCAAGAGTTTTGCGTTCTGACAGAAGCGGGGGTTGAGTGAATAGGATTCCGAGAATGGAATTTGAAACCAGTCTTGCGTACAGAGCTGGTTGAAAACTCTTCGTCCCATTTCGCGGTGGCGAAGTTGCTGTTGGGAAACAGCAGCAGTTGTGCCCTCAGGGCCAAGGCGGTGCAGACCCAAGCTTTGCGCAACACGTCCGGCTGAGGCAAGCAAGACTGACTGGCTATTTGATTTACCCAAAACGTGAGCCGCGATTGTCAGAGTAGCGATTGTTTGTACAGAGTAGATGGTATGATTCTCGATGTAACATGCAATGTTGAGACATGTCACACTTGCTTCGTACCATCTTTTTGACAAGGCTGTCTTTTCAGCTGATGAGAATCCCCATGATCGGTATACAGATGGTGGCGCACATGTGATGCTTCCAGTAATGATGGCAAACAAAAGTCCCAGCCACTGTAGATTGAGGCTCTCACTGTGTACATTGCTTTCGTACTCTGTGAAAAATAGATCCAAATCTTGATTGAATATCATTGACGAGTAGGAGCAATGGTACCAGAGGATAGAGCTGTTGTGGTATTCAACAAGCCGTAAAAGATGTTCCTTGCTAGAAAGAAGAGCTTCCACAATATCGAGCTGTGCGTTTCTACTAGCCTCGGTCATGGCGTTGGATGCGATCGCTGGGTCATCTTGCCCTACGCTGAACCGTCTCGGCCCACTGTTGTGCTCTGCTGATGACCCGTATTGGGCATCTTTCTTGCGACCCCATGCTAGAAACTCCAGGACAGTAGCCGTATCAGCAGGCTCAGAAGGTGCATCGGCCGTGTTTTCTTGTAGAGGAGAATTCGGTACATGACTATGCGCCAGACTCGATGAAGCATCTTCGGGATGTGGAAAGGGCGCTTCGCTCAAACGTGCATCATACCGTCCCCCCAGCTTGGATTCAAGTTCATCTACACGTTCTATAATTGTGCGCATGAAACCGTCGGATGCTGTTGGAACCCTTTGGGCTTGGTAAGCAGGAGGGGGCACCGATGGTATAGTAGAAGCATCCTCTCTTGTACAAAAGCTTGCGTAACCCCTAGTTGTGACTTAGCACCATACGTTGCAGCAAGAAGTTCGGTCAATTCAGTTATTTTGTACAGCAACACCCAGGCATAATTATCATCGTGAATGGTCTCAGCCTACTGGCTCAACCGCAAGCCCAAATGTCTCAGTCTACAATGTGAAGAGAAGTGCTAACCTTTTAATGCAGGTATTGCAAGTTACATTCTTATCGCACTTGATCTTCCTCCTATAGCATTCTGTGCATGTCAATCGGGCCCTTTGCCCTTTGAGAGCGTTACTGTCGTCCATGGATACTGAGAACAGTCGATATCAAGTCGGTAATTAAGTTCGAGCGTGTTCCAAAACCTCAGAGACCTGATTGTTAGCATCACGTGGCAATAGTATGCACATGCAGGACGTAGCAGCAGCAGGTGGACCAATGGGTCGATATGTTGAGATGGTAAGGACGAGGAGCAGGGGGCGGCCGAGATGGCGGACGGCACTGAGGGTGGCCTTATCTATAAGTACCCAATCTAGTCTCCCATGCCCCACCCGCCTCAAATGTGCACATTGAATGCTTATCGTTACACTGCCATCACTTGCCACTAACGGCGGCCGGGCCCAACGGCCGCATCGACCACGGCGATTTTGGGCTTGATGATCTTTGCCCGAGAAGCGCGCATTTTGACGGATGTGAGAGAACATAAGAGCAAGTATGGTATGTGGTTGAAGGGGGGCTAAAATCACAGCTCATCAGCATTGAATAATTGGCATCATCAGTATTTCCTTATGGCGCCCACAAAATACATCGATCGTCCCGTGCCCACCATTTCGCTTCGTGATTTTGACTCACGGGTGGATGAGATCACCAAGGAGCTCGTTGATGCCGCTGAAAATCACGGCTTCTTTTGCATTGTGGATCATGGAATCAGCCGTGGCTCTATCGATCGCATCTTTGACCAGTCATCACGCTTCTTCAATTAGTCGAACGGCGTAAAGTCAAGGGTACCCTTCTCTCCTCAGCACAACGCTGGATGGGAAAAGAATGCGCAGATAAGACCCTCGACAGGGGCCGTTGATCGCAAAGAGTCGTACCAGATGCAATTTGGGGAGGCCATGAATGGTAAGTTATGATTGCAAAGTTTATATTTTATTGCAAAACTAATGGACGAAAGGGCGCTGGCTGGATGAGGAGACATTACCAGGCTTTCAGAAGCAAGCTTTGGACTTCATGCATCAAGCACAAGCGGTCAGCGAAAAGCTCATGAAGTGTTTTGCTAGAGGTCTGAAGTTCGAAGATGACTACTTTGTCAAAGCCCACGATGTCAGCCGACCAGAGTGTCAGACTGTTTGTCGGCTCCTACACTATTTCGAAACACCCAAAGAGCAAGATTCAACTGGGCAGGTGTACCACAGGGCCGGTGCGCATGCTGACTGGGACTTTTTGACTTTGTTGTTTCAAAAAGCTGGTCAATCGGGTCTTGAGATATGTCCAGGAAGGGAAGTTTCGACTTCGTTTGGGTATGGCGACGCATGGACAAAGGTGGAGCCTGATGTTGAGAAGAATGCAATTGGTACGTTGGTTTTTGGCCTGAGCATTAACACGGCGCTGAACTTCTATAGTATGCAATGTCGGCGACTTGCTCATGTCATGGTCCGATGACCGCTTCAAATCGACCTTTCATCGCGTCAAGGCGCCATGCGAGCCAGACGACTACTATGGCGAGCGATACAGCATTGCTTTCTTCAACCAGCCATGCAAAGACGCCAAGATTCAAGGTCCATTGAAGAGGTATCCAATGGTGACGGGTGAAGAGTTTACCAGGAATGCCATGAGTAGGAACTATCAAGCCATACAAGAGAAGCTGAAGAAGGAGAGAGAGTCGATACCCAAAGTTACAGAAGTAAAGGCAGCAACAACACGGGTAGGCACTACGGCATGAGGTGCCGTAGTGCAGAATGCAGCATTGACAGATGTCATGCAGTCATCTTGCGGAGTTACTTCCGGTTGCACTAGTCGCCTTCACCCTTGCTTCGCGTGCACTATCTCCTTACACAATCTCGCTTTGCTGTATTCAAAGTATCTGCATCACCTGAATGGTAAACTCTCTGAAAATTACTACGGTTATTGATTCTTTCGCACTATCATATCGTCTTGTGTATTGTTCAAAAGTACAGCGACGAATTAAGTTCGATGCACCATGTGATTAGTATGCCAGGTCAATGCTGAGCAGATTACGCCGATGGACGAAAAGCCCTATGGAAATAGCGCCTTTAATCTGAGTCACCGCATGATTCTATCCCTATCATATGTTATTAAAGACGGTATACGACTGTTAACAAGGAAAACACATGAAGAGTAGCCCCGCGCAACTTGCCCGACCTTTTGTGGCTTCACTAACGCGGACTGTTAAATCCGGCCAAAAGTTTACCAAATTCCTCCAAGATGTTCATAAAGAGAGTGAGGATAAAGAAGAGACGTGCTGTGTAGAGTTAGAATTCAGCATTTGATAAATCTCTCAAGACCTCACGCCGTAAACCTTATACAAAGACTCCAACCCACGAACAAATTCGGTCTGATTACCTGAGCAATTCGTACATCATTCGTTTCTATATTTTTGGTTTCAGTTAAGCAGTTCTCAGCAAGACCCAGGCATATCGAGCAATTGTTCCGGTACTCTCCAAAGACTATTGGCTCATTACTAGAGCATCTTAAGACCTCAATATTAAGATGGCCAGCCAACTCTCCAAAGCCTTTCTTCCAGCTCCAAAATTCACAGAAGAAAACGTTCCCGACCTCACATCAAAAGTTTACATTGTCACCGGTGCCTCAGCAGGCTTAGGCAAAGAGCTTGCTAGTCTCTTATATAGCCGTAACTGCACAGTTTACGTTGTGGCACGTTCAGCAGAGAAAGCAAACACTGCGATATCTTGGATCAAGGAGCGCCACCCAAATGCAACTGGTCAGCTGCACTTCCTCAAGCTAGACTTCAATGATCTACGAGGGATCAAGTCTTCCACCGAAGAGTTTCTGAATAGGGAAAGGAGACTGGATGTGCTTTTCAACATGCGGGCGTCATGATGCCACCTCAGGGCAGCAAGACAGAGCAAGGATATGAACTACAAATCGGCACGAATTGTCTAGCGCCTTTCTTGTTCACAAAATTGATTACGCCGATACTCGTGCAAACTGCCAAATCAAGTCCACCTGGTAGTGTCAGAGTGATTTGGGTGTCCTCGAGCGCAGCAGAGGTCGTTGCACCGTGGGGTGGAGTTGACATGGACAACCTCGATTTCAAGAAGGACCAATCAGCAACAACAAAATACGCCACTAGTAAAGCGGGCAACGTTTTACATGCGATTGAACATCAGAGAAGATACAGGAATGAGGGAGTGGTTAGCACTGTAAGTCTTTACTCCATGTAGTCTAATTTTTGTTTTGAGTTAATAGGATACAGGCACTTCATCCAGGCCTCCTCAAATCTGATTTGACGCGACATTCAGGGGCCTTATTGAGTTTGCTTTCCAGGCCCTTTCAGCATGCACCAGTATATGGTGCCTATACGGAGCTTTTTGTAGGACTGGCACCTGAAGCAGCGAATCTCAAGGAAGAGGATTGGGTCATCCCCTGGGGGAGAATCGTAGAGGTCCGGAAGGACCTTGTGACCGATGGTAAAGCAGGACCTTTTTGGGAGTGGAGCGAGAAGCAGGTAGAGCCATATACATAGGGATTGAAAGTAAACTACCACGGCTGGGTATACATGGCAACGGGTTCTTTTTGTTTTTCAGATCGAGTACTTTTAGATTTTCACCCTTTTTCACCATATTTTTGTTTGCAAAGTCTATGTCTAAAGCCAAAGCGATGCAGCGTTACCTAGTTTATGCACGCATTGCCTAGTCGAGCTATCCAGCACCTGCGTACAGTCGGTGATTCCACTGTGCAGCGCAGTGCAAGCATCTAATGTTATTAGTGTCTTGACGTTCTTATCATCGGAACACAGACCTTCAGTGCACGTAGCGTCTTACAAGGCGCAGTTCTGCCAGTAACTTCTGCATCTATTTGAGTAGCTAACAAGAATGATTCTTTCCCTGAAGAAGTACGGACGGTTGAAAACCCGCCGACGTCCACTCTAGGACGTAATGATCAACATGGGACGCATGGGTCACGTGACGTGCCATCAGTGCTGGCAGGACGAAAGACTCATGGCAAAATTGGAAGTCTTAAATCCCTGAGTATGATAAGGAAAAATAAGCTAATCACTACATTTTTGAAGATTGCCACCTAGATTGTAGACCTAAAAAAAATGACTTTACTAACGCTAGGAATGCGTTCTGGTAGACGTAGAGCTCTTTCGCCGCTTTGTTATCATTAGTAGGGCATAGTACGTGTGCAGGCATGGTGTAGAGAGGAGGCTCTCACGACACCGGAACGGCACCGTAAGGGCGACCCGCATTTCGTCTCGCATTAGTCTCGGCTGGATTGCCGTATACCGTATACCGTATACTACGTATCACAGAGGTCCTTATCCTTCCGCCTCCATACGCGGATACGATTCGTAACGAATAGCGTTTAAATTTTGGCGTAGTAGTTACCCAGGTACAGTAATTCGTTGACGCACTAAGAACATACTAGTTAACTTGATCTTAGAATGGAAGGAAGTTACTGTTGCAGACGGTATGCTATCGTTAATCTCTCGCTTATCAAGCAAAGTTTTCCTCAAGGACAAGCTATGTCACAATGAAGACTAGCTGCGAGTCTCCAAGGAATATTTAATCGAAGCTATAGGAGTGGGAATTCTAGTTAGCACCTTTCCCTCACTGATACAGCTCCTAGTTCTTTTCTTCTCCAAGAAGCCTAAGGCTGTTAAAGACAAGCTGAACGAAGTGCTCGGTTTCCTCAACCGAATTCTTGCAGAATGGCAGCGACGAAAGGCTAAAGTGAAGAAGAGCGGTGAGCCAGCCCCAAGATACGAAGATACACTCGAATGGCTTCATCGAGAGAGTAGCGGGGCGCCAGCAGATGCTGCTCTATACCAGATGGCTCTTTCACTAGCGACCATTCACACTACCTCAGACTTGTTAAACCAGACACTAAAACGCTTGGCTAACGACTCTGATCTGGTTAGCGAGTTACGAAAAGAGGTTGTGCAAGTCCTTAGCACCGACGACCTAAAAAAGATAGCGCTCGCGAACCTAAAGCTTATGGACAGTACGATAAAGCAGACACAAATGATGAATCCGAGTACATCTTATGGGTATTGCCCTTCACTTTAAGCAGTAAATCATGATTACAAATACTAACACCTACATACAATAGTAGCCATGAGAAGAATAACAAAGGAGAAGGTTGTTCTACCAACTAGACTTATCTTCCCAAATGGTCAATATATCTCCATAGATGGTAACAACATGTTTGACGCTGACATTTATCTAGACCCATACAAATTTGACGTGTATCAATACTACCACGTGCAAGAAGATTCTAAAACAGCTATAAAGGCTCATCTAATTTCTACTTGCTCCGAAAATCTGTCCCTTGGCCATGGTATCCACTCATGCCCGGGTTGTTTCTTTGTTGCCAATAAGATGAAGATTGCTCTGTCATCTCTTGCTCAAGTACGACTGGCAACTGGCATCTGGAGCTTCCCTAGAGCCATACAATATGTTTGGGGATACTGTGATCTTTGACCCTTCAAACAAGCTTCGCTACAGGCGCCGTCAGGAAGAGCTGGACCTAGACTCTCTGCACTTTGATTAGGAGGTACGCACTCTGGATTGGCTGTAGGGATGGAATCTTCTAGATTTGGCGTTTGTTTCATTTGTCAGTATGTTCACATTGCGGTATGATCCTGTTTCAAATTGTAAGGTTTTAGAGCAGTCGTTTCAATAGCGGCAAGGCATAACAGTGTAATCATCTTCGGGTTTAAATTGAGTAACCAGGAAACTGGGACGCCATGAGCTGATGGTCAAGATGGTGCTCGCCAAGATATCGATTACCGGAATAATTCTAAGGCAGACGGTGTATGGGCCGTTCCGCTCTTAGCTTCAACCACAGACTTCTCTACTATTCTTGATTTCCTGATGAGATGGGATCTATAACAGCCACGATCAACATCGTAAGGCAGATGAGCCATCTAATCCATCCCCCGTTACAAATCATGTGAATATTCAATGTGTAAACAAGGGCCTAGAACCAGTCTTCGTCGCTCGATGGCCCCATACTCACGTCTTCAGCCTCATGCTACAGTACAGCCCAGCGCCACCAAAAAGTCCAGACCAGTAGGTATGCCCCACCAACCTCAGCTCACGCACGTTGCTATCTATTGCCTCCACCAGCTTATCTAACGCAAAATAACTACGTAGCCAATTCAAGCTGTAGTAGCCGATAATGGGGGCTGAAAGTGCGGGGCTGAATAATTCCCTCTGTCCAAATGTATTGAATATCTTCTGCTAACATTGTGGCGCCCAGTAGCATTCAGACATGTTGTTCCATGCATATACCAAGACTTCACATAGCCTGCCGAGCTTCTGCATCCGATCACTTCTCAGTAACTCTGCCGATGCGCCTGTTCAGCCTTGTACCCTGTATATCATGCAGTACCACCACATCTATCCATACGATGTGTGATTCTATTAGGCAACTAAGACACATTTTCAGGTTTCTCCGTGCGGTAGGAGATCCCTGTAGAGTAGGAGACGAATCAGAGTTGATATATTTTCAGCCCCCATCTGCCCTAATGCAATGCGGGACGGGCATAACCTAATCTAAGGTCCGCGGCATGAGCTTACCACACCTTGGAGTAGGTTGATGTAGCTTATCGTGCTTGGAAGCCAAGGCATGGAAGACAGCTGAATAGAAGGCAGAAATCCAGCTCTCATATCAATACTGATGTTGAGCCATTTCCCCTTCTGAGTTTCTTGAGCCTCTGCGTAGGGACGAATCTTCTCCATATCAAACTCCCAATGGCGTATCAACATCTGCACAAGAACCAGCCTAACGTTGATATTGAGCCAGTAAACGAGGGCTGTAACTCACCCTCGCCAACTCAAGAACGGTATGGGCAAGATGATCGTAATTTTGAATATAACCATTCCAGTCCAGTATCTACTGTGGTAACACGAAACACCAAACATGTAACGCACTGGAGTACTTCTACTGATGCCACCGCCGTCACCTCGGAAACATCCAGCCAGAGGTCTGGGGGCAAGCCCAAGTCATCTCATGCTCGTACCTGGACATTCGAGATGATGGCTATTTTCGTCGCTCTCGGAGCTGTTGCTTCCATCATCGGAGTCGTTTTCAAGTACAACGGGCGTGCTTTACCGGACTGGCCTCACGACATTACTCTAAACGCGCTTATCGCTTTGATGGCTACATGTGCCAACGCTACAATGTCCGTCTGCCTTTCGAGTGGAATATCGCAGGCAAAATGGATTCGCTTCAAGCAAAAGCCGACTCCGCTGTCCGATATTGAGGTTTTTGACGAAGCCAGTCGTGGTTCCTGGGGGTCTCTTAAGTTAATCGTGACGGGTAGAGGAGGGTAAGTTGATCTGCTTCAAACGTTCGCTTCTTATGACTGACATTCTTGTTGCTCAGATTGCTTGGGTCTTTCGGAGCTATCGTTGCTATCGTTGGTCTGGCTCTTGGTCCCTTCGCACAGCAGATAGCGACGTACAAGATGCGAACTGTTGAAAGCGATGTCGGTGCTATCATCCCTAGAGCCGTCAACTACACCGGTGCATTGCCGGGTAATACCAGCAGTAGTAAGTATTCCCAGAAAACATCATCAGTCAGTCTATTAACATTTCACAGCTGGCTTTGTACCAATACTTCCCCTGAAAGCCGCAGTCTATAACGGCCTGTTTGCAGAGAACAACCGGCCCGCAGCATCTCTAAAGTTCCAATGCTCAAGTGGTAACTGCGCATGGAAGCCCTTCGATTCGCTCGCTGTTTGCCACGAATGCACCGACATCACACCCCTCATGACACGATACTGCCCACCAGAGATAAGCGACTCAGCCAACGTATCCTCATGTGGCTGGCAAGTACCTCAAGGAGCGCTGCTCAACACCAGCTCCGACGTTTTCAGCATGACTTCGTTCATCCCATCCGCGTACGGCGACATGCCTCACTCCACCTTCATCAAGCTCATATTCATGGGCACAGAGCACCAGGACACTCCCCGAGTCCTCAACCCCTGGGCCACACAGTGCACACTGCAAGCCTGCGTTAACACGATATCAGCATCAGTAGTAAACGGTACGCATCAAGAAAACATCACGCACTCCGTGATGAACCACACAGTCCTCGATATGAGCTCTCCAGACCCAGACGCCGACTATGGCGTTTATATCCATAGTAAATCCGAAGACCCTGCGTATCTCGTTGGCATGGGTGCCCTCCTGAGTATCCGCGGCTGGTTCGGCGCAATCTTCACAAACGGCTCCGCGACCCGAACCACCAGTGACTTCACCCGCAGCATCACTGACCCTGATCGCGCTGTTGTCGTTAATCTCACGGTTGGTATTGCGTCGGGAGAGACGTTCTTCGACACGGATATCCTGACCGCGTTTTACTGGAACTACTACGAGTATGCTAATGGACTCGACATGCTCATGAGCGATTTGGCTATATCCATGACTACGGCATTCCGCAGCTTCATGGGTGCTGTGCCTACGGCCGGGAAGTCCATGACGGTCGAGTCGTATGTGCATGTTCGATGGGGTTTCGCGGTGCTGCCCATTACCGCTGTTCTGGCTACTCTTGTCTTCTTGCTGGCTTCCATGATTATGACGCATACATCTGATACTCAGGCTTGGAAGACGAGTGCGCTGGTGTCGCTGTTCCATGGTTTGGATCACCAGACAAAAGAGAGGTTTAGTGGCAAGGATAGCTTGAGCGCGAAAAAGAAACAGGCAAAGGCTGTGAAGGTGCAGTTGCAGACAGACAATTGTAACGAGACCTTGTTGCGGGCTGATAAGGGGCAATGCTAGTTTTATAGTGGGTTGTTACTGTTTGATGGTTTTTTTGGAACAAGTCTATCCACGCTTCTTATTAGCTTTACAATCTAAACACTGCTTTCGCTCTCAATATCTTTGCTCTTTCTTCCCTCGCTGCTAACATCACTTTCAGTGTCACTGAGCAAGCCGTCCCAAGCTTCATCTTGCACACTGTCCGCCTCGTCCTCTCTCCCAGCACCTTGCTCGACCTTGACATTGACGAACAAGATCCAAAGTCCAATGTCGTAAATTATTCTACACGTACCCGATGCCAAGAAAGCTACCCAGAAGTTGTCACTGCCAGCGAGCAGACCAGTAATTGACGGGCCCACACTCATAGCCAGAGTACGCACCATACTTGTGATACCCATGGCACCTGTGCGCTCCTCAGGTTTGACAACCGCAGCAATAAAAGCTGTACGCGGAGCTTGATCCATACTATTGAGAGCAGCGCGGAAAACCATCAGCCCGATTGTCCATGCAGGCTTTGTTGGCACAGGGATGAAAACGATGGATAGCGACGAAGGGAGATGCGTGAAAACCATGGTGTTAATAAGTCCGATGCGTTTAGCCAATGGTCCAGCGAAAACAGCGCCGACTGCGCAAAGGAACTGCGAAGCCGATGTGATGTCTCCGAGTGTAGCTTTGGAGACGCTAAACTTGCGGTCGACGTAGTAGTTCATGAGCGAGTAGGGTGTCATTCCATCCGATAAACTGTCGACGGCAAGCAGGATCCAGAGCTTATACATGATTGACCGTGTGGTTTTGGAGATTTGACTGAAGTAGCTTTTCTTCTTGGGCGATTGTGTTACTCGGAGGTTTTCCTGTCTTCTCGAGGATTGACCGCTCTGATCAAACCCGTCCGTTGTACTCGGTGTCATTGCTTCCAGAAGCATTTCTCCCTCTTCTCCGTCACCACTTTTTCTCCTTCTCTCTTTCATTTCTGCTAGTCTCTCGCCAGCAGCCTCGCATCTGCTGCTCAATCCAAGACATAGTATACTGCCAAGCGCACCAAAGGCTGCGTACCCCCAGAACAAAGCATGATATGCCTTGGTAGCATTACCGCTGCGCTTCTCAAAAGCGTTCACCATTCGCCCTGCAACCTCGGCTCCTATAGCACCAGCCATTGTGGTCGCCGTCACGTACCATGACAAAACGTCACTTCTTGTCTTCTCGTCTGTCAATCCACTCAGTATACTCTCCTCGACTGCCCTGAAAGGCCCACAATCGGCTCCGGTCACGGAAATAATGCCAAAGACTGCTGCGATCAAGAGGACCCAGAAATTTTCGGAAAGAGCGAACGTGACACCTGAGCAAGCCATCATCACGCTGCCCATAAACAAGATCCTTCTTCTTCCTAGCTTGTCAGCGACCAAGGTAAGTAGCAAGGAGAGCATGACATCGCCGAGTAACGTCAAGGTCATGAAAGCTCCGATTCTTGAATCAGGGAAATCAAGCGAAGCGAAGAACAGAGCTAGGACAAGACTAGGAATGCCAGCCGTAAACATGCGCAAGGAGCGCAGTATAATGATAATGTAAGCATCCCTTCCCGTTGCATTGAGTGATTGGACACCGAGAAAGCTCGCAATTCGTGTTACGAACACGGGAGCCATGGTGGCGATGTACGACGGATGGTGCCGGAGTAGAAAGCCCCGAGTCAACTCACTCGTGGATGATGGAATATGCGGTTCCAACAGCCACGAAATGGTGAATCAAGAGAAGATAGAGAAGAAAAAGAAGAAGAGGACGAGAAGAATCGCAACGTACAAAAGACAGGTGATTGCCTGCATAGTTAGTGGGGACGTTAAACCCGTCCCGGGTTTAAGCGTTGTAGTCGCAACAGTCCCCGTCTTTATAAGTGACTCATTGGCGCGTTGCATGGGAGGCCTAGCCCACAGCCTCTAGATTCCGGTGGAGGAAGAAGACACCCGGCACTGTTTCCGATGTTCGCTGCGCGGCCGAGATGTTGCAAGTGCAAGAAGGGTCCTTTCCCCCACTTTGGAAAACGTGGGGGTGGGGTACGTCATGGTTCGCACAGATAGGCGAACCCGTACGACGAGCTTCTAAGCTGCAACATCACACTACTAGACCTTCAGATTACATGCAATCAGTCTGAGAAACCTGCAAATACGTTAGAAACATTCGGGATTCTCTATCAGCTATGATAGATTCACGGTAAAGCTCGTTTCCTGTGCACGTACCGCATCTCGACTACAACGCTCTCACCTTTACTTTATACTCACTAGTACACGGACGCGCAGGATCTAAATTCCGCTCTTGAACGATGTCTATTTCTACATTTCTAAACTCTAATACCACAATCGAAGAAGTCAGCCGAACAAGACGCCGCTGCTTTGCTCCGATTACGAATCCATTGTCCAAGATGACAACGAAAGATGGTACATTCGAGGATAGCTTCGCTCGGCGAATGCCCTTGGAAATCAAGCAGATGGTCTTCAAGTGGGCAGTAAGTAACAATGACAACAATGATGAGGACGACAACATCACAGACATCGAGGTCGAACTTGCGCATGACAACAAGCAGTCACTCAAGTCACCGGCTCTAGACCTTCTGGCAACACTAGCGAAGTGGTATCTAGCGGATGTTTACAAAGAAGCAGCACTGTATCTCACTATACAATCGTTTCGTTGGGTGTTCATCAGCAACTCGGAGCCGTATCACTCTCTTCTGAGTGTCTTCTATAAAAAAGTTCCATTCGACATTCGAAAGCGCATCAAGCATGTCTACTTGCGAAAGCTACGAGTATTAAGTCTTGTCGACTCAAAGAAAATACAATGCAAACGATGGGTGTGTTTTGATTGTGACAGTGCCTCAAGTCTCGAATTACTCTGAATATCTCCGACGTATCGACGAGGATGGATCACACAGTAGACTCAAGATCTTCAGAGCGCTCCTCAAAGATATCCCAGAAGGCATAGACTTGTTGTCGCTCATGCTACCGTCTATCAAAAAACTCGATATCGGCCTTGATGTCTGTGACTTATTGCTCGATTTCAGGGCGGTTGCGCCTGCGCTATACGAAATTGTTGACGAGCTACGCAAGGATCCAAACGCCTTCTCCTCATACACCGCGTACTTGGCCATCGTTTATCCACTAATATTTCTGAAGAATATATCCAAAATCAGCATGCGAATTGTCTGGGACGAACACTTTGAGCAGAAAACCGACTTTGAGCAGGAACCCGATCCTTACGGAACAGACAAAGGAGAGCAAGAACTTCGGGAGCTCCTTTTCGATCTCTTGCGCAAAGACTCTTACGAACTATGTTCAGAAGTAGATACTCGTGACTTGGTAGGGTGGATAGTCAGTATTTGACTATGAAAAGAGTGGACAGACACGGGTTGGAGGAACCTGATTTCATATATACGTGCCGTGTAACCGGCTTCTGTAACTATGCTCGACAGAACATGCAAAATTTGATTCCAGAATAAACCTACCCAGCTTCATTCCTTGTGCACGGCTTTCCCATGATCCTTCTCGCCTCTTGATATATAATTGCCGAGATGAAGTAACTCGCCCGCCCATCTTTGGACACCTAGCGGACTATATTCGAGAGAACTTGTTGTATCGTAAGAAAGCTTGACTGGACACACTCTGGCTGACTTTTTCGAGGTTTTCAGCACTGGAGTCTGGGTTAGGCAATGAGTAAAGGGAAAAACAGATGATGAGGAAATTGTAATCTCGATTTGCAAAAATGATATAAAGCAGTACATTTGCCATGTTGCAGTTTTCTAGCGAAAAGAGGAAATGAGAGTCGCCATTGCATTATGAAATTCGGTTGCATGACTTTGAAGAAGCCAGAACCTTGAAGTCAAATGGATGCATATCGCTCCAGGTCTCAACCATCACATACATGATACCATTTATCGCAACCGTGCCATGAGGCTGCTCATACGAGATGCCATTCGATTCCTTAAGTGTAGGAAATACCGACCCTAATCAGATTCCTATATTAGTCTCTATCTGTATTAATGCATCATGTTTAAGACTTATCAATCGTCAAGGTGTCTTTGATGCAAGTTCGGAAACTTCACCTCAACTCTAACATCTGGAAACAGATGATGAATCAAGGCTTCTATCTCCAAACGTAATCTTCTTTTCGTCGATTGCTTAGCAGACTCTTCGATCTTTGGTGACAATAAAATAGAGAAAGCTATCTCCTTTATACCAGATAGGTCATGGAGTATACAAAGTCTGAAAAATCTTTTACGAGTTTATCCTCAAATCGGAGGGAAGTAACCTGGTTGCGTTGGCCCTTGTTGAGAACTACAAACCATTTATGTATGTTGTAACACGTCGAGAAGGAGGACGTGTTCTGTTGCAGTGGAATATTGGCTGCTTCTGCATAGATCTGACGGCATACTCGTAAAAGAGAAATCCCAGTGGGAGCCTTTGGCGAGGACATGGAAACATGGCCGGCTTTGTCGTAATCCAGTGTGCACACTCTTCCGGCAAGCACGAGCTCCCATATCATGTTGCGAATCTGCATAGTCAATATTTACTGCATACATGAATGGCGAGTAGTTCCTTACCTCGGGCGGGAGACGAAGTAGAGGCGACTGCTGGTTGGCTTTGACACTGACGGATATTAGTTGCCTCCTGCAAATTCTAATCATGATGTGCTTACACATCCTACTCTCCGCCCTTGGGTGTGACGTTAAGCATGCCATTCCTGAAGGTGTGGTATCCGCGCGCACGCCTCTTCACAACCTTGTCTTTGCTCTGCTTGTCAGTAGGAGTCTTCTTCGCTTTTGGAGCCGTATCGTTGGCAGCAGGCTTTTGGGGCGCCATGATGATGTCGAGAGTGGCTGGTTGACTAGCAAGGTTGTGTTGGAGAAATAAGTTGAGGACGGAAGGTAGAAGAGCTAAGTGAGATTGCTGCGGTGAAGGAAAGGGCAACGAGTCCCTCGCAGGAAATCGCGTCCCACTAGCGCAGTACTGTGGGTTGAGCGAGGAGCAAACACAGTGATAGTGAGTGTGAAGGAGAGAGTGTATCTTTTAGTGATGGAGCATTAACTAATAACTACTCAATCATATCCCATTGGGATAGCAAGGTAATAGAAGGCTCTCACAATGTCTATGCTACATAGAACTATCATGGCAGAAGCTCAAGCCTTCACTAAAACCACACCTTCATATATACCCGCAACTCGCATCAATATTACTGAAGGGAAGCCAGCACCTAGTCTTCATGTCAGTACATTATTACGCATGACATACTCAACAGTGAAGGCGACGAGGAAGTGCTCAGAGAGAAGATTGTAAACTCGCCATTGACAGCGCTAGACGAGTCGAGAGTTCAGGCTGCAAGCAGTCTTTCACTCTCGTCTCAAGCCCTGCACAGTCTCCGCCTAAGGATGACGATAACGAAGTTTCATCATTGCACATGGGGTAAAGGAAAAGGAAACACTCACAGATAGACTTCGGTGTGTGGACTATAAGCTTGTTTGCGCAAGAGCATTAGAGCAATGCTGTTGAAAGCGGATAGCCGCGATGGAGGATAGGCCAAGACGAGCAACTATAATGGAAGAGTTGTCCGGTTCAATAGTCTAGATCCAGGGTGTCGTCCTTTTGCGCATCCGGCCCATTCGCCTGGTGCCATGGATCCCACTCATCACTCTCGTCGTCACTGTAATCACTGCCTGGACCATTGCGACCGCTCCTTCTTCTCGGCAGGCCCTTCTGCAGCCTAACCTCTTTTCTCCTCTTCGCATATCTATCTCTCTTCCTTTTGGCTTTGGCTTTGCTCTTCGCACTGGTTGTGGCCCATTGTTGCTTATTTGCTTGCCCTGACTCCTTGGACTGAGCCTGTTGCGAATCATCTGCCACATGCGAAGAACCCTCTTGCGCTGGGCTGGCAACATCGGGAGACAGCTTTTCGGCAGCAGATTTACAGTCAGAAGATTCGCCATTCTCTTTCTCTAATCGCCGTTTGCGAAGGATGGCTTGGATTTCCGAGTGTCGGAACATAGCAATTTGCTCTTCGGTCAGGGTGCGCTTGGTCCCGTCGGGGTAGTAGCCGAGTCCATCGTCGTCTTCGTCGTAATACTCTTCAGCCGCCTCCGGCTCGTGGTTTACACCATAGAGAATATACTCAGGCGTTGACGCGTGGGGAAAGTGCTGCGCGTGAAAAGCAAGCAGATCATCCTACTGTTTTCTTAGTATCTTCTTAGGGGTTTGAGAACATTGATTACACTTACGACCGTGACTGTTGGAATTTGCAGTGCCATAATTTTTTATTATCTGCTCAGAGAGTTGGGTCAAACAGCGACGCGCTCAAAGGCGCGGAATTTCACGTTGGCCGAGACATGAGTGCAAGGAGAAGAGGAATCAGTCCCCGAGCTCGAAAAGAGGGCCGACGATCATTCGCGTGAGCACGAGGTCTTGGCTTCACCGCGGCATGACGTGTGTGCTGCCCACGCCAACCGCCGCGCTCACAAACAACCCTCCAGCAACACCCTAATGCACCCCGCTTAAGCCATCATGAAATCCGGATCTTTCTTCGTATACCCTCTTGCTACTATTTCTCTGATCTTCGCTTGCTCAGCTGAGTCCCGCCCCTTCGACGGCATCGTCAACTCGCTCCACATCCTCACCGAGCAATCACCGCTTCGCGACTACATCATGGGCAAACCAGAGGGGCAGGTCTCAACTGGCGTCATCATATCCGATGTCATCGGAAACACACAGGAGATTGCTATCTTCAGCGGCTTGACAAGGGACATCAACGCCGTAGCCGGACGATTAGACGACGCAGCGCAGAACGCCACTGTACTCGCTCCTCACAACAGCGTCATGCGCGACTTGAAGAGGAAACCATGGGAAGACCCAGAAGACTACAACAAACTAGGCGCCGAAGCTTACCAGGGCGCTAGCGGAGAAGACCGCGCGAAGAGCAACATCGAGCGCTTCGTCCAGCGGCACATCATACCCGAAAGTCCGTGGGAAGAGGGCAAGAAAATCAAGACACTTGCTGGCAACGAGATCTGGTGGGAGTCTAAAAACGGCCAAAAGAAGGTAAGCATACCCATGCTCGTCAGTACAGTGGTCTGCATTGCATTCGGAGTTGCCCCACCGGACCGCAGGCGGCCATTCGCGTCTCGGCCCAACTGCCCACGAACATATTCGATGCAGTTTCCAAAATTCCCATCATACAACCAAAACAATTGGTGAGATGGCCGAGTTGGTTATGGCGCCAGGTTAAGGTCTTCTTAACATCATATTCCTGGTCACGAAAGTGGCGTGGGTTCGAGTCCCACTCTCATCAGCATTCGTCTGGCTTCAGCCAGATACCCCAGGTTCTTTTTTTCCTGGGTTGTTTTCCTTTTGGCTACATCGAGATGTACCTTCATACTACTTTTCTTCGTGGTGTTGCTAATGATTGCTTTCCAATGCTTTTTTTTTCATTTAGCAAGCACTATAAGATTCTGAGCTAATCGAATCCTGCAGATCCAACCAGCCAACATCGAAATCAAGAGTATCGCCGACAAGGTCGCCAACGGTGAAGTCTGGGTGCTTGGAGGATCTCTCGCTTAAATGTTTCGCTCTATGAATCAAGGCTGGCCCGTGATTATGAGCAAAGGGACCTTCTCTTTCTTTTAATTGCAATTTTGGTATAGATCAGGCGTAGAAGTCAAGAGGATTTCATCATGAACATCAGAATGTTCACTTTCATTTGTTCACTTTCCAAACGTACAGCAGTTATTCCTCTCATCTTCCAGATACTCATTCCAGAATATGTACTTCAAGCCATCGCCTCGGAATGTATACGAAGAATCAACGCTATCATGTATTTATCTTACAATCGCCCAGTCTTACCTCGACTGAGTAGGTTCAACCTCCAATATCGAACTCTTTGGGCACCATCTATAGCATTGGCGTCTCCTCCCTCTCTCCAATAACGTTGAGGAACGCAGTATGAACATGTTCCGTCAAATCACTGGCCTGCAGTGATCTGCCCTTCTCCTTGAAGGCCAACTTCGAGCATTCTCTTGTGATACACGAACCACCATATGCTGCAAGAGCCAACGTCTCGCTCCTTGACATCTCAGTCCCAATATCCCACAGCTTGTCATGGTATGCCTTCCTGTAGGCTAGCAGAGTCGCCAAACTACCTGTTAGAGTATCGCCCTGGCCACCCGAGCGCTTCAATCCGCCCTCGCCCTCCGAGACCAGGGTGTGCGAACCATTGGAAATGTAGTCTTTGGCGCCCTTCTGGATAATCGTAACACCACCAAAAGCCTTTGATAGCTTGGAGCACAGTTCTGAAGGATCGCCTTCATCAACATTGACGCCCTTTGCCTTGGCCAGTCTCCCAAATTCCACAACGTTGGGCGTGAGGATGCACTCTTTGCAGCCTTCGACGAGTTCAGGTCTCGTCTGTGCAAGGTACAGACCATCTGCATCTAGTACAAACGGAATGCCTTGCTTCCTAGCCTCTTCAATCACCTTTGCGCAAGTGTCTTGCATGAGTTTGTCGCGACCGAGGCCAGGACCGATTACGACAACATGAAGCCGCGATAGCATTCCAACAACTTCTGCGCTTACACTATCGGCGCTCTCAGATTGCGCAAGGTTCTTGGATTGTCGCATGTAAGGGTGTACCATGAGGTTAGGGGAGTAGGTCTTGATGACAGCGCCGGCTCCCGGCTCACATATAACGTGAGACTAAAGTAGTGTCAGCGGATCTCCTCGCATGAGGGTTTCTGGGAGATAGTACCATATCGCAACCCAATTTTGCAGAGGCCATGGCGGAGAAGTAGGGTGCGCCAGTGTAATCTTCACTGCCACCAATGACTGCTACACGACCCAATTGACCTGTACAAATGGATTAGACACGCATTCTAGAACCCAGAGCAGTCTCCATACCCTTGTGGAAGCTCTCGAGCATAGGCGGTACCATATTGTACACCTTCTTGAGAAGGTCTTTCCTTGATGCGCCGGCCATTTTGGAATACTTCTGAATTATTAGATTTGAATATCGAACAGGAGAACCACAAGAGGGGCTGTAAAGACTCGGTTGTAAGAACAATGTTGTACGCTTTCCGCATGGTTTTGTTATGGAGCTCAACGCATAGGGACGTCATAATGATGGTGGGGCAATTGACGCGACGCGCCACATCTAGCAACTACACAAACGGGGCGCATTGCAGAGAGGAACAGCAGTGACAGCATAGCCAGCCGCGTACCCGAATGAGCATACTGAGGAACATGCACATTGGGGCTGGAAAGTATTGGTATTTATTGTTCAATTTGCAAAGACATGTTTGTACTCAACTAGCTACCGTTCGGCAAGAAGCCGCCCAAGAAGGTAAATATGGGCAGCAGAAATTAGCTCGTATATCTCCCATCGAGCATAGACAGCAGTATGCCCGCTCAGCACTTTAGGCATAAATATTAGAAATGGCGGCGTCATTCAAACCCCGTAAAAGCTAGTGTACGCCTGAGATAATCTTCCATATGAGGGCGTTCTAGACTCGCTCAACAAAGCCAACAAAGCCGCAATAGCTATGAAGCAATAGGGTGCAGTCCTACTAAGAGGGCTGATAGTAGCAGAAATGGGAGGAGGAACATCTACATTCCCTTAGTTGACATCGCAGCCTGATGATGATTTAGGCAATGATAGCGTCTGTAGTTCCGGCAACCCCGTCAATCTTGTCTTCAGCAGGGGTTTTGTCGGTAGCCTCTTCGCTGGTCTTCGCCTGAACTTGAGGCGCAGATACCTCCCTGCTGTCTTCTTTGTCTGCTTCTGCCATAACGACGTCGCCTTCCGCATCGGTTGTCTTCGAAATACTCTCTGAGGCGGCATCATCCTTTTTCACTGCTGTCTCCTCGTTGCTCTTTTCCGCAGTCTTCTCTGCAGATTCGGACTTCTCGCGTTCTTCATTCTTGACACCGTTCGCACCAGCCGGCTCTGTATCGGATGCTAATACGCTATTCCATTTGGTAAGGAGTTCAGTCGAACGCTTCTTGAAAGCGAATTCTTCCTCCATTGGAATAGATTCAAGCTTGATAATAGCCCGAAGAACCTTGTGGACCTTGGTCTTCTTGATAACTTCAGCCTCAAGATCTGCATGAGCTTCAAGCTGCTTCAGATACTCGGACATGCTTGTCATATCTTCATCTTTAGGTGCCTGGTCGCGGGACAAAAAGCCCTTTTGGAGGCGGTGTCGGAGGTAGAGAACTTGCTTCTCGCGCTTCTGTAACCACTCTTCTTCAGTCATGGCTGGCTCCTCGGGTGCTGCAGGCTCAGCCTCCTCGCTGGCTTTCTTCTTTGACTTGGGCTCCTTCTTCGTCTTCGCAGCAGATGCCTCTTTTGGTGTTTTTGTCGTCAGCTTGAGCTTGGTCTTGAGAGTCTTTGCGAACTGTCGCCAAGTCAGTAGTTGCAAATCGATTCATGGATGTGATGCATACCTTTCCGCTCTCGCCATCACTCTCGCCGTCATTCTTGCGCTTCTTTGCAGCCTTGGTCTTCTTAGCTGAAGCAGCAGCATCACCAGTCTCTTCCGCATCAGCGGTTTCTGATGTTGCGGCTGCTGTACTCTTGCGCCTAGAGGCCTTCTCGGCCTTCTCCTTCTTCTGTTGCTCTTTCTGCTCCTTCTGTTCAAGGTCTTCTTGCATCGCAGACTCATGGGCAGAGAGCATCTCTTTGAAATATGCCAAGTCATGGCCCTCAGCAGCAATTTGATATGCTTCCCAAAGGGCTTTGTTCCTCTTCCCCTGGTTGCCAGTCTCTACGTCCTTCTTCACCTCGTCGAGATCGAACGGCAACAGATCAGTGTTGACTTGCCATGCACTGCCAACTTTGGTCAACAACCTATCGTACAGAAACGTAGATCGTTATTTACTCACAACTCGTTTGTACCCAAAAACATGATAGGGTACCGTCTATCTTTGGCGTTTTTGCCACCCTCAAGAAAGTCTTCTCGGTATGTGCCGTCGATACGCCTAGCACTGACAGGACGCTTGCTGAGAAGTGACTCGGGGAGCATTTCCTCGTCACATACAATGACCGGCCATGGTTGGTATCCACGCATAGCAACCATGTGCATGTCTCCCGGCGACACATTCAGGCGAAGCTCAGGAGCCTTCTTTGCCTTCTTAGCCGGTGTTTTCTTCTTGTGTTCTGGAATGCCAGCGCCTGACTTGCGAGCCTTTTTGGGGGCCGGGGTACCATTGGTCGCTGGCGCGTCGGAGGCAGGTGTGGCATCTACAAGAATATGTCAGTACATGAGCGTAAAGAGCAAGACCAGTCTCTATCGCCTCTAGTTAGCTGGGCTGTCTACCACTCACCTGCATCATCGCTTGCAGCGACAGGCGCTGCCTGCGCGTCAGTGGTGACATCATCCTTGCTAGCAACATCTTCTTGAGTGTCTTTGTTTTCAGGCACTAATAGACAATCATGTTAACATCCTCTTCGCCGATTTGCAAAGAACGGTCTCTTACCTTCAGCAACGCCAGAGGTAGCTACAACGCCGTCATCAGCCGGGTTTGCCTCTGCGACGGCAGGCTGAGCAACAGCATCCGTGGAGCGCGTCGCCTCCCCTGTGATGTTTGTGGCGTCCACAGGAACGGGTGATTTCGCCTCCTCCGCCATTGTGCGAGTCACGCTCACGTTTGTGTGATGTCGAGTCGACGCGTAAGTGATGCGCAAGGTCGCGATTTAAGACGTTGATGGGATGAGTGCGACAGCAAGACCGCGTGGTTGATGGTTGACAGCGCGGATTGATGATGCGCGGTGGGTGAGGTGGCTGGGTTGTTTTATGGTGATGTGGGGAGGGCGAGAGAGAAGAGATCGGAGACGCAACTCTTCAACTTTCCAGCGACGCCAGGCGCAGCACGTGACGTTGGTCGGTCTGCCCGCAACGGGCGTGTTACCGGTCGAGAAAAATTTCGAGGTGATTCACTGCCACCTTGAGATGTACCGACCACCTTCTAACAATGTTGCAGCAAGCGTGTGGAGTGTTTGCTGTGTTGTGGGTGTTGGCTACTGCTGCTATCGCCGCCTTCCAAGGTTTGGCGGGATGCGATGACTTAGGTCCGTGCTGGAGTACGAAGCTGCCACGCTTTTTCAGCCAGCCAACCCACAGTCACGAACTCAACGCAAGGGGCTTGCAGATGGTCTCTATGCGAAGAGTCTCCTCTACCGACACAGCTCTTTCGGCGGTTCCCTTTTACTCTTGCTGAGGCGCAATGGACGGTCGATTGGCTTCACCTGGCATGCACCTGCAACTTGTCGTAAGAAGTCCCCCGGTGAACGCGCACGTTGTTGGAAGAATTAATACTCTTCTAGATTATTGTCCCTAGCTCTTTCTCATATTGCACAATCTGTACGCTTGTCGTCAGTGGATCATGATATTCTGTCTGATGTTGGTCATCATGGGACAGTCAGAATGGTTGCAACACATAGGAACGCTGAGCTGCGGGGTCTTGGACTTGCTCTTGGTAGGCTTGTCAGGGATGATTTGCATTTCAACTACACTTCAGCCTTCGTCAGCTTGAACACACGTCTATCCTGGGGAACGAGCAATCACTCACTGTATTCGTATCTCGCTCCTGTGGTGATTTCTCTATGTCTGTTTTCTATACGGACATGTTTTCGCCTACTTACCTCTGTCGAGGCCCATACCTCAAGTACGCAGTCTTTTACCATACACTGAAGAGACTGATGGAACACAGGGTCGCGAGAGGAAATACCTAGAACCTTGCGCAAATCTGTACCAAGGCCGACTGCAGCTGGTACATCGGCCGCAGGAATAAGACAGAATGGCGCAACTCCAGTTTTCAGCGATCCATCAATATTTGATTCTCAGCTCTCCGTGACTTATAGGTGCCCATAAAGCCTGCCGTTTTTCAAGTAATGCCTACATGATCCGTATGCTGAGTGGCTCACTTCCGCATATCTTACGATAAGACAAAAACTCGTGTCAGGAAGTGTGGTGTTGTATGCTCTCGTTACCCCATTACCATCTTCAGACTTGCCTGACTCCATCTCTTCCAAGGATCTTGTTTCCGTCATGCTGAAAGTGACGATATTAAAGGATCGGCTAACGGCGTCACAAACAGGGAGGATTACCAGCCGCTACTCCCTTGATGGGTTCTAGAGAGTACGACCCGAGTGTTATAAGCTTTTTGGAGCCAATTCGTCTTATAGAGGAGCATATGTCAAGGTGGGTTATTGCGGATATGCTGGAATATGTAATTAGTATCCGATAGAGATGTTTCACTTAGTTAGGGTATTCGAGTTTAGTCGTAACCCGATAGTTGTGTAGACCTCGTGATCCGAACAGATTAGCTGTATGAGCTGCACTGCGAACAGAACACCCATCTTCAGATCGAAACTTGAGTCAGGATTGTCTCTTTACCTCTGCATAGACAGATCTGGGCTGAACAACTGCCCCAGATTATCACGATCCCGGGGGCTGGGCATTTCCGTTCCCGTGTTAGATATCGATAAGCCAGTAGTCATCTTTCTGGTGCAGCACACGACCGAGGCACTTGGGCTTGCCTTGGGCTTCCGCTTGCAATCAGTCGATCCGCGACGATCTGTCGTCATGCTAGCTATTTAAACAGCCGGACTTCCTGTCGAGTGCACTGGCATGTTGAAATGGGCGACTGCAAGCTACTCGTATAGATGCGAAACACATCTTGGCTAACAGCTACCATAGCCAAGTTATGGCGCGGTAAGATGAGTGTTGTTGCGCTGCCCGGCCGTTGTATGGCTCATAGAGTATGTCCAGAGCTGCTGCTGCTGCTGCTGCTGCTTCCTATCCCGGCGGGCTAGCAACGACTTCGAGAGCCACTGTAAATATTTGTACACCCTAGAAGCTCAGAATTTCCAGCTGCACGCACTTGCAGTGCATGTATCTAGACACGCATTTCACACAATTGCCGTCCGTCGGGGCGATTTATAGGAGCGATCGAGCGAGGGGTAGCGGTGCGTCGGGGGAGCCATCGTGCTGTCCTGGTATCGGGATCAATCTGACGCCAGCACAGGGGCTAGCCACTTGGGTACTGTGCAACAAGGACACAAGATGTTCCTTCGCTGGCAGGGTTGAGGGCGTTGATGGTGTTAGAAGTGGGCGGCTCTCACGAGCGAGTGACCTGCAGTTATCGCTAGTGCTCATCACGTGTGGCATCAACTGCAAAACCAAACACTGGCACAAGCAGGGCTACGTGGAATAAATGTACAGCATAGACATGGCTGTGCGCAATTCCAAGGCACATTCACAGGAAGCAGAATCAAGTGCAATATCGAAAGCGCAGTCCAGTCCAAGGCCGAGGCATGCATTCCTGTAATCTCGAGGGTTGCAACCGCAGGCTTGTGCTGGGTCTTCACAGCCACCTGTGACTTTTGTCACACGCTCCAAATATTGCAAAAGCCTTACCCGCTAAAGCCCGCTTCTGCATGCTTAGCGTGATGTAATTGCAGGCCCGAGCATCTGCGGCTCTCAATCTGGGCACAAAGTTGCGCAATAAGCATCCCCACCATATTTACGTACTACCCAGCGAGCACTATGGCAGCGGATCCAAGCACCGCGAGCGACGTACCAAATGGCGACTATCAGGCACTATGGGCAAACAAATACCGAGGCGTATGTTGGTGCAGCGGCCGTTGCTCTATGCCTGACTGACAGCTGGTAGGCCACAGTAGAAGACCTCGATCCCCCGCCCGCCCTCTCCGTCAAGCCCACCGACCCAATCTCATGGGCACTCATGTCCGGCCTTGAGCGTGATTATACACACCTCACTGTCATTGCCGAAGCGAATCGCGCACTGCTTGGATACATTAGCATCCCGCATCTCCAGCAACTTCTCAAAGAAGGCAAAGTCAAGGACAGCGACCCCGTTCAAGAGGCCATGCACAAGTTCCAGCGACGCGGCAGGAGGTACAAGGTCATCACTACAGAGACACCACTCGAAGAACTTGAGGAATTCTTCAATGGTGGAGTAGACGGCAGCGGAAAGCAGGAGTTTGCGGTGGTGACAGATGCAAGCAGGAAATTTGTACTAGGGGTGGCCACAAGGGCGGACTTGGAGAACTTTGCGAAGAGGAGGGCATAAAGGACCGCCATGGCTTCCTGGGGAATGGGAGAACGAATTACACGAACAGGTCGTGGTAGGTGGTGCATCGGCAGGCGTTTACTTGGGATACCAATGATCATCAGTGTAAAGAGAGGAATGATCTGGCGTGTGCCTCCCAGTAATCCATGGAACTCCCGAAGCCTTTCCGCCTACAGTTGTAAAAATATCAGCCCGTAGGTCAAATTGGGACATGCTTAGTTGATCTGCATTGCGCTAGCATGCGGTCCTGGTGGGACATGGACATTTGCCGCTCGATGGTTCCAGGAAATGACCATCAAATCTGGCCGAGTCTTCAGTTGATAACCATAATTTAATGACGAGCCTGCAAATTGGCAACCACCACCAGATCCACTCCCCCCAAGATGTCATGAAGAGACGAAACGCCTTAGATGTGCTGACTCATGTTTGCACCCTAATCTCAACCCCGATCCACCGCTTGTTATGCGCAAACCACACTTTCGGGTTTCCCCGCATACCGTAGCCTTGGAGCACAGCGGTTCTTTATGTAGCTTTGGCCTCAGTTCACCACGGGGTTAGAAAGAAGTCCCTGAATTAACCAACCTCGTCCCTGTTCTTGGAGATAGGGCAGCCGCTGGCATGCTCGCATCTGCCTTTCGCGTCGGCAGTAAACCCCACCTCCAGCACCCACTATCACAAGCCTGGAGAACCACAGCACAGCAATCTGCACTACAACGAACGCGCGTCTTATCAGTGACAATAAGCCTCAAGAAGCAGTCGCGATGGTATTCAGAAGAGGTACCGAAGGCGCAGATAGACACTGGAACGACCACGCCCGTTCCCCCCAACGCGGATCCGCCAAAGTCCAAGCCACCCTTTTACTTTGAGGCCGGGTACGCGCTGTTTGCAAAAAGACCCTCGAGACCATTCCCGCCGCCGTTCCTCTCTATGCCCTCTACGAGTTTCTCGGAGCCGCTCAGCACGTACAACAAGTGTAGAGACCGGCGGCCGACAGTCAACGGGCAGATGATTAGAGGAGTTACAAATGGCGATGATGCCGTGCTAGTCAGCGAGAGTTTCATTGCTGCAAATGACGGCGTAGGAGCATGGGCTACTAGGGAGAGAGGGCATGCAGCGTTAGTCAACCAAAGCACTCCCATCCGTCCATGTGGAAAGCGCTAGATCACTGCTAACACAGGACACACGTAGCCTCTGGTCCCGCCTCATCGCCCATTTCTGGGCTCTCGAAGTAGAAGCTGCAACCTACAACGCCACGACTCCTCCAGAGCCTGTCACCTACCTGCAGAATGCCTACAAGCTTACCCAACAAGCAACCTCGAAACCCAACGCGTGGTATGGCACAACTACCACGTGTGGCGCGCTTCTCAGCGCCGACAACGAAGAACCCAATCACCCAGTCCTCTACGTAACGCAGCTCGGCGACTCCCAGATCCTCGTTATACGCCCGAACACGAGGGAAGTTGTATTCAGGACACAAGAGCAATGGCATTGGTTTGATTGCCCGCGGCAGATAGGGACAAACAGTCCTGACACGCCGAGTGAGAATGCGATGGTGGATCGTGTAGAGATTCAGGAAGACGACGTAGTAATTGCCATGACAGATGGTGTGGTGGATAATCTGTGGGAACACGAAATTGTAGAAAATGTCTGCGACAGTGTAGAGAAATGGAGTGGTGACAAAAACAAGGATACAGAAGAGCAGACATACGCGGATGGCATGCAGTTTGTGGCTCAGCAACTCGTTAATGCAGCGAGGGAGATTGCTCTGGATCCTTTTGCTGAAAGTCCATACATGGAGAAGGCGATCGATGAGGGTCTGTCTATCGAAGGAGGTTAGTACTCTGGGAAACTCCATACCGACTGTGGGTTTTCTCTTGCTTAAACTGATACAGGTAAACTCGACGACATCAGCGTTGTAGCGGCTCAGTGCAAACGGCGAAAGGGTTGAGGCCTCGTTTTATACGGATGACGAAAGTCTTTCTGCAATATCAAAAACACCTATTTCGACCCATCGGGATCCAACCATATGCATACGAGAATACGTATACGATTGGATCGGAGATGGCAACGACCTGAAAAGTCACTACAATGAACCCGGGGTCACACATGAAGCTTTCACAAACAGAGTATTGTACTGTCATACTTGGCCGATCCTTGGGATACTCAGCATCCAGATGGTGCGCTTGGATATTGTCGTTATAAGCACCATCTTCAGCACCAAAAATTAGTATCTGGTCAATGGAATTGAGCGTACGGGGGTCGCAACAGAAGCAGCAATGCTCTGCGATAAAGTTAGAATAATTTGCAAGAGAGGTGATAGCTCAGTCGTTAGCAGCCGCGTTATTGAGAACGAGCAACCAAGTTGGTCACCATCTATCCTAGATTCTCGCATCATCCATATCTGTAGCTCTAGCTATCGTCGGGCCTGGATAGACGCCTATACGGTATAATCAATTATCGTCATCATTCAGGCCGAGCCACCAAAGCTGAACTTGTAGCAAGGACATATGAATTTCAAGTCTCTAAACCCAACATAATCATTGTCTCATTTGAGCGATTCGTTCAACGCAAATTCAAACAATTTCAGTCAAAATCATGCTTGGTACATGCGCGACACATTCAATCACAGTAGCAGGTGGAGACGGCGGAGGAGCTGCGGCGGTGGGCAAGGAACTGCGTGAGCAACCCGGCTTTCAAGCGGATCTTGCACACTATCTTTCGGGCATGCGATTTGTTGGAAGGCCTGTTGTGTTTGAATTCATCTTTCATTTAGTCCCTGTCGTCTCTACTTCTATGGGCCTCTGTATCCCTTACCCAAACAGAGATGTACATCAGGGTACACTTTTATTCGATATGTATATCCAATTCAATTGCTCTTTCGAATTTTAAGTAGTATAGTAAGTGATGCGCAAAGTGTGGCATTGGATGATTGGTTTCGCCGGCAAGAAGGATGAATTGTCGAGGGGCTCGCGACTAAGGTGAGGCTTGAGACCCTGAATTGAGGATTCGTCGAAGCACGGATGTACGTAGTGGCTTGTGCAGCTACACCACCTTCCGCAATCGCCCAATAACATTCCGGCAGCTACAATGCACGCATCCTGTTCCATGCGTAGCGAAGAACGATAAGCAAATCATAGTTAAAGAAAAGAAACAAAAGAGACTGGTTTTTATCCTACCCTCTTCCGACCGGACATACACTTCCTGGCGCAACGTGTGCAACAGCATATCGCGAGGGGGCATTGATGCGGACTCCGACCGAACCATATGCCTGGCCTTTCTCCTTCTCTGGAATCTAGTACGCACGCCAGCCTGTAGTGTCCGGAATCATGGATTCGGCGCTGACGCTCAATGCAGCTGAATACGATCCCATCGACCATCTCAACGCCATCTTCTCCCACCCCGCCACGCTCGCCTCCGTCTCGGCCACGTCCGAGGCCCTCCGCAGCTACCAAGATGATCTCGACGAGGATATCGCAGCCGTTATCGCGTCGCAGTCCAGCTCAGATGCAGACAGCGTGCGACGCATACAGTCGGCAAAGGCTGAGTTGGCCGACCTCTTCAAGAGGATCGAGAGCGTCAGGGAGCGGGCTATGCAGACGGAGCAGACCATCACCGAGATGACTGCGGACATAAAGCGCTTGGATAGCACAAAGAAGAACTTGACCCTCTCCATGACGGCCTTGAAGCGGCTGCAGATGTTGACGACGGCATACGAACAACTGCGTAGTCTGAGCAAGTCGCGGCAGTATAGAGAGTGCGCCCAGCTGCTGCAGGCAGTTCTACAACTCGTGGCCCACTTCAAGAGCTATCGTTCAATAGACCAGATTGCCACCCTGAGTCGCAATGTGGCGGATGTGCAGGGCGAGTTGCTGGAGCAGGTCTGCGAAGACTTTGAAGTGACATTCGCCAAGGGGGAAACGGCCCAGCGAAAGGCAATGCTAGCAGAAGCTTGCCTCGTCATCGATGCGCTCGGTGAGCATGCGCGGACACGGCTTATCAATTGGTATTGCAATACGCAGCTTCGCGAGTACCGGCAGGTCTTTCGTGGCAATGACGAAGCTGGTTCCTTGGACAATATCGGACGGCGATACAGTTGGTTCAATCGAATGATGAAGACTTATGATGTCGAGCATGCCTCCATCTTCCCGGCCTATTGGCGTGTAAACGAGATGCTGGCCAACTCGTTTTGTGAAGGGACCCGTGAAGATTTCAAGTCCATACTGCAAAAATCAGTGCGAAGAGGCGACGGTCAAAGTCTGGATGTCACACTCCTTCTTTCGTGTCTCCAGGAAACGCTTGATTTCGAACAAAGCTTGGAACGGCGGTTCTCCAACGAGGTTTGTCTGATGGGTACAAAGTCGAGTCATGTATACTGATATCGCACAGTCTCGCTCTTCCGTGGACACCATGGCTTCCAAGGAAGAACGACCGCATGGCTTCAGCCAAGCCATCTCTGAGGCTTTTGAACCTTACATGAGCCTCTGGGTAGAGTCTCAAGACAAGTATGTGCTGTATGAATGGTTGAAAAGTATCTTTCTAACAATTCAGACAACTCGCAGCCTTGATACCCAAGTATCGGCAACAGCCTTTGCGAAATTCCGAAGAGGAGTTCTCGCCTCAAGCAGTCATACCGTCATCGACCGAGTTGTTCCATTTCTACCGCGTGACTCTGGCACAGTGTGCTAAACTCTCGACTGGAACAAGGCTGCAGGAGCTGTCTGCCACTTTTGCCAAATACCTAGACCAGTACGGGCAACAGGTACTCTACTATTTCCTCAGTGAGAAGTCCGGTGCTCAGGGACCGTCTATTGAAGATGCTGTTCTCATCCTCAACACTGCAGACTACTGCTACGCCACTTGCAACCAGCTAGAAGAGAAGATAAAAGGCCGGATAGATGAAGAGTTTCGAGAAAAAGTTGATCTACAGAGCCAGGCTGATGCTTTCATGGGCATTGCCAGTGCGACGGTACGCATGCTGGTCCGAAAGGTTGAGATTGCATGTGAGCCCAGTTGGCGTGAGATGCGCAATACGCCCTGGGCAAAACTTGAGAGCGTTGGTGACCAAAGCACCTATGTTGCCGAGCTGCTGCGTAATGTCAAGGAGAGGTCTGGCGAGATTCTCAAATACCTCCACAAGCAACAGTATGCGCGAGCGTTCAGTGACAATCTGGTCGACCTGATGGCATCTGCGTACATCGCCAACATTGTACAATGCAAGCCAATTTCTGAAGTTGGGGCAGAGCAGATGCTGCTGGATTCATACGTCTTGAAGCAAGGGCTCACGGAGATACCCACGCTCAACGATGAGCCAGGTACAGCGCCACCAGCAAGGTATGTTCTTCAACAGTTTTATTAATTGGTGCTACGACAGACCACTAACACATGAACCCAGTTTTATCAAAAGAATCAACCAATCAACATCAAAGATTGACCCTCTACTCAAGACGCTGCAAGTCCGCCCCTCACCACCTGAAGCTCTCGTACAAGCGTACCTCATTCACATTGCCGACAAATCCGACACCAACTTCCGTAAGGTGCTGGAACTCAAGGGTATCCGCAAAGCCGAGCAAACCCAACTCTTGGACCTCTTTGCTGCTTTCCGCGCGTCGCCTAACCACGCAAACCTGGTACAGAACTCGCCCTTCCTTACCCCCTTGCTGATTCAGAACAACACGGGTGTGGGCAGTGGATCGGGAAGTGTTATGGGTACGCCGAGTCTCAGTGGAGGTCGATTCGATGCAGCGGGGCTTGGGAATATGCTTGTCAATGCTGCGAGAGACGGCGTGGATCGGTTTGGAAGCCCCGCGCCTGGACAGCAGCAGCAAAGTGGCAGTGGCGGCACAGATGGCGGGGCGAACTTGGAGAGCAACTTGAAGAATATTGGCAAGTTTTTCAGGAGGGATGTTGGATTCAGGGGGTTTGGACGGAGTGAAGATACACGATAGATGTGGCTGTTGAAGACGCAGTATGGAAAGGTAATGATGGTGAAATGCACATGTTGCTTTGAATACCTAAGGTATCATCAGTCTGCTGTTGCTTGTCTTCCCTAGTTTGCAAACAAGGGGACATAAGTCCTGTTCAGAAAGTCGGTATAAAGTTCAACTGCAGCCCCGGCGATTCGTCATCATCCTGATTGTCTTCTCCTTCTTGATCCCTCGCGAAGACGCCTCGACTCGCAATGGTGCCTTCGCCATCACTAATCACCACCGCCTCCCTCCTCCTCCGGCGCACATCTCGCTCAGAGGCGCCTACCCCGCCAACCTGCGCCCGACTCTCCATCAAACGCCACCCACCCCTCGGTATGCGCGGTGCAAGCGACGAGTCCCTCCATACCCCCATATCACACAGCAAGTTGAATGCCAACTGTGCGCGATGCACCACCTCCTGATCTTTACTATACAAATCCTTGATCAACAGATCTTTTGCCGTCTTAGACGCATAGAAGCGTGTGCAGAGGATCTTGGTGGCCGAAGCACGAATATCGTTGTTGTGGCTTGTGGCGAGGGTCAACAGCGAAGACGTCTTGATTGCGTCTTCTTGATGTGTGGGCGAGCGCGGGCTAGAGGGGATGGCGCGACGTTGCGAGGGCACGTTTTGGGGGTTGTGGATCGCGGTTAGGGTGCGCATGTTTTGCAGGCCGTGAGAGACTTGTTGGACGGCTATGAAGGTGAAGACGCCTGGGGGATTGGATTAGTTTGGGGGTGTGCGTGGTGGAGGGACGAGAAGGGTGTACCTAGGCCGAGCCAGAGCCAGTGGTCGGGGATGTCGGGTGCCATTACTATGGAGGTTTTTTCATGATTTGGGGTGTGTACGATGGAGGGTTGGAGGCATAACGGTGCAGTGTTCCGGTGCAGGTTCACGCGTGCGAGCGATGATGTCGGGAGTGGTGCGGCGGGCAGACGTGGGGGAGACAAGTCGCGCTAAGGCGAGGACCCATGTCGAACTTTTGGCCCGCTGAAATAATTTCATGCTACCGCCCATCTCGTGTCGCCTGCGACCTCTGCCTCTTTTGCAGCGCCCGCGGCCACCACCTGAATAGGGCTTTGCCAGTCTTGAGATCCTAACATCGGAAAATGCCGCCTTCGCAATTGAAGCGACTAAAAAGCTCGCTGCGCGAACAGGGCATCACTGGTCCGCAAAAGTCGAAGAAACAGAAGAAGTCGCAGTCCAAAAACGCCGAACACCACCAGCAAAGAGCCTCTGCGCTCGCATCGATCCGCGAATCTTTCAATCCCTTCGAGTTCAAGCACCTTGCGCGCCCACACAAGCACGAGTATGTCTCTGCGCAAGCAGAAAATGCGCCCAAGAAGATTCTCGGCAGGCCTGGCGTCACAAAGAGCCAAGGCGAGGAGGCCCGCAGGAAGTCGTTGTTGCCAGAGATGCATCGCAAAAACAAGGTTGGAGGCATTCTCGACAGGCGGATAGGAGAAGATGACCCTACAATGAGCCTGGATGACAAGATGATGGCGCGCTTTGAGCGGGAGCAGCAGCGCAAGAGGAGCGGCAATGTGTTTGATCTCGAAGACGACGCTGACGAAGTCGAGCTTACGCACGGCGGACAGTCGCTGCGTTTTGATGACGAGATTGGCGAGGAAGACTACGACGCAGCTAGTATTGCTGGGTCGAGCGACGACGAGGATGGTTTCCTGAAGAAGAAGAGGCGAAGAGACGATGTGGATGGCGAGGTTGACGGCGATGCCCCCACAGAGGAGCAGCCGGAGAGGAAAAAGAGCAAGCAGGAGGTAATGAAGGAGGTCATAGCCAAGTCGAAGCAGCACAAGTACGAGCGTCAGGCGCAAAAAGAGGACGATGACGAACTGAGAGATGAGCTCGACAAGGATCTCAACGATGTTCTGACTGCGTTGCGAGGACATATCAACAAGAAGCCGGAACCTGAAGCACCCAAAGGCTCGCAGCTCAACGACTTTGGAATAAATGCCGATCGCGCGGCACTGCTTGCTGGAACTACACAACAGGACAAGGATAGGGAGTATGATACCAGAGTGCGCCAATTGCTGCAGGACCAGCGTGCAAAGCCGACGGAGCGGACAAAGACAGAGGAGGAAAAGGCCAAGGAGGAGGCTGACCGACTGAAGGAGCTCGAGCAAAAGCGTATGAAGAGGATGCGCGGAGAAGCGATCAGCGACGACGAGGAACCACGCAAGAACGACGCTGATGAGCTCGAGGAAGACGACGATGAGGACGAGGATAGCCTTCTGGACGACGCTGCCGAATTTGGATTGAAAGTTACGGGTCAGCTTCGACCAGAGGGTGTGGAAGACGAGGATGACTTCATCATGGACGACGATCTCGTCGCTACCGATTCTGAAGCTGACATTTCAGACGAAGAATCTGACGCTGGCTCCGTTGTCGACGACACCATGGCCATGGATGATGAAGATGCTGATTTCCTCAAGGATGTCATGCCAGAGCGCAAGGAGCAACCAAAGGCTGTCAACGGTGTGCTTACTCTGAGTGCTGAGCCTTCATCGAAGCTAGCATTCACATATGCGTGCCCTCGGTCACACGAGGAGTTGTTGAAGGTCTTCAAGGGAGTTGCCCACAATGACACTTCGACTGTGATTCAGAGGATACGCGCACTTTATCACGCCGGTCTTCATGCAGACAACAAGAACAAGCTTGCTGATTTCGCTTGCGCACTCATTGATCATGTATCATACCTTGCCAACGAGACACCAGCCGTGCCCTTGGCAGTCATTGAGTCTATCATTCGACACGTTCATTCCATGTCGCGCTCATACCCTGTTCAAATTGCGACCAAGTTCCGACAACACTTGAAGCAACTGCAGATCTCGAATGATCCTACGCCTGGCGATCTCGCTGTCCTGTCAGCGGTAGGATCCATCTTCCCCACCTCTGATCACTTCCATCAAGTTGTCACGCCAGCCGTCACCCTGATGGCGCGCTGGATGGGTCTTACTTCGCCAGCCTCGACCAAAGACGTTGCTACTGGTGCTTTTATCGGCGCACAATGTCTCCACTACCAAAGACTGTCAAAGCGATACATTCCCGAGTTCGTCCGCTACACTGGTCTCTGTCTGGCCTCAGAGAACGCTACACCAGCACTTCTCACGGCACACGGCAAGAACATCATCACAGCCGCCGAACTCTGGAGCACCTCATCCTCGTTCATCGAAATCTTTACCCCCCTTCTTCCCCCCCTCAAGACGGCCAAGCAAACCTCTACCCTGCAAAACCTGCAAGCCCGTATCTCCCTTGCACGCTCCAAACGGCGTCCACTCCTCCTTCACAACCACCGACCCCTCCCCATCAAATCCAACATACCCAAATTCGAAGAATCATTCGATCCCAACCGCCACTACGATCCCGACAAGGAGCGCTCAGACGCCAAGAAACTGCAGAAGGAGTACAAGCGCGAGAGGAAAGGTGCGATGCGTGAGTTGCGCAAGGATGCCAACTTCATTGCGCGTGAGAGTCTCAAGGAGAAGAAGGAGAAGGATCGTGCGTATGAGACTAAATATAGGAGGCTTGTGGCGGAGATCCAGGGTGAGGAGGGGAGAGAGAAGAATGCGTATGAGAGGGAGAAGAAGGCGAGGAAGAGGGGGTAAGTTTGAATTAGGCTCATATAGGGAAAAACCTATGGTTGGCGCATGAAACCGTGTTCCAGGCATGGGGCATTTGTCCATATTTATTTTTATTACCAAATGTAAGGCTATGGTCCTTTTTCTGTTATTGTGTTCCGGTGTGTAGATGGTATCACGTGATGCTTTGTTCACGGGCAGTAGTGGTTCAAGGCAGTCTCACCAAGTTCGTCTATATCAAGCAAAGTTCTAGGGAGCATAGCATACGAGTTATGCTGCCCCGCCAAAAGTATATGCGTAACATAAAGGAATCAGCGGTTCCGGCGATTTGCTCCCGAGGTTTCTGTGGGGAAGGTGGAAAGAAATCTATCTTTCAGGCATCTTGAGCTAGGCAGCGGAAAGGCCCCATAATTAGAGCAGAAATTGCCCGCTTGCAGATCTGTTTGCCCCGATGACGCGGAGATCAGGGCTATGGACTTGTTTAAGATTGTCATGCCCTGGTTTTCTCGTGGTTGCTTGACAAGAAGAGATAAAGTGGGTACGAAGAGAACATGTACTATACCTGCATAAACTTGGGCATGTCTTCGGTCGTTGTTTTGAAACTCCGAACCAAAGGAAGAGGCCATGTGATTCTCAGCCGAGGCGTGCATACTTAACACACCAACAGTGGAATGCACATGAAGGATCAAAATGCCATTGTGTTGGTACGGATTTGTCTGTACATTAGCAGCATGCACCCCGTGTGTCTCTCTGCCCTGAAAAAAGGCACCCCACATTCAACTGAGTCCGTGCGCCCAAGTCACAAGCAAAGTCCCCCCACAGGCGGCTGCCATTCATCCCAATCCTCCGAAAAAAACCTTAATTGAACCCACAAACTTACGCAGTCTTTTTATACCCTAGCCATGGCCCCAGTCTACCATAATAGTGCATATTGTTCCTGACAGCTTTGCCCTGGAATGGATGCAAGTTCCCGTTGGGACTTCAAGCGCCGTCTCAACGATGCCGTGGTACCGACTTTGCACACGATGTGACGTCAGCTGGAATATCGCAACAACACGAACGCCATGCTGGGCAAAGAGCACGCTCGAAGTGGGGATCACCGTCCTGCCTATTCTGGGCTACCTTTGCGTCATTATCGAATCCAGTCTGTTCCATAGAGTCCAGCAGCCCTGCGCAATCCGCCGTGGAACAAACCTCATACTACATCCGCGGAAAAGCAGACGGCTTGAAGACACGGTAGTCGATGCTTTGAGAATCTTAGTTTTCCATAATATGCAGGCTCTAGTACACGGTGTACTATGCGAATAAGCTGCTTTGGTAACGCTCCCACGCTGAAGTCGACATCTCTGCTCCCGAGCACGCAATACGGGCCCTATCCGCTTTTATTGGGTACTAGTGCAAGCCAGGTCCAACTATCACATCCTTCACCCACCATCCCTGCTGTCTCGCCCACACACCCTTGCGGACCTGACCCATATCGAAGCCGGAAATGCGGCGAAAGGCGTCACTGTTGCTTACGACCTGTGGCCATATGGTCGGCATGTTCAGCCATGCTATCACTTGTCTCAAACTTTTACCCACGCGGGCTTTGCGTAAAAACATTACTCTCCTAGCCTCATCTATTTCCGGTCCTCAGAGTGCCCTCATTGCCCTTGCATCCCGTAGACTGAATATTTGCCGGTCGCGTAATTCGACAAGCTCCACCACTATTTACATATTTGGATAGCTTGTTTGGTGGTCAAAGCGATCACGCAATCAGCACAGGAACTAAAGTAATATCGAAACGCTGTCACGGTCTCGATCCTACTCACACCCACCATCTCCGGACGCCATCTACGTTGACAAGCGGCCCTTGAGAAGCTTCGCTTCCGCTGCGGCATTTAGGATTAACACCAAATCATTATCATTCCATACTTCCCACCTCCCCCCGCTGTCTTAAGTCAAGCTTCCGACTAGCCTTCGACACTTTCTTGTCGCACCTATTTGGATTTCTTCTGGTCTTAACCAAGTCCCTGGTACTGGATCTCAAGCACTTGGCATTCCAAGGCTGACCCAGTACACCAATCTACGTTCGAGTTGGAGTAACGTCCAATCAACGATGGCTTCGACAGCCAACAAAGTTGGCCAAGGCCTGGCAAAGGTCTTGGGTATCGATCTCCATTACCGGAACGAGACCGGCTCGGACCGTGTCACACGAGGCGAGAGTGTGTTTACCGTCGACTCTGCCGACATCTATGTTGAGGAAGAGCCAACAGCGCGGGAATGGCTTCAGGAGGTCGTTCCCAGCGCTCGAGAATTCGGCGAATATATGTACAGCTTATTCCCTTTTATCCATTGGATAACTCGCTACAATATGCAATGGTTAATTGGAGATCTTGTTGCTGGTATGATAATATGCAGGATCCTTACCGTCACAATGCTTACATGTTCTAGGTATCACCGTTGGTGCGGTTGTCGTGCCTCAAGGCATGGCCTACGCAAAGCTCGCTGAGCTCCCTGTCGAGTTCGGACTGTATTCCTCCTTCATGGGCGTACTCATCTACTGGTTCTTCGCTACCTCCAAGGACATTACCATCGGGCCTGTTGCTGTCCTTTCTACAGTGACGGGTGGTGTTGTGCTATCGGCAGAACAGAAACTGGCTGGCCAAGACATCTCACGAGATATGATCGCATCTGCATTGGCCATTATTGCCGGATCAATTGTCCTCTTTCTCGGCCTCATGAGGTTAGGCTGGATTGTCGACCTCATTTCTCTGCCTGCAATCTCAGCTTTCATGACTGGTTCTGCCATCAGCATTGCTGCTGGACAATTCCCAACCATGATGGGAATCAAAGGTTTCTCTACGAGGGAGGCCACATACAAAGTCATCATCAACTCTCTGAAGCATCTTGGACGCACTGATCTCAACGCAGCTTTCGGTCTTACATGTCTCTTCCTCTTGTATGCTATCCGATTCGCCTGTGGCCAGCTTGCAAAACGTTTCCCAGCAAAGGCTAGACTGTTCTTCTTTCTGAACACGCTCCGCACTGTGTTTGTCATTCTGCTGTATATTCTGCTCAGCTATCTTGCAAACCGGTCGCATAGGGCTAACGGAACCAAGCCCATTATTTCCACATTAGGAACGGTTCCTCGAGGTTTCCAACACGCTCGCGTACCAAAGGTTACGATTCCGATCATCAAGTCTTTTGCCACGGAACTACCATCTACAGTTATTGTGCTTCTCATCGAGCACATCTCCATCGCCAAGTCTTTTGGCAGAGTGAACAACTACGTTATTAATCCTTCGCAAGAGTTGGTAGCTATAGGTGTATCCAACTGCCTAGGTCCCTTTCTTGGAGCTTATCCTGCAACCGGCTCGTTCTCCCGTACCGCTATCAAGTCTAAGGCTGGAGTCCGCACTCCTTTCGCAGGTGTCATTACCGCTCTGGTAGTGTTACTTGCCATTTACGCCCTCCCGGCCATGTTCTGGTACATCCCGAACGCATCACTAGCAGCAGTGATCATTCATGCTGTGCTCGACTTGATCACGCCACCGAACACGGTGTATCAGTTCTGGAGAATCTCTCCACTTGAAGTTTTAATCTTCTTCATTGGCGTGGTGGTTACCGTTTTCTCCAGTATTGAAAATGGCATCTATGTCACTGTGTCTGTATCTGCTGGCATGTTCGCTTTCCGTCTATTCAAAGCCAGAGGACGCTTCATGGGACGAGCCAAGATTCACTCCGTCGTTGGTGACCACATTCTTGACCCGACGGATGACGACAAGAGATCACCCAATTCAAGACAGAAGCCAATCGAAGGCGAGCATTCCATCCGCGAAGTCTTCCTTCCTATCGACCACAGGGATGGATCCAACCCTACAATTGAACTGGAGGACCCGTACCCTGGCATCTTCATCTACCGTTTTAGCGAAGGCTTCAACTACCCCAATGCAAACCACTACCTCGATCAACTCACTGACACCATATTCGCCAAGACCCGCCGCACCAACCAGGCAACCTACGGCAGAATAGGCGACCGCCCATGGAATGACCCTGGCCCACGACGCGGCAAGGACACTGCCGTGGAAGACAACCGGCCAACCCTCAAAGCCATCATCCTCGACTTCTCCTCGGTCAACAACGTCGACCTCACCGCAATCCAAAACCTAATCGACGTCCGCAACCAGCTCGACAAGTACGCCGCCCCCGATACCGTCGACTGGCACTTCTGCAACATCAACAACCGCTGGACCAAGCGCTCTCTCGCTGCCGCAGGCTTCGGCTACTACACCCCTGACCTCCCCGAAAACGGCATCGCCCACCGCTGGAAACCCATCTTCAGCGTCGCCGAAATCGGCGGCTCGGACTCTGCTGCCGCACAGGCTGAAGCCCGTCAGAACCTACTCGCTCAACGCACATTATCCCAGATCCGCACCCAGGATGTTGAAGCCGCGCATGGTGGCGGTAGTGGCGGCGCCAGAGCAGCAGATATCTCTGACTCTGCTACCTCAGAAACTGGTAGCTTTAACAAGCAGCTTGAGGATAGCAAGGCGTATGAGGTTGGTCAGGGGACAACGCATAGAGGACGTATAGCGGTGGTGCAGGGACTGAATAGGCCGCTGTTTCATGTGGATGTTACGGCTGCGCTTAATAGCGCGTTAGCTAATGTGCAGAGGAAGAGTCATTAAAGCGTGTTCTTTTTTCGGTTGTCAGTGTAACGAATAGTTTTTCTAATTCTTCGACAAAATGTTTGTTTCGTAGAGCATATGAGATGAATGAATTGCATGGTTGCTCGGCTTAGGAGCCTAGAGCGAGATTTCTCGTATGTCTTGGGATTTAGTGTATCTTTTTGCTGTGAGTGAAGGTAGAGCATGTATGAGATGCTTTTTTTAAGTCGCTGAGCGCATCACGATAAATTAGTGCTATATTGAGAAGACAAAATGCTCCATCATACATGATTTCTCATTTCCCCGCCATCTACACAGGTATTCTGCCTTCCTTATCCCTGCATTGTCCCTGAATTCCCTTCATCCCAAGATGATATTTCTGCACGACAATTCCAATACCCTGCCTCCCGCTCGCTTCACAAATTTTTATTCAGATGACAGCAAAAAATGGAAAAAAGAGGAAACGCCATGCTATGCTCTAAGCTCTGCTTAGTGTATGCCGTTCAGACCTCAGGTACAAGAAGACAGTGTGTTGGGAAAAAAAAGAGCGCCCTGCGCTTTCGTAGTGGGTGTGTGGAGGATAGACAAAGCGATATCCAATAGCAGAGATGTCGCTGGTGTCTTTTGTAGATGGAGTGGAGGAGGTGGGTGATATTGTACGCATGTGCTGAGTAGGAAGTCGAAGCTCCATAGCGTATTGTATAACATGGTGAGGAAGGCCATGTGTGCTGAAAGACTGCCGGTACACGTGTTGACGAGAAGAAGCCTGGATTTTCGAGCTCGCGTGGTTTGGCGTTGATATGGCGAAAACCTGGTGAAGCCCTCCTGTTTTTTGGGTCTTCATCATCATATGCAGGCAGTCGTTCTTGCAATGTTTACGACACGCCCTATTTGACGAGCCCTATCCCACTCAAAAAACCTCAAGTGGAGCACATGATCATGTCCCGAGGCCCACAGGAGAAGCACATGTCGATGGCGTTATGCTTTTGGGTAGACGATCCTTAGTTGTAAGCCTCCGGTGGTAGAGAATCGCGACTTTGAGCGAACAAAGCACCTGCTTGCTCGAGGTTCCATTGGCCCGCTTCCAGGCACTGAATTGCGTAGTCGCGTGTCAGATTAGTTTCGCGCTGAACGTAGAGAATCATTTCTTCTTTTCTCTGCTGCTCTGGATCCATTATTGCAGCTGCGGGTACTGGGGTGTTGGATTGGGGTATTTGCTGTGGTTGTGCGTTGGCCTCTGGCGCTGCGCCGGGGCGTACTTGTTTGCCGTTCAGGATCTTGAGTTTAGGGAACCACGAGATGATCTCGTCTTCCCAGTTTGACGAGGGAAATGAATCGATGATGAGGTGTTCGACGTTTCTGAAACGGCCTTTCCATGGCTTGAGCGCGTCCAGCGTCGCAAAAGCGTTATTGCTCAAGTCAAGGTTCTGAATGTGGCGAAAGTGATTACAGAGTTGGTAAACAGCGTGCGTATTTTGGAGGTTGTTGCCAGACATTGTAACGCTGTGGATCGCCTGCTCTTTCGCTTCCTGTGTCTCGAGGATGGCGTCGCAAACAATCATAAGGGCAGGGAAAAACTTCTTTTGAGCTCCTTCTGTGGCGAACATGCCGGATTGGAGAATTTCCTGGTCGCTGGCAATGGCAGAGAGATTGAGTAGCTTGTTGGCTGCATCGTAACGGCGCCCGAGAAAACCTTCCATAAGTGGGTAGGATGGGTTTGACTTGATTTTTTCGACATCGATAGGCGGCTCTCGTGAGCGGTTGTCGTATTGAAAGTGGTTTTGGCCTCCTCTAAAACCTCTCCCACGTCCTCTGCCTCGACCTCGTCCACGCGAGGAGTCGCCATCAACCATCATCTGATCGCCGTCGTTGTTCTGTGGTGTAAAAGAGACACTCCAGTTCCCACGCCCACGGCCGCGGCCACGTCCTCGTCCTCGGGGTTGGTCGTTCATGGCTGTTGAAATGATTCCAATGGGTTTGAGCGAGTGTGAGAGAGATGTGGAGGTGTGTAAGCAAGTTGACTGAGGATGGAGCCGTATATAAAGGCTGACTGGCCGTGCGCCGCCAAGCCACGATGTCATCCAACGACACTTCTCATTGGTCAACGCCAATGACTCTTCTGACGTCGAACAACACTTTGTTACCACTACATCTTCACTTCTTCTCATTCTTCACTGCAAATATGTAATATGTGACAATGGATATGCATTCGCCCTCTAATATTTGTAACTCTGGAAGGCTCAATCATCAAAGCTACGATGCGCACTTTATATGGCAGCCTTCTCTCCAAGACAATTGGTAGCAGTCTAGACATGTCTACGCCAACCAGACCAACAATCTAACTGCAAACAATGACACGAAACCACCGACTCTCCGTCTCACTCTCGAAGCAAGGTACCCAACATGAAGACTCACATTCTATAGCTGTTGTCGTTCTGCGTTTGAGTTGTAGGCAGTTCTGCAGTCGCCACTGGGCAACAGCCGCAAACGGCGATGCCATGTAAACGAACGGACATTTTTTTCATCTACCAGACTCAGCAAGCGATGCATATTGATACGTAGAATTCTTCTCTGATTGCCTAACCTAGATAATACAAAAAGTTGTTCGTTCCCTGAACCTGGAAATTTCTATCCTCCTATACCTCTGCCCACACCTAGCCCTCCATAGACTTCATCTCAGCCTACAAATCTAACTCGCTTTAGACCAGCAATGCAAACTCCAAAACTCCACACAAAGATCCCTACATGGACGCAACAAGACATGGCTTCTGCCTTGCGCTTCTCTCATGGGTTTACGATAGGTTATAACTACTGTGAATGAATCTTCTTGATCCTGTTCACACCCTCGTATAGGGCGCGGTCAACAGCAGCAGCGACAGTAAGCGTACCGCCAATCACAGCGCAAAGGCCGACAAGAAAGCCAGAGAAGGTCTTTTCACGGACTTCGCGGTTGATGACTTTCATGGGTGAGATATCCTATTCAGGGGTTAGCAGCCATGTTTCACTTGCATATTGAAGAACAGGGGTTGACTTACGTAAGAGAAGAAGACACCTGGAATACCACCACGAGCGTGAACCCTTTCCTTGTGTCCATCCTTTTCGTCATTGCCACCCTTCAGGTTTCGCTTATGGCTCGTTACAGAGTACTGGTGCGTCTCGATGCTGCCCTTGTGCGTAGCATCGATGGTAGAGCCGAGGAGTTCATCATGCTTGGTGAGGCGAGGAGCAGCGTCCTCCCAGCCAAGGGGCAGATAAGCTGTCGAGACAACCTTAATAAAGTACATAAAGTTGAAAGCCTTTTCGTCAGTGTGCTGCTCGGTGTTGTCGAGAGGGTTGATGTGGTGGTTCGACCAGCTACCAGGGCCAGAACCTCGGTGCTTATCTTGTATGCCCTGAATAACTACATCGCTTAGCTGAGGACCGAATCGAAGCTGGTGGATTTTGTGCGTGAAAGTATGCGCATATTCGTCTTTGAAGTAGTTTTCCAGATCATGCACGTGCATATTGCCGTTGGAGAACGACTTTCCGGGAGCGATATGGAAGTTTCCAACGACCTTGTTGACACGGATGCTACCTTCGAGACGGCATCCTTCCTGTCGCTGCTCGTCGAGATGCTCTGCATAGTGCTCCCGCTCGCATTGTTCGACACCCTCTCCGCGACCGAAGGACCATGATATGGAAGCATAGGCGTCACGCACTTCGTCGCAGGTGTTGCAGCAACCGGGCTTCTTCGCGTTGGCAGGGGGAGGTGCGCCAAAACATTCACCGCAGTAATCAGGAGCGAGGTGGGAGGCTTCATCGGCATGTCTAGAAACGTGGTTAGTATGCCTTGCGCCTCTTTGCATGTAGCCCCACTTCAGAAGTAGAACTCTAAGTACACTTACAGATCTAGGGCCTTGATTTCAATGGTCTTGCTACCTTCTCTCTCCGGGCTCAATCGAACTTTGTTGATACCGTGTGTTACACCCATCTGTAGTTCTCCAGAGACATCCATGACATCTAGCGTAATCAGTTCGCATGGTACCCGCGGGAACGATATGTTCAACGCGATTTCCATGCGCTCGCCTCGTCCCTTATCCACGACTAATTCGGGCCTAACCGTCACTCTCCTATAGTCGGCCCATTCGCCCCACGTTAACCAGAAGATGACCAACAGGCTCACGATTGTGACGATTCCTCCGGAGGTTGTACGAACGCGCGCATCTTCGACCGTTTTGGTAAAGGCGTCTAGCCTCGTGAATCGCGATTTGGCAGGCATGATGGTGGGCTACCACTGCAGGATAGTTTTTACTGTAAATGTTCCTGACAATGGATCCAAGGTCGAGGTTGCGACACCCTCAGAGAGAAAGCAAGACAATAGCCGGGGTGGTGGGGTGAAAGGGTCCTACTCAGCGTCGTCTTAGTATCCAGGGAATAGCCGTGCGTTAAACGGTCGGTTGAGTTGACTCGAGGATGCAAAGGCAATTGACGTTGCCGGGTGATTTGAAAAAAAGAGAAAAAGAACGAAGATCAGCACTGCCTGTGCCTGAGTCGCCAGACCATTGTACAGAAAAGAGAAAAGGGTAAGCAATTCAACGCGTGGATGTTGCGACACTTCGGCTGGCACTAAAGGACAGCTATGCGACTGATCACTAGCTCCGCGCTGTGCAGCCGCGCTAACGTGCATTGGGCAGGCCCGTTCCTAGATTAAGTGGCGGTGCACTGCGCCATCATTTGAGTGAGCATCGAGTCCGTGTGCAGCGATGAGGACATGTGTTCATTGTTTCATTAAATATATTTCTTGCAGAATAGAATTCTATACAGTAATGCCATGCGGAAAGACAGGGAGAGACTAAAGATTATCCACATGTCTCCGGACGAGGTTGTAATCGGCTCAGGATGCAAGTACGCTTCGAAGCATGCTGTTGAAACTATCGTTGAGCTTGTATAGCTCTTCGATATGCGGCTTCTCAGGCTCACCTGCCTTCCTGCGTAACCGGTCCGCGGCTTTGGCTCTACTCTTGCGCTCAGCTTCAATCGGGTCTGCAACGTCTGCATCATCCATGTCTTCCGAATCGGTTGAATCGCTGCCGTTGTCATCAAGTTCCAGATCTTGGAGATCCATCTGCAATATATTAGTACGCAAGCGCAGGGTTCATAGGTTGGTGAGAACAAACCGCGTTGAGGCCAAAGTCGCTAGACTTGAAGCCAGCAATACCGCCAATCAGTGGATCAGGCTCGTCCCCACTCGCCATCTTTTGTCTCGTCTTGTCCGAGTGCCACTTCTTCCTAGCCATTTGCCACTTGATCAAACTATTGATCTCGCCAATTGCCTTTTCCTTGTCGATCAAGTTCGAGTCTATAGCGCCCCGGAAGAGTGCATTCATATCGAGCTTACCACCACTTCCAGGACCATGGCGCAAGAAGTCCAAGATACCCTCCAGCCAGCCCATAAGTTGGTCAAAAAGACCGTTGTCGTGCTTGTGCACTTCGTGAACGAACTTGTAGAAATTATCCTCGTGACGGGCGCACAAATCGATAAACGCTTGAACGGTTTGATTGGGATCTGCTGAGACTTCCTGCCGTTGACATGCTTCAATCGTCTTGATAGTGTCATCAGCGAAAAGAGCAAAGTCAGTAATACTGTTGTAGACATTCGCAGACTTGTAGACGCGAACCAAGGGTTCGTAAAAGATGGTGAACAAGTCCCGGAATAGTTGCAGTGTTGTGGGCTATAGTCCATCAGTCATTATTGTTGTAATCTTAGCTTTAAACAAGCTTACCTCCTCGATGATTTGAAGCATCATAAGCTTATCTCTTTGACGTAGGCAGAGCTTTAAGTATTGCTTGAGGTGAGCGAAGAGCTCTGCGCCTGAGCGCATTTCTTTTTCGACCTGATCGGTCGTGTTAGTTGATGTGCTGGTATTGCTTCGCCGGCTAGCTGTTCGACTAAGCCGTCTTGATCTCACATTTTCGACTGCGTTGTTCCAAGCAACATAAGCATTGAATACTTTCTCGACCTGCTGCGGGCTCAGCTCCGGTTGAAAGTACTCTGATCGCAATATTGTGACCACAACATCCACATTCTCGCTCGCAGCCTCCTGACGAATAGCATCCTTCACACCCTCATCAGCTTGCACATATGCTTTGATCTTGTCGCAGAGCACTTCGTCTTTGATCCTTGTTGATGCGAGGGTGGTGATGGTCTTTTGCACAGAGTTAACGCCATCGTTGATAGCCATGCCAAATATACGCTGCAAAAGCGACCGAGCGCCAAAGGGCTGTGCAAGGAAAAGATCCAAAACTCCGCTCATGACGGCTGCCGGGTTGGCAATCCTGATGACGTTTTTTAGGACGCCGTATGGCACTAAAGAATGTATGCGTTTCGCCTGGGCAAAAAGCTCCGGGGAATTGTCTTCTGCCAAGAACAAGTGGTAGAGTGTGGCAGCAACTTCTATCCGTAGCCATTCAGCAAACTTTTGATACTCCGGTTTGAGTTCCCTGATACTGTTCTTGACCCTGATTTCCTGAAACAGATGAGAGAGTCCATTGCTTTCTACAATCTCTCTTCTGAACTTCTCCATGTGGATGTCGAGCTCTGCTGCTCGTTGTCGTGCGACTTCATAAAATTGCTTTTGCTCTTCTATGCGCCTTTTGTCCATTTCTTCTCGTCTTTGAATGTCCTCCATTTCTTCTTCGTTAATCTCTATAGGGTCGCGTGTGAGAAACTCAGCCATGGCACTTGAGTGTGCAATTCGCTCATTGTGCAAGAATGATCGCAAGAACGCACGAAGGGAAACACGCTGCTCTTCTCGGTACAGTCTGCGAGAGGGTTTGTATCCAGAAAACTCTCCTGAAGGTCGTGGTGAACGCTTTCCCAGTGAGCTTTGAGATGAATTTTTCTTGTGTCCGCCACCAAAAATGTAGCTCCTAAGACCACCACTACCGCCGCTGCTCTCATTGGATTCGATAGGAGGCGGTCCTTGAGTAGATTCCGAGGAGATGGAGCTAACTTCGTCGTCATCGGCATTTGATTGTAGAATTCCATCTTTTGCATTCTTCCGGGGTAGCGGGGCGAGAACCTTGCCAGGCAGCTCAAGGCGGATCCGCTTGTGTAATTGAACGAAATCGGCATATCGACGACCAATGTAGATATCTTGACCATGTCCTTGTCTGACACGTATAATGTACTCCTAGAGTTGTTACGTTAGACTTGTGCCGTTATGCGTGGACATTGACTTACCGCATGTGTGTGATACCGAAGGTGTCTCTTCACCGATGTTGTTCTGACGCCCGCAACGTTTACATCCCAGCCATTAATGGAATGACCACTTGGCGCATTCATTGTGAGACCCTTTTCGTCGGCTTGTCGGTCGACGATTTCCATTTCTGCAAAGCGAATCCTCTCTTCGTAGCCTGACGCGGTCGGAATACCGGAGACCATCATGAGCTCGACTAACTTCTCGGCCTTGAGTGCCAGTTTCCTCCGCTTGGTCTCCTCGAGGCGGTCCTCTGAAGACGAAATGTCTTTGCTCGCGAACGATTCCAGAAACTACGGCGGCACTGTTGTCAGCTCCCTGTCCACCGGTTCTGGCCTCATGCAACGTACGACTTGAAGTTTGTCCTGCCAGAACTCCTTCTCCTTGGCTTTGTCCAAGAAGGGGAAATTTCGCACATGGTTGACAAAGATGTAGCGAAGGAGGGGCAGTTCAGAATCTTCGGGCGCAACTTCGCCTGCATCAGAGTGAAAGGGTGCGCCAAAGCGCCTCAGAGCCGTAGGGGAGGAGAGCTCGGAGATTTCGTACTTTGTCTGTCTCGAGATGAGCTCACGCTTGAGGTCTGCATGTTTGTTTAGTGGCTTCGGGTATTATGTGCCTTGGAGAGAAGGGCGTACAGTGCTCCTGCTTGCCGGTCAAGATGGAACCCTCAGGCGGCACGGACAAGACAGAAAACTTGGAGTAGCTGGTGTCATTGCGGGTTGGGTGGGCTGGCCGGTCCGGCTCCGTGAGGTGGCTTGCGGTAGTCTGGGGACTCATGGTGATGGGCTGGGTAGCACCGTTGAGCTGAATGGCAAGTGGGGGGGGGTTGGAATGGGTGGGCGTGCCTGAATTAATAGTACCACCACTCACTGTAGGGGTAAGGCCGACCCGGGCTAAGGAGCTACGACGCGAACAAAGGGCGACGCGGTATAAAAATGCGTATGCAAAGAGGCAGCCTGAAGCGATCTGGCGGGGGGGATCGACGCGTGTTTGTGACGCCCGGAATAGCACGTCGCTGTACTTGTGGCTGCGTATGAGGCTGGTGCAAGTGTGGAGATGTGGGCACAACAACGGAGGCCAGCAGATGGAATGGGGCCTGCACCGCCTGCACCGCCCGTTGTTGCCCTCAAAAAGGCCTTGACGGAAATGCAGCGAAGGTCGGCGGCGCACTCACCTGTGGCTGAGTGACGCAATCCCCGCCCACAATCCCGGTTACGTATGGGCCCGTCAGGATCCACGACGCTGCTCTAGGATGGCACGGCATCTCTGCGCCTTGGCCGCGTGCACAACTTCATTTTGCTCCCCCATTCTCTGCCCTGCCCTGCCCTGCTTACCACTCCCCCATCCCCTATCTTACCACAGAATCGATTCCCCTAGCCCATGCTGACGCTGCATAGGGGCCGGCTTTGTCTTGTCACCATGTACACATGGCCGGCCCGAGTCTGATCTGACTGGCCTCCATCATCTCATCAATCAAAACTGCCGCATCGCTTAGCCTGCCAAAAGCTCTCCCTTGGCGTCGAGGATAGCCTGTATATGCAACAAAAAAACGATATTGCACATGTTCTGGCCATTGGCCTAGTCATTGCATCTGTCTCGGTTCCTGGCGGGTGTTGGCTCCACTCCATGGCTGATGCCCAACCTGGTCACATTGCGGCTTTGTTCGCACCTTTAGTGCTCATATGACGATGCCCCCTGAAAACTTGCTTACCTACAATGACTCTCTACTTGCCAACCGGTTGTTGTTGCTATCAGTCTGGATTTGGGCTTATTTACTTAGACGTACATACACAACCCCCCATGGGCCTAAACAGGCCCAGACCAGAGTCAATGATGAAACATTGTCAAGACGCCGCCCAGTACCTATCCTTCCCAAGCAAACTATCAAGGCAATCTGGGGAAGCCTTCAATCAGGGAAAACAAAAAAAGCAGCCTTGTCAACGCCGACCCTGTTACCATGTTACACCGTGACCGTGGCTGCAGGGACACACTAATTACAGAGCTTAGTAATTGAGCTCTCCGCCGCCTCCTCCACCAACCGCATCTAGATCTTCGTAACTCTTAATAGATCGACCTTGTACAGACTGTACAGGTCCAGGTCCACCTTCGCCGTAGCGTTGAGGTCCTGGCCGAGTACCGCGTGGAGGTGTCAGACGACCGCCGTTGACAGCCGGTCGACTACGCCCATCACGAGCCTGTCGGTCGTAGGGTCCTGTACGGTTGTTGAAGCGATGGCCGCCCCGTCGCATAGGTCCTGCACGATCATCATGAGCAGCAGCAGGGTCCCAGGTGCCGCCCATGGCAGGATTGAACATGCCACCCATGTGCATTCCATTCTGCATTCCATTGCCTCCTGCCATCGCCATGCTCATGTTGGCCAGGTTGAATCCTCGCGGAGTTCCAGTCGCCTGAACATGGTTGCCCATGGGGAAATGGCCATTGCTATTGGCATCGCTACGCGACGGGGCAATGTGTGCAGGATCGAGAACATAGCTATTCACAAGGCGCAGCTGTATTCGAATTAGCAAAATTCAATCGTCAGGCAATCCCAACAAGTACTTACATCCTTCTGTAGTTGCTCAAGCCACTCAGGGTGACGCTTCTCAATGTGCTTGCGCCAGAAATGTTCGCCCTTGAATAGCTTGGTGCACTCTGGAACTTTACATCGCCACTTGGACTCGTCTTCTTGCTTCACATATCGAGCAAGCTCGTCTTCTATCGCTTCATCCAGCGGCTTGCCGCCCAGCTTGCGAATGTCAACGTTTTCAGGCTCAAGTAGCTGAAGCAGCTTTTCTTCGTATGTCTTGACCCAGTTGAAAGCCCGCTGGAGTTGCTGTTGGTTCTTGGTGCTCAAACGCATAGGCTTGCGCTCTTGTACTGGGCTTCCACTCTCTCCGTTCTCAGCGTCGCCCGAGGCTTCTTGTTTCCTGTAAGGGAACGGTTCTCCGGAAGCTGTGGCCTTTGCCGTCGCCTTTGCAGCCGTAGTAAGACTAGCACGTGGCCGGCGAAGATGTCCTCCCGCGCACTTGCGAATCAACTCATGGACAGAGTCACTCTCAAAGACGCAGAAGAAGCAGAAGTTGTACACCCGGCGCAGGTATTCAATGAGAAGATCCAGCTTCTTCTTCTTGACCAAAAGCTCCTCGTCGTCAACTTCATCGTCAAAAGTGCCCTCGTCATCCTCCATTGTTTCATCTTCACCTTCTTCCAACTCTTCTGGATCTCGCTCCTTCTTCATGGGGGCTGGTGCATTTGCTGGAGGCTGAAGCCAGCCCTTTTCGCGCAGGTCCTCGACCCGCTGCTCGATTTTACTAACGCCATCAACGTTCGAGAACTGCTCCTCATGACCGGCCTTGAGTTCAGAATCGAGCTTTCTGACCAGTCGCTCGGCAAGCTCGAGATCACGCTCGATTCTCTCGGGTGCAGAGAAAAGATCCCAGAGTGCTTTCTTGCGTGGAGCGGCAGGTGGCTCATGGATACCAACATGGCAGGTGAAGTTGCCCCTGACCTCGTCGTTTACTGTTTTTCCGTTGAGCGCTTCGAGAGCCTTGTGCGCAGTACTCTGTATCCCCTGAGTAACTTCGGGCTTCACGTCCATAGCGCCTTCTTCGTCATCAACGTCGCGTCCGTCACCACGATCATCAATGATCATTGGCTGCTCGTCACTTGGATTGAGAATAACCCAGCCGATGCGGTGGCACTTTTTAAGGGGATTTGGATCGCTCATGCTGAGCCACTTAAACCCACCAGGGCCCTCTCCCAAGTGCTCCTTGCAAAACTCCTCAACCTTCTCGCGATTGACGGTTGGCGCAATTGTTTTGATGAGCAACGTTGGCTGGAAAGCGGTCTCGTCGCGGATCTCGCCGCCTTTGCACGGGAGCAGATCGCCCACACCCAAGACTTCATTGGCAGCAGTTGTTTCTCCCTCTTCCTTCTCAACAATGCCGCCAGCTCCGTTTGAGTCATTCTTGTAGATACCCTCGAGTGTGAATTCATCAAAGTAACCATCATCGATCTGGCGCTCCCAGTCCTCGTAGATACCATGGCGGTACTGGCGAAGCTTCTCCTTGAACGCCAAGTCGTACTCTGGGTCATATCGTTCCTTGAACCATTCTTCGTTCTTGTGCTTCTCAACGAATGTCTTGGCCATCTGCACCTGCAGCTTTTCCTTGTACTCATCATAGGCTGCTTGGATCTGCTCACGTTCTTTGCCGCGCTCCTCACGGGCTTCGCGCTCGCCTTTGAGACCGGGCTTACGACCGCCATTCTTCGCGCGTTCTTTTTCCTCCTTCATGAGTTGCTCAACACGCCACCACTCGGCGAAATAGTTGAATCCAACCTGATACTCAAGATGCATGGGGTTCGGGACCGGGTTTGTCGTGAATGTGGGTGCGAAGTTGTCTTGACCGGGCACATATCGATCAATGCCAGCCTGTACTGGCGGAGGAGAGGAGCGGCGGCGATTTCCATCACGTCGGGGTCCATCGTAATCGCGGGCACGATCGGGTTGGTAACGGTCGATATTCTGGGGGGACCGCGACCGCCGCCTGCCAGTTCTGCGGTCTCCAGAGCCTTTACAATGCATGTTAGCTAAGTTTCTTTGAGATAGTGCAGAAGGTTCTTGGGCTTGGGAGATGGTTCAACGCGATGCCCAAGGCGATGGACTCTACAGTAGCGACTACACGTCTTCGGACCGCGCAATCAGGCTAAACATGTAGTGCGTGGCGATCGCGTTCGAAGACAAACGCGCAACAAGAGTAGCGATATGCGGATCCACGATATGATAACCGAGAGATGTGCGCTGATCCCAAACAAGAGTCTAGAACTAACCTGGTGAGCGACGCCTGTATGAGTCGGCAGGCGGTCTGGCCTCCTCGTGAGTGGCGCTGCCAATTGTCAGTATTGCTCGTCGCGCGAGGGTCAGGAATGAGCCTACGTATATGAATCCATTATTGCTGATGCTCAGATTTGGGGTGCTTCGGTGGGCGACGGGTGTCTAGAATCCTGAGCGAAGGATAGAGGTATTCAGGCAGCTGACAGGTAGCGCTGTCAACCAACCATAAGTGCTAGACGCGTGGTCTTTGCTCTCTCGGACGCGCAATCTCGCCTGGAGAATGAGATGGGGTGTATCGGGTGCTCGACAGGCAATCGGGCTGGGTAGCTGTTTGCCATGATGGCTCGGTCAGAGAGGGAACAAATAAGAGACAAGACTGTGAGAAAAGGGTGCGACTAGTAACGAGGGAGAAGAGGGATCTAAGGAGTGACAAGACGAGGATGGCTACCACAAACACCCGGCGCGGTTGATCGCACACGAGCAGCGGCGCACGTAGACAAGGTCAGAGAGGTGGCTGGAGGAAGGCCGAGGCGCAGGGCCACGGGGACAAAGCAGTAGGAGCTATGGAGATAGCTGTACAAGAGGAATGATGGGGTACGAACAATTGGGGGGGAGGCAAAGGACGAGAAGCTCGTGCACTCACGATGTGCTAAAGTGACTCCCGGCTGAACGACGCCGGCAGAGATGGAGATGACAGAAGGAAGGGTGAGGTTGGTCGCGGCGGCTGGAGAAGCCCGAGGGCGGCTGAGACGGGGCTAGCGCCGCACGGCTACGCGGAAAGTGGGCCGGCTCGTGAACGCGTTGCTCTCGTGGAGGGCCGAGGCTGATGATTGGCAGGCCCGCTTTACGCTCGACGCCCAGGTTATCACGAGATGCGGAGTGCAGCTGGCTTTTCCTTTTTCACAAGCACCTTTTCCCAGGGCCATTGCATGCGTTGCGCAGGTACACGTTGATCACACACTCCTAGCCGAGCCCCAGCGCAGCCATGACGACCTACATCTCCTCCCTCACTCTCCCGAGCTTTGTCTTTGAAAACCCAGCAGTATCCATCTTGCTGCCGGTCGTCTGCGGAACAGCCACTGGGTTTGCCATTAGTCGTGAGTTTTTCCACTGAGCTGGTGCAATTGTGAAGAGCTCTAACATTAAGAATAGCAAGTGTGTCTCAGACAGCATACCGTACGTTGAAGCAACCTCCTCTGCATCCGCCAGGCTATGTCTTCGGCCCGGTTTGGACAGCATTGTATGCAACCATGGGCTACACGGCCTATCGTGCATACACCACTGGTACATCCTCCTTGAACCCTAACACTGTTGCTCTCGCCAAGGTATGTTACTGCTCAATTGAAACGTAGATATGACCGTCCAACTTACCATCACGCAGCACGGAGCTACTCTTTACTCCATCCAGCTTGTCTTGAACCTTCTGTGGACGCCTCTCTACTTTGGCTTCAAGCAACCTATTGCTGCTTCAGCTGACATCCTGGCTCTCGGTGGCACACTCGCCTACCTTATCAATGTTTGGGGACAAGTTGACCCCGTCTGCGGATGGTTGCTCGCACCATACCTTGGTTGGGTCAGCTTCGCAACCTATCTCTGCGTAAGGACTCTTGTTGGAGGTGCTTACGGAGCGTAAATACTAACGTTCAACCAGATTGGCTCCGGTTACTTGAACAACTGGGACTTCAAGGTTCTTTCAAAAAAGGACTAAAAGAAGGCATATAGCACGTGAGCAATGTGGCAGTATACATACTAATCCGCTAGCCTTGTAAAGCTCGTTGCTTTTTTCGGGTGTCGTCGCATCAAACAATCCCCGCTCTGGTCGCGTAGTCCACGCCAAGAACAGTTGCCGTGCTGTACCATTAGTACCCTCTATTTTTCTGACACTAGGGACTTCTATAAACACTAAATCCCAACTCCAAAAGTTTTCTAGCAAAGAATCGTGGTACTACGATTTTTATACACGTCACTTGCCACATGGAACATGCATACAACTAAGAAAAGCAGATCCCGTGATCCATCTCCTCCCTGGTATCTTATCGAGATTACGATAAACTATTTTTAGCCGCCCCTGAATTGTTATCCCTGTTGACATTCCATAACATCACAAGTCCTCACGCTCACTTTTCATTGAAACTATGTCTGCCGATTGGACCCTTCCCCACAGCCTCGCCCCCATGTTCTCTACCAGTCCTAAGCGATGGATCCTTTGAATCGACTGAAGCGGCGTCTGTCTAAGCGTTCATTCCCACGCGCCTATGAGGATCCTACCCACCCTTATGAAGACGATGAATCCGACACCGCGTACGTGCACTTTGTGGTGCTTGTTACATCTGTCATGCATGCATGCATTCACTTACATAATCCAGCACTATGGTCGAAATCGAGCAAGACTCAAGTTTCCTCCGTCTTCCCGCCAACGTGCGGGAACTAATTTACGGCCATGTACTCGGCGGCACACAGATCCGCGTATGCGACACAAGGAATTGCACCCGCCGTCACAAATGTCGCTCTCGCGGACGAAAATTCCACTTCGCTACTTACTTCCACCTCCGGAGACGGCATTTAGCCCTACTAACCACCTGCCGCCAAATACATGCCGAGACTAGGCTCCTGCCGTTTGCACTAAATGAGTTTCATGGATATCACTGGGATATGCAACTTGCTGTCTACTACCGCCTGACGGATGCGCAGGTCGGTGCGATGACGAATCTTCGCGTGTATTTTGAATGCAACGATGTGATCTATTATCCGGCTCTTGGTCGGCGAAGCCCGAGTGTCAACCTTGGTAAAGACGCTCTTGCCACGCTGCGTGTTCTCGGTCATCTTCGCGGGCTGCGTAAGCTCACTGTCGAGTGGGTTGGTCCGCACGATTGGGAGCATGACTGGGATATGGTGGAGGGCAGGATGGCTTATCTGATTGAGGAAGAGCTTGAGCAGATCAGGGGCTCATGTGATATTAAGGTTGTGGTAGTGGGCTGTGATTATGTAGAAGACCTCGATACGGGGCCTGTGCCTGTGGTGGGTGATATGCAGAAGCTTGTGTCTTTTTCGGTGTAGTTGTTGCAACCATTTGTCACTTGACCTGAGCTATGCACACAGGCCTAAGGCAACCAAGGACACATTTACTGCAAAAGGCAGTGTATCGCGGTTAACTTTTATTGTTCGAAATCTGAAATAAGACTTGGGGGATTCTGCCCAGATCTTATGGGTATCAGAAGCCCATTGGACTTAGCTGTTGTTAATACAATCGATCTCGGTGGCAAGTCTTTGTCTTATTGAAAATATGGATCTCATCTCGCTGATATTGTTAGTTCAGACAAGAAAAGAGCACCTGTGAAGAGTGTCCTTGGGTCAGTGGACAGAAAGTCCGATACCGCTATCTCGTATCAGATAAACGCAGCCCACAACACAAACATGAACCCGAGCAGCATGGAATTGGTGGATACAGCAAAATCGAAACAGACTCTAAGATTCTGAGACCTATCAGTGACTTGGTTTGAGGCCTTACCACACTGTTCAGAGCATTTGATGACGTCTCCTTCCTAACAAACGACTTCCATCACGCCTTCCCTACCAATTCACATCACAGCCAAGCCACTCGATAGACCCTGTCTCACCTCTTACCCGCCTCAATCACCATTCACTGCCTCACTGCCCTTAGCGAGTACAAACGCTCACCCACAATCTATATTACTCGTCGCCTTCTCCCCTCCGACCTCTGTCGCTCCACCACCACCATCCAACATGGTTACCCGACCCAGGGCTCAGTCGGATCCGCTCCACACGCACGGATACCGCTATCATGTACAGTTGATGTACCTCATTGAAGAAGTGTAAGTATTTACAGACCCCCCGCCGCTGCATGAAAAAACAACAAAAGACATTCACTCTGAAACCCGACTCATCACTGAACAAACCCTCACTTGCACAGCTACGAGCGCAATCAGGAAACGTCTCCCCTCCTGCGTCTCCCCGCTGAGCTACGCATGAAGATCTACAACTACGTCTTCGACGCCAACAGCATCAGCCCCAAGTACGAGACGCAGGACCACCGCACTTGGGAGTACCCGCGCTTAAACCTCTCGCTCATCCAGGCCTGCCGCCAGATATGGACAGAGACTAGATTGCTTCCCTTCACCCGCAACGTCTTCAGCGGCTACTCGGAGCACGTGATTGAGATGCTGTGCAAGAACCTTACGCGCAGCCAGGCCAATGCCATTTCCAGAGTAAGTCTCCTCGTCGACGCGTTTGCTATCTATCGCGATGGAAAGATCCCGCATTCGGGTCTTAAATCATGGATCATCGTGGAGCTCAGCGACTTGTGCACGTTTGAGGGCCTCAAGGAGTTGGAGCTGGTTTGGTTTGGCAGCGAGATTGAGCCTGTTCGAACCGCGTTGCATGAGCAAGTCACCGAAGTGTTGGAAAGATCGGGCCGCACGGATATCTTACTCATGGTTGTTCCTCTTCCTCCTCCTCGGACGGACTGATGGGGTACGGAAAGGGCGTCCTTTAGACTTGGGAGGTATAGTCGGCGCATGGAAGAAGTTGGCGCAAGGAAGGACCGGTATGGATAGAGAAGCCACTGTCATCATCAAGTACAGTGAGGGGTGTGAAAGCGGATGGCTAATCATACTACCACCAGGAACTTCACACACATAGAAGGGAACTGGAGATTTGAGAAGTCAATTGAAGAATGTCTTGTCCAACACGGCCCATATATACAAAGAAAGCAACTGTGAAGTCACCAGTGGAGTCTACGTTCTTAACTCATCATGAAGCATTAAAAGCGTACCCCGACAAAGGAGAGAGCAAAAGAAACTTGCGCCATGACTGTACAAAAGGAAAGTAATAGGAGGTGACGCTTGAACGCATACAGGAGACAGCTTGCGAGAACCAAAGCAAAAAGAGAAAACTAGGTAGATAGGTAGGTGAAGGAAATGGCAGTCGCAAGGCAAAAACAACAAAAATGAGAATATGGTCAAACTCCCATGAAGCGCCAGAGCACCAGTCATAATCATTAAGCGCAAAGGAAATAGAAATCCCTCTCTTTTTTCCCAACTTCCCTAAGGAAAGAAGCGATAACGCCCATATGGAACCCAAAAAGGAAGAAAAAAGGGGACAAGAGTAAAAAGGATGAGTCCAAGGAACGCGGAGGAAAAGAAGAGCAAGGAATTGCAGAAAGCGAAGTATTTCAACCTCTACTCGCTCTCCAGTAACTGCCGTATCTTCTCGTAAAAACTCGCCGGATACTGACGAATCTCATCATCAGTGGGCGCGGGCTTATTCGGGTCTCGGAAGCGATCAGCAACGCGCTGAATAATCTGGCCAAGCAGCTCCTGCGGAATCTTGAGGTCTTCGCCGCCATCGGGGTACAAAAAGGGATCGCGTTCGTCAAGGAGCTGCGCGATATTCGGGCGACGCGAGGGATCGCGGTTGAGGCAGCGGCGCATGGTAGCCTTGAGACCCGGGGGAACGCGAACGTCGCCAACGCCGAGATCAGGGAATTCGATTTTGTAGTCGCGGTTTACGATGGCGAGGACGCGGGCCATTTGATTGGCGATATGGGCAAAGGGAGGGCGGCCGTAGACCATCTGGTAGAGGATGCAGCCTAGACTCCAGACGTCCGAGGGCTTGCCAAGAGCCATGTCTTTGGAGCCGTTGCCATTGCTGAGGAGACCGCGGGCGCCGCCGGCAGAGTCTTCGAGGGACTCCGGGGACATGTAGTTGGGGGTGCCGATGTGCGAGTCGCGGTGGACGTTGACGGTGTGGTCGACTTCAATTGCGTTGGCAATGCCGAAGTCGATGAGCTTTAAGCGGCCGGAGGTGAGGAGAAAGTTTGCGGGTTTGAGGTCAGAGTGGACAATGTCGTGGTCGTGGACCGCACCGACGCATTCGAGCATCTCTTTCCAGTAGTAGCGAGTGAAGCTGAGGTCAAGTTTACCATCGCCATCGGCGGGGTCAAGCTTCATTCGTATTATGCGGGCCAAGTCTGATTCTCCAAGTTCCATGAGCTGCGACATGTTAGCATTAAAACTTTAACTCTTGACAAAAAGTCACTTACTACACTGAGCACTTGGCGTTGCTCGTCCACTTCCCAGTCATAGAGTCTTACAACTCTGTCAACGTTCTTGAGTTTTTGTAGTAGATCAATCTCGCCCTTGAAACCTCGTACAGCAGCCTCGTCGGCGTCTTCAAGCTTAACTCTCTTCAGTGCCAAAGTCTTGAAGTTCTCTGCCATGACACGGTACACCGCCGAACTGCCACCTCTGCCTATCCTGTCCATCTGAGAGTAGTGCTTTCCATTGACAGACAGTGTGACCCTCTTCTTTCTCTCTCGTGTCTTGGTAGTGGCAGCTCCAGCAGCAGCGGTTGCTGTCTCCAATACAGACATCTTCGGCGGTGGTGGAGGCGCTGGTCGTCGTGGGGTATTTGCGCTCATCGACTGTAGTGGTATGGGCTTTTCTTGTTGTTGCGAAGCTCTTTCGCTAGGTGACTGGTGTTCTAGGGAAGACTGCATATGGCGGTCCTCTGCGACCTTCATGACTGAGCCAGTGACCTTCAAGACGGAATCGGGCACGTTCTCAGGCTGGGTTTTGATGGCCGACACAGGCATGTTCTCCTGGTCCTGGGAGGGAGGATTCTCTTCTTCGCTTTGGGGTGTTCTGCGCAGTCTCCTCATGGGTGCGCCGCGTAGTGGAACTCGTTTGATGCGTAGACTGGGTGCCGGGGTGACGGAGTCATGCACGGGTGTATTTGAGCCCGAATCATTGCGCGATATTTTGAGCTTAGGCTTTCTCTTCTCTGGTGAATCGACGTCGTTGCCTTGGGCAAGTAGAGCTGCCGTCAGAGCACTGAGCTTCATGGGTTGGGGCATCTCGTCATCCGAGCTGTCGCCAATGTCGATGTTCTGCATCATGGGTACGTCGGCAGAGAAGCCCTGCGATTGACCCAGCATAGAGAGCGGAGAGTCTCTCCGGGGTCGTATCGATGATTGCGCACGCATGCGCCCATATGAGGAGCCGCCTAGCGGCGTAGGAGATCCGGTAGCCATTCGAGAGTCGCAAAGGGATGATATGCGCGTGTGACTATAAGCGTATTTGTCGGGTTATGTGAATAGCGATTGAAAGCTGTAGTGTTAGTTGCGCATACATAAGGCCCGGAGGGAAGGCGGCTATTTGTCGTAGAGATGCTGGGGGTGGTGGTTGAGTTTGGACGTTGACATCCATAGCGCGCGCCGGCCAATCCTAGTTCTCGTGTGGTCTGGTTGCTGGGCAACGCGAACGCGACAGTAAACAAACAGGGCCAAAACACCTAGTGCGGGACTAGTGAGAACTGCTGACGAGCACTGAGGGTTATACAGCGCGCATTTCACACCAGTGCAACTTTCTGTGTCTAATATATACTTAATGATATGGGTATCCATGGAATGGCTTTGCCCTCAAGTTTGGTTCCTGCAGCGAAACCGACAATAGCAGCTTCAAGGCAATACACATTGAGCCAAAATGTTGGTTGTCTTTGAAGTGCTTGCTTTTTCCACATGCACGTAAACAATGACTGTCTTATACGTATTCATTTTTCGGACAGATTGTGGTAATGGTGCATTTGTGCCAGTGCAGGCCAAAAAATTAGAATACCATGTGGTCTTGTAGAACTGTCAGCCCAGCCATGGTTTACTTTCTCGACATGTTATAACTTGAAAGCAACAATATCTTATAATTCCAACAGTTTGCATACATCGTGATAGTGATAAAGTCTTAGATACCAGCCCGTAGCCTCCAAAACAAATACTTCGTTACTAGATACCCCAGTCCCCTCTCTTCTACTACATCCATCCAAAAGAGAAAACACGCTGTAGACATGAACAACGACCCAATCAACTATAACGGAACGAAAGGCTTGGTAAAAGACACTGCGTAGCTAGAGCAGCTAATTAAATCGCCTCTCGTGAGTGTTGTATGCAGTCATGCCCCGGTCCCGATTGTGCAAGTCTTTCTCCCAAACGCCATGGCCTACTCATGCATCCAAACGGTAGGTCGTACAAATGATCACAGCTTTGCTCGTGGGGATGCCTCCTCGAGCACAACAGCTATCACAGCAGCGATGTCATCCGGTTTGCCGCCATGCCAGTTCTCCCCAGGGTAGTATCGTTGTACCTCTCTGGCAAAAGGCCCGTCCCTGCGAGTGTTGAGTCCCGTCACTTTGGCCTCCTTTGCAATTGCAACTGCGACCTTTGCCTGGAGCGAGGAACTGTCTGCCTTGCGAGATGAGTCGGCCTGTACCAGCTTTGCTAGATTTTTTCCAACCACAATTGTGCCATCTCTCTCGACCCAAGCACCTAGGTCAACCATTTGACGGCTAACAATACCTAGCACATCCTGCGGGCTGAGATTATCCCACACACCATCGGTTGCAAAGACGAGGACATCTCCATGCCGTACTTTATGGTGCGTTACACTCGACTCCTTTGGTAGATCCGAGAGTGTGGTCGGACCACCAAACACAGCCATCTGCACCAGCATGCGTTGAGGCGTTTTGGAGAGCTGATATGGGGTGTTGAAGGCATGCGTTTGGGGCTGTGTAAAATGTCGCACTGCGTTTAGACCCAGATGCATGAATCCTGAGTCGCCCAGGTTGGCGACTTCGACATGGCCGTCTGGTTCTGCGACTGCCAGGCATGCGGTGCTGCCGCCACCTTCAATGCTGGCGTCATCGGTAACTTCGTCGTACGCAACCTGAAGCAGATCCTTCGGGTGTAACGACGTCGTGTTGAATCCATGCGGCCATGAGCGCGCTGCGCAGGCCATGTACTCGCACAATCCATGGGAGAAGTCTGCGGGATCCAAGCCAGACTCGACCCAACCTCCGACTCCGTCTGCGACTCCAAATGTCGTGGTATCAGTGGTTCCCACTTGGCTGAAGAAGAAGGCGTCCTGTCCACTCTTTGCTCGCTTCCGCTTGTCGATGGCCTCTTTGCACTCGCGTAGATCCTCAATCTTGCTTTTCCGCGGGTCGTAGAGCGGGCGCGTGAACAGATTTTGCTCTGCATCAAAATTGTCTTGCTTGGCTGAGTAGGAAGCAGCTACATGGTAGGTATATTGAGGCATGCTCCGCCAATTGTGCGAGGAAGAATGGAATGATCGTAAGCCGACTGTGGCCGGGGAGGTGTTTCGATTCAAGGGACAGGTTGGGTGTGCGTGGGGAGGCATTCGCTGCAAGGGGACTCCAGGACTGCGGCTGGTCGAGGCAGGTGCTACCAAAGGCGATGCGGAGAGGGCAAGGAGGAAGAAGCCAGTAGATGAGGCGCGTCGCGGTGCTGGTGAAAGTCGCGCAAGGCCCGCTGCACTGGTTATCGCAAATGACATGGCCAAAGCCCAAGCCTATCGATTACGAATTAGCACGTGAAGAGGGTGGCGGCAGAGAGTGGTAGTGAAGGGAATGCATCATGGCGGCGCCGTACCTTTGCGACAGACGACGTTGGAATAAAAAGGGTCCCTTGGGCTGAGAATTCACATTGGCCGTCGTCATTGCCGATCGGCTAGCTGCTGAGGGCGGTGATACTTACGAGTACTAGGAGCATCGTCTCAAGATGCACAACAATTTGGATGGGGATGATACAGATGCAAGAGAGGACAAGCCGGCTTGCTCTGACAGTCCTCTGGACAACTGTTCACTATTCTGCAACCTTTTGGCTGGGCGGCCAAACGCTGCTGGCCTTTGGCTCAAACGCGGAGAATGACATAACCGACGCTAGTTCAGCCCTATCGCCTAAACCCGTGGCTGACCCCGAACTTCTTTTCGAGAGACGCCCCCACGAGCTTCCAATCACCTTCCCCGCCGTGGGACAGTCAGTCAGTCAGTCAAGATGAGCATGCATCCGGCGCGTCAGGCCTATGTCGAGGAGGAGAATGGTGCGGTATGTGTTTTGTATACTGTCTCTGGATACCAGGCAGCAAGCTTCACATGCTGCGCAGCTACCTCCAGGATGGTATATATAGCTTCTGCAAATACAAGAGCTAACATGAGTATCTAGGGCGATGCCATGGAGGGGATAGACCTTTCCAGTGTCCGTAAGTATCTGGGCGCAATTCACATGTTCAATGCTAGAATGCTAACCAGTCCAGCGCTCGACCGCAATCATGCCATGCCCGGCGGAGGAAACGCGTCGGCTTCTTCGCTCATGGAGGATTTTGATCGCAAGCGACGAGCCGCCCAGTTAGTTGTGCCCACGGCCGACCGCGATGTCAAAGCAAAGCTGCGTTTGCGCGGAGAGCCAATCACCTTGTTCGGCGAGGGTCCTGCTGAGCGCCGTGATCGACTTCGCGCCTTACTTGCAGAGGCACAAGAAGCATTGGGCGATGATGCGGCAGACGTGGACATGCAAGACGCAGAAGAGGGGACTGGGGACGAACAAGAGGAATTCTACACACAGGGCACACAAGCACTTCTGGATGCGCGACGGGAAATGGCCAAGTATTCGCTGCCACGAGCCAAGGAACGAATCGCATATCAGCGTCGCGAGGCTACGATACCACTAAAGACGCATATCGAGTTCCGGAACGGCATCAAGGAGCGGCTGAAGGGCTTCGAACTCTATGGATCGCAAACAGCAGATCGACCAGTGAGCATTGTACGCGTCTCGCCAAATGGGCAATATGTCGCATACGGCACCTGGGGCGGCAAGGTGGCACTGCTTGAAATTCCCAGTCTCGAGCAGAAGAAAGCATACCGGGGTGGACATGCGGAACGTGCGACAGGCATAGACTGGATGCCAGACGCAACCCTACCTGGTAGTACTGTTTCGAGTTCAAGTGTAAACTTTGCCTCTGGAGGAGCAGGTGGAAAGGTTCAGCTATGGTCGCTTGATGACGACAAATCTCTACGCACGCTCGAAGGACACACTGACCGTGTTTGTCGTTTAGCGTTCCATCCTACAGGGCGGTACCTAGCATCAGCTTCTGATGATACCACATGGCGGCTTTGGGACGTGAACACGGGTCAAGAGCTCCTTATGCAAGAAGGGCATTCAAAAGAAGTGTACACTGTGAGTTTCAACGGTGATGGTTCTTTGGTTGCAAGTGCCGGTCTGGACAGCATTGGTCGTGTGTGGGATGTTCGTACAGGTCGAGTCATCTACATGCTGGAAAGCCATATCAAGCCTATTTATGGTTTAGATTGGGCTACCGATGGTCACCGACTACTTTCTGGATCAGGAGATGGATTTATGAAATGCTGGGACGTTCGTGCGATGAGAGAGACCAACTCGATTGCGGCCAACACAGGAGGAGTCACTGATCTACGATGGTTCAAGGGGACTGACGGTCCGACGAGCGGCATACCGCTGCAGGAGAATGAGCAGGGGCAAGTGATTCCGAAGAAGGCATCGACGTTTGTCATTTCGTCTGGATTTGACAAGAATGTTCAAATCTTTTCAGCAGACGATTGGGCGCACTGCAAGACCCTCCAAGGACACTCTGGACCAGTGTTTAGCACAGATGTGACAAGGGACGCATGCTGGATCGTGAGTGGAGGCAAGGATCGTACCGTGAAGCTGTGGTCCCGGGATGATAATGGGGGAATCTGAGGTTGAGGCGGAGGAGAAGCAAATAATTCAGTCACATGCACGGTAGGCTGCCTGCAGATGCAGATGCAAGCTGACCAAGAAGCAAAGATGGAGAGTTTACAAGAAGCAAAGAAGATGAGTTCACATGAACAAGAGGGAAAAAAGAAGCAGACAAAGGTCAGTGCTCTGGTTGATATCACTTGTCAGGTGGAAGTTGAACAGCAAAAAAAAAGGTCCATAGCTTGAACCGAGATACCCAGTACATACTCCGATGGCGCGTGGAGTTTGCAAGTACAAAGCATATACAATTTTACGCATTTTCTCATCTATGCAAAAGGCATCCCTTCATTTCAGAATGCACTCTACACCAACTACCGGTGTGTTTCAATATCCTTCATCTCAAATGAGTCACCTCCCCTCCAAAGCCAAACAAAAATGGCCCGAATCACCGTCCAAAAAACCCGGCAGTCATGCCATTAGCTCGGTACCACTCTACCAATATCTTACATCCGAGTCTAAAAAAGACCCCCCCCACACAAAAGAAGAGTAGACTGTCGGGGCAACCGGCAGCATTATTCCAGAATACACGTTTTTTTAGCGCATCGACCCTTTTTCTGCCCGTGTGCTCCGTGCATATCCCCCCCCCCCCATGCCTTGTCTACTTATCGCATAGCAAAAGCCCGTAGCATTTGGCATGTGTGTGTATGCACATACCACCTTAAAGCTAAAAGTATTAGCCTGTAGTTATGACGTTGACAGCCTACGACCCCCCTCTTCTTCTTCTTCTTCTGCTCACGCATTTACATGATGTTTCCCCATAATTCTCAAACACACCATGTCTTTTTTTTATTTTTGCTTAACCAGGGTCGGAGTGTATGTTCCTTACACCGCAAGAATCACATGTTTTGTTAAGTTCTACCAACTGTAACGTAGTCAAAGAGAAAAACATTGTGTGTGTGTGTGTGTGTGTGTGTGTGGGTGGGTGCAAAGCCCGTCTCAGGCATGCATCCCGCCTCACCGCAACATGGAGACGAATCGGAACGCAAAGAAAAAAGAGTAAGCTAGTAAGAGAATGGCTATTTTTTTTAGTTTAACTGGGCGAAAAAGGACGCTATGTTTCAGGTTTCGGGTTCTGGAGGTGAAGGGGCGGTCTGTACAGAATGCATGCAGCAGGTGGAGGGAGGGGGGGTCGTGTGCGCATATATCTCTGTGTGTGTGTGTGTGTGTGTGTGTGTGTGTGTGTAGAGACCGAGCCTATGGTAGACAAGGGCAATTGGGAGGAGATGCCGGACCCGCGATGTGCATAGTAACAGCGGTTGCGGTTGCGGTAGATGTGGGAGATCCACACATACGTTGGGAGGGGGGAATGATTTTTTTCCACCCGAAAGTTGGGGATTGTTATTAGGGTTTATTTGCAAGTACAGGTTTTTTTTGGGATTACGATTGGTTGGTTAACTGTCCGGTCTTCGGCCGGATTATATATATTTTTTAGAATTGTGATTGGTTGCGTTTGTTGGGAAAGGAAGCGACGGAGGTCAAAGTTTCCCGGGGATGCGGATGGCAGTGAGGTGAGTTGAGGGAAGTGAGTCATACATTCACATACACAGGGTACGCTGATAATATTTTTTGGAGAGAGAGAGAGAGAGAGAGAGTAAGTTGAATGCAGGGCCAAGATGCAGGAAGCAGCGATCAATCGAAGTGAAGAATACGGTACAATACACATACTGCACAGGCTTTTTTTTTCGGGAGGGAGCAAAAATGTTCTAGTGGCTGGAGACTAGAGCGCGGGAGCGGATAGTGGAGCGTAAGCCCGGAGTCTTTCTTTACTCGTCCTTTGACCGCTACAGCCTCACCTTTTGCATTGTGCAACCACAATATTGCGATTGCAACCCCTCCCCCCCCGAAGGAAACGTGGATGGCTACGAAGCGTTCTCTTCACGAGCTGGGCTTGGTGGAGAGCATGGAAATAGATGTGATTGATTTCTTGTGCAGCAGGGTTGTGATGATGTGTTCCGGTCAAGACAGGGCCGTTGTCTCAGGGTAGATGCGAGGATAGTCGAAGTGGAGCCCCACTGTCGAGAGTGGCTCTGGGCTAGAGTAGTAGAGTTTGTTGGGGTGGCTTTGAATTACGCGTGCCACAGTAGGCGCCGCAATAGAGAGGGAGAAGGGGGAGAGAAAGAAAACGGAGTTGCGGATCAGCCGCGGCAGTCGAGAGCAGATGCAGCATCTGTGCTTGTCATGCACGTCGGCTCCCACAGTGGGGTTGGTTGCTGTGGCATCTCGAGAGAGCTTTGCTATTTCTGAGAGGGCGCGCGTCGGGATTGGCGTGACGCGGTAGTTTTTGGATGTACTCGATATGTACGTACATGTATAGTCTGGTTTGGGGGGGGATTGCATGGATTAGGGTTGGCCGCGATAGGCGTCACACAGAGCACAGATTGGCAGTAGCGAGAGCGTCAAAGTATGGTCTTGATGAGGTCTTTGACAAAGAAAAAAATGTATTTTTGTGTGCATTGATTGTCACGGGCATAAGTTGGCAGTAGTGGACGGGCGAAGTTGGCCGGGGGAGAAGAAAACGGCGGGCATTGCAGGCATGTTGCAAGTAGGAGCAAGTGGACGAAGAATGACGCACAGAGGGACATGCGACAGTCTGGCGGGAACCCAGCGGCACGGTAATGCGAGCAGCAGTCGGTACAAGGACGGGCTAGGGCAGCCGTGTTTGTCGCGTCCTGGCTCACACAAAGGCCGATTGCAGGCAGATGGAGTGACGATGGGGTGGTAGCGTCGACGAGAGAGGGAGTGGGCAGAGGGCGGGTTAGACAGGGAAGCCTGGTGCGGGCAGGGAGCGGTGAGATGACTCGTGCACAGGTGGGAGAGGCGAGGGGAGAGGCGGAAGCTGGACAGATGACACCATGAGGTCGAGAGCTAGAGGGCCAAGCCAGGCTCACGAAACAGACGAGAGGGCACGTCGGGTGACGGATGAGGGCGCAAGCGGCGGGTGTGGTTGGATGGAAGGATGGGGCGTGGGCAGTGGGCATGATGATGACAGCAGCGTGTGGGTGGGTGGCTCGCTCGCTCTGCGCGGCAGGCGGAGGAAGAGTGTAGTAGAGTAGGCCAAGGAGCAAGCATGAACATGGTCTGTCATGTTGACTGTTTTGAGCAGAGTTTTCACGCATGCGTCGATTTGATCGATACATACAATACAAGGCGACATGGATGGGATACATGGTTACAGCATCTACATGGGCCGGCCCGCACAGGCTAGCCAGTCATGACCAGCTCTGCGGCGGGCAAGTAAGTGATGGGCAAGCGGATTAGCAGGATTAGCAGGATTAGCAGGATTAGCAACAGCATCAGAGCGTCGCGCGCGATATGCGTGACAGCGGGCGCACTGGCGGGCGCGACAAACGGCTAAGCAGGAGGAGCATATGGATGGATGGACATACATGGCTGTGGACAGGACTGGACTGCATGGTCTGCGCATGGCTGCACGGCTGCACGGCTGCACCAGACTCTCGCGGGCAGCCGGCAAACACTGGCTAATGGCTGCGGACGGCCCTCAGCTAAGAGGCGCCAGGGAAAGGTGCTGGAATGCTGCATCCATACCCGACGCTATTGGGGCGTCGTATCCCACACCCTGGCCCGCGCTGTGCCCAGATGCCTCCCACCCCTCCCGGCCCTCGTCTGCTGCACACCCCGCCCGTCCACTACCCACCAGCTTTAAGTCCGCGCTCCCGCCCTTCACCCAGAGTCCACTGCTGCCACTACCATCACCACCATTGCACCACTGCACCTCTGCCTGCCCGCCTGCCGCTACCACTGCACGCCAGGCCCAGCTTCTCTACCTACCTTTGCAACATTGCCATTACCATCACCATCACCATCAGTGCAGTGCGCTGACAAGTCCTGTTGCGGCCCCCAGCCATTTGCAGCTTGCCTAATCCAGCGGCCCACACCGCCACTCCCCCCGCCCACACCGGTACTTTGCTACTGGTACCATACATAGAGCCCGCCATGGACCACTCCTACTCAGCCTCCCAAAATCACATGGACTTCCACTCCCTCGACCGGAAACCTTCGGCCTTCTCCTTTGACGACAACGCTACCCTTGACTCCACCATCCTCGACACACCCGTCCTCATGTCGCCCTCCACCAGCAACCAGGGCATCTTCTCGCCAGAGACGTCCATCTGGGAGGACTTCTCGGCTTCACAGTTTGTCGACCGCACAGCCACCAGCTCGGTTGTCAACACAAACGGCAACAACCCCTTCTTCACAGAGCAGAGCAACAACCCCTTCGCTCGCCTACCCCCCAACCAGGCCGCTACCTACGGCCAACAGTCATGGCCCGTTGCCGACAACTCGGGCTCCAGGACACCCACTGCCCCCAAGCCCCTCAACCCTTTTGGCCCCGGTGACTTTGGTGCCGCTTCCTTTGTCGACCAGCCCCAGATGCCCTTCCACGGACTCCCCGTGCACCAGAACGTCCGCCCCAGTGCCGTCTTCCAGGCCGCACCAGAGCAACCCATGTCCCCCCACACCCACTCCGACTGGATGGCCTTCAACCAGCAAGAGATGGACGCCCGCCCGGGCCCCAAGCGCATGCGACCAAACACCCCTCCCCGCTCCTTCTCTCCCCGTCGTGACGGTGGCATCCGCAAGAAGAATGCCCGCTTTGACATCCCCGCCGAGCGCAACCTGCACAACATCGACACCCTGATCCAAGGCTGCACCAACGAAGAAGACCTCAAGGAGCTCAAGCAGCAAAAACGCCTCCTCCGCAACAGACAGGCTGCGTACGTACTACCGCCTTTTGGTTCTTGGCTCCACGCTCCATGTTTGGTCCAATTTACCTCTTGGTCTATGCTCTCCATGTTTCATCCGCTGACCTAATCACAGACTTGACTCGCGGCAACGCAAGAAGAAGCACACTGAGGAGCTTGAGGAAGAGAAGAAGCAGTGGATGGAGAAGATTTGCCAGATGCAAGATGACTTTGCTTCCATGCGCCTCGAGTATGATGCCCTTGTTGCTGAGAAGGAGAACTGGCACCGTGAGTCCATGGAGATGCACCACATGGTCAACCAGCTGCAGTTCGACAAGGAGGAGCTCGTCCGCACCCACACCATTGAGACGAGCGAGCTCCGCAAGAAGGTCTCGGTCCTCACTGAGCGCCTCGAGGCTGCCACCGGCAACGGTATGGCCGTCGCCCCCAGCACCACCTTCACCGACTTTGCCTCGGAGATGGATAACCTCAACATGGGCAACAGCGACTGGGACAACTACATCTTTGTCAACGACTTTGCCTCTGACGACCAGCCCACTCCCCAGCAGAACCAGGAAGTGTCTCTTGTCTCGCGCACAAAGGACGAGGACAAGCCCGTCGCTTCTGGTCTCTTGCTCATGCTCCTGCTCTGCGGCGCCTTTGTTGCTAGCAAGTCTGGCACCGCTGCTCCTCCTATTCCCCGCATGCCCGACGAGGTCCGCGCTGCTTCTGCCACCGTCTTGGATAGCATCTTCAAGGACGCCGGTGTCGCAAACGGCCTGAGCGAGCAGAGCCTCCTTGCCACCCACGTTGCCGGCCTTGAGCCTACGCCATCTGGCATGGCCTGGCCCAAGACCACCATGTCTGGCTCGGAGCTTGCTGGTATCTCTGGCTCCACCCTCGACCAGCTGCACTCTCACCTCACTGGCCCCACCAAGGACCAGGAGCACGAGCAGCTCTTCTCCATCACCCCCGACCAGTACAACAGCATGACTTCCCTCGACTTTACCCGCTCGCGATACAGCGTCACGAGCGATGACCTCTCTGACCCACTCTCGCCCGGCGCCCAGCCTTCGCACCGTCGCAACCTTGCCGAGACTCTCGCCGCCATGCGTGAGCAGAACAAGGGTGACTCTGCGGCTGAGATCTACACGCGTAGTCTGCTTTGGGACAAGATTGCCCCCGAGGTCGTCCACGAGTTCAAGCGCATCGTCGAGGAGTCTGCTGCCATGTCACGGCCTAGCACTTCCGAGGGCACCAAGGTCGAGAACCTTGGCTAAACAGCCCCACCTGGCCATCCACCCACACGCCACCACATACCACCACATACACACCACCACCACCACCACAACACACACGGACACACCCAACCCACCTTTCCTTTGTTAGTTTCCTAAGTTGCATTAGTCCTTTCACCAGCATAGCGGTTCACTTCTTCCCCCTTGGACAAGGGGCTCTCGTAGGGACACAAGTTGCATCACGGTCTGGCTGAGATACCCGTTGTTTACACGGGCATCGCCATTTCTTTTCTCAACGCTCTGGCCTTGCCAGTCTTCTATACTATGGGACGGCAACGTCGATTTTGGGTACCTTGTTGCCTGCGTCGTTTGAGCATGGCGGTTGTTTCTTCATGTCGAGACCTGGTTCACGACTTCATCCATACTTGGTTTCTGTTGTTGTTTTTTCTTCTTATTTCCTATTCCTATTTCCTTGTGTTTGTCATATCCTTTGCTCAGCAACATTCGAGATTGGCTTTGATTTGTCTGTATCTGTTTTGCACAGCGTAGCGAGCGTTGACATTTTCCTTTTACGTTTACCACGAAGATTGAGAATTTGGCAACGAAGGATATGGGGGAACATGTATCGATGAGCATGATCAATGACGATTTGTACATGACGACAGACGAAGCGAAGAAAGATATTTATTGCCCATTCACACTTGTTTTGTTCTATTGTTGCTTGTCTTGTCTTGTCTTGTCTTGTTTGATGTTTTGTTGGCGAGCGATGCGATGATGGCATGAACAAAGTTGGATATGATTCTTGTTTTTTCCTGAAAGAGACGAGGCTTGTTTTTCTTCCTGCATACCCCTCATCTTCCTGCATCCACACGCACATCTGCTTACCCCCCATGACTTAACCTTTACGACTGTTACGGCCCCCTCTATGGTAGACCTTTCGGTCTTGTTTTTTCTTCCTTTCATAATACCCTCTTACCGCTCTTTCCCCGACGTTTGTTCGGGGGAACGGACGATATTCCCCCTTGAGATACCAGCTTTCTTTGCACACTTGGTTTTTCTCGTTTTTTGCTGCGGCCGTTTCTGCGGCCCGTGGTCACAGATTGTGCGTGTGCCGAGCTCCATTGGCTGACAACGGAGCCGGATGCAACATCCTTTTTTGTACCTAGGTCATCGACCATGCCTTCTTGATTGCCCCATTGGTGGGCAACCAAAGCATGGCCGAGTCAGTCTTAATGCTATCAGACGCTTCTTGCACTCTACCAATCGCCTATGTCGCCGTGATACGAAACCGGCCATGCACACACACACTCTCTCTATCTCGCTCGGTCACTCTCTCTGCCTCGCTCCATCGGGCGCCCCATGTTCATGACCTAAAAAAAAACACCATTACTGTGGGCTTCCACTTGACTGGTTCCCCACCATCATCACCGGCCGAGTAGAGTGAGACATTCTGAAACCATGCCGTCTTACCATTTCCCACCATTGCTGACTTTGTGCGTTGTTATTGCATACCGTATATTCACTCTTGCATTTTTGCTCTCTCAGCTTCTCCCTCTGCTTGATCATCCACCGAAGATTGCACCGAAACAACTAACACACACACACACATATAGATACATACGCATACATACTTCGATCTTACGCACAATGCATGCGAAGCAAAAAAAAACGCACGGTCGATCCCCATTTTTCGGGGTCCTGTCACTGATGGCTGGGGGTTAGACTTACCTCGCATCGCATGAAGCGGGAAGGGAGGATTAACATCGGCCCACTCCCTTCTTCTCTTGACAGTCAAACTAGGCGTAGATGTACCATGTGCTGCAAGCGATACAGCCGCACTTTCCACGGCACACAACAAGGGCCCACAACTTGCCGGCCGAGCTGCACGCCTTGCATGTACTATACTGTACTGTCGCTGTATGTACAACATCTACCGCTTGTCGCAAAGCTGTGGATTCACACTTCACACTATACGGCTTCATACTCTACGAGGCAGTTGATGGGATCCTCGATCATGATCGGGTGGCTCAGAGCACCCACGACGACGTGACCGAGGCGCAGCATGCGCAGCTGATGCCACAAGCCGCGCAAGCACACATCTGATCACTGACTCGATTAACTTTGCATATCTCCCGGGTATACTTACTCTATGTATTTACACAGTACCAGAGGAATTGATGGTAACGAAAAAAAGCAATCGGACTTGTAAAAAAGTCTGGTACATCCTACGCAAGTCACAAAAGAAAAAATGTCCTGCGGATCCCCCCGCAAACCCTAATCCCACTCACTGTCTTACCCTCCACGCATGACGTGCGTGATTTCTACATACAAAGAGAAAAAAGAACTTTGTTTCCGCGAGAAAAAAACTAAGTAACACTCACATATACACAGAAAAAGAATGCTGATTTGCATACCCGTGATCTCTCCCTCATCCTGACTCACATGACCATCCCCCACAAAAAGCACCTTCCGAACCACCAAACCCCCCTTCCACTTCTGTCCACTTCTATCGTAAGAAAAAACAACAACACAACAGTAGAAGTCTCCACTACTACCCGCTCCTAACTTACCTAACCACACACCTCTCAAGCCACTTCCCCGTTCACTCCACCCATGCCACTTCCCACATACATACATACATACATATACCTCCTGCATCAATAAGTCTGTTTCAGAAAAGAAAAAAAGCGGTCCCGCATATACATACAGGCTGCATGTACAGTAGTAAGTAAGAGGGTCTTTCTATCTAGTAGATTCTACACATGGTACATACATATGTACGTACGACTTGTGCAGGTTTGTTGGCGGAAGACGCGTTTCAACCACATCACCACCTTTTCCTATTCCTAATTCTTCTCTGTGGGATTGTGCTGGCAAGAGACGGTGATGGAGGTGAGGGGGGGTGTGTGTGTGGAAAAACGTTACGGACCCCGCGGAACGGTCCTGCCCTGCACCGCATACGCGAAGCGTTGAGCCGGAGAAATCTCCGTTTTCTCTCTCTCTCTCTCTTTCCAACAAACGACAGCAACCCCCTTGCTTGCTTACAGAGATACGTGGCTAGGCGGCCTGGGATGAGGGTAGGGGGGGGGAAGAAAGTCTGGATGAATGAGTCTGGTGTGGTTGAGAAAGTCAGGAGAGAGTAAGTGACGGTGTAGGCCGCGCGCGTGTGTGTGTACGCTTAGAAAGGATGAGTCGGAAGAATCACTTCTTGAACGATTGATATGGCAGAAAATAGATGGGGAGAAAAAAATGAATTCGCCACTATATTATTTACATAGGGATATGGAACGATATCCCACAGCATACAAATGATGCGATACAAGCCTTTTTTTTTCCTACGCAAAAGAAACGGCAGGCATCAACGGCAGCAACCGAGAAAGAAGAAGGGAAAGATGAAGGAATCCGCGGGTAGAGTAGAATAGCGTCAACCTCGTAAACAAACGGTAAACAAAACCGTGTATGTAATCCTTCCAATTCCTTACTTACATTCACACCAAGGGAAGGGGGGGCCTAAGTTCTAGAACCACACACCCTTTCGCCACATACGACACACACACACACTCAAGGAGAAATAGTACTAGGTGCACATCATCGGTATTTAACATCCCGGAACGCAAGGGCGAGTAGAAAGCAAAAAAAAAAGACAAAAACGTTTGATAGGACAAGACTCAGAAATTCAATAAAAGAAATTATCGGAATTATTCGAGAGCATAGTAAGAAAAAAGCAAAACAAAACAAAATAGCAGAAGATCTTCGCTTCCCCACGGGAAAGACGACGCGAGGCGCGCCCATCTCTCTCTCTCTCTCTCCTCCCACTCTCTTTCTCTCACACTCTTACTCACAAGACATCATCTCATGACTTTCCGCAAATGGAGAGGGAGGGTAAGGAATCCTCTTAGTCGGGCCGACGGAAGTTGTGGGTGGGTGTGGGCAACAACAATAATCATACCCGGTCCGCCGCCAATATAACGCCCTTTATTTGGGATTGTATTTATCTTTCCAGATCCTATAATCCAAACACACACACAAAATCGTTAGCACATGGTCTTTTTTTTTTACTGTAAATCGAACCTGTCCAATCGGGGTAAAATAGAATATAGGTCCTAGGTTCCGGCTTCCGAGGCTTTTTTTCTTTTTGAAAGAAAAGTTGGTGGTTGCGGCGACCGACTATCAAAACGGGGTGCCGAGGCTACTGCAAGTCGAGATCCAGATCGTGACCAAGACGAGTTTCGTCCATGATCCGCTGGTCGTCGGCTTGTCATGGTCGTCGTCGTCGTTGTCGTCGCCCTTCGCCGTCGCCGACGTCCGTCGATACGTACGTACGTACCATCCGCGCCCCGAGCGAGGTTACCGTCATTGTCGCGATAGCCGTGTGGTCGTCGCTTTTTTTGTCTCCTTCCAAATCCTTCCCGTTTGCCTCTTTCAAGCCCGCACGGCCGCTCAAACATGTTTACTACTGTCGCGCCATTATGCATCTCAATTTCCAGCTCGCCATGATTTGATGCAATCATCTGACGGGTGCTCCACACACACACATGAACGCGCTGAACGCCGTCATCGGCTACACCCTCCCATCCTTCCGCTGATGCTTACTCCAGAACCGAGGCCAGCGACACGCTGCCACGTGTAGCGCCGTAAACAGGCTTGTGTGCACCATGCACCCAGTGCGCCGGGTCTAGAGGTATGCCCGCTTCCACTATTGGCATACGACGATGAGGCTTGCACCAAACGGGTAGCGTCCTATTGCTGGTTTTTTCTCCTCTGTCGGCGGATGCAATCATGTGTGCGTAGCGGGGAACTCGCAGCAAGTGTGACAGGTCGTACTGCGGGTGAGGGCGAGGGCCGCCGTTCAGCGTCCGCATCGGCTAAGCGAGGGGACTGTCAAAATGGTGCACTCGTAGCCAATCGACTAGCCTTGGCAACTGCGCGTTCAGACTGGCCGGCCTGAATGGACAATAGCGCTGTGCGTTGGATTGCTCCATCACGCCTGGTGGCTTGGTGTTGAGGTTGATTGAGGGTGCAACATCGGCTGGGACGGGATGGCGCGGGTCAATGCTATACTAGCAGCTCGTCATGTCTTGCATTGCGCGCGCCCTCTTGACACGGCATAGACTGAGGCTCGGTCCGGGGCTGATATGGATCCTTTGGTCGATGACGAGGTAACGAAAGTGGTGCGACTTACCATGTGTTGCCTAATGTTTTGTTACCCTTGGATTCCGCGAGGCGCAGGAATTGAGCCGCTTTGAACTGGAGACAGGGCGCAGTCAGCATACATCCACATCAGCCGAGTTCTTGCTGCTGCCCAAACAGTGAGGCGGAACAAAGGAGGACGCCGTGTCTCAGTGGGACATGGCACATGATGACTGAGGTCCAGGCTGTACACTCTTTTCCAAGCTGACAGTTCGCGTCGTTATTGCATAGACTTGACCGGTCAAGCGGATGCACAAAGGAGCATAACGACCATAAGGTAGGGGAAGAGAGCTGACACATCTTGCTTACCTTGTCTTTCTTCGTACCAAAGCCCTCGATGTAGCACCAGGCTACCTCATTCATCGCATCCGTGTCGCCCAGGTTTGCAGCTGTTTCGTAATATTGCTTCGCTGCTCTAGGATCTTTCTTGATACCCCAGCCATTGCGAAAGCAGTTGGCCAACTCATACATGGCCAGCACAAGTTCGCCTTTGGCTGCACCTCCTTTCTTCATGCCAGCACCAAGTGCTAGTTTCTCAACTTCAGCACTGTTCGATGCTGCCATGGACAAGTATTGAACCGCTTGCTCCTGGTTGGATTCACAACCCCAACCATGGCTGATACATAGTTAGTAGTGAATTGAATTAGATACTAACGAGTATTCGTGTACCGATTGACAATTTCAGGTTGCAATTGGGAGAGAGAGAGAGAGAGAGAGAGAGAGCTTACCGCAGGGCGAGGCCGTAGAGAACTTGAGCGAGAGCATTGTTTGCGCCGTTGGGATCAGCAAGTTTTCCAAACAGGGACGTTGATGCTTCAAGATCTTGTTTCGTTCTCGTCAGTTTCACCAGCAGGGCGCACACACGTTAGTTGCAATTACTCACCTCCGTGCTCGTGTTGTCGAATAGCCTCCTGTATGGTCTCCTATACAAAGCTTAGACCGACTCTTGTGCTCCCCATAGTTGTGCGTACCTCGTCCGCTGGAGCGCCAATGGTTGTACTGCGACGCCTTGGGGTCGTCGGTCGACCTTGTGACATTGGACTCTTGGGCACATGGCTTGGTGTACTGGGCTGGGAGCCATGTTGCAGCCCTGATGTAACCAGCACCGTAGCCCTCTTTTCCCACTTGGCCTCTTCCTCCTCCGTTCGTGCTACTCCATCTCCGCCTACTTCAGGAAGATTGTCCGGTACGTTTGCCGATGCGTTCGACTTGCTTCGCCCAAGCTGGAACCGATGCCACTCCCCTCCCGACGTGGAGCCCTGTGACGAGGCATTGCTACGACTTCTGAATCTGGGAAATTTGCCTCGCGGTTCAGGTGACAAGAGAGGAGAATCGCGCTGGGGGTCGCCGGGAAAGCTGGGGGGCTCGATCGTCTCTTGCGTCGACGTCGTGGTGCGAACGAACTGGAACTCTGGGACATTGGGAGAAAGGGTAGCCCCTGTCGGGGATGCAGGGCTTGCACCATCATCCCTGATTTTGTCCTTCTTCTTCAACAGGTCTTTGAGCGTCATGGTGTCGCGCAAATTGCCTCTTCTCGTGTCGAGCTTCGCGTTGCCAGCGCAGGCAAGGGGTTACGCGGCAGGAGACCTAGTATTGTTCGAGAACAGCTTCGCCAAAATTAGAGCGCGCCGTGCTTTCCCGCTATTCAATCTTCAGGGTATTCTTATATCTTCGCAAAGTCATCGTAAATGTGGCAGAGTCGCACATTATGCTGGCGCGGGCTGTCGAATTGTACGGCACGACGGACAGTGGGATGGAGGCTAAGCAGTAGTTCCAGCCCGCCTCAGCCTCCACACGGCACCGCCCCTGTCATACCCTACACGGTGAACACTTGCGACGCTAAGCATACACAAAAACAACATCATCTCTACCGCTATGCGACCAACCATGCTCCCGGAGCACACGGATACCAGGTGCATCTTCATGTCTGCTTGGGCAAAGCAACTTCTGGACATTTTGATCCTCAAGTCCCAGCCGTTGCCACATCCAGCGCTATCCATGCGTCGCCGTTATGCCTATGTACGCAATCCAGTTGCTTACAGCCGCCACCTTTATAAATATACCTTGGCAAACACCTGCAGCGTATATGCAGCGTAAGTATAGCACATGCAAACGCTATAGTAATATGTCATCCTGCAGATCTCTCACCACTTCAATATCCAATCATTCACAATATTTACATCAACAGACGGAGCATATTTGTATTCTTTCAATTCTTTTTCTTGTTACATGTGTTTTACTGTCTTCTTCTTCTTCTTCTTCTTCTTTTTTTTTGATTCGTTCAAACATATGCATAGGGTGCAGCCCCCTGAAAGAAACGAAAAGACAGCATAGAAAATCGCACGAAGGGGTATCACCGAAAAGAACCCTGAAAAGCCAAGGCCATCCCTAAACAGTCAAGACGAGCTGAACGCCATCAGAACGAAAACCTACCAGGTTATGAGATACACGAATATGAGACTTGAAGAGAAACAATTAGGGTGGCCCATATTGGAAACAAAACAAGGGGAAACATACAGTATCCAGGCATCACCAGATCTTGCTCACTGGTTTGCATCGAAGGGAACGAAGTCTGCCTGCTGTGTAAACTGACGAGGCTCATGGTCAACGCTGGCCTTTGGTATGATCTGCTCCAAGTTATCCTTGATAGTCACCATATCCTCGGGGGTTCTGGAACGATTAGGCGTATTCGACGAAGGAGAGCCTGCTGGTGAAGAGAGACGCGTGGTCTTTCTCATTCGAGAAGCACGGCGAACATGTCCCAGACGGCATTCATCGCCGTAGCGACATGTCCCTGTGTTGGCAAAACTAGGGCACTCATGTGCATGTAACTCAGCGCATTTGTCTCCCTTCTCGCAGTAGCCCAGGCTTCCGAATGCTTCGCAGTTTAGCGCAGCAGGATTGGTGCGAATATGAGCGAAGCGACAGCCGTCGTTAGCACATCGACCAGCTTGGAAATGCAGGCAAGTAGGCGCATTGTGTGGCGAGGCCTTGTGTGATAGAGAGCACTGCTCTCCCATGGGACAGGCATCTTTGTAGAACCAGCGTTTGCACACAGCTTGCCTGTCTGGATCATGGATGTAAGGACACCCATGCCGTGAGCACACACCTGTTGATGTGTTAGAGGCAAAAAGGAAAAAAAAGGAGAGTTGCCGAAAGTGTCGTTTCGTGGAAATACCTGCGGAAGTGAACGTGCGACAGAGATTCTGGAGATCCGTTGAATGATCGTTCGTTGGGGCGGTAGTGTTTAGTGGCTGCTTCGACGGACTTTCACTATCGCTTGCCTCTCGAGACTTGGTCGCGTCTATGGGCTTGTGTGTAATCGAGCGCTGGTATGGATGATAGGATCTGTTGGCGAAACCATGACCATAGCCACCTCGCTTTCGATGAAAAGCGTTGTGGTATGGATTGGCAGAATATCCTCTGGTCTGTGCATTCTCGCGCTCTTCTTTCTCTTTCTTCAGGCGCGCAATATAACCTATCGTCAGACTGTCAATATCTTGCGCTTATGGTCTACTTATTCCACGCTTGTTTGTACGCCTCTCCCACATACTCTTGAGCTCTGCATAGGCGCGTATTCGTTCCTCCTGTGAGGTCATCGCAGTGATTTGTTCGTGTGTGTACGGCGGGGGCCCCGGTGGTGCCATATTGTTGTCGCCTGATCGGTTAGCAATGTACGAGAGCAGTTGGCAAGCGGGCAACGGCGGGCGACGGCAAGTAGATTGAAGTTGTTGAAGGAGAAAAGCAGCGGGGCAACAAAGAATAATATAGTAGGGTGAGGCAGCGCCCATACTTGGCAGGGTCCAGGTCACGTGTCAGTTTCATCATCATATTCATATTCATTCTGACAAATACGTTAATGCCAAAAATAAGTATGATCTACTAGTCCCACCACACCTGTCAGACAGTGCTGATGTTTTCCAGATGCAGAGGTGTCAGATAGTCACAAAGAGTGATGTAGACAAAAAGATAAACATATGCAATCGCTGGGCGCGCAACGAACAGCCCCTGTCGATTCTCTTACGAACGACATCCTTTGTGTGAAGGCCAAGATATTTCCTTTCTTTAAGCACAGGTTATTCATTGATCATAATCTTCGAGATGATATTCATGTAAATATTAATTACAAGTGACTTCTACATAGCCCTTGTCATGCAAGAGAAGACAGAAAAGCATCAAGGGCACCGACACGTCTCGGTATGTGATAAGTTATAGATAAACGCCGTCATGCAAAGAGAGCTTCTGAGCCCTATTCCCAATAACGCCGTAAGAATGCTGTGATCCTAGACGCCATCCCGCTGTAAATGTTCCGTTTTCCTATGAACCAGTACCAAATTTTCAGACCGCGTTACAAGGCTGATGGTTATGAAGAAATGCCCTGTTTATTATTCATCCGCTTCCTCGTTCAACTGCTTACGTTTGATAGCAAGGTCTGCCTTCTGCTTGTCGATCTGGTTCTGCACACGTTTCTTGAAGAGGACATTGGTTTGTCGGTCGCGCTGCTCTGTACTCTGAATAATGGCCTTCTCCAGCTCTGCGATTTCAGTTCGGAGCTGTTCTTGACGCTGCTCCTCAGCTGCGGCGACTTCATCTACTTCGTCACCATCCTCGTCAGAGTCTGCATCGTCGTCGTCATCATCATCGTCGGCAGAAGTGGCTGCAGCAGGTGTCGAGGCCGCAGTCTCGGGCTCAATAGTTATGTTGCCATTATGGCTAAGAGCATGCATGGCGACATCATGAGCGGTCGTGGGGGTGCCGATTTGCTCGACTTGAACATTGCTCGAGTTTGCAAGCAATGCATTAAGCTGGTCATTGTCGCCGGTGAACTCGACTTCGTCATCCATGAGACCCTCTGCAAGCATCTGCTCAAGATCGTTGGCGTCCATCTCTTCTGCTTGTGAGGCGTCGACCATTTCCTCGTCAGCCTCTTCTTCCGAGCTTGACTCCTCTTCTGAACTCTCTGCATCGCTGTCTATCATCTCATATTTTGTAGACACTGCGTTTTCGTCCTCGGCCAGCAGTCGGTTCATCTGCGCTTCAGCTCGCTCGACATCGATGTATGATTTTCGAGGGCGGAAACGTCGCTTACGAGCCCATTTCATGGGCGGTGTCAGGCCATGAGGGAAACGGTGTGTATCCGGGGAGATGTAAGACGGCAGTGGATACTTTTTTGCCTCTTCCTCATTCTTGACCTCGTCGAGGACTAACAGCATCTGGCAGACATCCGCAGTCTTGACCCAGTCCTTTTTGTTCCAGCTCTTCAGAGATTCGATAACGGCGGGTAGCTCAACCATAGTCGCGGCGTACATGCGGTTCTGTATCGTGAGCATAGCGCGACGGCCTTCACGATCAAAGAAGCGGAAGTGTACCCCGGGGCCTCCTTGTGACACGCTCTTCCCAATTGTCTTTTCCTCAATAGACTTGCGCAGTAGGTCGCAGTCTGGGCCAGGCTTCATCCGCAACACGAACTGAGACTCAATGGCCGGGTCGGCTTCTGCTTCCTCAGCCTCACTGTCATATCCAACACCATATGGTCGTACTGGTGGCTTTCCTGCGCCCTTGACTTTCAGGATCGCCGTACTTCTGGTTGGGGTATTTGTATTTAGACCACTCTTTGGCTTTATAGACAGCTTGATAGACTGGGTGCGATTGTGCGTCTTGAGTGGAGGAGGCGGCTGCTCGACGGCTGCAAAGTTATCGTCGTCGTCGCTATCGTTGGTCATGGCAAGACTCTTCGCGGTAGGCTTTGGCTTGCGCTTGAGAGCAGGTGAATCGACATGTTCACCCTCGTCGCGCGCCCTCTTCTTAGGACCGGGCTTTCCTGAAGGAATGGCATTGCCGCTTTCATCGACCTTTGGCTTTTTGGTGTATTTGCGCTTGATCTTTGTTGCATCGCCGTTGCCTGCATCTGCTGAGTCGGTAGAGATAGGCGGCGCGATTTTAAACTTGAGCTTCGGGCCTGGCTTCGTGGCAGCCAGTGTAGGCGCGTCGGATGTGGGAGGCGCTGCGGGCGCATCGCTGGGAGCGGCGTCGGGGTTTTTGAGTTTGAGCTTCATCTTGGATGGCTGTGCGGATTATCTCGTCGGTTACGATGACAGGAAATGGACATGCGCCTGCGGGCGCGTCATTTGCGAGGATGTGCAAATGTGTACAGGCTAGAGAGTGCGGGTGGGCGATGGTGGTGATGCGTCGAGGGCCGTCTTGGCGAGCCGCGAAGGTGAAGGGCCAAAGCTTCCAACCCGCGTACCTTCACTCTATCGACACTGACTCTCTTCTCAGCCTGAACACAATGCGCCTGTTCCCACCGTAACATCTACCTTGCCACTGGACCTCTGCATCGATTCCTGTTTCTTCCACACACCACGTATACGCGCACACACGTACAAGCATGTCCCAAAACGATCTCTTCCTCAGTTTACTGCGGCCCGCCGTCCTCCACATTCTGCGTGCGACAGGCTTCCAACATGGCAAGCCCTCGGCTGTCGATACTATCGTCGACTTGACAGCGCGCTATCTATCTGTCCTGGCCGAACGAACTGCGTACAATGCTTATTCAAACCACAACGATCTCATACCAAACATCACCGACGTGCGCATGGCCATGCAGGATTGCGCACTCCTTGTGCCGACCATGACCGCTGGAGAAGAACTATGGAAGGAGATACTACGGAAGCCGCTTGAAGAATACAATGCCGAGACAGGCGCACGCGAAAACGAAGCGGCACGACGTGACGCCGAAGATACCGCAGACATTACCGAGTTTGTTGAATGGGTTAAAGGCGAGCAGAACAAGGAGATTCGGCGCATTGCAGGCACATACAAGCCGGTGCCAACGAATCCGACTGAGCAGCTTGACCAAGAGGAAATGGAGGATTATCTGAATAGTACGTCGCATGTGTTGTTGTAATGTTTTCTGGAAAATGCTAATTGCGCCTAGCCCTCATGAAAAAGCACAGCAAAACCGGAGTCGAATCGCGTTTCCAAGGGACCGTCTTGGGCGTCCCAGCCGAGCCAAAGTCTATCAAGATTGAGGGAGGAGCTGCCGACTCGATAGAAGAATGGTGTCGTAAGACGCGCGAAAAAGCAGCCAAAGAAGCGGAATCAAAACAAGAAAATCGCACTCTTCCGAATCATACTGAAACAAAAGAGCCCTCAGAGGATGTGGTGATGGAGACGGAATGAAACCTATTAATCAATTATGGAAGCATAGCGAAGGCGTTTGGTCACATCATTTTCTGGCGTTTTGGGTTGTTGGAACTTGGAAGCAAATGGAAGTCGCTGTTTTGGACATTGCTGTTTCGCTATTATCATATTTATTTCTCGGGCTGGATGTAGGCATGTGCCTGAACAGCACAAACAACTACTTCAACGCCACCAACGAATCGAGCGTCCATTACTGCTAATTTAGTAAAAATGAGATAAAATAACGGCTACACGAAAAAGAAAGCATATAGCAACCTATCATGGTACATGTGGAAGTGAACTTATGACGTACATGCCTAGCGGAGATGGTTGCTCCAACAAGCCGAGTCGCGATCCAGTACCGCAATAAACCTACCCACGCTTGATACCAAATTACCACATGCAAAGACTAAAACATGGCATATGTACACATTAGTTTCCCACGCATTCAGCTTAGCCACAGCATTGGTGGGGCTTGAAATGAATGACGGACGCGCCCCGCAGACGTCATAGCAATGACAAGGTGAACCCAAACAATCATCTCGACCTCTTCCACTCAAACCAATTCTCTCCCACCGATACCCCAATACACCCTTTTGCACACCCAACACCCAGAAATACCATCTCTACCTCAAACTCCCAACTAAAACTCTCACACACAAAACAACATCAACAATGTCCGCCCTCTCGCCCTCTGCCCCTTCCCAACCCACCACATCCCAAGCCTACACCACCCCGGGCAACCCCACAGAAAAGACACCGCAAGAACAATCCCAAGCCACCTTCAACGCCTCCGACAACGCCGCCTTCGCCGACCAGCGCATCCCCACGAAACAAGCAACGCACGAGCAAGGGCTCCAAAACGCAAAGTTCGAGGAGGGAAAGGGCGTCCACGGCGCACCGGCTGGCGAAGAAAGCAAAGGCTTAAGCGAAGAAGACGTAGGACGCCACAAAGAGCTGGACGAGCAGCAGATGGCTATGCCGGGTGAAGGGCGGGTGGCAGATGCGGTGGCGAGGAAAGGTGTGGGACTTGGAGGTGGAGGTGCGCAGCCGGGGTTGGAAAGTGATTTGGACAGGTAAGTTATTTCGCGTCGAGTGTGGACGGATGAGGAAAGGGGGGAATTTGGGGCTAATAAGTTTGTTACAGGAAGAAAGCAGAGCAGGCGGAGGCGAGGGAGGCGATTAAGGCGGAGAAAGCGCAGGCTGCGGCCCAGGGTGGTGCGTTGGGACAGACTGGCGGACCGGCGAATCCGGTGGATAATGCTACTCAGGGAGGAGGTAATTATCCTAATTCTAGCTATTAGATTTGCGTGGGTGGCGTGGTTTATGATGGACATGTTTGGGTGGATGATAATGACACGGTTGATCACGCTTTTTCCGTCTAATCATGCAGTGTACAGTTAGATGTGTATTTTGAATAAAGCGATATCTAGAATCTAGGCTGGATAAAAGAGATAGTTCCATGAGGATGTACATGTTATGGAAAGAGATTCGGCAAGATCTTTGCAGTGTCCACACGTACCGCTCTCCATCAGTAAGCCACGAACGAAAAGGCAATTGTATTGTGTGAGAAAGGGTGAGGGTCACTGAGGAACATGACCGAGGACAGGTAAAATAACAACATGTTTAAATTTTATCCATTGTCCCCATAGAGCTCAGGAAGAGCCATAGGAAACAACATAGTATTAAACCATCCCCATCCATCCACTGCTGTTGAATGTCTTCCAGCATCTATATGCACGCACATATACGACCTGCACTGGTCCTCTCTAGTCTCAACCAACATGTGCAACGTGAACGTTATAGACAAACAAAGATGGCGAGGGCTGCCTCGCGCACTGTCCTGATTCGTGGAAAACAAAGACAAGAAACAAGAAACAAAAACGCCACCGATGCGAACCTACCGCAGCCCTCTGCGCTCCATAGAAGTCGCGGCTGGTGGTCACAGTCATCGAAACGCCAGACGGAAAAGCCCTAGGAATGAGATATGAAAGAGCAGAGAAGAAAAGAGAGAAAAAAAGAAGCAAAAACATTATGTACATCAACAAGACCCCTAGCCCTGTGACTAGAAAAGGCAACGATCATCGACGCGTAGACAAGGGGTGAGAAAGGGGGACAAGAACAAGGGATATGTGCACCTCATCTAAGAACCCATGTTGTACGTGTCGAACTGAAAGTTGTTCATGTCGGGTTGGGCGGCAAGGCTGGGGTCGAAAAAGGCCGTGTTATCGAACACCATAGGCTCACTTGCATGCATAGTCATACTGTAGTCCACAAACTGATTTGGATCTACAGGGACTTGGTTGATCAGTGGCATGGGCAGAGGCTGTTGCGATACAGGGTACTGGGCAGCAACAGTGGGGTCGAGAGTGTACGAGGCTGTGGTGGCGGGAGCGGGAACAGCGATGGCGGCTGTGCTGGTGAGGTCGAAAGAGGCGTTGTTGTCGATGGGCTCGGGCATGTCGTTGTCCGAGTTGTCGGCGGGGGATTGAGGAGTGGGCTTGTTCTCGACTTCCACCTCTTTGATCCAGTTTTGCTTCAGGTACTCCATGGGAGGGTGATCACCACCACCAATACCACCGCGCTTCTCGTCACTGCGACCCTTCCTGCCCCGCTTGCGGGGATGGAAGTGGGCACGGCGAAGATGGGCAGCAGCGTTGTAGTAGGCACCGTATACCTTCTTGTTACGGCAGTGTTTACAGTTGGCAAGAAACTTCTGGTCCGCTGATGAGTCGACGCAGATGTAGCCCTTCCTACGCGAGGCATGGGCACGAGCAATATGACGATCGAGTTCGTGAGTGCCACGGAACCCATCGGGTCGCTCGTTGCAAAAGTTACACTTGATCTTTGGATGCTGGGGTCGCACATAGGGCGTTTTAGCTATGACACCAACAGTTTTGGACGAGCCATCCTCTGACCGAATCCTTGTCGTCTGAGCATTGGACGACGCAGACTCGGTCTCATCGAGGTTGTCAATTGTTTTTGGAGCAATCTTGCGAGACGCAGCTTGTGCGATGATCTCGCGCTCGCGTTGCGACTGGCGAGAGTTCGTCGACGAGGATGCAGACACCTCGCTCGAGTTACCCAGGCTAGACGCGGCTGAAGTCGACCTCCGCATATCCTCCGCCAGGCACGACTGGTCGTTGTTGTTGAAGAGGGTGATGTCGGAAGAGGCAAGTGCAGGCACACTTGCGGGAAGCGAAGAAGAACAAGACAAAGAAGCAGAAGAAGAAGAAAGGAAAGCTTCACTGGAGGAGCCAGTGAAGGAGAGAAAAGGAGACACACCAGCGGACTCGCTGATGGGTTTTGATTCGACATCAAAGGAATAAGGAAAAGTCCCATCCTCTGAGAGGATGGGCATGGTACATGAAGAATCAGACTGAACACGCAACATGGAAACTTGATCAAAAAACAGAGGGTTGTAACTACCCTGACGACTCATGTTACTGGATTGAGTAACAGGCGTCATCAGAGCAGTTGACGGAGTTTGGGGCGAAGAGACATCGGACGATGAGCTCCACTGTGGGGTAGGTGTCAGTTGCAACTGTTGCGAATGCTGGGGAAAGGGGAAGGTGGAGGCGTCATGGGGCTGAATGCAGCTGCTGACATAGTCGTCAACGCTGTACTCGGCAATGGCACCGTCACAGCCAGTTTCTGGCAGCGAGTACAGACTGGGCTGCCTCTGCATCGACGAGTCTGAGTAGAGGGTGTAGTCGGTATAGGCGCCAGTTGAGGGGTCGTTCATGGCCGAATCTGAGCGGTTCATGACCGGGGCCGAGACAGACATCTGAGGGGCGTGTTAGAGCGGGGAAAAGAGGCGCAGACCAAAAAAATCCATACTGAGAATTGGGTCACGTCTGATGCGGGGCAGGGCATTGAGCGTGGTATTTGTTCGGCCGCAGAGGCTGATGTGGGCTGGCAGGCGAGCTGGAACCAGGCGTGATTCCGCTCCTCCTCGGTGAGGTGGGCGTTGCTCATCCAGAAGTTGCGCTTGGCCTGCTGGAGGAAGTCGACGTAGGTGTTGTCATTACTACTACTGCTGCTACTACTACTAGCGGACAAGGTTGAAGCCATGAGCGGTGGTAGTGGTGGTGGTGGTGGTGGTGGTGGTGGTGGTGGTGGTGAAGATGGAGTTTTGGTGATAGGGTAAAGTGACGTTGTTTGGTGGGCTATAGCACAGCAATTAGCACGGACGGAACGAGGAAGGAGCGGAGGGCGTGAGAGCAGCAAATGTTACTTACAGTTTGTGGTGGTTTGCAAAGGCAGGAGCGTTGGATGTGCTTTCAGAGAGCTTTTTGCAAGTGGTATATGTGCAAATGTGAGGATGTGGATGTGGATGTGTATGCAAGTATGTGAGACGGGATGGATGATCAAATGGTGAAAAAGAGCGGGTTGCGTCGGGGGGGAGTCCGAGCCTTTTAGCATGGCGTGGCGCACACGCACATGGGGGACGAGCGATGCGCTGGCTCGCGTCGGCGACAGTCTGACGCCTGCGGCCCGCGCTGAGCTGTGGGCAAAAGGACCAGGGCAGCGCTCAGAAGGGCAACGTGCCGTGGTGATCATGGCCCCGTACAGACTCAGATTATTGGATACGACCAGCCCATGCACGCCCTCATTTGCTGCCTCGCGCTCACGGCCCTGCAACACACAAGCAGGCCCTCCCCCAGTGTCCATCCAGCGTACATTCAGCCTACAGCCCGCCGGTGCCCTATCGTGTATCCGCACTGGGCAAAAGGCAAGGCACATGTCCTGCATGAGGTCGCATCTGGCAGCCTGTGCGCTCAGTGGCAGCACCATCCACCGCACCCTGTAGCCCTGGCGTTCAGCCCACGTCGCCGATGCGACATCACCAGCCCACCATATCGTCGTCATTCCATCCCTCTCTGCGAATCGCGGAAACGGCGGATCGCCCTCAATCTTCTCGTCTTCGTTAGCAGCCCTGAGCCGCCAATGGTCCAGACACGTCCATGGATCGTGTCTTTGGCAATGCTCTGCAAACCACCACGTCCCCTTCCTGTCGTGAACTACCGCTTCTGGTTGGTGCACATCTCCCCTCCCCCCCCGGATCGACCATCTGAATCGCGTCAAATACCATATTCATTTCACAAGGTTTGATTATCTATACTGCTGCTGCCCTCCTTAGCTCGCCGGGGCATTGACAAACACCGCACCAGGCATTCCTGGCGACAGCAGCAGCTCTATCAGCCTGCTCCGCTTACGCCTGTGTCGATGCGATGACACAGGTGCCGAGCATGACGACGCTGACGACGAGAAGGAGAACCTCGACGTCCGACTGCCTTGTCCCTTATCTGACTTTGCCTCGCTCACGCTCACGCTTGCTGTGCTTGATAGGCTTGCCTTGTCATCATGGCCCTCCTTCTCCATACTGCTGCAGCAGCTACCATTGCACAGCCAATACCTATCCAGCGAAGCCTCAGTCGCCTCTGCAACAACGCCCAGCTCTTCAAAGAACGTGACCACATCCTCCTCGAGCCCCACTAGCTCCGCGTAACGCTTCTCCTCGGATGCTAATTTGATGCCATCAAACGTGCATGCATCAAGTGCTATTGCAACAGAGTCTCTGCGCTGCCTTACTGGCTCCCGTGCAAGCATCATGCTCCCCGGCACATAGATGATCCGCCCGCCAACCACGTCAACGCTGCTGCGCCTGTGCTGCGTGTCCGTGTGTGTGTGCGTAATACCACTATTCCTACCCCATCGCATGTTTGAAGGCGACGGGGGCGAGCACATCTTGTCGGCCACCACCATGATATTGGCCGGGTTGTCGTTCCGAGCACACCACATCTGTGGACTGCCTAATGTTTCACTCGCGGCATGCCCTTTGCCAATCGCGTACAATTTTTGGGGTGTCGATAGTACCGAGCTTGGCGACCCTGTTACTGTTGCCGCTGTGGTACTATCTCCTCTGATACAGCCTCTACTGTTCAATTCGTACCCTGCAACGTCCGTGTCGAGCGCCGCCAGTTGCCTGCCTTGCCGCTTTGGCCCGACGCGCGTCTGTTGCGCCAAAGACGTGCGAGATTGCTTTGCACTAGGAGAAATTGCTGCCCCGCTGCCTTGTGCCTGTGCATCTGCTTGTGCTAGTAATTCCCCCATCATCCCTCTCTTGCTCATCTCCACGTCACATGACCGGACCCGCTTCTTTCTCCTCTGCTCTCCCTCCTTCTCCCTGTTATTGTTGTTCTTCCTCCGAATGGTATCAAAGTACCCTAGCCCACCAACACCGCCTACTCGCCCCTCTCCAACCGCTTCAACCGCTTCAACCAGCGGTGAAGCACGTGATTCCAACCCGCCATACGGCGCCGAGTACGCTTTTCTCCGTAGTCGTGCCCGAGCCAGACCTCTTACTACACCGCTGCTCACTCTGATGTCATCGGTGGGGGGCAATGTAATCGTCGTACTCGGTCTTTCTTCTCGTGACTCTGTCTCCGTTGGTGGGGGTGGTGATACACTGGATCCGTCTCTCCGTTGCGGTGAGGCCTTATCGTCTCTGTCGTTGTCGTCATGACCATTTCCATCGGCTTCATCTTCGGAAGATGAAAAATTCGAGTGACTAGCAGCCGTAGCCCAGAGTCCAGCCAGCATATCGATGTCACTCGTCGGCCGTCCTGCAAAGTTTGCACTCGGCAGTAGCTCAACTGGCATGTCATAGTAATCTTCTACAATATGTGGCATCGTGGCAGGCAGTATAGTAATGGAAACTGGGATTTAATCAGACAGCAAATGTGTGGCATTCACAATAGTAGTAAACAATACCAGTCGAACTTCTTTAACAAGCACCACCAGTTCCTCCTCGCAACTAGCTGAACATATATTTCTTTGTCCGTACACATCTGCACTGGTCACACTGCGGACTGCACAGACAACAGTAACTCGCGGGGTACGCTGCATCGCGAATTATTTTTGGTATACACAAAGAATCGCGAGGCTGAGTAAACTCATCCTGCATCCCACACACACACACTCTCTCTCTCTATCTCCCAGACAAGGAATTTTCGCTATCCGGCTCATGTAGACTCCGTGGCCCCCAAATCCACTCGGAATCCGGTTAAGCTTAGCTCTGCTCATTTATTAACGTTTACCCTTGTACAATATGCGCAGTCAATCGCTGAGCCTCATCCGCTTGACCCGGCTACTTGGAACCCCTCAATGATTTGCAACCCCGACACATGCATCCTCTGCTATTTTCATAACCAATCTTAACTTGACCTACCAAATCCCACTGTTTCTTGACTCAACCATGCATTTGACATACGATATTGAAGTATACTTTTTTTTCGTCTTGATTCAAGTAATGTGCCAAGCACCTAGACACGTGACATGGACTCCACCATGTGCAAAAAAAACAAAAAAAACATACGACAGCGGGGATTCGCCAGTGGTCTCCCACCTGACTACTAATCCGCCGGTAAACTGCTTAAGTATGGATGATCAAACGGGGATCCCTGCTGCCAGTGTCCTATGGTCGTATGTGAAAGAATTGGGAATTGAAAACTTCATGATTGTGGGTTTAAAGCATAGAACAACGGACTTGGACGCTGAAAATCAGGACTTGCTAATGGATTCCATGGTTTTTTTTCTTCCTATCATAACACGATGGGGATATGAATAGTTATCATAGTAGTTTGAATTCGCCTGTTACTCAGAGAAGAATTGGTAAGAAAGAATACATTCTACCAGTCTTCCAACACACATTACATACTACAAATCCCATCACTCTCCTACGAAACCTACACACTCTCCCCAAAAATTTCCGCCCTCTCATGCCCTCCCCTCCTCAGAAAAATCTTCATACTCTGCAACACCTGCGCCTTCAAATCCGGACGACTCATATTCTGCCCCGCAAAACCACCATACGTGCTATCAAACTCAAACGGCTTGATCGCCTTCCAGATGGCCAGGACAGCAGGCGGAGGTAGAGGGATCATATTTGGATACGCCCACATGAAAGAGAAGGATGTTGTATCAGGGATACGGTGGGCGTTGTTGAAGCCAGACTATGGTGTTTAGATTAACAATCAGTTTGATAGGGACAGAATAGGGTAAGAGAAGGAAGGTAAGAGGGAAGAAGGACTCACAGGCACACTCATAAACGTATCAGCAATAAACAGCTTCTCCTCCCAATGCGCGACTGAACTCCCTTCGAAATGGCCGCCGCACTGGATCATCTTAACCTCACCACTCACCTCTTCAATTGGCGTTACACCCTTCACAAGCTTCCTCACACCCTTCTTATCCTCGCGGTTAAGCCATTGCGCGTCGTCTTGGCATGTGTACACTGGACACCCGAATGCATCTGCCCACTCGAGGTGCGTGGTGTAGAAGTGCGGGTGGCTAATTACAATTGCCTTGAGCCCACCTTTTGAATTGATGAAATCAATCGTCTCCGGGTTCAGCAGCGCAATGCAGTCCCAGAGCACGTTTCCGTGACTTGTCTGCAGCAAGATGGCGCATTGCCCGATGCCAAGTTGCTTGCGGGTAGTGCTTGAATCAGCGAGACCGGCAGGGAGCTCCGAAGGGGTCAGAGGCTTTGTGCTGATGTAGTGGATTCGGGCATCCTTGGAGTCGGTTTCGAATACGTTTTTCTGTGTCTGTTGGTTTTTGGCAAGGTTGGTCCAGGATTGGCCGGAGGCTGGGACGTATTGACGAGGATCCTATTGCGTGTTAGGTTTTATATCCTTCTTGGAGTTGACCATTTTTTAGTGTTTGCGGAACTAGTAATGGATTGATTGGTAAACACTTGTATGACGTACATCGCAGATGCGGCATGTTTCAGGGTGCTGCGACAACGGAACGTCGTATTGTGTTCCACATGTTTCGCAGATGGCTAGGTCGCTTGGTGAGAACTTCATCTTGTGTAGTTTGAGAGTTGTTGTATGGTTGTGTAATGTAAATGTATAGGGTCGTGGAACAATTGGCGTATGTCATCTGTCAAGGGTGTCATGGTTGCTATTTTATCCAACTACCAAAAGTGGGGTCAGCTTCTAGAGCTCAACCTGATATCAAGACACGTTCATGATGACAAAGTTTTGGACCCTGAAGCTAGTGAATTCATTCCATGGGCTTCGTGACTGCAGAATTGGGCCTAGCCTTAGAGACCTATCGTGGATGCCTAATAGGAAAGAATATGGTACTGAGTGACAAATTGGAGCGTACTAGACCACGAATCCATACATTTGTCAGGATTCATCAAAACCTTCACAAGCTTGGTCATCGCAATCGAGACAGATGGTATTTATTGCGTAATACTGAACATGTACAAAGGCTAGCTGCAAAGCCCCCAAACGCCTATTACCAAAAGCGTTGTCTACTTTTCTACCGACTTGGCGTCAATCTGTGCCTTTGGACTTGCGTTTGCAATTCTTGACCATTCGCCGTTGAAAGCATTGATAAGCCACCATCTCAATTCTGTATCTTCGTCAGCATTGGCTCTTGCATAACCAAGAAAACTACTTACTGTCATAGACAATCTTGTTGGCGTTGTGGAAGTAGATGCTATGGTCCGAGTCTGGAAACACGTGTACGTCGTAATTTTCAATGCCTGCAAGATCCAACCGGTCCAGTAGAGTAAGTGTGTTCTGCATGTGCACGTTGTCATCGGCGATACCGTGCATGACCAGAAATCGGACATTATTCGCGAGCGATCTCACATCAGTAATGGTCGAGTTTTCGTAGCCTTCGGGATTGTTCTGGGGCGTGTGCATATAGCGCTCCGTGTAGATGGAGTCGTAGAAGCGCCAGTCGGTAACAGGCGCAACGGCCATTCCGTACTTGAACGTCTTTCCTCCATCCTGCTCAAGGGTCTTCAGGGTGTTGAAGCCTCCATAACTCCAACCCCATATAGCCAACCTATCAGCATCAACATACTTTTTGCTCGCCCAGATCTTGGCCGCTGCAATCTGGTCGTGCGCTTCATAGTATCCAATGTTGCCTCGAGTGATGCAGCGCAGCTTGCGACCAAGGAAACCTGTACCACGTCCGTCTACAGTGACAACAATGTATCCGAGACTTGCAGCAATGTAGGATTGGAAATCAACCTTGAATCGCTTATTCACTTCCTGCGAACCTGGACCACTGTATTGGTAGAACAATACAGGATACTTCTTCTTTTCGTCAAAGTGTGGCGGGCGGCGTTCTAGAACGTTGAGTTTGAAACCGTCAACGTCGATTGTCTGGTATTTGAGAATTGGCAACTCAAGCTGGCGCACTAAGCGATCGAGGCCTTTGTTTTCTTCGATAGTCTTTTCGTATTTCTCCTTGTTTGCCGATGTGCTGATGATCTTCTGCCATGGAATTCCGGGGCCTTTGTATGAGATCAAGGCGAATGAACCACCAGCCGAGAATGATGCGTCGTAGTACCCTGAACCGCTATTCTCTACGACTTCGCTCTTTCCGGTGCCGTTCAGATACACAGAGTATGCGTGTCGCTCTGTCGAGCCTTTCTCAGTGGATATGTAGTAGACTAGGTTGTTCTTCAGATCCACTCGAGACGGCGCCTCGACAACTTCCCATTCGCCCTGGGTGAGCAATACGGGCTTGTCACTGTCCAAAGGTGCAAAGTAGCCAATGTGGTCATAACCCTCATGAATAACAGTGTCGATGTAGCCATCGTGCTCGCGACCGTTGCCAGGATCTGCTGGTACAAAGGTAGTTTTTTGTGAAACTTCAAACCATCCACCGTCTAATTCCGCAACGTTCTCAGTCCTGATTGTTTTTCCAGTACGTTGCTCGACGTCCATCAGCACTAGCTTGAGGATATCGCTCTCACGGTTCGTTTCCCGAACAAGTACCTGCTTTGTCTTACCCGCCCAAACGATCTCGGTGATTAGCCTGTTGTCATCTTGGAAATCGTCCTCAATCTTGACACTGAATACCTCGCCCTTCTCGACGTCATAGAATTGCAGCGATACGATCGGATTTGGCGCGCCAGCCTTGGGGTACTTGATATTGCGAACTTCGGGATAGTTTTCTTCGCCAGCCTTGGGCCTTTCTCCGCTGGGCCGTGACAAAAAGTATTGGACCGGGTACGTCGGAACGATCGATTCATCTGTGCGCAAAAAGGCAATGTACTTGCCATCTTCAGACCACCATGTTGCACTGTTGCCTTGGAAGACCTCCTCTTCGTATACCCAATCGGGGATGCCATAGAATAATTCAGTTCCGCCGTCCTTTGTGATTTGGATGACTTCTTTGGAGTCCAACTTGCGTAAGAACATGTTGTTGTCCCTCGTGAAAACGACCGCATCCGATTGCGGTGACAAGGAGGCCAGTTGGATCACAGCTCCTGGGTTTTGTGGATCCAGAGGCTCGCCAGTTTGTGTCTCGACATCGAATATCCAGTACTTGCCCGTACCAGAGTGTCGCCAATTCTTTTGGTAATTCGACAGGACTAGTACCTTCTTGAAGTCCTTGCTTGGCCAAACATCATTAGGATAGACAGATGTCCCGTCCACCGTGAAGCTCTTTTCTTTCATAAGCGTTGTTTGTGCTTTTGTAGCTCTTGCCTTGCCCTTGCTTCTGATATCCTCGACTATCAAGTATCCCTCTTTCCCAGAGTCTCTCTCAAGCAACAAGCCGTCCTCGCCCGATGGGCCTGCTATCCACTCGACGCTCTGTTGTTGGGGGTAGAATCGACCACCCAGAACATCATCCATGGTAATCTTCTTTCCTGAACCCTTTGTTGAGCTCGCAAGAGGATCATGTGGCCGGCTCGAGACAGGCTTGTAGGTGCCGCTCATCAAGAAGAACACCAGCGCAAGCGTCCATCCTGCTACACATGCCGTGCCTACAATCCATAACCATCTTCGTGTCTTCTTATCTACCCCTGTTGGGGTTCGGTATTGTGCGCCCTCGATATCAAACTGTTCGTGTGGGCGACTTGTATCGTCTTCGTCAGTGTACTTCTCTCCACGATTTAAACGCGATGCACCGGTGACTGCTGGGTTGTTGATGTGTTCGAGAACTAGCGACGTGGTGGAGATGGACGATATAGAGGCATCAGACTCGTCTTCTGAGGTGCGCGCGGATCGCTCATCTTTGGTTAGAAGCTCCGCTTCCTCTTCAGGAAGGGCGCGGTGTCGCGGCATCCTAGCTGTAACGTGATGAATTTTAAAGGAATAGGATCACTTTGGGAATCAACGCATCTTGATAGAAGAGCAATACAGATCGCTGTAGTCCACTTCCAGAAATTGGTATGCGGCTGCGAGGTGTGGTCAGGGGTTACGTATAGGCTAGCATGCGGAGGTGCGGAGTTCACGCGGAGGTGTCAGAGCTGGAGTTGGCCCGAAACATACCAAGCCACTTTTTGATGCAAGGGGGGAACGCCAGCGCAACACAAAGAATCCAAGAGATAAATTTCTATTCAAGTCTAAACTAGGACAACTTTAGAACGGTATAGTTTCAGCTTATTGCTTCCAACTTTATAACTCATCAGTCCCCTCCTTGCAATCGTGATAAGCCAAGCCTCTGGAGCTTTTTCACTTGAACGAAATCGTGGCCAATTTGTTGACTAACACAACGCCCCCTAATGTTTTTACTGATATGACCAAGAGACTACTTAAACCAAGGCGGTAGCTATCTTGCAGAATGCTTGTCAGAAGAACTGTCATAGGAAGATGTTAGGCCTAGGAGAACCTGGGAAGTATCGAGTGCTAGCGTAGAGCTTTGTCTGAAGGAATCGCCCGTGTCAAACAGAATGTGCTTTATCGTTAGACTAAGACGGCAGCGGGCCAAGGTAATCCTAAGGTTTTGTTTAGTGGGTAGTCATTAGGATTGGCTCTGGAAGTTCCTACCTCCTTCATTGTGCCCACGGCATACATCTTGTCAACTTCAGATCTCAGACCCTTGATCTTGATACGAATGTTAGTGCCCTTTTCAATAACCTGTTCTCCGTCGTCGGTCCATTGCGGCGGTGTGGCGTTCGCGTCGAACTTGATCTCGGCAGGGATCATCTATTACCTGTTAGTGAATGAGGAGGCGCATACGGAGGGGAGATCTTACACTTCGTCCTACGAATGCTTGCAAAGACCCACAGTCTACAAAGAAACCTGTGCGGAGCACTGAGGTGACAATGCCATCCATCTTGACATGGTTAGCTGAGCAATCCGCAGTCGCGCCCCCAGTTTGCACATACCACCTCGCCTTTGTACGGCCTCCACACAACTGCCTTGTAATGTACAACGTATTCAGCGGAGCCAGAGCCAGGCATGACTTTGCCATCGGATATGTCGAACGAGTCCAAGATGCACACTATGGTGTATTTTCCAGTACTCGACCCCTCCTCTTTCTGCAACAGTTCGCGATGGATGTGCTGGCGAATCAGAGGACCAAAGTACGACGGATGCAGCTGGATCGTCTTCTCGAGTTCTTTGAGAAAAAACATATTGCGCGGTATGCGACTGGCTTGACGGACAGGGCAGAGTAAATGTGCGCGGTTTTCTTGGAGAATACGGACGGAGTAGCACAGGTGAAGGTAGATAACGGTAGAAGGCGAAGAAATCCAGACGATGCTCCTTGGTATTACGCGACTCTAAAAGTCTTTATTCTGACGGGCCCAGTAAAGAGTCGACAGTGTGAAGTGTAGCTAACACGCGTGTTTCAGCGAGACGCGCCCTCGGCCTGCAAGCCAACCCTAGTTATTATATCCAGCAGCCCATGCGCACAGCCCACAGTGTATGCGCGCTGCTTGTGGTAGTTCGGGGATACAGCGGTAGCGGATTCGGGGAAATTTGGGAGGGCTGGGAAAAACAGTCGAGTGCTGCGACTTGAGCGTTGAGCTCCCGAAGATGCAGGGCTCCAGGGCTCTCGGCACGGAAAATCATTCGCTAAGGACCAAGCAGTGACCAGACTCCCACCTGCCAGCTTGCGCACCCCCACACACCCATGCCGTGATACTAACGTTCACTTTGCGCCATCCGCACATCCTCGGTCCTCCACGGACGCTGTCCTGACTCCACGCAACTCGTCGAGCGCTCGCATCCCCCATCCCCAAGATATGATTTAGTCGCTTGACACCCTCTCGCAACGCCAACACGAGCTCAAATTCCGCATCCGGCACCATGTCTCTAAATCTGGAGAAACAACTTGTCTTTGTACGTCATTCTTCAACAGACACATGTATCGATCTAACTGGACAGTAGTATGGAGCATACCACCATAACAAAGTAGGCCTCTTCCGCCCGGCCGTTTTCACGTGTCAGCTAACGCGCTGCCCATCAGGTTAACGTGGGGATACATATGCTTTGCGTACCTCCCATCCTCTTGACATCTTTTCTCCTTGTATGGCCCCTGAATTGTCACTGCCCAAGCCCCACTAATCCGAATCATAGCTCACCAACACACCGGCCGTGCCGCTGCCATCATGGCTTTCCGTTCCCAATCTCCCGCTCAACGTCGGCACCGCCGGAGCTGTACTCTACTCGACCCTATATGTCCTCATGGAGCCTGTCGCAGGAGCCATGATTGCTCCGATCCTTATCGGTAGCACCGCTTATGCAAATCACCTCACATCCACGTATGGCGCGTCAGTCAACTCTTGGGCTGGCGCAACCAACATTGCATGCTGGATTGCGCAGTTTGTCGGACATGGAAAGTTTGAGGGAAGGGCGCCAGCATTGCTAGACAACCTCATTCAAGCCATCTTCCTGGCTCCATTCTTTGTCTGGTTCGAAGTTCTCTTCATGCTCGGCTACCGTCCAGAGCTCAAACGCCGTATAGACCAGGCAGTTGAGCAGGAGATCCAGAAGTTTCAGAAGAGCAAGGAAAAGGGTCAGAATGGCTCGGCAAAATAATTCGATACTTGAAATATGGATTTGATGACCAGAGCACAAGTGAGGCATGGTGATGTCTCTATCAGAGGTAATAGAAGGATGCGTTCAGGCTGCACTGCCCTAGGATGCGCATGTAATGTATGGATACTACGGCAGAGTGAGCATTGCATGGTGCAAGGCGTATACGGAGTTGTGTCGCCTATGGTTGTTAGTTTTGCACATTTTGTCTATATATTTCTGCTGAAGGGGTTGCAACATAGTAGGATACCAATCTATAATGTTGTTCGCTCAGACTATTGTGTTAACGAGTACCAATTCATTGTAAAATTTCTTTTCTTTGGAAGTACGTCATGGGTCTTCCAAGCAATATCCCCATAGCTGAGGGTTCGACCCTTAACTATATGTCGACATTATGACAGCCAATCGATAAGGCAGCTTGTGGGATGCGAGTTTGTGTTACACACAGTAGCCACTCTCATATAGGAATTCGAAGGGGCCAGTCGCTTTCCTTTTGCCAATTGAAACCTCTAGAATATTATTTCTCAGCTTATGACCTCGCAAAATCTCCTCGAATTTGAGCGTGGATGTCGTGGTAGAGTTGGAGCTCGGTTGAGAAACGGCTTTTTTAGGATTAGTGGTCGACGCCAAGGTCCGCGCTTTCCTTCCGAACCGCAGGACTTTCTTCCTCACAGCAGAGCTCCCATCCTCAACTCCATCACCATCTCCCCTCTTCCATACCTGCATCAATCTCAATTGGTTGCAGAGCTACCGAAATAGTCTCTTGAGCAGCTGCAGCCATGTTCTCAAGGGCCATCCGCCAGTCGAGCCGCCGGGTCGCTGCAATCTCTGCCACCAGCAGGATTGCTTCGGTAAGTCCATCGCAACTGCCTGCAATTGCGCCTTCACCCGGCCCAGCCATCGTCCGCCATTGATAGAACCGATTTCCGATGCCATTGGCTCCACAATGGCGCTTCGTTGATGGAAGTGGGCGGCCTGCGCAGCACTGCGGCGGGACCAAGGAAGCTCCCCTCCTCCGAAGATGCAGCGCTGACGGCTTTTTCTACCAACAGACTCGCGCTCCCGCATTCACCAACGCCACGCGCTTCTACGCTTCCGACGCAAAGGCGACCCCAACGGAAGTTTCCTCCATCCTTGAGCAGAGGATCCGCGGTGTCCAGGAGGAAACCAGCCTCTCCGAGACTGGACGTGTTCTCTCCGTCGGGTAAGCCATTTTGCCCATGCAAATAGGCAAGGAAACTGACCGCGGAACAGTGACGGTATCGCCCGTGTCCATGGCATGAACAATGTTCAGGCCGAAGAGCTTGTCGAGTACGCCAAGTCCACAACATCACTATTTCCCCACGGGAGCTAACAATTGCCCCAGGTTCGCCTCTGGTGTTAAGGGCATGTGCATGAACTTGGAAGCCGGCCAGGTCGGTGTTGTGCTTTTCGGTTCCGATCGTTTGGTCAAGGAAGGCGAGACCGTCAAGCGTACCGGACAGATTGTCGACGTTCCCGTTGGCGAGGCTCTTCTCGGACGTGTCGTTGATGCTCTCGGTAACCCCATCGATGGAAAGGGTCCCCTCAAGACCACTGAGCGCCGCCGTGCCCAGCTCAAGGCCCCCGGTATCCTGCCCCGCCGTTCCGTCAACCAGCCCGTACAGACTGGTCTCAAGTCTGTCGACGCCATGGTTCCCATTGGACGTGGTCAGCGTGAGTTGATCATTGGTGACCGTCAGACCGGAAAGACTGCCGTCGCTCTCGATGCTATGCTTAACCAGAACAGGTGGAACAAGGGTAAGGAACTCTGTCGAATACATTGATACATTGACGACTGACATTAACTGCTAGGTACCGACGAGACCAAGAAGCTGTACTGCATCTACGTCGCTGTTGGTCAGAAGCGATCCACCGTCGCTCAGCTCGTCAAGACCCTTGAGGAGAACGATGCCATGAAGTACACAATCGTTGTCGCTGCTACCGCTTCCGAAGCTGCTCCCCTGCAGTAAGATTTGACCCGTTTTGCGCTTTGCATGGGCGGTTACTGACTTAGTATAGGTACATTGCGCCATTCACCGGTATGTTCATTTCTCTTTTGTATTGAATTTTGCGTTGCATTGTTTTGTTATTTTCTGAATTGCGTGTGCTTTTCTCTCACCTGTGAGAGGCGGTGTGCGGGGCGGGAGGCACCTACTTATGCCCCGCCTGTTCCGTTTCTCTTCTCTTCTTCTCTGTACTGCTTTCTTTCTGCTGTCGATGGACGGCGTCCATTTCTTCTTCTGTTGTAGTGATGAGGATGAGGATGGTGGTGGAAGGTGAGATAGAGGTGAGATGGAGTTGCAGGACCGACGCGAGTGCGTTGGGTGACTGGCGTGCCTTCCTCCAGCACAACACGCTCCTTCCCCAGCAGGCCAGAGCCACCTCTCACTCCGGCTCTGGCCTGCAATGCTCCTTCCTCGGTGGGTTTTTTCCTCCACCAGGAGCAGGGGAGACTCACAAATGGCCACTGGCCATTTTCTCATCTTCCGGTTACTACCTCCATCACTCCTTCAGCATTGAGTCCCGGTGCAGCCTGCCTCCGAGCATCGCGATTCTCCAGACACTACCAGCACTACCACCACAGTACCGGGAACGTGCCTGCTCCACCCGGCACTCCAGCAGGAGCAGAGTACCGGCATCATGGATGACGGCAACACCCTCCTCGAGCACCTCGATATTGAGGGTCACCCGGCTGCCGGTGATACCTTCTTCGAGGACCTTGATCTTCCCGGCATTGTGGATGCTGATGACGGCTTCTGGGAGGACCTCGATTTTGCCGGAATCGATGCTGAGCAACCCACCGCCAGTGACGGTCTCTACAACTTCATCCATCGTCTGTTGTGGCAAGTGCTTGAGTCGGACCTTCCCGACTGGTACCTTCACCCCATCTACCGGATCATCTATCCTACCAAGGAAGAGTTTGACGAGAAATGTGCTTCGCTCTCCATCACATTTGTCGACGGTCTCCTGGAAATGATCAACTCCCGCATCCCACCTTCCATGGAGGAAATCAAGGCCCTCCCGGCTGCTCCCTCCCCGGAAGAGTTGTCCAAGGTATGGGCTGTCTACATGCATGTCTACGAGCTCGATGGCCGTCGAGGCCGCCTCTACGCCGGCTCTGCTACCCACGCCTCGTTTGGTGCACGCCCCCGGATTGGTCAGTACGAAAAGCCACATGGGTACACCATTTCCCGGCTCATCAAGCGCGCACTTGCTCAAGGGTTTGTCAAGAAGCACACTATGCTTCTCTGCTGGTGTCCAAAACCGCCGCCCGGACTTGTCTACCAAGCCCGGCAACACCTGCTCGGCCTTGAAGCAGCCTTTCAGATGATCTTCTACACTGTCATTGGCAACAAGTACGATGGCACTTGGCTCCACCTCATGCCCTGGTCCCGGGATCACATCTCCTGGTTCCCCTTGTGTCAACAGCTAGCCCTGCGTGAGCACTGCCGGGGCGACATCTTCATTCCCCCGGAAAAGCTTGCCATCATCACTGAAAACCGAGCTGCTCGAAAGCGAGAGAACCGGAATAAGCGACCCAAGGGTGCTGCATATCAAAGGTGGTCAGTATGGCGCCGGGGCTACTACAGGATGGTTAAGCAGTCCCGTATGTTTGCCTGCGATGTCTGCAACCTTTCCTTCAAGACGATTCAAGCCAAGAACCTCCACCTGACAAGGGCCCGGCATAAGAGGAATGTTCTCATCATCTCTCGAGGTGGTGTCGTCCGGCCCTCAGCCAGGGCAATCCGGTGCAAGGAACTCCGGGACAACCACAAGGCTACATGGAGGTACCCCTGCCGTACGTGCGTCAAGTGCTTTGTGGAAAGGTTCAGTCTCCGGGATCACTTCAAAACCCGCGCTCATGCTGCCGCTGCCGCCGCTGCCGATGAAGCAATCGAGGACTTCGGTGATGAGCTTGCTGTCGACCCGGATGATTCCGACTATCTCTCTGAGATGGACTCAGACGCGCTCTCTGAGCTTGGCTGGGAACTTGGAGAGGTTGGAAGTGGTTCCGACTCCGACTCTGAGATGCTCTTTGAGCATAGTTCGGAGTTCTAAGGATGGAAAATTCCTGACATCACTTGGACAGCATATTTTGCAATTTCATGTGTTTTTCTGTGGCGCGTTCTTTCTGTTATTGCGTTCTTTCAATTCCTTTCGGGATATTTTTTTTCCATGGATTTCACGAATATGTTGCTAACGAATACATTTGAAAGGCTGTTCTATGGGAGAATGGTACGTAGATCCTCCTTTCATTCACGCATTTTTCCCGGCTGATAAATATTTTATAGGTTCCGCGACAACGGCAAGCACGCCCTGATCATTTACGATGATCTCACCAAGCAGGCCGTCGCCTATCGCCAGATGTCTTTGTTGCTGCGCCGCCCTCCTGTAAGTTCGCGCACAGACCACCACGACACACCTTCACCCAACCCATTCCACCCCAACACCAACCCGCCCCAACACATCCCCAACGCCTCTTTTAACTATTGCTAACTGTTTAACAGGGCCGTGAAGCTTACCCAGGCGACGTCTTTTATGCAAGTAAACCCTTTCTTCTGCGTGATCTTTGCTAACTTTTTTACAGCTCCACTCCCGTCTCCTTGAGCGAGCTGCCAAGATGAATGATAAACTCGGCGGAGGATCCCTCACGGCCCTTCCTGTCATTGAAACTCAAGGGGGGGACGTCAGCGCGGTTTGAGCCCCATTTTCGCTTGCTGTCGCCGTTCTAAATGGCTAACTTTTGACGTAGTACATTCCCACCAACGTCATTTCCATTACCGACGGTCAGATCTTCTTGGAGGCTGAGCTCTTCTACAAGGGTATCCGTCCCGCCATTAACGTCGGTCTCTCTGTCTCTCGTGTCGGTTCCGCTGCGCAGGTCAAGGCCATGAAGCAGGTCGCTGGTTCCCTTAAGCTCTTCTTGGCCCAGTACCGTGAAGTCGCTGCCTTTGCCCAGTTCGGTTCCGATCTCGATGCCGCTACCAAGCAGACATTGGCCCGTGGTGAGCGTCTTACCGAGCTCCTCAAGCAGAAGCAGTACTCTCCCATGGCCGTCAACGAGATGGTTCCCCTGATCTACGCTGGTATCAACGGTCTCCTCGACAACGTACCAACCAACAAGATCCTCCAGTGGGAGGCTGACTTCCTTGCCCACCTCCGATCAAACGAGTCCGACATGCTCGCCCAGATTGACCGGGAAGGTGCGCTTAGCAAGGAGCTTGAGGCAAAGCTCAAGGAAGTTGCCCAAAGCTTCACCAAGAGCTTCGTTGCATAGATGGGTTGAAGGATGGAAGAGTGTGTACGGTCTATTCCAATGTTCTGAGGGGCCAAAAAGCGCTGATTGGTCTTTGAGAATAGATGTATAATAGAAGATGCGTCTTCACCATCAGCTGTCAATGGAAGATTTGCTTGTTCACTTCACAGATGGCTAGGTATCGCACGCCTGTCTATATCATCAACGACTACTCCTTGTGATTCTATATGCCCCTTTTAGCGCCCATGTGCGAGTCCGTTCCTGCCTATAGAGATGGTGTTATGGTATGGGTTATACGACAATTGAATGTTTTTCCATGTTATGAATGCTTGGTTGTCTACTTTGTGACTGTGTTGAGACAATGCTGACAATGCTTAACATGAGGTGTGGTAGCGGGACAATTATGGGGTGTTCGGAATCATTATTGCCAATTGTACCAAACCCTACTAGCATCATTGTTGGCTATTCATCCCTGGCGGTGTTGCAATGCGGATCTGATTGTTCAACTTGTTCAATGCCATCGTCCAGTCTAAACCATCTAACCGCATTATTCAAACACCACCAATCTATCCAATAGATGCCTGTCTACTTCTTTGTCCTTTGGTCTTGCTCCTCTCCCCCGCTCGCATCACCATCTTTAAATGGGTCGTCGCCGATTTCCACCGCATCACCCGTCTCAGGGGGCTCATCGTGATACTCATCATCCCATGCTGTCCTCAGACTTATGTCATCATCATCTTCTCGTAACCGCTCAGCAGCTTCCAGCGCGCCCGGTTCATCGTGATATTCATTCTCCAAGTCCTCAATGCTTACACGTCGGACGCCAGCACGCTCCTCGGCTTCGAGCTGGGCAGCGCGGGCTTTTGTCTTGCGGTAGACTAGCCAACCTGTGGTTACGCCCGCAATTAATCCGATAATGATGGATATGTAGGATAGTGCCTTTGTGCGCGGGTCCATCTTGCCTCCGCTCTCGGCAATCTTTTCCAACTGGGCACCGATGAAAATGTGGAGCATCAACTTAGGTGACACAATGGCAGTAGCGAGCGCATAAGACGCCCAGTGTACAGTTGGAAATGTGGCGACGGCGCCATTGGATATGGAGTATGGTAGTGGGCACAGGCGGTACATGACGAGGAGTTTGATGCCGTCATGCTTGAGTGTCAGGGAGAGGGCGGCGAAGCGGGTGTCGTTTGCTACGAGGCGGTGTACCATGGATTTGAGGAGGGTGCGCGAAAGGAGAAATGATGCAGTGCTTCCAGCGACTGATGCTGTTGCTGCTATGAACCATCTGTGTCGAGTCAGCCTACTATCAAGGGTCGCCTGGTGTATTGTTGGTTTAAACCCACCCATTTGGAAAACCATAAACGAAACCGGCAATGGTAAGGAGACTGGAATATCCAATCAGAGGTGGAAAGGAGACGATGAATATCAGGGCCCAGAGTATCAGCCAGCCTGCTGTGACATCCCTCCATTTCTTCGCCATAGGTAGCAGGGCGCCGAATATCCGTTCGCCGAACACCAAGAACAATATGCCTCCTACTACCAAGAGTATATTCCCTACAATGAACAATACTTTCTTGACAGGCGATAGTTTGTTGTACTGATCCAGGGCTCGCCGTGAGTATTTGTCCCAGTTGCCCATTGCGCGTTGCCGCCATGTAGTTTGTTGGCTGTTATGCGAGGCGCTGCGCCGGAAGGTGGACGATTGTCGCTGACTCCATATTGGCGTCTCACCCGTTTCCTCATTCTCAAGCGGAAGCGCAAGGGCGCGCACATCATAGTCGGTCGCTGGCATAGCTGCCTCAGTGTTTATGCGTTGTGGTGGCCTGGATGGAGCGACCCGGACGTACGCGGAGGTAAGGGAGATGTAATGGCAGGTGATGGGGGAAGGGATTGTCAGTTGGTACGGCTGAAAGGGGACATTCCGTGGATTGGTAATCGGGTGTCAGAAACAATCGAGGGTGTTGGTGTAGAATGCTAAAGCTAGTGCTGGTGCTGGACAGCTTTTGGTTTCATCGTCATCCCGGGCGGACGAACAATGATGCACCGCCGCATCCGCTCTGCATTAGGCGCGTATATGAGATGTGCCGGGACAGCCACGGAGTCGCAGCGTGGCTTAGTCCTTTTATCCAAGGACTCGAAGATGCCGTGATTCGAAGAGCACACGTAGTTTGTTTTGCGCAGACACACAGGGCTTGCTGCAAGTGATCTACCGCCTGCCAGTCATGGTGCGGATACCGTGTGTATACGCTGCGCGCACGTGACTTTGGCTAGCCTCAGCCTCAGAAGTGTGGCGCCCCCCCTCAATTTGGCCTATTAGCAAAAGAGGGTTGAGGCATATGTAGCAGCTTCGTTTCGTTGTGTCCAGGCTCCAATTGTCCATCAACCCGTCGCCAGCCTTGTCCATCCCGCATCTGGCTAAGACTCTTCCTCTCATACCGTTCCCATCCGAATGCATCTCGAGGCTCCGAGGGCCATGTAGGGACTGCTGGGATTCCAGTGTGCAGATTGCCTGTTCCCGCTGTATGGTTGACCTGCTGCACGGTGCAGGCTCCCCCCACCCCTACCTACGTAGTTGAGCAGCCTGAGCTTAGTCCCTTGAGCTTCATTCGCGCTCGCGATCGCCCGCCCCCAAGGCATACATTGGCTCTGTCCTCTTCGGCGCACTCGCTGTGTGTCCTGCAGACAGAAAGCTGTAGGACAAACTGTTTGCCCTTCCCGTTGCTGCTTCACTCTTCTGAACGCGCCGGTCGCTCTGCCAATAACCGCAGTACTTAATCAGCCCGACGGCCTCCTGTCTCGACCTCGCTCTCTACCCTCGTCCATCCCACGCGCCCCCCTCACCGCCATATCTACCATTCCCTTTTTTTCTGCGTCTGCAACTAATCAACATGGTCGCAGACGATTTGTATGAAAAGGCTCTGCCTGTACTGCAGGATGATGCCTTGGACGAGGAGGACAAGACGGACAAGCTCGAGGAGCTCATGCGCAAGGAGACCAATCTTACGGGCAAGTCTCTCGAGAACATTGTCCTTGACTGCCTATGGCGTTACCGCGATGCTGGCAGCTCATCCAGCTCTCCACCCAGCCGCCATACCGTCATCCGCCGGCCATCGCCAGCCCCGTGGCAGGCCAACCGCGCCCCAACTCCTGTAAACAACTCTCCACGCATGATACATCCCCCTCCAGGCTTTGGAATAGGGCCCCCTGGCTTTGCGCGCACAAAGTCTTCAACCGCCTCACCTTTTACTTCCCCACGGCCCTCGCCACGGCTTGCTTTTTCAACACCCCATATTCCCCACAGCCCCAGCCTGAGCGCATACCAATTCAGCGAATGCGCCAGCCCGAACACAGAAACATATGGTGATCTTGATACACACTCGGTGGATTGGCTAGTCAACGAGGACATTGCAAGCACCGAGTCGTCGTACGTAGGCGATGGTACGCTCAATGGTGCTGCCGCTGAATGGGTTCAGCCGCAAACTATGGACATGGGCCCCTATGACATGTTACGCTCAATCCTGCGCGACGACCGGTCAGACGAGGAGTTAGAAAAGGTTCTTGAGGCCAACGGCTACGACCTCAGTGCTGCTTTGCTTGCGTTAATGGGTCAGCAGATGGAGGTGTCACAGCTCCCCGCTACCCCTTCTGAACACTCTGGATATCTCATTGGAAAGTCCATGGCCCCAACTTTTAGGCCTGCTACGCCAATTGGGCAGCAAAAGAGCAACATTGTGTGCAAGTACTTTTTATCCAACGGTCATTGCGCTAGGGCGGATTGCCGGTTCGCTCATGACACAAGCAAGACTTTGTGCAAGTAAGTATCAAGTATGCGTTGAAGCCCATTCAATCTAACGTGTGATCAGATACTTTCTCAACGGTAATTGTCTGGCTGGAGATACCTGTCTGTTCTCACATGACCCTTCTGCTCTCATGGCTCGTATGGCTATTTCTGATGCCTCAACCTCACCACTGCCCAATTTTCAGATGTCCGACTATGAATTCCCCACTCTTCACTACAATGGCTCTCCCCTAGGTACACCGTCTATATCAACTACCGAAGCAACTGCCTTGGAGCAACTCTATGGTTTTACGAGTGGCGGTCCTACGCGCCCTCCACCCGGTCTTAGCCCCTATGCTAACTTCACGCCTGGAGTCGGCAGTCGGCCGCAGTCAAGGACAGGCAGTCGTCAAGTTTCCCGTGCAGCCACACCCTCTGTGCTTGCAGTCGACGATAAAGATGCTTTTCCTGCCTTGGGCTCTGCTGCAGCTGCAAAGACTGGAAAGCGACACCACGGAAAGCGTGGTGGTCATGGCAACAAGGATACTCCAGGACCAAACCTCGCAGACGTTGTCCGCATGTCGCCCTCGCCAGCTCCTGCAACTCCCGTTCGAAAGGGTCTACGACCAGCCAAGAGTTTCAATGGGTCTCGCGAGAATAGTGCGGCTGCACAGGCAATTCCCGCTCCCCAGCACATTCCGTGGCTAGTCACGGGTGAGAAGGGTAATCAAGCATATCTCGATGCTCGTGCCGAGGCTTTCAAACATGGCAGTCTGCGTAATAAGTTTTTGCAGAGGTAGGTTATTGTTAAAGTCCACGAGTGAGAACGTACTGACACGTACTAGTGCTGCACAGGCCTGGAACCGTAGTGACTCGCGCGCGGCCAAGGCTCTTAGCCTTAGAGGTCAGACTGAGAACAACCTGATGCGTGAGGCTCACCGGGAAGCCGCCCGTATTCTATACGAAGACCGCAACAAGGACAATGATAGCGAGAGAGAGCTGTATGTTGATCTTCATGGTACGTATTCATCTAGCCAGGGATAGTGATCATTGCTCATACCTCTTAGGTTTACATCCAGATGAATCGGTATCGTATCTCGAAGGTATTCTGCTGAAGCATAGCTCGTCGTCCCGTCCGGTTTATGCCATTACTGGAACTGGCCACCATTCAAAGAATGGCAAGGACAAAGTAGGAAAGGCTATCCGAGGTTTCTTGAATGAGTGGAGATATGCTTTCCGTGAGTTCTCTGTGCCTGGCGACCGTAACAATGTCGGTGGCATTCTTGGTATCGACCCGAGTAGCTATGACAAATCCGTCGCGGAGCGGGCAAAGGAGTCAGAATCGGATGCAGACAGTAAGAAGGACACCAAGATCCGCATCATGAAGAGGGATGATGTGGGGGATGTACCGAAAGGGCCGAAGCAGACTGCTTAAGATTAGCGGGTTGGATGTGGGAGGGCACTTGATAGCTAGCAAGAAATAAGAAAGACTTTACTACACTCGTGGCGCTGTTGTTCTTTCACAAGTGAAAGTCTTGGAGTCGGTGCTAAGCGGCTTGCGGTGTGTCTGGATGGAAGAGGTAGGCACGGCACTGGGCGCAGCTTCCTTGTAGCTTCAGCTCACTCTCTCACACTTCAGCACACTCCTGACCTTACCCTCAGTCCGCTTTTTCTAGCGAGTAGAAGTCATTCAGTTCTGTCCAGCATATAGTGTCCCAGGAACTCGCTTGGTCAAGTCTGCCTTCACTCTGCCCTCATGTCCGCAAGTCAACTGACCTTCCATTAGATTCAAGCGTCAGCAATTGCTGTGTTAATCATGACGTCTCGCCGACCCAGCACGGCCAACGATGCAGGCTCGTCACGTATGCCTTTCACATCAGCAGAGGCACTGCTCTGGGGACCGGAAATGAAGAAGCAACATGCATACCTTCTCACGGAGATGCGTGCACTTCAGAAACAGCATGAAGGCTATGATGCTCGGATACGAGCTACTGAAGCTGCTGCAGCAGCCGCAGAAGCCACCACAGTACAAATTCGTCACTTGGAACAGCAACTCGCTGCCATCGAGGCGGAAAATAATGATAAGGCTTTCGAGAAGTGGGCTTCGGGCGAAATGACGCGACTGAGTGTTTTCGTCGATACCAACAAGAACATCACACAAAAGCAGATTGAGCTCGAAAACAGGGTATCAAGCATGCCAGAAACGTTCGGGAAGCTCTCACGCAGGCCCATGGAATTGGATACTGTCATCCGACGCCTTGAACTTCTTGAGCACAGTTGCAAGGAGGATGCGGATCGGATTCAAAGTCTGGAAGGAGAGATCGGCCGTCTCAGGTCTGTACGGGAAAGCAAAACTACTGATAATCTGTGTGCAATAGTGGGACCAACTTCAAAAACATACACCGAGGCAGAGTTGATAGATTCACAGCTGTCGAACTGTGAGATATGGGACGGAACAACTGGGCCGAATAGCGAGCCTATGCTACTTTCGCAAACAACCCCACGTGAGGAGATACAAGTCCCTCAAACTCCTGTGATACAGACAAAGTGAGTACTAGCGCGTGAACCTAGTGGCCGTCAAATATATCACTGACCACGACTCACAGAAGCCCCGGTACGGCCGTTATTGCATCTCCCACCGAAGACGGGCCTGTCCTGTCAGATGAATTGAGGCTGTTGCAAAGACCCTCAGTACATGATTCAAAAATGTCACAGTCTATAGAAAAGGAGGATTCAGAGCCAGCACCTGCCGAGAACCCACGTTCCAATATGGGTCATGCCTCTCCGCCACCTACACAGCTTGTTTCCAGAGAGCGACAACGTAAGAAGCCTATGCCTACGCCCGCGTCACAGCAGAAGGCTGCTCCGCTTCCTAGAGACAAAGCACCAGCAAACGTAGCCCCAGCCACACAGCTCGTAGACAGATCACCCCGAAAGCGGAAGCAACCCCATACCGAGCCTCAATCACAACGACTAACGCGTTCTTCGGCTAAGAAAATGGAAGCGAGAGAAGGTGAGATGCAGGCATCGATAGGATCGAACACTGTCCCTGGAGTCCAATCAGCATCTAAAATTGAGCCGACATCCTTACCACAGAAGAAATTGAAGGTGACTAACTCACCAAAGAAGAAGAAAATTTCCACTCCCTTTCCAGTAGCCACATGTCCAGAAGTTCGAAAGAGACTGATCGTGAAATTACCATCTCCACGAAAACAAAATCGCATCGATGCTGATCTCATAAACCATTCACCGTGTGAAGCGGCCGGGGTACGAAGATCACCACGAAAAGCAGGAACTGGACCACGACCACCCCTCAAAATACTTAAGACTCTCGCGAGTTCTCGGAGTGAACAGCCTCGAGATGAATCAATAATCATTCAGGTGAGCCACCAAGGACCATACTGCGCCGCCAGCGACAACTCGCATCTGTCATCTCGAACAGCGAGCCCCGAAAGGTATAACTTCCTTGGAAGAGCATAGTCCTGGCAGTCACTGCCATTATGGCGATGAGCCAAATTTGAGGAAGAGCTATATCAGAGATGCAAGGTCTTGATACTCCCAGAGGTCTCCAGGGTGCTTGTGACCTCTGGGATTTCTACATTCGACACTACGGAGCAGGCTACGCATTACCCTACGTCTCCTTGAACTCGTAAAGACCCTCTCTATCTGCAACTGGAACTTCCATGTTGGCCTCTTCGATATCCTTTCCATCAACTTTGAGACCCGCACGCATGATATCACCAGTCTTTACTGGGCCTACACCCTTTGGCGTACCCGTGAGGACAATGTCGCCCTTTTCCAGCGTCATTACTCTGCTAATATCGCTTAGCTGTCGCGGAATTCGGAAAAGCATTAGTTCGGTGCTGTCAGACTGCTTCATCTCGTTGTTGACGGTAAGCCAAAGATGGGCATTCTGTGGATTTGGAATCCGGTTCTTGGTGATGAAGTTACTGATAGGCATGAATGTATCAAAACCCTTTGCGATGGACCAGGGAAGACCTTTCTTCTTGGCTTCGTCTTGCACGTTGCGCGCCGTCATATCAATAGCGAGAATGTAACCTGTTTGGGAGAAATGTTAGTCTTATATTTTCGTTATGTACTGTATATTTCGAGTGGAGGTTTAAATGATACGCCGAGCATACCTTCAATGGCATCCATAGCGCCTTTGGTGTCCTCTGGATGGAGATCCCTAATTGTCTTGCCCATGACGAGGCCCAGCTCAACTTCGTAGTGCATGACCACACCCCGAGGTCGTAGCACAGGCCCCGCGCCAGGAAGCAGTATAGATGATGGGGGTTTGAGAAAGAAGAAAGGCTGCTTAGGGGTCGCACTCGAGAGCTCCTTGATGTGATCGGCATAGTTTCTGCCTATGCACATTACCTTTGAGAATGTTAGTCATGCTCCCAACCTGCAACCTACTCCCTGTCCACCCAGCTCCAACGAATAATTGTTGACAAGTATAAGGACTCCCACGATAACAAGAACAACAGCTGTCCTCTTTCTTTCAGTTTCTCTTTCTGCTCTAGTCGTGTATGTCGAAGCTCTTAAAATCTTCCCGATTCCTCATGCACTCCCTTAACTGATCGTGCGTCTCAATACGTTACATACCTTGCGGCAATTAGCCCGGATAGCCTGTATACTAGCCATGACAGCCAATTAGTATCCAAAATGACCGCCTCAAGAACAATGTGGTCAAAACCAGGGGGTTATTCGGAAAGCTCAAGCAAGCGACGTGACGAAGTAGCTAGGAAAGACGTTGCACGACTTCGGTAAAGCACTCACCCGGCAATTGACGGGGGTGGTGCTCCACGAAAAAACCACGCTACGGGCTGCGAACCGAACGTGGGGCAGGCGCGATTGGTAACGTCAGAGCTTCCCTGTGACGTGCATTCCTACATGTCGCATACCACGCATTTCCACCTGTAAATCTAAACTTCGAGGACCAGGTTTCTGGCTGAGGGGAAACTTTACATTCTGCGCTTGATACTGGGAAGCATTGCCAAAACCATCTAAACCTGCCTTGAAGAAAGAAAACACTCATTACAGGCGGGACATATCTGGCGACAAAAAACACAATGGCAGCAGACCAGCTCCCACCCAAAGAAAACACCATGCAACTAGCAGAAATCCTCTCCGACCTCGTCTCTCTACGCGTCTGTGTATGTATCCCATCCATCCTCTCCCCACTTCATCTTCTTCGTCAACTAACCAAGCACCCCAGGACCCCGCCGCCGCTCTCGCCCTCGTCTCCGCACGCCCCGACTCTTCTCCTTCTACTACTGCCCAAGGCGCTACTGCCGCTGCTGAACCAAACACTGCTTCCATGATACAACAAGACGAATCCGATCCTGACCTGAAGCGCGCAAAGGACCTACTCAAGTTACATTTTGAAGTCAAGGAAGCGCAGAAGAGAGGGGAGTTGAGTCGGGGGTTGGAAGAAGCGAGGGCTATGGTGGAGAGGGCTGTTGGGGGGTGATGGGGAAGCTGATAAAATGAGATGTGTGGAAATAGAAGGGATAAGTCAGGTTGATGGATGTGAGAGAAGAAATGGGTATGAAGAAAGGGGGTGATATGGATGGGGTTTGGAGGGAGACCAATCAAGTCAGATGTGCTGTCGTCCATTCTGCTAATACCCCACTCAGTACCTCTGTCTTGTTAAAGGGCTGATATCCCAGGTTCCCCGGACTGACCCCACTCGCAGTGCCGCCTGCTGAGGAACAAGACTAAGCCTGCATTTCAAGAACACATTCGAGAAGTATAGAGTCCATGATAAGACCTCTGGATCACCATCACGACATGGGATAGCCAATATACTGGCAAAGAAGAGCGGACAGACGATGAAGCAACGGAGCAATATCAATCATGGATAGTCATAGGAATGATGATTAATTCGACAATCTACATGATAGTCTTGGTGTGCAACTTAGGGCACAAGGGAATGTGAGGAGTGGACTCGAAGTTCGCCGCCCAAATCCAGATACCAGTCTTCAATCTCGATTCACGGTCCCGCAGCCAATATCATGCCTTCGATAATAGGTTTGATGTCTACACCCGCTGCACTCTTCTGGGCGAGCAGCACAAGAAGGGGCATACATCCGGGTATGATTGCAAGCAACGGTCGGAGCAGCTTGATCATGTCACGTTTGCGCATAGTTCTGGGTATTGTTAGTATATGTATATAGTGACTAATGGATCAAGTGCACTCACTTAGTAGTAGTTGCAACCGACGGAGCTAACCCTGATGCTGCACTCGCTAGTGTCTCGGGCGCAGCGGTAGGTAATGGCGCAGTAGGAACTGGCAGAGGTAATCCTGTCCCTGCAGTGGGAAGGGTTGCTGGTACAACTGGAAGAGGCACTGCTGGGAGAGATGCCTCGGGAAGCGATGCTACTTGCAGAGATCCTACTGGCAGAGACGCCGCAGGAAGAAATGTTGTAGGGACTGCCCCTTCATGAATTGAAGCTGTGGGAAGTGACGCTACAGGAAGAGACGCTACCGGTAGAGACGTCTCAGGGATTGAAACTGTAGGAAGCGATGCAACAGGAATAGGCACTGTGGGGATCGTCGTCTCAGGAAGTGAAGCTGTGGGCAGTGGTTTCTCGGGAAGATGCACTACTGACACAGACGCCACAGGAAGAGACGCTACTGGTACAGACGTCACAGGAATAGGTGTTGTTGGAGTTGACGTTTCAGGAACTGAAGCCGTAGGGAGTGGCGCTACAGGAAGAGACGCTGTAGGAAATGGTGCTACCGGCAGAGGGACCGCAGGGACCGAAGACACAGGAACAGGCGCTGTAGCTGTCGAACCCTCAGGAAGTGAAGCTCTGGGTGGTGACGCTTCAGGAAGCGATGCTGTAGAAAGAGGCGCTACAGGTTCCGTCGCCACTGGTTCTATGGCGGGTACTTGTAAAGTTGGCTCGGTTACTGGTAGAGGCTCTGGCTGGGTAAAATTTGAGGTCGGTGCTGGAGGTACTTCCGGGACAGGCTCAGGTATGGTTGAAGGCACAGCTGGAAGTACAGTTGAAGGAGGCTCAGGTGCTGCCGGGGGCACGGCCGGAGGTACTTCCGGAGCGAGTGGAGGTGCTGGCTCGGAGATAGTCTCATTTGGGGCAGGAATAGGTGCTCCTTGCGTTGCTGTATCGGCAGGCTGCTGAGTAGGTAGAGGGGCTGTTGCGGTTTCGAGCTGCTTCGTTGGTGCAAACATGTCCGATACCGCCGAAACGGTTGCCTTGGTAAACGAAAACAGGGTGAACGATGTCTCTAAGGGATTGAAGATGGGCTTTAGAAGAAGTAATCAGATGAATATCGATGGGTGATGGCAACTAGTATGAAAGAGGAGGAAGACGATGGATGAAGTAGGATTTCGGGTAATGGGATTCGTTGAGTCGATGGATCAGAACAGAAGTCATGGCCGAGTCATGTGGATTAAAAGATGGCAGGAAGTCCTGGATAAGTGTAGCAGGCACGAGGGTCGTATTGTTAGTTGACATCTACGCAGCTGCTCAAATGGGCGTGCTGAACAAGTCCTGGAAACTGTCACTGCATGCAGTCATTGCTTAAACCACTGCATACCCAAGCTCTTCATGTGCGCTCCTTCACATCCCGAATTGTTGTTCCACATGATAATCTATTGTGCCTCACATCCTTGAATGCTAGTGGAAAGAAAGAGTGAGAGGTGAAGCCCTAGTTGACAAGAGCTTAGCGTGATGTATCGTACCTGCATGAACGACTGACGTAATCCTGAAGTTGCCGCCAAGCCCGCGCGGATGGACCCGAGTGAGCCCTAGCTTTCACCGTCGCGTATCTCACCCGCCCTACACCTCACTGGCCTTGTCGCTCTTACAATCACCTACAACCCGCAACCATGGCGCTCAGTATCGACCAAAAGCGCCTTAAAGCGACCAAATTCCCGCCAGAGTTTGACAAGAAGGTGGATATCGAGAAAGTCAACATCGACCTAATGAAAAGATGGATTGCCAATAAGATAACTACCATCTTGGGCGATGAAGATGACATTGTGGTCGAGACCTGCTACAACTTGGTTGAGCAAAGTCAATTTGTTAGTGGACACTTACCTCGCGTTTTTGCTAGCATTATACTGACGTTTGTCCAGCCAAAGATTAAGGAAATCCAAATCCAACTTACCGGCTTTTTGGGAAAAGATACAGCGCCATTCTGCAAAGAGCTATGGGATCTCATGCTCAGCGCCCAAGACAGTCCCATGGGGGTACCGCGTGAGCTCCTGGAAGCAAAGAAGGCTGAATTGCAGCAGGAACAGGTATGGCACATCTTGAGCTCACGTCACCGACGCTGCTGACACAGCCTACAGCTTTCGAAGGCCGCTGCCGATGCAAGGCGCGCTGAGGACCAAGCGCAGAATGCTATGATCGACTCTTTCCGCCAAAGCGAACGTTCAGATCGTCCCGAACGTGGACGCGGTGGTGGTGGAGGACGATACCGCGGCAGTGACCGTAGAGGCCGGGGCAGAGATTTTGACAGAGGCCATCCTCGGCGTGACTCGAGATCACCACCGTATGTGCCATATTCCTAGACAAGAAGACTGACTCGCTCACATGTGACAGGAGAAGAAGGCATTCTCCACCGAATCGCGAGCGCGACTTGTATATACCTGGAGGAGGCCGAGGTCGCGGTCGTGGAGGGCGTTACGATAGGTCTCGCGAGCGCCGTCGTTCCCCTTCGGGCAGCCGTTCTGCATCCCCACCACCTCGTCGTGCACGTCGCTCACCATCGTCAGGACCATCACGAAGTCCACCCAGGCGCCGAACACGTCGCTCGCCATCGCTTGATCGCTCTAGGTCTCCGCCTCGCCGTACGCGACGGAGATCTCCTTCAAGAAGCAACTCTCCGCCCCCGAGACGGCGAGGAGCACGCAAGGACAGGTCTTGGTCTCCTGGCCAAGATAAGAGAAGGCTACCTAGGCATAATTCGCGATCTAGTTCTCCTCGTGATAAATCGAGCTCACCAGCGCCCAGGCTCCGAACGAGGTCACCATCACATAGCCCTCCACGCCGTCGACGTCGCTCTCCTTCGAGGTCCTCCCGATCCATAAGCCCTGTGCGTGAGCGGCGACGTAGATACTCCACTTCTTCTGGCGCTGACTCAGTTGACTCTCGCACTGATGTCAAGAAGCGCAAACGCTCGCCTGGTTCTAGCAGGTCCCGATCTCGCAGCAAAGCTGGTAAGGGCAGACGCCGTGTCACTTGCTCGCCATCGAGATCGCCTATCCGAAAGGAACGCAGCTCGAAAGAGTAGTTCAGCTCGTATGGATTTTACGTGAATGCCATATGCACACATATCTCGATCTGAAATTAGTTTTCAAGGTGGATTAGAGTAGGAGAACCCCAAGGCTCTGACTGCTGTCAAGCTTGATATTCCGAGCAGATTTCATTTTCATCTTCACCAACGCACCATCGAGGATCTTAATTTTCCTTCCAAAAACGAGTGAATAGAGTAATGATTCGAATGCTCAGAATCGGTAGCGTCAGTCATTTTGCACAGCTCGTTCTTGGATAGCCATATAACTCATGTCGGCATTGAAATGGCCAGCCATCCAATACAATTGTATGATTTTGTACTGTTCACTGCGCTCGACCCATGATGCGTACCGTGTGATGTCGGAACTCTTCTCCCCATACTCTCCCCGGAGCTGTGGGCATATGTGGGTCCAAACTCGGCTTACAGGATTCATGCTATGTATCATGCAAGGTCAGAAAAAGGCTTTCCCAACTATCCGAGCCATCTTAAAATGTTGAGAATCTCGTAATGACGGTCAGGTAGGTCCTCTACGCAGGCCAACATGCAAATACGAGTGCTATCAGATTTCTGTCCTGGTATATAAGAATGCTGTTCTCCATGCTTCACGTCCAAGTGATTTTAATACCTGTTTTGTAGCTGATACTGAATCTTGTCCCAGGTATTATAAAATGTACCATCAAGTAGCCCAAGTCCCAATCAGTTTCAAATGTAAGTCTCTGGGACGATTCATAGGTATTCGCAGTTGCTGAGCTGTTTTATAGTCATTACTGGACTAGTCGGATCTAACGAGGTCACTGAAAAGTAGATAAGTAGTGGATTAGCATGTGGGGACCTGAATTGGAAAAGCTTCTTCCCTTCCCCTCTTCTCTTGTACTGGTTTACTAGAGTTTCTCGTTTAAATGCTTCGGCGATGAACAAGGTCTACCCATAGCTCTCCTGTGAGTATCGAATGAATTTCGGAGACATAATGAGCTGGGGAAAGGTGTTATATATCACGAATAGAGTTGATTCTTCAGGATATGTAGCCTGGCGTACAGTACACGTTCTGTGGAAGCGCTCTTAAATATTTTGGCACCCAACCACCACTGTGCATCGGCGCCGCCGCCGGTGTGAGACTACCCACATATCAAAGCCTCATTAATCTCATTCTTGGATGGATATCAAATCATTACAGACATGACTTCTGTTCTTGTAAGCCTGTAGTTTGCACGACTGAACTTGACCGTATTGATAGTTTCGAACCCATAGTGCTTGCAAAGTCGCTGGCCTTGGACAGATGCCTGCAGGAACACAGCAAGCTGCAGCTCTTTCAGATTTCGCGATTCCCCATTGCACAAGAAGGCTACCGGCACCTCGTCGTCTGTGTTTGCTGAAGTGACAATAAGATCCAGGACTGTTGCGTTCAGGGTATGAGTATTCTGACCATACAAGGGTGGCAGCTCAACTCACGTACATGAGGGTGCTTCCCCAACTCTCCGTTTCGACTACAAAAGTATTGGTGTGCAGCTTCTCGTAAACGACCATACTGGTCCACTTGCTTCGACGCTTCGTCCATTGGCTGCTTAGAGCTTCAAGGTCAGGCGACCCATGCTCGTAGATTTCCTACTTCGCGTAGGCGATGATTTCATCATCGGCTTCCTTGTTGATAACTTTCAAGTGGTGCATGTATGATTTATTGGCTAGATCGTTCCTGATGAAAGATATTTGATCCTCTTGATAGCCTGGGAATGAGGGAGGACGACTAATGACCAGTAATCCCAGCGTTTCGGTATGAAGAGCTGCACAGGACGCAACGCCTGCATATTGTACTGGACGGACTGATAGAGAAGAGATGTTACAAACTGGGTTGTTTACAAATGGGAGCAAGATGGTGCAAGTTGGGAATCGTATTTTTAAAGGGTAGGATAGTGAGTACATATGTGACGAAAACCGTGGACTTGAAGGAAGGGGCGGCCATCGTATTCAACGCTTGCGTTACCACAAAGTCTTCTTTGTCCAGGACTATTGCATCAAACTATGTATTGAGAGAAAAAGCTGTACCTAGAAACGTCGTTTGTAAAGCTCACACAGTATCACCTCCGCATTTGTTCATTGCAGCAGCACTTGCTAAGTTCTAGAGGATATACTTGAAAGGAGTACCGTTTACGTACTACCCTAGTGGTGCGTACGTGGTCTAACTACCCACCTGTACCGATCACTCACCAGTCTACGTCCATGTTTCCACAGCCACCTCAACGACTTCAGCCGCAAGAGCAAAATTGAGTTTGGCGACCCACGCGAATCAGTACTTGGGCTTTCACGTGTCATACTAGACTCTTCTGTCATGTGCCGCGCAAACACTATGCCCTCTGCATGCAATTTGTACTGATGCGTGCACATGCAGTCATTCCCATGTACGGCATATTGTTGGGGGCCAGAATTATACTCGCTGTACGATGTTCTATAACCGTCCAATCGAAAGGCTGTGGCGAATGGGTCGTACGACCAATAAGTTGGTATTGAATATTGACTAGGCAGTGCCTGTGCAGATCATGTTAAAGAGGAGCGACTTAATCACCGCTCTTATGGCTACGACAGTAGTGTTTCTGACGAGTAACGCCAAAAGTCCACATTTTGGAGCACTATTTGCTAAACAGGACTCCCATAGCGAGTACAGCTTGGGCCATGAACCCACCCGAGGCTGACCACCAAACGCCTAAATGAGCCTCGACCTGCATACCATTCCAGATGTAGTAACACAACGCCATTTGCAGCCACCTCCGCTGCGCCAAGCTTCCTTCACTACTAGAGTGCCTGGACAACTGCCGTGCTTCCAATTCAGCATCGTTTATATATGTAATCCCCAAACAATTCAAACGATGCCATGCGTCAATTTCTGCTACTATGTCTAAATCAATCAGCATCCTGTCTTTCCTTCTCTTCAGTGTTCCCACCAGTTTAGCAATAAGTGGGAAACCAAAACCAATTCAAATAACCAAAGATGTTGTTATCATTGGAGGAGGTGCATCAGGCACATACGCCGCAGTCCGTCTCCGCGAAGACCTCAAAAAAAGCGTCATCGTCGTCGAGACCAGACCCAATCTAGGTGGCCACACAAGTACATATCTCATCCCAGAAACAAACACAACTGTCGATTACGGCGTGCAGTCGTATCTTCCCTACGGCCCTGCATCCTCCTTCTTCGCCCGCTTCAATATTACGACTGAAGTCTTTTCTCCAGAGAGACTGACTCCGCTCAACGTCGACGTCGAAACAGGAAAAACGCTACTAGATTACCGCGCTCCAAGTGCGAATACTACGAATGAAGCGTTTAGCCGCTGGCTCACCATTACTCAGAAATATCAACAGTACTTGGAGCCAGGATACTGGAACTTCCCACTTCCAGGCGATATCCCCGATGATTTCCTGATTCCATTCGAGCAGTTTGCAAAAAGGGAAGGAATCGAAGCGGCGGTGCCGCGGATAACTGCGATTTCAGGAGTGGGATACGGTGGTGTGAGGAATCTCTTGACATTGACTGTGCTGCAAGCATTCGGGGCGTCACTTACACAAGGTAAGTCGAAGAATTGCTGCTGTTAAGATATTACAGAATTTGCACTGACTCTGGAACCAATGATTAGATTTCCTCCAATCCAAGCTCTTCCGCCCGACAAACAGCAACAACGCCCTCCTCTACACCCGCGCTCTCTCCCTTCTCAAGTCAGACATCCTCCTCTCCAGCACCGTGCAATCCACAAAACGCACAAAAAACAGCATCCAGCTCACCGTCACCCACACAAACGGTACTTCCTACCTCATCACCACCCAGAAGATCCTCTTCACCGCACCCCCAACCCTTGCCAACCTCTCCCCCTTCAACCCAGACAAGCGTCAAAAATCGCTATTTACCCCCTGGACCCCCAGCGCAGAATTCGTAGCTATAATCCACGCGCCCTGCCTCCCGTCCAAGACCTCCATCTCCTTCCTACCTCAGGCCGTAGTACCAACCAGCTACCTGGCACTCAAAGACTACCCCTACAGTCTCCGTCTCGACGCTACGGGCCCTGCGGGTACAAATCTCTTCCGCGTCATATTCGGCGCAAACTACACGCTTTCCACGCCTGCATTCCAGCAGCTCGTGCGAGACCGCGTCGATCGGCTAATTCGAGCGGGCTCAGTAAACACCACAGCAGCAAACTGTGAAGTTACGTTTCGAGCGAGTTCGGATCACTCGCGTCCATGGTGGCCGCAGGATGCAGCCAAGATACAAAGTGGGTTTGTGAGCGAGGTGAATAGCTTGCAGGGATATAAGGGAATGTGGTTTGCGGGATATGCATGGGGTGCGCCATATAGCTCTACTGTTTGGGCGGTTGTTGATACGGTTTTGGAGAGGATGGTGGGGAGGTAGGAGGGGGAGGGACTAGATGGGTGGGGAAAAAGGGTAGGGAGGGAAGAAGGAAGGAAGGAAGGAAGGAAGGAAGGAAGGGAGGAGTAAATATGTGATCAAAGTATGAATGTTTGTATTTGAAGATGATTTGCATGTCTCCTTGGTGATAGCATTAAACTATTACATAGTATTGTAATTAATACAACTTCAGTTGGAAGAAAGTTCAAAGCTATATCTATACCTCTTTCTACCAAACAAAAGTAAAGTCTCTATCAAAACTTCCTACTCTTTCTGCCAAAGAAAGAACTTTGTTTTCATTTTCCAATACTACGGCTAAGAGTGGCTAGGAATTTAATGCTGAAGAAGATTCCTTGAAATCTTCCTCTTCCTTTCACCACAGTCTACTTGTAAGATTCCACCTTCTATATTCACAATACCTTAGACATTTAAATTTTGATAGTTAACTACAATATATAACTAACCCTATTCGCAAATGCTTGGTTTAGGAGTTACCCTAAAACACAAGAGAGAATTTTAGACTTAAGATTATCTTCGTAGTTTGAAGCACATTTTAAGGATAGAAAAAAGGCCAAATTTAACAAATTCATTTCAATTTCCTTTCCTCTCTCCGTGCATCTACCTCGTGAACTACATAAGAGACGTTGACCGCCAGGCATACTTTTGCAGAACATCCGTTACGATCGTTTCGTCAGGCATCGTCGTAAAAGCATAAAGAAGACTTTTTTTTCACGTTCCACGAATGCCGGAAACGGGAACCCATGAAAGAAGAAGGAACTAAACACACCAAGTCTATCGTTAAAAGCCGCAATAGATGAAACTCCGTTCACAGCTTGCAGTCTGGGTATTCTGCACCTGCGCCCTTACTTCCTACCCGCCAACCCATGTGGCACTCCTCATACATGATACGCTTATCGGGTAGAGAAAGCCTTGGTGACAGTGCGCTTGAGCGCAAGCTCTTTCTTCTTCAGGTCCTCAGCGGAGGCATCCTCAACCTCGAGTTGGGCCATGGCATCAGAGAGAGCAGACTCAATCTTCTCCTTCTGACCACGCTTAAGACGGATAGAGGTGGTGGGGTCAGAGACCATCTCCTCGACACGGGAGATGTAGGACTCGAGCTGTTGCCTGGACTCGAACTTCTTGCTGAAAGCCTCGTCGCTGGTCTTGAACTTCTGGGCGTCGTTGATCATGTTCTCGATGTCAGTTGACGAGAGCTTGCCAACGGCGTTGGAGATGGTGATGTTGGCGCTGCGGCCGGAGGTCTTCTCGGTGGCAGTGACCTTCAGGATACCGTTGACATCGACCTCGAAAACAACCTCAAGAACAGCCTCTCCGGCCCTCATCGGAGGGATTGGTGCAAGAGTAAACTCGCCCAAGGAGGTGTTGTCCTCGCAGTTGACACGCTCACCCTGGAAGACAGGGAACTGGACGGTCTGCTGGTTGTCTGGAAAAGTCAGTACATGGTCAGAAACAAGCAGCGAGGATTATCTTACCGGCAACAGTGGTGAAAGTCCTGTAGGAAGTTAGCAGTTGTTCATGAGACGCTGAAAGTGGGGGTATTGGAAAGAGGAGCCGTAAATGTTGCATCACCTGACGTGAACACAACAACTTCGGCAAAAACGGAAATGTCGCGTCAGAGCAACATAGGAAATCATCGGAAGAACTTGCCTCTTCTTGATAGTCTGGAAAAAAGTCAGATCATGATCTAAGCAGGAATGAATCAATACTCACAGGAACAGTCTGGCCACGGGGAACGACGGGAGCGAAAATGTTACCCTCCATGGCGACACCAAGGGAGAGGGGAACGACATCGAGAAGGAGGAGGTCAGCGGTGTCGGCGGAGGTAGCCTTTCCAGAAAGGATACCGGCCTGGACGGCGGCACCGTAGGCAACGGCCTCATCGGGGTTGATGCTCTTCTCGAGCTTCTTGCCGTTGAAGAAGTCGCTGAGGAGCTTCTGAATCTTGGGAATACGGGTAGAACCACCAACGAGAACGATCTCGTCGACCTTGTCCTTGGCGATGTTGGCGTCCTTGAGAACCTGGGCAACGGGGTCCAGAGTGCCAGCGAAGGCCTTCTGGTTCAGGTCCTCAAAACGGGCGCGTGTAATGTTCGCATTGAAGTCCTCGCCATCGAAGAGAGAATCGATCTCAACGGTAGTCTGGGTGGCGTTGGAGAGAGTACGCTTGGCACGCTCGCAAGCAGTTCGGAGACGGCGAAGAGCACGGGCATCACCGCTGATGTCTACAAAATGTCAGTAGGAATATCGAGGCATAGCGAGCTAAGAACCATTCGAAACGGTGTTATTGCCATTGTGGTTGCCATAGTCGACTTCTGAGGGGAAAGGAAATTTTTGATCACTCCACGTACCCTTCTTGGTCTTCTTAGTGAACTCCTTCTTGAAGTGATCAAGGAGGTTTGTATCGAAGTCTTGACCGCCCAAATGTGTGCTTTAGTGTTTGATTAGCCAAAGTGTTTGTGTAGTGAAGCAAAAATGAGGACTCACTCTCCGGCAGTAGCCTTGACAGTGAAGACACCACCCTGAATGTGCAGAAGAGACACATCGAAAGTACCACCACCGAGATCGTAGATGAGAACGTTCCTCTCCTTGTCGGACTTACCGGCACCAAGACCGTAAGCAATAGCAGCGGCGGTGGGCTCGTTGATGATACGGAGAACGTTGAGGCCAGCAATGGCACCAGCGTCCTTGGTAGCCTGACGCTGGTTGTCGTTGAAGTAAGCAGGCACAGTGATGACGGCCTTCTCGACCTTCTTACCGAGCTTAGTCTCAGCGACCTCCTTCATCTGTGGGGTGTGTTAGTTCCACCTCGCCACACAAAGTTTGTATTTGCCCCGCTGGACAGGGTATGTGAGCGCAGATCGTACCTTGACAAGAACCATAGCAGAGATCTCCTGAGGAGAGAACTGCTTCTTCTCACCGAGGTACTCGACCTCGACAATGGGGCTGCCGTTCTGGTCAACGACCTTGAATGGCCATGACTTGATGTCCTTTGTGACGGTCTCGTCCTCGAATCGGCGACCAATGAGACGCCTAGCAAAGTCAGTCTACTGATCGCATGTACAATATGTCTGCGAAAAAGAAAAACTCACTTGACATCGAAGACAGTGTTCTCGGGGTTCATAGCAGCCTGGTTCTTGGCCGCCTCACCGATAAGACGCTCCTCTGAGGTGAAGGACACGAACGAGGGAGTGGTGAAGCTACCCTGCTCGTTGGCAACTATGGGAAAGCATGGTTAGACGATTGCTTTGATGAGGATGGATTGAGCGGGCGCATACTGATCTCAACATTGGTGCCTTCGTAGTTGGCAACGCAAGAGTAGGTAGTGCCTGGGGATATCGGTTAGCACATGCCACTGTGGGGTAATATTGCGAGTGTTGCGCACCAAGATCGATGCCGATAGCACCCTCGTAGACTTCTTCGCTCATGATTGCGGTGTGTGTGGAAGGAACAACCTGAAGTAAAATTGAAGAGCAGGAAGGTGTTGGAGAGAAGGTGGGAAAAAAAGGGCTGGGAATCTTTTTTGCGCTTGCTTAAAGGCGAGCGAACGGAGAAAAATTGGCCTCGCAGGGATCGTTCGTAGTGTCGGCGGGCGACGCTAGGCGCACTCGGTTAACTGGTTCGCCGGCGCTTATCGATACCTTGGAAAATAAAATAATTGGAGGCAACAAAACCTCGAGGCGAACCTCGGTTGGCCTCGGAGAGAGTTATTCTCTCCTTTACATTACAAGATTTGAGCGAGGCTTTGTAGAAAGACCATTAGGAATGTTCAAAAGCAGCGGTACCCTTCGTGGGCAGAGAAATTCCATATCCCAAAGCGCGAGTACCTTTGTAGAAGGTAATAACATAGGCTGTGCAGCTGACACTCATGTTCTGCTGGTGGACCCAAGCATCGGTCCATTCTCAAAGCAAGCATATTCCTTTTGTTTTTTGCGGGAGACACTAACTCCAATACCAACTCTGCTTAAGGAGACAGTTGCAGAATGGCAACCCGGATCGAGTTTCTTTGTCCCAGATACTTGGGAAAGACACGAACCTCGACCTAGAGGTCTTCGTCCTAATGAAACAGAAAATCATATCCATTTTCTCAAGCAGATAGGCGGACTGAGAATCATACAAATACCGCTAAAAAGCTTACACACGGCTACCAGACTAGATTGCTTCGGATTATCAAAAGTTGACCTCATTCTGGCAGCTATAATACCAGCAGGGAATAGTGTGCAATGAAACTCTCAATGTTATGGAAAATTTTCAGCATACCAATTTTCTATGTCTTCATCGAAGGTTTAATCAAATGACAAGCTTTCTCTGCTTCCATGTTCGGAATCGTCATCATGCAACGCCCAGTCCTTTCCCATCCTAGCCTCCATATCCCGTAAAGAAACGCCGTATACCAACTCTATAATACACTAATGCCCCCCCCCCTTGTTTTCCCAAAAAAAACCCCGCCATGTAAACCAGAATTGCCACGGTCTCAAACTTTCTCGTCGTGGAACACGAAGCTGATGTCCCTTGGCCTCTGGGTGTTGTACCTTACGAAATTATCGTCTCCTTGAGGTCTTTCCTTCTTCGTGTTGCTCGTGAGCATGCTCTGCAAGCTCACACATACACTCTCCACATTGTGTACAGGGGACCAGCCGGAGCGGTCTAGCAGGTCGAGGCAGATGATGCCGTTGGAGTATATATGCGGGTGCCAGGGTATCGGGTGAGTTTCATCGCGGACGAATACGACTTCGGGGGCCTATGAAGTGGGGAGTTTAGCAACTAGCTAGGCGAATTCGACTAGCTCGAAGCAGGAATCAAATACCTCGATAGGATACTGTGGGCTAAAACTGAATTTCAAGCGGTATGTTTCGCCTTCGTAGATGGGATTCGAGTCCATGACTTTGATGTCCATGAGCCAGGTTTGGAAGTCGTCAGCTTGAACAAGCGTTATGCCTGGCGGAAGCTTCTCATGCATCTATCCCTCTGATTTAGCGATCTTTTCATATACATGCATAAAACTGGTATGTTTCTGTGTATTGTGTCTTGGGCGCGTCGACTTGATCGAGGTGATGCGAGTCGGTGTGATTCGCAAAGGACAGGAGGGTTACGGTACCTTGGATAGCTCCTACAAGGTTGATTAGCCTTGTTTTGTTTGCACGCTTGTCACTGCGCGTAATTTTGTGTCTGCATCCTGTTGTTTACACGTACCTTGCCTAGCCGTTTGGATGCGAACATGTTGGACCGAGTTGCGCTTTCTCTTTCCTCAGATGGTTTACCACGTGTAACTCAAGCTGAATAGTTCCAAACTCGTTCGAAAGAATGCACTACCTTTGCTGAAGCTTCGGATATGGTATTGTGGTGCTGTCGATCTACGGGGGCGCAACAAACGACGCTCGGTGGGGGAGGGGCAGAGCGGTGGACCTTTGTACGTGGCAACCTAATATCGTAGAAGTCGTAGTAGAAGGAAATCTAAGATGCTGAAGTCGAAGAGAGGGCGACAGAACTACCAGTGGGTAAAGGCAGTTCTACAGGAAAAGCGAAGGGCGGGAGTTTGCGCTATTTGCTTTGAAGCTTTGAGGTTCAATGTGCGAGTGACGTGAGTGCGGATCTGCCTATCCGCGCACCCATGTTAGATGCAGCCTTAGATCATGGAAACAGCTGCATCTTCACGTGATAGTCATATTTGCTATTATCAATAGAATAACTGCTGAACATTAAATTTGTCATTGATTCCGTCCGTGATATCTTTGAGCGCCATACGCCTTAACCGCAGCCTTTTCCCGAACAAGCTTTGTACAACAGGCTCGCAGGCCATAAAGTGATGATATGAAAAACGCCATATGCAATGAAACGAGCAGATTGCTCAAGAACAAACCCTTTAGGCCTACGAGTAGAATGCACCCTTCTGGAAACTCTCAACACCCATATCTCCTGCCTTGCTGTCAATCTTTGGTCCGACCTTGTTTCCCATGCTCGACTCGGTCATGGTAGCAGTTCCGCTTGTAGCACTGCTGCTGGTCATTGTCTGGGTCCTGCTTCCAGCCGGGCTTCCGATCTGACTTCCACTGGTGATCTGAGCGGGTGTCTTTCGCTGAATAGTCTCCAGGTAGATGCCGGGAAGATAGCCCACGCGACCGTCTCTTGACCGGCATTTCCACCACTCTGATGCGTTGCCCATAGGATCACTCTTGCTGAGAACGGCAACCATGTCGCCCTTCTTCACTGAAAGATCCATACCCTGCACGTTGGCATTGGGGGTGAAGTCATATAGCGCACGGCAGAACTCGAGCTTGTTGGGATCGAGCGGTTGTGCCGAGTGTGGGTTCTCGAGCATTTTTCGTTGCTCCTCAGCTTCTTGTGATCGGGCAAGGGCCTTGATGAGCTTGCCCATTAGGTATGGCAGACCGAATACTGCGAGCATGAACACGATGAAAGGCTTCTTTGATGGCTTTGCGGGTGCTGGTGAACCATCTGGCATACGACCGTTGAAGGCTGCGAAACTCGCGGGAGTCAAGGCGGTTGCGTCGGCTGGCAAGGGTCGTCCTGTAATTTTTGCGATGGCGGTTCGTATCCACCGCATGACGGTGTATATGCCCAAAACCGAACCGAGTGTTTGTCGCAGGTTTCCGAACTGTTCGGCAACGGATACCATGGCTGTTACACGTTAAAAACTGGCAGAGAAGAATGACCAGGTCAGGGACATACCAAAGAATGACGAGTGAGTCGCCATGTATGTGCTTTGGAGCATTTGCGCGAAGCCACCGAAGGCGCCAACAATGTTTTCGATGAGCTGGAATGTCGCTGCTGTGCTTTGGCTGAAGGACTGTGTAAGGCTGCTGTTTGGATCGCCCGGCATGCCGCCCATGCCTCCGTACATGCCGCCATACATTCCTCCCATGCCACCGTACATGCCTCCCATACCGCCCATGCCACCGTACATGGAGCCGTACCCGCCGCCCATGGTGGAATATGGCGAGTTGTAGCTGCTCATGCCTCCGTAGCCTGTGCCGTAGGGTGAGTTATATCGGTTGTTCATGCCGGAATACGCGGTCGCGTTGCGGTTCGCGACGGTGCTAAGAGAGTCGGGTACCGATGGCAGTGGAGGAGCGGTCGAAGAAGTTGGGGATGTGGTGGTTGTGGATGCTGTGCTGGTGTTTGACCCTGTGAGACCTGTGCGATGGTTAGTCATGGTTATCCCTATTACTCCGGACTGGCGAAACTGACCAACCGAGGCACTTGTCGCGCCGGCGCTCGTTTCCCATGGCTTTGGCGGCGATGGCGAAGACATTGTGTCTTGTATGTCTTGTGTCTTGTGTGTCCCGTCGTCCTACTTTACGCGCAGACGGCAATGGAATGCAGCGAGATGGCGAGGGCGTGCGACGGTTGAGAGGCTGGCGAGTAGCGGCGATTCAACCGACGTAAGCAGGAGCGACTTCTTGCGGGGAAGCTGGGGGTAATCGCGAAACAGCGGATCCGCGTCGACGGTCACTGCACGCGCTCGTTTGCAGTCCGTGGATAGACGAACAAGAGCGCGAACGGGTTGGATGACGGTGATGGGATGGGGGGCGATGGGGAAAGCTGAGGGCGCATTGCCGTCGGCCGGGATACGGATGGTCTTTGAGAGCCTGAATCGTGACCGTGACCGTGACAGACCTCGGTTTCTTGTGCCCGCTTAGGCAAGCCCAACCGCCGAGCACTCACAAGCCGAGAACCGTACCCGCTTTGCCACTCCCTTCTGTATTCACCAATCCCACCCCAGCGCACATATGTCATCTGTCGTGCGTTTCCCTCTTCAGTAATGAGCATATGGAAATTCCTTCTGGGCCTTGCGCATTACCACAGATAACATATCTATCGCGTCTGCATCCTTGCCGTGTGTGCTTCACCATGTATTTGTTCGTCGCCAGTGTATAGCATTCACATTGCACTGGAGCATATACAAGGAGTGGCTGTATCTAACTAATGCGGGGGTGCACCCAACAGTAAACTTTATTCTGAAAAACACCGAACCCCTTGACGCGTGTGATATCGATAGTATCACGTGATATCTCTCTCAAACGATAGTCAACTAGTCATCTAAGACCTAGCTTAGTACCGTGGTGAGTATCACGTGATCAGACTGCAGATCTATACTGTGATTCCTTTTCCGAGTAGATAGACTACCTTTTTCACTTAATACAATACAGCGATTGGATTTGAGATCTGTTCTACCAGCTCGATTGCGGGTTGCCCTTTGATCTGTTGAGCTCGATCTTGTATGTATCGTGCCACAGTATGTACACATCCTATCTGCCAATACACTAAACCTAAAAATCGTCTTATGATCTTGTCTGGAGTGAGCCGCCATGTCTTAGCAAGGCTATCTCTTAGCTTCTTTGTTGATTAACTTTAAGGAATTTGCACATGATCAAGCTGATTATGTGTATGTTACATACATTAGACAGTCTACCTTGGACCTAGTCGGTTCCACACTATGAGTGCAGCAATATTGAAAATGACGAGCAGAAAGCTACTGACAACTGCCACCCATACCTGGTCAAAGACCATAATCCTCGCACTGGTGCTCTCTGCTTGAGTGGTCGTGCGAAGCTCGACCAAAGAAGTGCTGAAGAAAGACTACCGGAACCATGTCATTAGCAAAATATAGAAGAGCTTTAAAGTTGCACCAGGGCTTGGAACTTGTAAGACGTTAAAGGATTACATACGAGGACAAGATTTGCGGGCAGATACACCATCGCTATCACTGTTGCAATCCGCATGACTCGCGAATCTTGCTGAGTTTTATTGGTCATGGCTGTTATACTTTTGCTTTCATTAGCACTAGCTTGTGCAAGCTGCGAAAGAACATGGCTGTTTTGTACTAGAAGCTCTTGATTCCGAAGTGCTAGAATGTCGCGATTCTGGCAGTAGCGTTAGTACAGCAGGTCTTTGAATGGAGTGGCCGAAATTCCTTACTAAGGCTCCGATGCTTTCGACTACTTGTAGCAAATGTCGGATCGTAGCCTTATGACCCTCCATGTCACTGCTGATCTGGCCAAGGTCAAGCTTCATATTGATTTGACTGAGGACATTCGAAAATGTCCTCGGGTCGCACAGATGAATCAGCAGCTTCTGAGTAATGCGAGAGACACCATCTACTACTTCAAGAGCTAGAAGAAGCTGTTTCTTCAATAGGTGCAAAGCTTGGCTCGTGGAAAAATCCGTGTCGAATTCAGCGTAAGGTTTGGAAATGCTAAGTTTAGCGTCCTACACAGCATTTTCGGTTAGATTCAGGCAAGTGCTTGCGGTACAAAGGTCTCTAGACTAACCATTAAGCCCAGTTGGGATGCTTTAAAGCTGAGGTACTCCTTGAAGTAATACGTCGCTGATTTGATCAGACGGACGTGAAGAGCCAAGGGATGAGACTTGTCCTGGGAATCTGTTTGTTGAAGGTCTTCATTGAACAGTTGAGGAGGCTGAATAATGATCCATGTGGAGCGACTGCCTTGAAAATAAAACTTGTGATGAATTCCAGACTGGCGGCATGAATAAGGATCTTGAAGTTGCCTCCCGTGGGGCTCAAAATACCGGATATTGTAAGAAATGTCAAACCCTTCTTGTACATTAGCGCATTACCAAGAACATGTCGATGGGGCAATACCATTTGCTACCACGTTTGGTTCAGAGCCCACTGGTGTCATGAAGCTCCGATAAAACGTCGTGAAGGATTCATACCCGGAGGACGTCCGTTGACCAAGGCCTAGTACAATCTTTAGGAACTGTGGCGGCGTGCCAACCGAGGCAATGATATAGTTGAACATTTCAGGGAGTATCTTCATTCTACTCCAAGAATTCTTCCGACGAATAACTCTTCATGATGATCAGTCTTATCCATTATAGGGTAAGGCATCGCTATCTTACATCATGGTAATAGTAGAGGAGTCATCCAAGCCCTGCTAACATTAATTTAGTTTCGTTACAGTTCGTACCTACTCACTTTCCATTGGTTTTCCAAGTCCTGTAGGTTACGAACGAGGGAGATGATTGGCTTTTTTATGCCTCGGCTGTTGCCTGGTCATGTGTGAGTGCCGAGTGCCCGTGGTAATGCTGATTTAACGTACGCTGCGATTCCAACGAACTGAAACCAAGGTTCCAAACCTCAGCTGTACAGTCGGCTTCTTTGTCAATGAACAGATTTGAGGAGTGCCTCTGTATATCTCGACTGCAGATCTGATAGTCAACATCGCCCCCCATAGTTAGGCTAGAAGTTATGTCGCCTTGACGTCTGACAACACGGAATTTGAGGTTACACACTGGCCAGAGAGGTGCTTTGATAGTGCGATTTTATATGTACGAGTCCCTGTAGGAGGCTGTGTACATTGAGAACGCTCTACCCGTTCGATCTGGCACATTTTCGTTGCCTTGTCTTAACGAACCTCAAGAGCGCGGGGCTTGTGGTAAGGTGGGTTACACAAGGCAGACTTGCATTAAAAACAATTGGTTCGCAGCCCACCACAAAAGGGGCTGTTGCAGGACACATGAAGAGGACGCCCGACCAGTTTGGCTGTCCAATGGTTGACCGACACGCAACTCGCTTGAGCAGCCTCGCATTTACTTGTGCTTTCCGGTCAGAAAGTCTCTTCTTTTAGTGCGTCTTTGGTCTCGCATCCATTCTTTATTTTATCTTTGGCGCTTTGGACGCGTATCGTAACCTAATGGCAGTCACGACTACACTAGAAGAGACGTATGTCTTGTTGGATAAACTGGACCTTTTGCTTCAAAGGCTGTTTCCAGGCCGGTATTCGGTCAAGGTAATCCTTTCCATGCCAGTACATCGACATTGCGTGGCTGACCAAGTAAGATTTCTGGGGGTTACGTCGAGATAACGGCCCCGCGAGCGCTATCCAAGGTCACTAGAACATTCCCCCTTTCTTCTAACGCTCTTCTAATATTCAAATCACTAGGACGAGACCGATTCTGTCCAGGACAGAGAATAAAGCATCGAAAACTGTCTGCGAACACAATCCTAGGCCGCTCATCTCGCTCCTATTGTGTCTCAGATGATGACGCCGTCCTCTCAATTGAGCAACTCAGCTAGTACCCGCTTTTAGAGATATAATCTCACTTTTTAAGATGTATCTTGAGATGTTGTATCGGGAAATTGAAAGAAACCGGTCCAGATCGCTTCCTGGCACCTACTTTATCTGCGCAGAAAACATACGAAGCATCTTTAGTCTCGATAGGGTTGAACTCGCGATCCAAGAACTTGACTGTGATCCACACGAACGAATTGGTCTTGCAAAACAAGTTCACAAAGAAGGCGTCGTCGTTTTTGCTATTCTTGTTTGGATGAGACGGCCGGACAGTATTGTCAAGTTTCGCGAGCACGGATGCCTAGACGGACAGCTTCCTCTACCCGAGAGTAGAGCCCAGCAGATCGTGCCTGAATTTGGGCTTTCTTTTGCTCGCGAGGTCCAATGGCAATTTCTTCCATATGTTTTCAAAAAGGATATGTGTGATTATCATCGCTACATCCATGAAGTCAATGTCATATTTCCATTTGTCGGTGAAGCGGAGAAGATTGCACAAGGTGGATTCGGAGAAGTTACAAGAATACAAATACCAACAAACCTCCAAGAGTTATTCCACAGCAAAGTGAGTACGGAATTTTGTTGTAATGTCGTATGTACTGACAGTGGAGTACAGGAGGCTACTGTATCCGTGATTAGGAAACGAATTATGCATCGAAAGAAACAATCGCAGGAAGCATATGATAAGAGTTTCCAGAGAGAGATGAGATCCCTTCGATTACTCCATCAGTTGAAACACCCCAATATCATTCCTTTGCTGGGCTCCTACACGCACAACCAAGAACATAACTTTCTGTTTCCGCCTTTTGCAATGGACCTGGCTAAATTTCTAGATCTAGAGTCCCGGTTCAAAGACTTTCAATGGAACTTCGTGTTCCCGGTCGCGCTTCGGGGTCTCGCCTCAGCCCTGGAGCAACTTCATAATATAAGTCTAGATGGCGCTCATAATGGGGTACATTTCACCGGTCTAGGATACCACCACGACTTCCGGCCTTCGAACATCCTAATCACCCACGACTCCTTCGTTCTTGCTGACTTTGGTCTTGGGGAAATCAAACCAGAACTTGAGAACTCTCAGACGCCCTGGAAGATGGGGACTGGAGATTACCTTGCCCCCGAGACCATGGATTCTTTAACCTTTGCCCATCAATCTGTTGGCCGCTCTATCGATGTCTGGGCATTCGGATGTCTCATTGCAGAAGTAGTGAGCTACATGGAACGGGGTCATCAAGGAGTGCGGCATTTTCGTGCTTTGCGGGAAAGTGAGTTGCGCCCGCGATATGTGACAACGTATTTCTTTACTCCGGATGGCGGGTTGAAAGAATCTGTCCAACGATGGCTAGAGGAGATGGGGACTACTTCGTCCATAATAACCAAGAAGATGTTAAAAGTTGCATTCCGAGCTCTACAGCCAGTGTTGGCACCTAGATGTTCTATCAAGGACGTCCGCGGCGAACTCGACATCATCAGCCTCCAAGCACTTGTTTCCACACTATGTTCAGAGATGGAGGCATATTTGATCGCCGCAGAGCAAGACCTGGATCAAACGGGGCTTCATATGGCGATGCGATTTGAAACGGAAAGGTTGCATGTGATTGCTCGCTTCTTGTCCTCCGAAAAAGATGCGAACTCATCGATTTTCTCACAAGAGGAAACTTATCGTTCCTTTTGCGATGGACTAAGATCTCTGTTTATGACGGTTCACAATGAGTTGGGCCATCAAAAGGACATCAGTCAGCAAGTTGATGCAAGTGAAACACGAATCGACCTGGGTGGATCTGTGCCAGAAAGGGTCCAAAAAATGGTCCAGAAACTTTGGACATTTCTTCCAAAGAGGGAAACTAAAAGAATACAAGAGCTGTGGCTCTCGTCTATGCAAGAGGATGACATTGAGAGGCTGAATGATATTGACATGTTGATGCGTGAACATCGACGAGAGGACTTTTCTGATGTCGGCCGGATGGCCGCGATTCGTGCAACCCGATTGCAGTTGCTAAATACCCCAGATTCTGGCGCCGCAAATCTCTTACGAGATCGACAAGATCTACACCATATTGAGTTATTAAATGGTCATACGTACGGCAGATTCCGTGGAGACCAACCAGTACTAGTCGAGTGGATGTATTATACAAATCGGTCAGACACCATACCGGAGCATCAAAGGCTTCTGATTATGGAGCTACGAGCTGAGAGTTTCAACTTGTCTAAACCAGCTAAATTACGGGTACTCAAGTGTCTTGGTTTCGTAGAAGAAATCGGAGAGATGGGACGACGACCAGGGTATGGATTTCTTTATGAACTCCCGGCAACAATCTCCGAAAACATATTCGAGCCTCCCGTTACTTTACAGCAGCTTCTGCTATTGGGCTCGGACCGCGATGGAGGAGCGGAATGTCAGGCCCCGCTGCAGGGTAGATACCTGCTAGCGCATTCGCTTGCGGCGTTCTTTGAAGAGCTGTATACAGTTGGATGCTTGCATGAGACATTCAACTCGAAAAATGTTTTGTTCACCTGTGAGCCGAAAAAGATGTTTCTCGATGGTTCTGTCTGGCGGCAGCCATACATAGTCGGCTTTCAAAAGAGCCGGCCTGATGGATCAAACTGGGCCACCGATGGGCCGGCGGATGAGTTAAGCTACCGTCAGTATGAACATCCTGATTATCGGGAAGAAGGGAGGTTTTCTCTAGAATATGACATCTATAGTCTAGGCCTCGTACTGCTGGAAGTTGGTTGCTGGATCCCACTTCAGAAATTGGCTCAACGAAGGGAGTATCGAACACTGAGCCCCGAAGGATTCCGGCAAGCCTTACTCGAGAAATATGTGCCCAGATTGAGCACAACCGTTGGTGGGGTCTATCGGGATTGTGTTCGTGCTTGCCTTGATGGATCTCTGGCCTGTAGAGGGCAGACGGAAAGCGGTAAGGAGACTGACAATGGCATCTTCGGCTTATTTCTCGACAAGGTAGTCAAGCCGTTGGAGAGGTTGTCCGAATATGAAATTTGATTTGTTAAAGTACATCAACCCCATTTGCTCCATCAGATAGATCAAAGTGCTCTCTGGGTTCTTCAGTATTGCACAGTCTCGCTGCAGATATTATAGCCAATGAGTGATTTCATCAAATTTCAGACTGAGACTGTGAACAAAGGAGGAGCTATATCGACTACGAAGCACTTTCCAATTTCAACAAGTGACATGCTTCTTTCATACGCTGTGCCTCGATATGCTTGCCACGGGCGGCCATAACAGCTGCTAGAAAATTCATTGTGCGTATAGTTTCAGCATGACTGTCTCCTAAAGATCGCTTTCGGATCTCCATGACTTCAAGAGTAAGTATTTCAGCATTCTCGAGGTCTCCAAGCCTCATGTAGAAAGTTACTGTATCTTCCATATATCGCACAGTGTCTTCGTGATCAGGCCCCAGAATAGATCTGTTCTTGTCGATGACTTCAAGCTTGAGTTTTTCCGCCTTCGTCCATTGGCCATTCTCTTCGCAGATCCATGCCAACAGACTAATACTTACGACGGTATCGGAATGATTTTCGCCTCGCAATTCGCGCAACATATTCAATTTTTGCTCTTCAATCTCTTGCGCATCTGTCCAACTCTCTTGCTGTACTAGGACCAATGAAATGGTGTCGAACACATGGATCTGGTCGAGGCTGATCTCCTTCCATGTTGTCTTTTTTGCTTCGACGACCTGTCCTTTAAGATTTTCAAAGCCTGCTACGTCTTTCAGATTACCGTACGCAAAGAGGACATGGTCTGCTGCTCTGATCCACGTTGGATGGCCTGTTCCTAATGCTCTTCTCGCCATGTCGAGGACCTCAATTCCTAATTCCACAGCATCACCCCATTTTTCTGCTGCTGTACACGCGGCGACGAGACAATATTTGCTCGTCAAATATACTGGATCTCGAATACCTTGTGCTTCTTTTGCATTTATCACATCAGCGAAGAGGTTGGTAGCATTGCTCAACTTTCCCATCTCCATAAGGACGCTGCCTAGGTTGTTTTTACTTTCAAGGACCAACGGATGCTCGTCACCTTGGAAAGCCACTCTGGTTTCGATGACCTCAATTCCCAGCTTTTCGGCTTTTTCAAATTTACGTTGGCATCGATAGATAGTAACAAGCTTAGCGAGTGCATCTATTCGAAGACTTTGATACCGGTCGTGCAGTTGCGCTTCTTGCAGTAGGATACGTTCAATCAAGTCTTCGGCTTCTTCGAAACGTTCCTGGTCCATGAAAATCGCTGCAAGGTCGAGCTGGACATGGAGAGTCATGTGGTGCAGGGGGCCGAAAGCACTATTGCACTGTTGAATGGTCTTTTGCTGAATCTGTTCGGCATCTCTCAATCTACCTTGTTCTTTATAGGTCAAAGCCAAAGAGTTGGCTGCACTTATCGTAGATGGATGACTCATCCCTCTTACTAACTCGAGCTTTGTCAAGGCATTAGAGTGTAGTGTCTCTGCCTTTTCATATAAGCCCAATAGGTGATACATATCTCCTAGATATCTTCGAGCCTCAATGGTCTCCGGGTAATCATCACCAAACTCCTCTTCCGAAATGCTTAGCGTGTGCTCGAACGCCTTTGTAGCACGCCTAATATCACCCTTCTTTGCATGTAAATTAGCGAGAGAACGTTGAGTTCTGATTGTGATAGGATTTTGTGGTCCCAGAGCGTCTGCTGCGATGCTGAGGGTTTTGTCAAGCATAGTCTCAGCTTCCTTCCAACGGCCCTGCTCACTGTACACATTGGCGAGGTTACCAGTACTTGTGAGCGAAAAAGGATGACGTTCTCCAAGGATCGATTGGCAGGTATCCTTGACCTCGATGAAAAGAGCCGCTGCTTCTGCCCATCGGTGTTGGGCTTCATAAATCGTCCCCAAATTGGACACTTTCGACAGAGTACTCGGGTTTTCCGACCCCAGTAGCCTCTTAAATCCAGGTATGGCAGCAGACAGTAAGTCTTCGGCCTCTTCGAATCGGCCCTGTTGCTTGTAAGTCATCGCTAAGTCAGCCATGCAATCGTACAAGTCCAAGTTGTTTTCCTCCTCTTGCTCTAACAGTTGCGCTATGGCCTTATCTTGCAGGATTTCTGCTTCACCATAACGACCTAGCTCCCTATACGTTTGCGCAAGATTTATGACAAGGGGAGCATCCAACTCATCCGTCTCATCCATATCGAGCATTTGTTGCAAGATCTGTCTCTTGCTATTCCAATGGCCTAGCCTATCGTGAAACAAAACCATCGTGTGCGCGTGGAAAACCCACAAACTATTGTTTCTCCCTAAAGTGTTTTCGATATCGGATAGTTCTTTGCTAAACTCCTCCACCGCCACATGAATCTCATCCACCTTTGTGTATTGTTCGGTCAGATTGATCAGCTTGACATGGCGGAAGTTGCGTAATATGTGCCACGTTGTCAGGTTGTTGGCTGTTCGAGGACCGTCTACGATATTGAGTTTCTTTAGAGCTCTTTCAAGGTCTTCTGATGTTTTTTGGCACTGTGAAAGAAGCCGAAATACCTGGGCGTCATTTTTGGGAGCTCCAAATCCAATCTTGGTGCAAATGGCAAGCTGGAAGGCGAAGTTTTGCTGCTCTGAATTCATCTTGTCACGAGTCTGATCATTGACCAGGTCCTCCAAGGTACGTCGGAGATACTTCCGCACACGATAATCAGAAGCATATAGGTCTACTAGAAGTTGTGTCATCTGTACTATTGATTAGTGCTGGAAGTTATGTGGTAATACTAGGGCTTACGTCAAGGCTTGCGGAAGAGATGAATGAGGTAGGGTCGTTTATCTTGGTGGGAGGGGAAAGTTCACTGTATCTTGCTCAGCATAATGATGCAGTTATTTTGTGAGGTATCCTACCTAGGGACGAAATAATGGAAAGATGCATGAAGGCTGTGGCTCCGCAAATCTGGTTCGTATATTAGACTGGCCCGGAGAAATTTGAGCATCGCTTCTTTAGGCTCGGCCTCCAGATCATCATCCGTAACCAAGAGCTGTTCAGCAAAATTCAGGATCATTTTGAGTCGTTTCAATTCGCTTATAGACTCCTTGCTGCAGTCTAAGCTTGTCTTTGAAGCAAGCAGATCTTCGGCCCATTTTAGGCTTTCTGGTAGTAGGGCCACCCGAGCAAGATACTTCTCGAAAAGGATCCAGCAACAAAGCAGACCGAGCGAGAATATGTCCATCTTTCGCGCGTCGGTGATGGTGAACATGTTGAAGTGATGTTCAGGTGCGTCCCAGGGTCGTGATCTAGGCATGGAGCAGACCTCGTCGGGTTTCAAGAACCTGGTGGAATAACCAAAATCCGAGACCTTTGCACAGTAGACGTCTTTCTCGTCCTGGAATACAAGAACATTTTCGGGTTTCAAATCTCCGTGTACGATATCTGCCAAGATCTCAGTAAGTTGAATGAAAGAATGTTGCTTTTGTTACTTACTGTTCGTATGCATACTCATAACTGCAGAGCCTATCTCAACACAAAGATTCAGACGCTGAGCCATCGAGAGTGCTCTACCTGCTGGCATAGGGGCGAAATCATAGAGATTTCCAAAATGTGACTTTTTGAATACTATGACCGGCCAGACATCATGCACAGATTGAACATCCCAGCATATGCCTTGGAGTTCAACAACACCCGGGTGCATCCGAATCGAGGGATGGGACAGAACAATGATTTCGTTTAACATTGCTTTCAGAACTTTCGGCAGGCCGACGTGTTTCTGCTCTTCGGAGGCACGTTTGAACGCAAAGCTAGTTTGGACAGTAGCCTGAGCCTCAGTAACCTGGCTTGTTGCACCCCAACCAATCGGTTGTCGTGCAGCTTGCCATGTTATGGGTAGTATTTCGATTTTGAGTGCTTCCACGACTGCCAGAAACCTTATCATATCCAAGTCATCAGGCTGTGATTCGGCGGAGGTCAGGGCACTCTCTGATAAGAATCTATAGTTGAGCAAAGTCGACTGGGTTAACATCGTACTATGTGGCTTTGAAAGGTCAATTGAATGGAGAGTTTGTCTTCTAATACAATAAATAGAGAGTGTTGATGATACACGCAGAAGGCTGAAGAGGCCAAACCGCCCAGCAGTCGAAGACGCTTGGCACGGAATTACTGGCATCGCTAAACATAGCTACCGCCACAACTACATCTCATACGTTTAGAAGACAATCGCAATCTCGGTAGCGGCACGAGAAAGACTTCCGAGGCGCTACTGAGGCCTTTTCCTTGCATGTCCATTGCTACCATGGCCTTCGTTCTTGATTCGTCTACTACGCAACATGAGTGAGCCACCTTTCACACGACAATCCCCAAAGATATGGCACGTAAACGCAATGCGCGAAGCCCATTTAGATTAATCAACCTACCATACGAAACTAGACATGAATTTCTTTAGGCCAACGCTGCATGTTCTACTGCCATGCATAGTGCTCATTGTTCATCCATAATGGTTGCTCTTTGCTGATTCCACCTTGCTGGTCGTACCACAGCAGACTGGCAATATGTTTCTTCTCCCGCTCTGTGATAGTGTATTCCAATTCACTGTCTTTCAGCATACCCAATACTAGTGGTGTTGGGTCCCATAGCTCCACTACATCGAGCTTCCATTCAGCAGCTTCAGCCTGTGCAGCTTGCAACACAGCCTTCAAAAGCTCAATCCGTGTCTCATAGACATCTTTTTCTGGTCTTTTGGCAGTATCCCTGGGAAGTCTTGTTGCAGTTTCATCGCCCTCTACAACTAGTCGAAGTATGTACAGAACGTTGCTTGACTTCTCGGCACCGGGAGGACCATAATATCGATGTACCCATGTCGCCCATACTTGCTTGCCTGGAGATCCTGCGATGACGCCCTTCGCGGTTGGAGTTTTCCCGAAGAGATAGTCGGTCGCAAATTGTTCCTTTCCGATGTGCCAACCCATGTGATCCACGTTCGGCATGATTGTAAAACGTGTGTTTTTGATCTCACCTGCAGGTACTGACATCTGAGAGCGTACTAGAGCTGCGTCCCTCTTGCAGATATCGTCAAGATCGTTCTCCAGGATTGCCTTAACCAGGGGTGACCATGCAATGGGCTTCGGCAGAAATTCGACTTGCGAGTTCGTGATATTTGGAGTCCATCCCAGCTTCGCGTAATACTCCTTCCCAATATCGGAGTAGAGCGTGGTTCCTATGCATGGAAACTTATCAGTTTGCCATCTGTACAGTTCCTTAACCAGCTCTTGCATCATGCGACCGGCGTAACCACGACGGCGGTACGGTGGTGCGCAAAAGACGCTAGCAATTCCATGTACGATATTATTGCTGACTTCTCCTTGTGTGTTACTGGTCAAAGAGTGTTTCCTGAAAGTTTCGCACGAACATAAGATATGTCGTTTGTTTGGGACCGAATCTTTGTGGACGAGAACCCAAGTAGTCATACCCCCATCTCTAGCTAAAGGGACCGTTGTAAGGAAACGACACTCTTTCAGATAGAGGGGAGGTGTAAGGGAATCGATCCATTCAGCGGAAGTGTTGTTCCAGATTGTGATACATTCATCCTCAGTCGGATGTCGTAGGATGAGATCAGGACTCTTCGAGTCGGGCAAATCGTCCTTTGGTAGGACATTCATGGCTATAGAGGTCAAGAGCTTTTGTCAGTTTCTGAATAAGGAGCTGATAAACCGTAGTTTTATCTTTCTTACTGGGGGTCATCGGTTGTATGTAACGTATGCTTGGGCCGCACGCTGTTGCGCTATATATGAACCAGAGCTGGTGGACAATGCTGCAGCTGAAACTGTACACGTGGGGTGAAGAGCTTTGTGTATGGATGAAACTTTATTTGCACACCAGTCTGCGGCTGATTATACGAACTTGCATGGTTAGTCCGAGGCATTGTTCTAGAGGGCTCACGTGACGCTATCGATATCACATGCTTTGCAGTAAAACCCTACCTTTCATAGTAGCTATGTAGGTTCTTTACTTTATTATATAAGAAAAGAAGTATATATATTTCACTATTCATGTTTCATGTTTTATATAAAACGACTTTGTTATAGTAGTAATGTTTTGTGCTAAACATAACTTACTTTAGTAGGCTTTGCCAACTTAACCTCTATTTCCGGTTTTACCAGTTGACCTGACACGACTGAACGAGTTCGTGCACCCAGTACAAGCTTAGGTATAGAGTTTGGCAGTGTCTTGACGTAGCTTCCTGTAAGTCTCACTGTATGCAAGAGGAACAATGAGGCTGCAGTTAGTGTTGAACAATCCGTGTCTATCCAAGCACACTGCCGTCACTCGATCAATGCCATCAAGAAATCTTGCGGAATGGATTATATTGGGTATCGTAGCTACATAATCGTGTCGAACTCTAATGTGAGACGTGAACAATCCCCAGCTCAAAAGTGCAAGAAAGCAAACTCTCGTCATGGGGTAGCACATAAAGAGCCACTCAGAGCACCGAAGCATATACCAGTAGAAAACTGACTACCTGGCAAGAGATCGTTCGACCACTAATCTCAAAATCTGCTTCTAGTCAGTCCATGTTTCCTTTCGAGGCCTGATGTGAAGAAGTAGATAGGTATAGCATATTTCAGAATATAAGTTGAATGCACCGGCAAGACCCGTTAAGGCCTCGCCTAAAATAAGAGGTATCAGAAAATAATTTTGGTGGATCATCACTGTGCTGTAGCAGAAAGGAGGTGAAAGAATGAACATACCTTTGAGAACATGGCCTGCTTGGAGCTGTGTGTTAGTAGCGCGCTTCCGCAAAGCACTCTAGCAGAGCAGCATCAACAGCACCATCAGCATGGAGCTCGTCCGGCTGCAACAAAGCACAAAGACGATCCTCTCTGCATGGTGGCTGTTCCGAAGCTGCGAAGTGTGAAAAGATGAGGTCGACAGACTTTTTGTCTGGCAGCAGGAGCTTTGACGCTAAAATCGCGCACGGTCCACCACACACCTAGCCGAGCCGCGAGAAATTGATCCTTGGATCGCGAACTTCAAACACGACTTCAAGCCTTCCACACGTCTTTGTACTAATCCACCAGCTCGCCGCCCGGTACATTCATTCAAAATGGGTCGTCTTCACAGCAACGGAAAGGGCATATCAGCCTCCGCAATCCCCTACTCCCGCAACCCCCCTGCGTGGTTGAAGACCACCCCGGAGCAGGTTGTCGACCAGATCTGCAAGCTCGCCAGGAAGGGTGCTACTCCTTCTCAGTAAGCGGAACCTATTACAACAAGAGATTTTTGGGGGAATTGCATATACTGACGAGATTGCAGGATCGGTGAGATCCTCCGTGACTCGCACGGTGTCGCCCAGGTCAAGGTTGTTACCGGCAACAAGATCCTCCGTATCCTCAAGTCAAGCGGTACGATTGCCCTATACACATGAAAAGCGCACGTCGACACAGCTCTGCTCCGCGTGAGCATCTGCGCGCTATACAAATCTGCATTTGTTGGTCTAGGCTAACATTTTGCACATAAAGGCCTGGCCCCAGACATCCCAGAGGACCTCTACATGCTTATCAAGAAGGCCGTTGCCGTCCGCAAGCACCTCCAGACCAACCGCAAGGACAGGGACAGCAAGTTCCGCCTCATTCTCATCGAGTCCCGTATCCACCGTGTAAGTTGAGCCGAAGATGTAAATAACAATAGAAAAGACTCGTGCTAACGATTCTTAGCTCTCCCGTTACTACAAGACCGTCGGTGCCCTCCCCCCTACCTGGAGGTACGAGAGCGCCACCGCCTCTACCCTCGTCGCATAAGCAGATGTAGGATTGGTGTGGCTGGTAATCGTGATGGAAGACATTTACGTGGAGTTTATGGGCATGGATGCTTGCTTTACGGATACCTAGCAGCATCACGATACGGAATGAATCAAAAGGCATCATCTCAAGATGAAATTATACCCAATTGCAATCGAGGTGCTAGAAAGTGTGTTGTGTGTGATGTTGATGTTTGTTTGACCTGGGTATCTTTTTTTTCGTATGTGCCGCCTGCCTGCCTTGAGCACTTGATGAGCGCCAGCTATGCCAGCTTGGTATCTTCTGTACACCATGGTAACCCAACCCTCCCACTGCCGAGCTTGCTTTCCATTTCCTCTGCCATGTTTACCTGTCATTCCCTCTTATCTCCCCATTCCACACAGTACACGCGCTCAACCTCCTTCTCAACTCATTCCCCATGCACTACACCCACAACTCTTCAAGCCCCCTCAACCTCCGCACTCTTCTGCGCCAAAAACTCGCTCAACCACTTCAACGGCTTCTCCGGCTCCTGCGTCGCAAGATGCTTCATCGCCTCGAGCAAATACGGCGTCACATGCTGATTCAAATACACCCTCGTCGGGCTCCCGTGTGGAATCGGCTGCGTGGGCGCCTGCGCCGGCGGGTGCGGCGAGTTGCGCGATGATGCGGGTGCGGTCGCGGGGTGTGCTACTGGGGCGCTGGGCGCCGGCGCTGAGGGAGTAGTCGTTGTTTGTGAGGGTGTTAGGGGCTGGGTTTGTGTTGTTGTTGGCTGTTGGAGAGGTGGTGCTTGGGATGGGGGTGAGGGTTCTGCTTGAGGCTATTGTTTTTGTAGGGTTAGCAAGGGTTTCTTTTGGGGGGCTTTCCTGAGAAAGATGGGGGGGGAGGGTAAAGTACGGGCTGGTCGCTTGTAGAGTCTGCCATTTCTACATCTGCGAGTTGCTGTTGCATTTGGGCTTCGCCGTTTAGGAACGGAGCGTCCATATCGTGTTCTGGCGCAGGGTTTGGGGATGGTTCGGTCATTTTACGGGATTCTTTGTGGTGATTTCTTCAATTAATTGACGCGTAATGGCGCGATTTTGGCAGGGTGGTCAGAGTGGTGGTTAGTGTTGGGATGTAGTGTGGATTGTTTCTGGACGGTAGCTCTGAGCTCTGCTGTGACGTTCGGGGATTGCGGGCTGGCCTCGGCGTTTGCCTCAAAGGCTTCTTTCTTCACTTCATATTCAAAGTCACGTCTCCAGTTGCTCTTATCACGTGTAGAAAGACTAGGAAGTCATGTTCGCAAAATAATCTTGTATGTTTGACTATCACTCAAACTGATCTAAGTTGCGGATCAAAGAACGCATACTGAATACCCAAAACGCCGTGCTATAAATTAATGCATTTCTGTCTTCAACTCGTGTTTGCTCAACCGCTATATTCGTATTTCATATGCATATTCGTATTTCATGTATTTCATCTCCACTTACTCCTCGGCATTAACCAATGCGATGGTCCAACAAAGCATGCAGCGTACGCAAAAAACAAACAAACGTTAAAGTCAGATAACGAACAAGGAAAAGAACAAGAAGGAAATGTGCTCGCGGCGTGACATCCGGAGAAAACGAAACTGCTGGAAATGAATTCGTGTCCTTCCGCTAGGTGGTTCTAGCGAGATCGTCGTTCAGCTGCGTATGCGACGTTCGTTGAAACGGTCGTTTTCATGTCATTATTCGTAACCACGCTGTTGGTATCCCAAGTCCCTGCGTCGGATACACTGGTCTTACTTCTCAAGACCCTTGGCCTTTCAAGTCGTGCTGGCTTCGCAGGCTTATAGGGCGCATTGGTTGAGACGATTGTAGAAGGCCCGTTATTGGCATGGGTGATCTCACTGCTCGTATCCCAGGTGCCAGAGTCAGAGCCTTCATCAGAAAAACTGTGCTGCTCCTGCTCTCTCTTCAGTCTTTCAAAGGGTCCAGGCAGGTGGACTGAAGATGCAGGTCCTCCAAATCCCCTAGGATAAGGGATGTTGGTTGACACGGTTGTAGGTGGGGCGCGATGATGTGTCACAACACTATCGGTATCCCATGTGCCAGCGTCAGAGACACTTAGCCTTCTTCGCTCATAAGGCATCCCTGCTGGGTAGGGTATATTGGTTGACACAGTCGTTGGCGCAGCGCGATGAGTTGTGATCTCCGTGTTAGTGTCCCAAGTGCCAGCATCGGAGACGCTAAGTCTTCTTGACAGCTGTGGCGATGTTGGCACTGAAGAATCTTCGTCAGTGGAGAAGCTGGCCGGGTACGGAACGTTCGTCGACACAGTCGTAGGTGGGGGACGGGAACGATGTGTTGTGATTTCCGTATTAGTATCCCAAGTGCCGGCATCAGAAACACTGAGTCGTCTTAGCTGCCGTGGTGAGGGAGGCACGTAAGAAACATCAGTCATGGAGGCGTTGATTGGATACGGAACATTGGTCGAAACCGTCGTCGGCGGAGGGCGCTGCGTGAACACACTCTCAGTGTCCCATGTACCAGCATCAGAGACACTCATTCTCCTGGTCTCGCGGCCAAATTCCGTAGGATATGGAATGTTGGTAGAGACAGTGGTTTCAGGGGCTCGTTGAGTGACCTCACTGCTAGTATCCCAGGTAGCGTCATCGGGGATGCTTCTTGCTCGTCGCAGATTCCAGGACACCCCAGTTGGGTAAGGAACATTTGTAGATACGGTCGTAGGCGGCGCAAATCGAGTAACCTCGCTGGCGGTATCCCACGTTCCAGCGTCAGAGATGCTTCTTTGCCTCCTTATCTCCTTTGATTCCCTCTTCACCTCTTTCGAGTCCCGCCTTGCATCATAGGCATGTGGGTAGGGAACATTAGTGGAAACTGTCGTAGGTGCGAAATCATTGTGCGTGAAGACACTGTTCGTATCCCAAGTGCCAGCATCAGAAATGCTCCTCATCTTTCTGATCTCACGAGACTCCCTCTTCGATTCTTTCGAATCCCTGAGGGAATTCGATTCCTTGGTCGAGTCCCTACTGCCGCGTTCCTTCCTGCGCTCGCTCTTTTCACTTCGAGTAGAATTCTTGGTGCTCCCATTTGCACTTTGCCCAGTCGCAGGACTGGGGTACAGAGCTTTGACACCTGCACTTCGACTCTCGTACAAGTAGCGAGCCTTCTCACGCTCGGTTTTATCCGAGCGATCGCTCTTCTCTGTCCGGCTAGTACGCTCACTCTTGTGGGTACGCTCACTCTTCTCTGTACGCTCACTTCTATCCGTTCGCTCACTCTTGTCTGTACGCTCACTCTTGTCCGTGCGCTCTGTATCAGCAGACTTGTGTGTGCGGACACTAGAAGCATAGGTGCTCCTCCGGCGGATAGATTCAGGTCGAGGAGTAGCAAAGTCTTCTAGCTCATCGTCAATGGCTGATTCGCCAGATCGGCGAGTGTGTGTAGAACGACGGCGTGAGTGTGTGGTCGAGGAAGTGCGTGTTCGTTGAGGCAACAGACTCTCGATTTCGTCTATGGCATCGTAGACTGGAGATACTGTATCTATAGGTGTAGGAGGACAGGTGTCAGGCTCCACATCATGATATGGAACGGTCTCGTCAAGTGGGGTTCGAGAGAAAATGGGGGGTAAACCAGCACTTTCAGACAATGTGCGATGGTGTGGAGTTTCCGTAAAAGGCAATGGCACCTCTGGCTTGGATACAGGCTTAGGTGGCGGCGGTGGCGGCTTCCTCTTTGAATGTGGTGTATGTGAAGGAGCCAGACTTTCGACTGGCATGCCAATAATGTTCCTCGGAGACGTAAAGATAGACGTCGGCGGAGGTGGGGGCGGCATGTGTGAGTATGTGGAGAGTGGTGGCTTCACGCCCTTGTCGCCCAACGAAGGGCCAGAGAAAAGACTTAGTGCCCGCTTGATGGTCGAGGACTTTTCGGGTTTCTCGGGTTTTTCAGTCTTTTCAGTTGGTGAAGTCGGACGTAGCCGCGGGGTATGTTTCTCAGCCGTGTTCAACTCGGTTTTGGACGGGGAACGAGGAGCGGGGGGGTTTGTTTGCTCGTCTCGGGGAGGGGGGCATGCCTGCGATAGCAAGATGTTAGCAAGCGTTTCTATGCAATCGTCGTCTCGGGAAAGTCTGAAGTGGTTCGTGGGCATTGCAGTGATCAGGTGAAGTTCGGAGATGCCAAGGTGAGCGTTGGGGTCAGGTAAACACATGCGGGTTGTGTTACGTACCGGCGCCGGAAACTTGCCCTCGTCAGTCGGACTCGTTAATACAGTGGTATGGGATGGCAAACCAGCAGATTTCAGCTCTTCAAGCCTTGCCACTACGGGCTCGGAATTGTCGTACAGAGCCAGTCCATGGTGGAGAACACAGCCTTCGTCGCGCGACTCTCCGTTGATCTGGAAGTTCTCGTGCTTCGGCTCTCGGAAAACGACAGGGAAAATTCTCAGAAGCAGTTTCGGTTGCGAATCAGTCGTGTCCATTGGAGAACCTGCAGTGTCATCTGGTTTGTAAGCTGGCCAATACTGGCTACCGGTGAATTGGTGGTCTTCGTCGTGTAAAGCCGGCATGACGGCCGTGATCATTTCACGTTCAAGACGTGCAAATCTCCACGTCTCCGCAGCAAGCTTCACTATGCGTTTCACTGCAATCTTGATACCTTCTTCTTCTCTTGGATCGGCAAAATGCTTGATGGCATTGACGATTTCCTCTACAACCGTTCCAGCAGCAGTGTTGATGCGCTGTTTAGCGCCAGAGCTTGTGAAAGCTGCAAGAAGTGTTTGTTGACGCCAGATTGCTTCTTTCCGTGTACTCTTCTCGCGAATATGGTGGCTCATTGAAGAGAACAACGAGTCGGCTTTGTCATAACGACGGCCAAGACTGAACAAGAAGGGTCCGAAGACGCGGTAAGTGATGAGTTTGGCTACTGTGTGGGCTATGTATGCCGCTCGAACTTGTCTGTGACGGGGTCGTCTCGTTAGTAAGCAATCTTTCCTTCGCAATGTTCTTCCTTACCTGGAAGCTATCGTGTCGCCGATGAATGATGGTAGATTAGAAGGCACTTGTCCAAGATCCTCTGGCGGTGGTCGTACTGGAAGATGGACAAAGTGAGTTTTCGCCAGATCGATGATTTGCCTTTGTAGATGGGTGAAAGATGTCAGGCTGTAGGTGACAAGTTAGCGACCAGCTCCGTGCCAAGAAAGAAGTAATATATCGCGAGATCAATAAATGCACGGCCGCCATGGTGTAAGTTATGGTGACATCCAGCGAACGCGTATAGTCCCTGGCGAGAGAACTGGGCTTGGGGGGGCTTCGGTATGTTTCATGGAGCTACAAGGGGACTGCGGGGTACAACCCACAGCTGGAGACCCCGTGGCACCCCCTCTCGTGCGCGCAGCCATAGCAACGCGACGAACATCCGTGATAGAAAAGAAAGGAAAATGGAATGACTTACTAGTAGGTGTCGCCTTTGCTCTTGATCTCTGCAATGTCTCCATAGCATTCCATCATCTTCTCTAGCCTGGACTTCTCGGACTCGAGGTTGCTGGCAACGCTCTTGATAATCTCCTTCTCTTGCTGACTCTCAGCCTTGAGCTGTTCATATTGCTTCGTCAGTTCATCCTTTTCTCGCGCAAGCTCATCTGCTCTGGCTGCTTCCTCAACGGCCTTTTTGAAGATATCGGTGTGGCCTTCAGTTTGCAGATGGTGCGTTTCCAAGAGCTCGCGCTGTTCTGCGCACGTCTTCTCGAAGTAGTCACGTTCTCTGATGAGCAATTCTCGCTCAGTTGCCCAAGATTCTTGGTTGTCCTGCTCACGCTGAAGAGCTTCTTCGAGCCTTGCGCGAAGCTCAGATGCCTCGGAGGCTTCTTGTCGCCACTCGTCGGCGGCGGCCTCGGCCTTCTTCAACTTCTTGTCGAACTGGATAGCAAGGGCAATCTTCTCGGCATCGTGTTTGGTGTTGGTCGTAGCTTTCCATTCGTCAAAGTCCCTCCATGTTCGCTCCCTCTCCTCCGCTGTGCTCCTTTCGAGGGCGCGGTGCACATCTTCCAGCTCTCTGTATCTGTCTTCCCACGACTTCATTGCTGCATTCAAGACGAGCTTTATTTCCTCGGCCTCTTGTGTTGCCTTTTTGTTTTGGGCAATCTGTTCTCGAAGGTCCCGGACTTGCTCTTCCAGGTTACCAATTTGGAAGTGTAGTCGATTTGCCTCGGCTGTATGCCTATTCTCCAAGGTACGAATCTTCTCTTTCAGCTCAAAAATCTCACCATCCTTTGCTCTCAGCTTCTCTTCCTTCTCAGCGCCTGCTCGGCGGAGTAGGTCTTCCCTTGCGCTTAGCTGGGTGTGAGTGTCCTTGTAGCGGGCCAGCAAGGCGGGCAAGTCAGGTATGGTCTGCGCGATGCGTGTGTAAGCGTCACCAGACCCGTCTTCGATAGCAGGTCGGGCTTCCAAAGCATGCAAGGGGTAGTCTCTAGAACCCGAGGAGTCCTGCTGACGATGACGATGATGAAGTGGACTGCCGTAAGGAGGATACCCTGGTGGGTATTGGCTCCATGCTTCTTGGTATGGAGAGGAGGAAGAGGGTGACGAAGGACCGCCGTAAGGATTGGGGTTAGGGGCGGGACAACCCTGCTGACTCATACCATAGCCATGATCTGGGTAGTGAGGCGGCTGGGATGGCGGGGCATGGTAGCCAGGATGGTAATTTGGTGGAGGGGCGGGATAGGCCGGCTCGATAGGCACTCGGGATGCAAAAACGCTACGTGGTTGATGCGGGCCTAAGTGGGCCCTCGACACTTCATGCGCTTCACCGCTAAATGGACGCCCAGGCGCTACCCCGTTTGGTATTAGGCTATATTCTGAGTCGTCGTCGCTGTCAAAAGTAGGAGCATGCCTACAGGGAAATGCGTGGTCAGCCAGCCAGCTCGTCAAGTTTGTTAGTGATTAGGGCAGTCCGGCGTTTGGCAAGACGTCACATTACAGTGCGGACCGTGAAGTGGTGTTGGCCGGAGAAGAGCCGAACAACGTGGCTGGAGAACAAGGGAAAAAGGGACTGCACTACATACCTTGGCCGTACCCTGCTCATGGGTGGACTCGGTGCAGCTGGTATGTCATCCTCGAGAAAATGGGAGACTGAGTAGGGTTTTGGTGGATAGTTGGGACCCGCTTCCTGCGTTCGAAGCTTCCGTGCATGTGGCGCAAAAGATCGGAACGATCTAAAGGGTCGATCAGACTGGCTTGGAGACCGGTCGTGTGCACGATAACCAGCCGACGGAGGCGTCCGAGCGCGTGGTAGTTCATCACCTGGCCACCGTTCCTGGGCCGGTGAGGATGCCATGGGACGAGATCCCACGCCGTTGGGTCCTCGAGCACGTGATGCTTCTTCAATAGCCTTTCGTGCAGCCTCGACTTGGTCAGCTTCTTTCTGGGCACTTGTGGTGCCACTTGCAGCCATCCGAGCTTCCATATCTCTTCGACGTTGCTCCATTCTCTCGCGTTGCATCTGCTTATACTCGAGTTGCTCGTTCTCCCTCTTGGCCCGCTCGGCAAGCGCAGCCTTTTCAATCTCATCTTGAGCCTCAGTTGCACGTATTTCTTGTTCCATCAGAGCGAGAAGCCTCTTGGCCTCGGTGACTTGCTCTAGAGTCTCTCTCTCGATTCTCTCGCGGATGGCGCCTTCTTGCTGCTTTGTTTCGGACGCTTCCTGCGCTTCGGTCCTGGTGTTGGCTTCTTCATGTGATTGTTCGGCTGCTCCATCAGCTTCTGCCTCGTCTCGAGCCTGTTTCATGTGTATCTTTTGCTTAAGCTCCTTGAGTAGTTCTTTGGCCCTAGTTTCTTCCTTTCTTCTTATTTCTTGTTCAGAACTCTCTTGATCCAGCTTCTCTTGGTGATTTTCTTGCCAGTGAACCTTGGCGTCGTTTTGTGGAGCACCTTGAACAGCCTCAGGAAGAAATCCGTTTTCTTCTCTCGTCTCGTGTCGCTGGGCTTGGTCATTATCTACTGCTTCTTCCTCTGGATGATGGGATTCTTGATGTGATGGGGGCATCTCCGGAAATGCAATAGGAGCTTCAGGCATTTCGTCTTGGGAAAATACTACGGGTACTGTAGCTGATTCGACAGTACGCTCTTCTGAAACTTCGTCCGCAGGCCTCTCCATCTGCACAGTATGCTCTTCTGAAGTTTCGTCTGCAAGTGGCTCAGTCTGCACAGGCGGCGCCTCGGGAAGCTCCTGTGGTATTGGTTGATCCTCGGGCGCATCAAGAGGCTCGTCGGTTGGTGGATTTTCCAGATCATTATCAATATCAGGAAGAGACGGAGGCTCTACTTGTTGTTCCGATGGAGTTTCTTCGACTGGTTCGCCATCAGAAGGTGGAGCAGCAATATCTGCAGGCTCAACTGGCTCAGGTGTCTGTGATTCAGGAGCGACAGGAGGCGTGGGTGGCATGGGAACATCGAAATTCAGCGGTTGAGGATATTCTGGGCGCTCTTCCCCAAGAGGCGTTAGAAATTCCTCGTCTTGAACATCTGCTGCTTGGGCATCAGCGGGCATGCTCTGTGCGAAATCATCTTGTTCCATGTCAGGCGCCATGGCAACAATAGGTTCGTCTGGAGACGCCGTGTCTAATTGCGGCTCTCCCGGTGAATCTGGGGTTTGGACGAGGTCTGGGCTTGGAAGCACGGTTGTGGAAGTGAGGTCTTGGATTGGCTGCATGGCGTCTGGCTCTCGTTGCAGAGGCGGCTTTTGGTCTGGAATGGACCCTGCTTCTAGGTAGTAATAATCGTCTAACTCATCATGTAAAGAGTGGTCGATTTGATTGGCGGCCGGCTGGGGATCCTCAGCGTTGTCGTTGGCTATGTCGGACAGTGTGGCTTTGGGGGGTGCAGGTTGGGGTTCAAGCTGGCGTGGTGCGTCCATGAGTGGATCTTGTTGTGTGGCAGATGTGCTTTCAGCAGCTAATGGAGCTGCAGCCCTGTGGGGATTAGACTGTGAACTGTCGAAGAGAGTTGAAGATGCAATTGTGGACGTTTCCAAGTGCTTGGGAATGGTCGGCTCCAAGGGCTCCACTCTGGAAGCGGATAGCACTGACTGCTCCCCGGACATTGCATTCGTGGCTGGCGGCTCTGCTGGCATTTGGATTTCAAGCGCGTCAGCGACTGGCTCCCCAGTGTTGGTTGGCACAATGTCAGGTGGAGACGCAGACTCCACTAGTTTCTGACTCTGTTCTGCTGTTGCTGCTGCTGCTGCTGCTGCTGCTACTGTTGTTGGTGTTGATGTCGCTGGTTTTTTCTTCTTGGTTATGACTACCGCTGACTACGGAAGAAAATTATTTACAGCCCAGAGCCCACGAGAAAGTCCCAATCTGATCAATGTCCCTCTCACCTCTCACCGAAGACGCGGGCACTTGCAAAAAATATAGGGCTGTGTGCTTGTGAACATGGCATAATGGCAGAAAATTGAGCAGAAAAACGACTGCGCATGCGCATAAGAAGTATATAAAGGCGCCAATGCAAAGTCGGAACTACAATGGTACGAAGTGAAAAGGCGGTGCCGGCCAATGGACGAGGGGCAGGGAACTGCCAGCTCATCGACAATCTGAGCGGCCCAAGGCTGCTGCGCACCGATTACCACGGCTCCCAGCCACCACGGGCGGCTTCGAGTATTTCGGGGTCGAGTAGTATGTCGGCCGTGTGGTGGGTGTCTATGTGGGCATGTGTGTACGGGCATCAGCACCACCACGACAGCCAGCAGCGGAGAGACGAACCGACAATCGAACGAGGCGGCTACGGCCTCTCTGTACTCGCGAGGCAGAGCGGTGCAGCGAACCGATGGTGCATGCCAGTCGAGGACAAGGGGAGTGCATCATTGTGCGTCGTGTTGCTAGCTGCATGCCAGCCTCGACATCAAGGGCGCTACATGGATGGTGCAGCGGTGTGGGTGAAGGTGCAGAAGCAAAGATGCGCTGGCAGCAGAGGGCACATTGCCGCCCCACCCTGCCTGCCTGCCTGCCTGCCTGTCTGTCTGTCTGCCTGTCTGCCTATCTGCCTACCTTAGCGCGCCTCGGCCTCGACTCCTCCACCCTCCCACGCTGCCGACGACACAGCGACCCATACTCGCTCCCACGCCCGCTCTCAGTTGTGCGATAATGTTGCCCTGCACCGAGCACTTGTCCATATCCAGCGATTGGGCGCAAACATGGCCAGACTGCGGTCGGCGCGGAACAAGCCCGTCGTGCTCTCGTCCGACTCCGAGCAGAGCGAGTCCCTTTCACCGCCTCCCGGTACTCGCAAGGGGCGCGCACTAACAAGCATCCCCTCTGCCTCGCATGCACACAGCCAGGCCACGAGGCCGACCCGGTCACGCACACGTGCTGCCTCTCCAAATCCATCCGAGCAATCCACTACTAATAACAAGTCGCCTGCAAAATCCCCTGCCAAGCCAAGGCCCGTCTACAAGCCTATAACGTCCTTCTTCACCACCGTCGCCCGCTCGCAGTCATCCCAGCCCACTCCCAGTCCGGAGAAGCCTGCTGCGTCAGTCGACGACTTTGACGACATCTTCGATTCCGACTATGACGAGGACCAAGCAAAGCCAGTCAAAGTATCCAATGCGCTTCCTGTGCGCAAGCGGCCCATTGCCGCAACAGCGCCAGCTGACCATGGTCCAAATGTGACTGCACGCCAAAAGTTCCTGCGAACAGCAACCGGGGCCCGGAGCACGCCTCCTCCATCATCGTCGTCATCATCCTCCCAGCCAACACGGCCGGATGCCGAAGATGGCCGGCCATGGACCGAAAAGTTTGGCCCTGTATCCCTTGATGAGCTTGCCGTGCACAAGAAAAAAGTAGCAGATGTTCGCACATGGCTGACTGATGTCCTGGGTGGCAAATCGCGTAAAAGACTGCTCCTGCTTAAAGGCCCCGCTGGCAGCGGAAAGACCACCACCATGGCCCTGCTATCCAAAGAATTGGACATAGACATGCACGAGTGGAAGAATCCCACTGGTGCCATGTCAACCTCCGACAGTCTTGTCTCCATCACTGCTCAGTTTGAAGACTTTGTTGCGAGAACTGGCACCTTTGGAAGTCTGACCTTTGATACGCAAGTACCAGCTGCCCAGACGGCTTCGCCCACCACTCAAACCGGTAGGAAACAGCAGCTGGTCCTAGTAGAGGAGTTTCCCAATACATTCACACGTACTTCTTCGGCCGTCCAGTCTTTCCGCTCTTCTGTCCTCAAGTATCTTGCTGCAAACACGCAGTCGGCCACTGCTTTCTACTCAAGTCAAGTCGATCCCGCACACGCTGTGACACCAATCGTTATGATCATTTCCGAGACGCTGTTATCCACCAACACGGCGGCAGCGGACAGCTTTACCGCCCATCGTCTCCTAGGTCCTGAGATTCTGACTCATCCTGGAGTGAGCGTTGTCGAGTTTAATCCAATTGCACCCACATACATGACGAAAGCGCTAGACACAATCATCCTCAAAGAGGCCAGGAGGTCGGGTAGAAAAAAGACCCTGAGTCCACAGGCTATCCAGCGCCTGGCTGAACTTGGTGATATCCGGAGCGCAATCTCATCGCTCGAATTCCTGTGTCTGCGTGGCGACGATGCCGAGGGCTGGGGCGCCAAGGTCAATTTCACAAAGAAGAAGACGGCCAAAGATACTCCCATGACCAAAACTGAACAAGATTCACTCGAGATGGTGACACAACGGGAGAGCACTCTGGGTATTTTTCACTCGGTAGGCAAGGTTATTTACAATAAGCGTGTCCCGGAAGATCCCAAAGCACCACTTGCGCACCCACCAAACTGGTTTCCCGAACGACGAAGACCAAAAGCTTCCGAGATCAACGTCGATTCTCTTATCGATGAGCTAGGAACCGATACACAGACCTTTGTTGCAGCATTACATGAGAATTATGTTCTATCTTGTGGAGGTGCAGATAGTGAAGAAACCATGGACTCCATCGAAGGGTGTATAGACGCTCTCTCTGACGCTGATCTTCTTTCTCCAGATCGCTTTGGCGCTGGGGGTGGCCGCAGAAGTCTCCAAGGAACAAGTGCGGACAACCTGCGCCAAGATGAAATGTGCTTCCAAACGAGCGTACGAGGCCTGTTGTATAGCCTGCCACATCCCGTAAAGCGAATGGCTCCCCCTCCAGGCGTCATGGGACTCAAAGCAAAAGGACAGGGATCGAGTGGCGGTATGCCCAAAGGCAACGCATTCGTCATGTACTACCCAGCATCGCTGCGGATATGGAAGCAGCAGGAAGAAATTGGCGGCTTGTTGGATATGTGGGTGTCGCGCGCGCAACGCGGCGAGCTCTTCTCAATCGCGTCAGGCGCACCAAAGGCAGCAGTTCCCAGTGGAGGTGTACACACATGGAGAAGGAACGGTCCGTCGTCACAACCAACGTCGACGCAAGGCTCAGACCCTACCGGCGACGATGCATCAGCCCCACCCCTGCTTGGAAGCGGTGGCTCAGCTCGCTACGAGATGCTCCTCGAGCGCCTCCCTTATCTAGTCACCATCCTCCATAAATCCCGCATGCCATCTCCATCAACGGCTGCCACAGTACGCGAGATTCGCAAAATCACCGCCTTTAGCGGGGGTGCCCCATCCGGTGGTGACGACGACGACGAATTAGAAGATGAGCTTGACCCAGGCGAACAGGAGCAGTGGACTACGGACAGACCCGCCGCAGAAACGCCCAAGAAGAAGAAAAGGGCAAGATTCGAGACCAAGATCCCAGAACCTGAATCGGCGATACCCGGGCTTTTGGAGAAGAGTGTGGGCTTAGTGCTAAGTGATGATGATATTGAGGATTGATGAGGGTTGTGAGATAGAAGGCATGTTAGTGTATAATGTAACGTCTACAAAAGTGTCAAGGCATGTGGATGGGAAGGGTACCATTGGTGTTTAATTAATCATGTAACGCAGATTTAGATCCAAATTATACTGATACAAGCACCGTAATGCGACTTCTTTCAAATCCCCAAATTAAGGTGTTTTACTCGAACTTCCGATGAATCTAACTCAAGTACCGACTCTTGATACTTTCTTTCCCCTCTCATTCTCAGATGGTTATCACTCAGCCGAGTAAATCGCACTCCCATCTCGACTTTTTTTTTCTCTTATCTTCCTTTTCCGGACCTTTTTTCTTCTCATTCCGCAGATCAATCCTGTTTATTTCCATAACTATACTTTCTTTCTTTTTTCTCCCCGCCGGACTTGTACTTCTATTTCGAGGCAGGAGGCTAGGCCGGGGATGGACGCTCAGACCACATTCCTATACTTTATTTTGTTTTGTTTTTCTGTGTACGGCTGAGCGCAACTGTAACTGTGCTTCGAACAAAACAAAGATTACCCACAGAAACTTGTAAAGTATGCAGTCGTGTATGTGCGGAAATCGTGATGGACGATTGTTTTTCTGTAAGCAGTATGTGTGTGTCTTTATGTATGCATGGTGTATTGCGTCATCAATCAATGTCTGCATGAAGGAAGGAAGCAGGGATGGTGTTCGGCAAACAGGACAAAGGAAAAAAAACATCACAATGGAGAAAGTCAAAAATAGTAACATGAAAGATCAATGGATTGAATGGATTGATATTGTTTCAGGGGGTGTTCAAGACCCCACAAAGAGAGTCAGTCTAAAGAACAACATCGTAAAATGGTATCTAACAAGAAGCGAACAGGGGGGGAGTTGTCGTAAAATCGTCATTTGCATGTCCTGGGAAAAAATGGGAAAAACCACCAGCATGCTTATGCTTGTCATCGAGAGAGAGAGAGAAGATTTCTCATGTTTAAGTAGAGGCGTAGACTTGTCCAGCAGCGGAGAGGCTGCCGCCATCGGCAGTGATGAGGAACTGATTGCCGTCGCTAGGGGCAGCCATGTGGTAAGCGTAGCGCTCGATCCAGGGCTGGGCATCGAGCCAGGGAAGGACGTCCTTGAGGAACTCATCAGCGTTGCCCTCGGTGACACCAAACTCAGTGACCCAGACGGGCTTGTTGAAGGTGTCGTGGAACTTGTTGAGATAGTCCTTGAAGTCTTGGGGCTTGGCCCAGGCGTAGTAGTGGGCGACGACAAAGTCGATCTGGCAGTCGCTGCAGCCGTTCATGAAGGACTTGAGCCAGTTGATGCCCTTGCCGGGCTCGTTGCCATTGGTCACAGCGGGGGAGCCGATGCGGAGGCCCTCGTTGGCAAGGGGCTGGATGAGCTTGCGGTGCGTGTCGACGGCAGTGGCAACGTCCATGTTGGAGCCTCCACCACCGACTTGGTCAGGCTCGTTGAAGCTGAGGATGTGAGAGACCTTGTAGTTCTTGCGGGCGTTGGCAACGTTGTTGGCCCAGGTTGAGGCGCACCATTCCTGGTTGGAGTGGAGCAGAGGAACATATTCTAGGTCGGGGGCTTCGCCATCGATAACGGCCTCCCAATCATACATCCAGGAGATCTTGGAGGACTCGGCCATCATGCGAGCCCACTGCGAGCCGGCGACACCATTGTGCTGCTTGGGAAAGGCAATGCCACGCTTGCTTCCACCACGGGGCAGAAGAGGGGAAGCCTCAGTGAGAGCGGAAAGGCCAGCAAGGGCCATGATGAAGGTCGAGGTAAGCATTTTTAAGGAGTGTGATACCTGACGGGTCCGAGAAGGAATGTGGGGTGCTAGCAAGAGCGTGGATAGACAAAGAATGTCAAAAAAGAGAGACTGAGTTGCTGGAGTGCTGAGCTGGGGGAATATCATGAACCGGGGGCCATGTCGATACTTATACTAAGGCAGCGAAATGAGGACAAGACAAAGAAGCCTTAGACAATGCCCAGTAAGGGCCCACCACGGATGCGGGTGAGCAACACATGGCACAAGCTATGTTTGCCCAGATGCGGTGTTTCATCCAAGACTTGGTGCCGACTCGGAAAGAGAGAAAGTCCACACGTGCGATAAGATTATGGATCACCTTTCCCGCACGCCCCGTCAGCCCGGCGTCACGGCGTCGGCTGTGGGGTCTAGCCATTCGTCAATCACGATAGGGCTGTGATGGCTAAGACTTTGTGGAAATTGCATTTTGGCACAATCGTCGAATCACGACAGCAACGGTGCACTGTTGCCAGGCAGGTCGCTGGAGCCACGTAGAGTTCCGCGGCATATGCATGAAGAGAAAGGAAAAAAAGGCTTTTCAACACTGTGGGTTTACTCGGAGAAGAAGAACGTTGAGAGGGGCCTAACGCAGGAACCCTTGTCTAGATCAGTGTGTGCCTACGCAGGTACGGCCGCAGCAACGATGTTTGGTAATGGATTCCGGCGTGGAAAAGATTCTGGCTGGCCGTCTAGCCCACACGGTGTACCTTAGCGATGTCCACCAGTCCGTTTCAGGAAGTACTTTGTCCGGCAAAACCAACGTCCCGTGGCTGATCCTACTATCTTTTGAGTTTGCGAGCCCACCACGCCTTACCACGCACACCGTGCTCCATGCTGTCATCCAAACCATGGTTTTAGTCCCGGTCTCCGAACTACCACTACACCTGTCAGGCCCCCATTTTTTTCCTTCTGCACCCACTGTGGCCAGGCATCACGAAAATCTGTCTTGCGTTCTGAAAAGTGCATACGCAATCTCACGTGCTATCTGTACATGCCAAACAGAGATGTACGAGATCAGTATTACTAAGACTGCGATGCCGGGGCCGTGATCTCCCGCTAACTCCAGTGGACTCGGGCGCTTGAGAGGGGATTCGGGTGACAGCTCAGCGGCACGCCTTCTTTCCCTTCCGGCGTTTACGTGGCGCTCTCAACATAGCTGAAGGATGTCTTTCCCTGCCCGCCATATTGACGTCTGGGTGCTTGAGTGATATCACTGTGGGGGTTGGGATGGTCGAGAACTTTGGACGGTGTGCATGCATGGTGACTAGACCATGCGTATCCGTATTACTGACGGACTTACGTCTTCTCTCCTGGATCGCGTACTTGGCACAAGAGTGGCGAGCGTCGGACTCCCAAGGCGCTGCTGTCAGGTACGCCCTTTGCCGATCTGCACACCCAGGCCCTCGGCCCGTTTCACACCAAACCTTTTTGCTTCTTTGTTCATTTCGAGCCGCTTGCGTTATTCCTACCTCCACTATCCGGCGCCTAGAAGCGCCTGACTCGTCCTTTACCAAGTACCAATACCGTCGACTTGGGATACAGCACCAGAGACACTCGGTCCCGCCAAAATTCGCGCTGGGGCTAGAAGGCACCGGAATTTTGGGGGAACGCCCAGACGGTTTTTCGCCAAAGGGGCCACTCGCGCCTCCACTACCGGCGCCATTTTCTTGGTAGAAAAGCTACGCTGCACTAATGCACCTTGGCCGAATTCCCCTGAAGATGTTTTGCTGGGCATGAATAGGAAGGTCGGGGCGAGCGGATACGTAAATACACGTCTCAAAAGAGAAGGACCGAAGCAATCCCATACGGTATGGGTCGAGAACAATGTGGCGATGCACTGCAACATCGGCTTCGGGAAGTGAGGGGAGCAATTGTAAGCCATACGCTGCTTATTTACACTGTACGGTACGCCTTTTCTGGCGTTATACCTGTACATATGTACACTTCTTTGGGTAGAGAGTAGAGCACGTGCTCCCCAGTGCACCCTGGCCTCTACTTCAATATATTCCATTTACGCATATTCTGCGTTTAATGAGCCATGCAGCACGCATGTACGACATCTCCTTTCATCTTTCCAAGCCCGAGTTGAGAAACAAGAGTATGTCCGGGCTGCCGGGGCGGTGCCCAACATACGCGTCTTCCAAGCCGGGTCATGACAACGACCCAAGCACTATAACACGAAACTGTTATTGTCTATACGACATTTTTGGAACCACCTAAACTCCACTGCCAATGCATACGATGCTGTGTATGTGCTGTCTTGTTGTGCGATGCGGTCAGTGACTCGTATGCTGTATTGCGAGTATTTAGGTCGCTCTCTATCGCGTCTGGCTTCAAAAAAAAATAACTATAGAGCTTGCAACAAAGTGTTGATGACCAAATGGGTTTGTGAGGATGGCGTGTTGTTTGCCAAGTCGTGCTCCTGTCAGGCCAGAATCTTGACCGTTTTGAGGATTCGCGACCCAGACGAGGCGGCAGTGAATTATCCAAATCTTTTTTCCATTGACTTCTCACTATTCTATTCAAACATGATACACTCTATTCTAGGAAACCAAAATCTAGATTTTAGGTCTGCAATACGCTTGTGATGTAGTAGGTGCCCGTCACTACTAAATATAAAATGGGTATTTATAGGACTTAGCCCCCAAGCTCCCAGCGCTTAATATCTCTGGGTTGGAATCCACACACTACATCTATCATCTTATTTTTTTAATAGTAAAAAGTATGGGACCACGTACTGCAAGCACAATCCTGATAAATAATCCCTCCTTCATAAGCACACATGCTTTTACCATGCACATCCTCCCATCTCATGGACTCGACAGCCATAACCTCAAAGTGAAGAAGCCCACACCAGTACGAAGTATTATGTAGCTTCATGATACTGTCATCTACTTGCTATAGTAATTTTTTTACTTAGTTTTGTATTCGATTTCTCTGTAATTTGAGTATCTAGGCTGGTGTAGGTACAAAAGGCAGGTTCTGAGGGTAGGCAGTAGTCAAGGAAGAAGGAAATCTCAAGGAAGCTTCTCTAGCACCGAATCTTAGAAACTCCTAGCTGTATTATCGGAAAGTGAATGTAAAAATTCTCTTGACACGGAATTTGAAAGAAGGCCTGGATTCTGCATCTTTTGGGGGGGGAGGAGTGGATTTATGGTTTGTTATTCTTCGTTTTCCACTTATCCCCTATTCTTAAAAAAAAAGACATCGCAAAAGTCTTACTGTACATCAGGTCTCGTTTTACTGCAGTGAGGTTGCATTGTATGTTCATTCCATAGGCGGCTAAGGCAGATAGGAAAGTTTCTCAATGCATCTAGAAAAAACTGGCATTACCTGCTACTGCATTGGTTGATAAGATGTAAGATGTAGAGATGAAAATTAGTCACGGACTTGATAGTACACAGGTTCACCAAGGCTCTAGAGGCATGATGATATAAAAAAGTACTCCATCGCTCATGAATGTAGGATTTGAGATAGTCAGAGTAATGTTTCGTATGGCTGCACACATGTTCTCACATGTTATCTCTCTTGACTCAAGATAATTTTGGAGGTTCGATTGACTTCGTAGGATGAAAGTGACAGTAAGAACTGAACTATAAGCAACAATGTGGAGTAAATATTGATACGAAAGCAAGGTATATTTGATAGGGAGGAGAAGTCAACGACAACATCATCTGGAATCAAGAAAAAAACAGATGAATTTTCCAAGTAGAACTTATGACAAGGAGAAACAAATCACAAATGCTTAGCATGCACAGTATGATGATATACATACTATCTTACCATGCATTCTAGTACACAACAAAATCAACACAAGAAAAAAACAAACACATCAAGCATGAATATCTCATTTGATATCTACACAGCGCACAATCCACTCGCCAATGATATCGCTTAAACGCTATACGCCAAAACAGACACCACCCATGCAAGGATATCGAATATCTAGCGCTTAAATTCCCCCAACCCAGTACGCCCAGTAACAATGCACACACAACCAACTAGGAAACGCGCTCACGATCCGCCCTTTGGAGACTGGTAATGCTCGACATAGTTCCAAGGAACCGCCGACATTTGGACGTATCGGCCTTGCTTAGGGTCGTACACGGCGCTCACGTTGAGCGTCAAGCGGGCGCGGTCACCGTAGATTTCTATGAGAGCTCTTACTATGAATGCGCCACGGGGAGGTTGCAGTACGATGGGCATATAAGTTTTGGCGAAGTCGGCGCGGAATTGAGTGAGGTCTAACGTCATGCTTTTTGGGTCGGGGAGGTCGAGACCTATGCTTGCAGGGCCGTCGACGGGGGCTGGTGAGGGCGAGGCACCTGGCTGCTGGGTGTCGTTTGCAGAGGCTGAAAAGGAGTTTGGGGCTATGCTCGTGGGTCCGCCGGTGGACTGGCGGTTTGTGGAGATGCGTTGGAAGAGTTCCTGGACAGTTTCTGATTTTGATTCTTGGTCCCAGCCCATGTAGATTTTAAAGGTCTTCCATGCCTTTTCTGCTTTTCTTACCGTATCTTTGCACAAAGCATCTGTGGCTTCCTTGGGATACAGTACCCGCTCCAGACGCCGGTGATGGGCGTCTTCAACCGGGCGTGTTGCCTTGCGCCATTCCAGATTCTCAGTGAGCTCGATGCCTGGACGCTCGTACTCGACTGGTGGACCGTTTGGGAACTGTATCTCCACCCATGACATGCCCTTTGAGGTATCAATCTTGCCAAGGCGAGAGGTGTACAGTGTCTTCTTCTCGGCATTATTACGCACTATACTTACCAACTCCTCTATGGTGTTGTTAGTGACGAGCGATTACTCCCTCACCAAGTCGTACTTACTACGTATCTTATTCGCTCTTGCACGGTCGGTGGCTATCTCCTTGAACGTCTTCCACTCTGTATCCGAGCCTTTATAGAATGTCCTTGGCCGTGGTCGCGAGAAGCCCGTGGGTATGAATAGAATGGCGTCATCGTCCTCTTCTTCTTCATCGTCTTCCTCAGAGCCAGCTACTTCCCACCCATCTTGTCTACCTTGTTCTTGTACCTCTTCAACCTCGATTTCTAGGCCCAAGTACTGGATAAGGCCGTAGGCTGCGGCAGTGACGGCGACTGTGCCAACGAGACGTCTGCAAAGTGAATTAGCATGTGGCAGGAGTGGACTTGTGAGACTGCTCACGTATTGCTAAAGAAAGGCCGGCGTATACGCACTCGCTGGATTATGATGCTGTCGTGGCCATGGCGGGCGGCCGATCGCACTATGTGAGAATGAGGGACCCTGTTCAAGAGGGAGAAGTTGCGCCGAAGCATCAGTGGCCTGGACATGGCAAGCAGAGATTATGAGAGACGTGAGTGACAAGAAGCGACATGAAGGCGCAATGTAGACTCAAAAAATGCAGGTCAAGTTTGCTGGACAAAGAATAGATTGCATGTTGTGGACAAATGGTGCTCTGGCTATAGGCGTGGGCGATAGGCTCGGAGGCGTCCAAGGCAAGTTCCGAGATCTGGGTCTCAGCTTCCCCGGCGACTGCATCATCGCCGCCGCAGCAACGAATCTCTCCAACCCCAACCCATCACCCACGATGAAGCTATCCGGGGCCTTTTTCGCCTCATCACTGTCCTGCGCTGTGCTTGCAGCTCGGCCAACCGTCAGCCCAGAGACTGCGCGTCTTATCATCGCCCAGCGCCTGGGCCTGTCGCGATTCCACTCACTCGAGCATGCAGATGCTGACACCATTCACCACATCAACACGTACGGAGGAAAGCGGCAGCTGCTGTTTGGAGCAGATGATTCAGACGTTTCCAAGGCGCATCTGCTAGTCTGGGCAGAGGATGCCGACCAGGATGAACCGACAGGTGGGCAGAGGCAACGACCAACACGGTCACGGAGAGCTGCCGGCTAACTCGAGCTTGCAGTCATCATCAACGATGGATCAGATCGCACACTAGACTTTTCTATATCCGGAACGCCCTCTGCATCTGACAACGACCGCCTCATCCACGACTTTATAGTGCAGGCCGAGTCGCTGCCAGAACACCCAGACTCCCAGCAGCGAACATACAAGTCCAACTTTGAGATTGAATCGGCGCTTCCCCCAAAGAGCAAGTCAAAGGCCTACAATGGCTACCTCAACATGTGGCGCATCGACGAGAGCTCCAAGATGACGGCCGAGGAGCTCGCCAAGGTGCTGAGCAACGTCAACAAAAAGGCAGAGGAGACTGGTTTCTCCACAACCGTAGTCATGATGCCGCGCTCGTCTAAGTCCAAGTCCAAGCGTGCCGCCAACCCTTGGGGCACCTATGACGTGCCTGCCATGGAGGCGCGTCGCCAAAACCCAGAAGCCGTTCTCTCCGCCATCCCCTCAACCTCAAAGGTTCCCGATCTCGAGGACTTCCCTACCATCGCCCAGGCCGACAGCAACAAGAACAAGAAGGGACCCGTGCGCGGCATCCTCCCCGTCTGCTTCAAGTCGCTGGACGCTTGCCAGAGCCAGACTCATAACTGCTCCAGCCACGGCGAGTGCACGCTCCTCCACAAGGGCCGCGGATCTGGATCCAACCAGGAGACAGTTGACTGCTACGGATGTGCCTGCAAAGCTACAGTTGAGCATGTGGGCGAAGACAAGGGCATGGAATCCAAGAAGAAGGTGACTTACTGGGGAGGCCCCGCCTGCCAGAAGAAGGATATCTCTGTTCAGTTCTGGCTATTTGTCGGCAGTGGTGTTGTCCTGGCCTTCCTCGTCTCGGCTGGTATTGGCATGCTGTACTCGATGGGTGCTGAGGAGCTTCCCAGCGTCATTGGTGCCGGTGTTAGCGGACCCACTGCGAGGAAGTAGAAAACTGGAGTGTAAGAGATGAAGTGTAAGAGACGGAGGTGTAAGTTGACGAGGATAAATACAGAGCAAGAGGGGATCGGCAGAGCTGTACAAGTTTTGGCTTTTATACATGGTGTATCAGAACCATTGGTTAGGATGACAAAGCGTAGTAGCATGTACTCTATGGGATCATTGGCGTTTGGTAGTAGTGCAATCAACATTTGAGCAAGTTAAAAAAAACATGGTATTCGCGCCTATGACGCTGTTGTGTGCAAACGTCTAAACAATGCGCCACCTGAATGCTGGAAAACGCCAAAAGCCTCATCCCTCTTCCCCCTGTCCCTAGAAATGTACTCGAATTAGAGCTTGAAGTATACCATGACATGCAAGGTACTCAGTTCTTGCTCTTCTCCACCATTACACCGTCCTCCTCGCTCTTCGCCTTCTCGTCATCCAATTCCTTCATGAACTCTGACTGGATGCCAGCCCGGCGGTTCTCCCACCACTCCTTCTCGGCGGGAGCCTTTGCCTCAATCTCGGCCAGACGCTCGCGGATGTGGTTGTTCTGGGCCATTTCAGAAGCGGATTGGAAGATAGTCTGGCCCCAGTTTGGTGCAAATGCATTGGCCTGCAGATTGTCAGTTTAAATGCAGCATGTCGCAAATGCGTTACGCAAACTCACCTCGTTGACAACATCTCTAAGCTCTTCTTCTATTTCCTTCTCAGCGCGCTGGAACCTCTGCCACAAATCATCGCCTACACTACCCCTCTGCAACAGGACCTGGAGCGCCTGCTTCGCATTCCTAATCTGGACAATTCGGTGGATATCTTCCGTTGCCCGGCGAAGCAGGGCGGCCTTTAGGATGCTGTCTGGCACCTTGGGTTCTTCCATGTGCAGAAGGGAGAGGTAGACATTGCGCTGGAGGTGGGTGGGGAACCAGGGTTCGAGAGACGCAGCGTTGGCAGCCTTGCGTTTGCGATATAGGTTTGTGAAGACACCGAAAGAGCCAGCCAGTATACCAATGTAGGCAAAGGGCACGGTGAGCATAAGCCAGTCGACGGCGTCAAAGGGCCACATTTTGGATCGTGGGCGTCAGGTGAGGGCCACGGGAATTACTATTGGTGATGTAGAGAAATGTTTGGTTGGCGGGACACGTTGCAGACGACGGCAAATGCTTTTGCAAAAGTGCGAAAGGAGCGGCAGTGTCCTCACAAGTGAGATCCAGTTGGGGAGGAGGGTGAAGGCCAGGTAGTCGTGGAATGCGCTCGCCGTATGGTCAGTTATCGATAGAATATCTGGCCAGTTCGCAACTCGGCAAAGGGCCGGGTGGTTTCGCGCTACAACCAGGGTGTGCGCTAACGTCGCGCGCGTCATTCTGCCGCCTTCGACGCCCTCCTAGTCACTTTGTATGTAACCCATCTACAACCACCGTTCATTACTCCCCAACTCTGCCTCTATCTACACCTCTCTTACCTCCTGCAACCTCTTCCGCTTCTATTACTTCACCCGTTCTATTCCCAACGATTTTGCCCCGCCCGCCAAAACTGATAGTGTCCCGCCATGATACTCAGGTTCGTTAGTAAAGAGGGCCAATTCAGATTGACGGTACAGCCCGAGGATACTTTCACAGATATTCTCCCACAAATCGCCGAGAAGCTCCCTAAGAATGCCGATCTCCAGAGCCTCAGTGTCAGCAACCGTCCGCAAGGTGGCGATGCGAGGAAATTCGTAGATCTTGAAGGTGTGAGCTTCAAGCAAGTGAACCTGTCGTAAGTAGCTTGGTCAAGCTTGATGTCGTCGCTCACGCCTCCTTAGGAATGGCGCACAACTCTTCCTATCCTTTGAAGAGCAATCTACGCCATCGAATGGCCATGCTGCAATTGTCTCTGGTGGCGCGCGACTCAACGGCAAACCCGTCCAACCCTCCGAAACCGCCTCTGTGCCCCTCGATGCCCCCACACAGATCATAAAGAAGCCATGGGAAGTGGTCAGACAGTCTCCGCTTGATGATCGGCTCGATAGGCAAGATGGCAAGATTCCTCGCAAACGCGACGCCCGCATGTGCACCCACGGACCCAAAGGCATGTGCGACTATTGTATGCCGCTGGAGCCCTACTCGCCCGAGTACCTTGCAGAAAAGAAGATCAAGCATCTTTCCTTCCACTCGTACCTGCGCAAGGTGAACTCGGCAAAGAACAGACCAGAGCTCGGAAGTTCTTACATCCCACCTCTGACCGAACCCTACTACCGCGTACGACCTGACTGTCCATCGGGACACAAGCCATTCCCAGAGGGTATCTGCACAAAGTGCATGCCCAGCGCCATCTCGCTCAAACCGCAAGAATATCGCATGGTGGACCACGTTGAGTTTGCATCTATACAGGTTGTCGACGATTTGATCAACTTCTGGAGGCAAACTGGTTGTCAGCGATTAGGTTTCTTATACGGCAGATATGAGGAGTACACTGAGGTGCCACTAGGGACAAAGGCTGTGGTTGAGACCATTTACGAGCCACCACAGATCAATGAAGTAGATGGCATATCGTTGGGTGACTGGGATAACGAGCAGGTTATTGACGACATCGCCGCACAGTGCGGGCTGCAACGAGTCGGTGTCATTTTTACTGATCTTCTCGACGCCGACAAGGGCGATGGCTCCGTCATCTGCAAGCGACACATAGATTCCTACTACCTGTCTTCGCTTGAGGTTTGCTTTGCGGCACGGTATCAGGCAAAGTATCCTCGGCCGTCAAAATGGAGCGATACCGGTCGACATGGATCTAACTTTGTAACATGTGTTATTAGCGGAGATGACCAAGGTCAGATTGGCATCTCATCTTACCAGGTATCAAACGATGCTGTTGAGATGGTGCGCGCCGACATCATCGAGCCTTCCGCGGAACCCAAGGTTATGCTTGTCCAGTCAGAAGAAGACAACGAGGCGCTTAACCGCACGCGATATATTCCTGAAGTTTTCTACCGAAAGATCAACGAGCACGGTGCAAACGTACAAGAAATTGCTAAACCTGACTTTCCAGTTGAGTATCTGCTTCTTACACTTACTCATGGTTTCCCTACTCAGCCCAACCCTCTCTTTACTGGCGGCAAGTTTCCAATTGAAAACCGCGAAGCCATGGGCGAAATGCCCGAGATTACACATCTTAGCAAGGCTCTCAATGCCAAGGCAAATGGCCTCGCTCTCAACACTGCCAGTGGCTTAAAGGCGATTTCGAACTTTCACATGCTCTGCTTCATCCACAACCTGGGCATCCTATCAAAGGTACATTGTCTCCTGAATTCAGCTGTTGTTTACTAATCCGGTGAGAAGGACGAAGAATCGCTTCTGTTCAAGGTTGCATCGACGCACGATACCTCAGAAGGCTCAGCACTCCAGCACACACCAGGCTGGGCAACTCTTCTAACCATTCTCAAAGAAAGTGGTGAGCGCCCCCCGAAACGTTCCTATCAGTCTCCCTCTCCCTCTCAATCAGCCAGGAGGGGGGCTGCAGCACCTCTTCCCCTGGAGCACCAGCGTACAATGCGACAGCCCTCCTATGGCTCAGATTCCGATTCAGTACAATTGGCTAAGCGGGTCAAGGGGGTTAGGCTGAATGGGAAGTAGATTAGATATTTCTAGTCTGGCTCCTGAGGCGTGACCCTTAACACCATAGGTACGAATTTCGACCGATGATGGGCAGCACAGCAGAGCGCCAATTATGATGGCTTGTGGTTTTGATGAACGAATGGATGACGCCAAGATGAGCGAGGCATGCATGAGATAAGCAGTGAGCTGTAATGTTCAGCTTTAGATCGAATAATTCAAGAAACATTCTGATCTTCCAAACGACATGACATTCTATGTGCAGTGATGGTGACGTGATTGGCGAGCCGCCGCACGGTTGGCAATAACGTGCTTTCGCGAGTTCGCGTCGACGCGTCGCACTTTAGCTCTCCAACTTTGCCCAACTTCAACGCAGCCACTACAAGCGACAATGGCCGATTTCTTCAACATCAAGGCCCGGCAACAGGCCGCTGCGCAGGCGAGTTCATCCAAAACTCCCACGACAAAGCAAGAGCCAAATCGCCTGCAACCATGGGTAGAGAAATAGTACACAACCCCACGTATCAACCGACTCGTAAACTCCAGGCTAACGACTATTGTAGCCGGCCCAAGACGCTGTCCGAAGTCACAGCCCAGGATAACACTATTCAAGTCCTTTCCCGCACAATGCAGTCCTCCAACCTCCCCCACATGCTATTCTACGGCCCCCCAGGAACAGGAAAAACCTCGACTATCCTCGCTCTTGCCAAAGAACTCTACGGACCCGAACTCATGAAGTCGCGCGTGCTGGAATTGAACGCATCCGATGAGCGTGGTATCAGTATCGTACGACAAAAAGTCAAAGACTTTGCCCGCCAACAACTTAGCGTAGCACCAACATACAACGTTATGGTAGAAGACAAGAGCGGGACAGGAGAAGGAGGCATGGTACGATACCGAGACAAGTACCCATGCCCACCCTTCAAAATCATCGTCCTCGACGAGGCAGACAGCATGACGCAAGATGCACAATCCGCGCTCCGCCGCACGATGGAAACATACAGCCGCATGACGCGCTTCTGCCTCGTCTGCAACTACGTCACCCGCATCATCGACCCCCTCGCCTCCCGCTGCTCCAAATTCCGCTTCAAAAGTCTCGACCAGGGCAACGCCGTCAAGCGCGTTAGCGACATCGCTGCTCTCGAGAATGTGCGGCTGGACGACGGTGTAGCAGAGGAACTAGTGCGTGTAGCGGACGGCGATTTACGGAAGGCAATTACGTTCTTACAATCTGCTGCGCGGCTTGTCGGCGCTCTACAATCTCAAGGCGGCAGCAACAAAAAAGGAAAAAAACGTACGGCGGTCCCTGAGGATGACGAGATGGATATTGATTCGAGCAACACAGCGACACCATCTGTGTCCCTCCCCACAATCGCTGAAATCGCAGGCGTTTTACCCCCTGATACCCTCTCTACTTTCACGTCTGCCCTCTTCCCCAAGTCTTCTGCACAAAAATCGATACGGTATAATGAAATTGCTAAGGTAGTCGAGAATATGGTTGCAGAGGGGTGGAGTGCAGCGCAGACGGTGGGGCAGTTGTATGAGCAGATTATGTTTGATGAGCGAGTGGAGGATGTGAAGAAGGTGCGGCTTGCGGCGGTTTTTAGTGAAACGGATAAGAGACTTGTGGATGGGAGTGATGAGCATCTTGCTGTCTTGGATTTGGGTGTTAGGGTTGCTGGGGTGTTATGTTTGTGAGAAGCGATATGATGATTACATGGAAAGCATAAAGTGTGGAAATGAAGAAAACTTGATTCATAGTAATCATGGTGCAGATGGATATCTCCGCTGGGGTATTTAATATACACACACTTTGGAAAAAAAACCTCCTTCAATCTTTCTCTCCCTCCGTTGCTTCTTGAAAACGCACAACCACCAGGGCTTCGCCTGCTACTCTTTCCACGTACACACACAAAAGTTACTAAAAAGAAGAAACAAGAAGACAAAAGACATTATACTGTATTAGTCGCCTACCACTCACGCGTCAACACGCAATAACGACGTCTGTCATTTACTCATCCTCTAAACAAACAAACAGAATCCCAGCGCAACACTGACATACGCCACAGCCGCCAGCAGACCCGTATGCATGGTATTTCTAAAGCCAGCAGAAAACAGCGCAGACGGGGTTGGCGAGGCGGATGTCGTAGTGACTGTGGTGCTGCTGTTGGAAGAGTGAGAAGGGAAAGCTGAGACGGTGGAGGAGAAAAGGGGGGTTGTTGCTGTCGAGGTGGATGAGGGAGAGGACTGTGGCTGGTTAGTCAGATGCAACAAAAATCAGAACAGAGGGAGTTTTTTTTTGGAGGGATGGTCGTGTATGGTAGTAGACTGCAAAGAAATATGTGTTGTTTACTTACCAATGAAACCTGCACAGAGCTAGACGTAACCGCAGCCGCAGACACAAACGCAGACGACGCCTCTTCGCTCACCAGACTACTGGTAAGAACCGTGTTCGAAGTCGGAGTCGGAGTCGGAGTTGGAGTCGGAGTCGAAGACGCTTGACTAGTAACCTCGCTGCTACTGCTGCTACTACTCGTACTCTCCACAGATGAAGTAGTAGTTGCAGGGTAAAACTGAGGCAACAGGCTCTTGACATCATCAGGCAGGTTCTTGTACCAATCCGGTTCAGAAGTACCCGTCAGCATAGGAATGCTGGTGCCAGATGGCATGGCGGTCTTGAGCACTGACAGTATGGAGAGCTGTGTTGGGTTCATGTCGGCAGGGTCCATGGCACGGTCCAGAAGCATGTTGGCGTCGTCGTTATCCTCAATTAAGTAAACTCGAGATGCCATGGCTGTGGTGGCGACGAAGAGGAGTGTTGTGAGTCTCATTTTGCCAGCGTTTGTCGGTGTTGTTAACTAGTGTATGTAGATGTTGGGTATCGTGGAAAGAGTGAAGTGGCTGTGCTGCCTGCAGGGTTACGTGGGTAATCGAGAGATGAACCTAATGAGCGGCTTGGTCTAAAGGACGGGATATTACAGAATGGCTACTCAAGTGTCGTGGGTGAGATGTTGTGGGTGAACCGGGGGGTTTTAATAAGCAAGCAAACAGCCAGCACGACCAAAAGGATGAAGTGAACGAGAGGCTTGCCGACTTGACGGGTCTGTGCCGAAGCTTTTGATCGCTCTAGGATCTCTGCTCGAAGAAAAATTCGTCTGGTTCGTGGATAGTATCGTGAGATGAGGGCTGAGGATGGACCGAGAGAATATCCGCGCCAATTGTTGTGTCCTGCACACCGTACCTTAGATCCAATTTCCAGTAGCGGAAAACAGGAGTCGTGAACTGTGAACCTGCTTGGAATAGGTACAACGTCAAGGATTTGTGAAGTGGTGATTGAAATATGCACAAGTACAAGTTCCCAGTATGTGTAACGCTGTGAGATGATCGTACGCGGTAATAGTGTGGCATAAGTTTGTGCGCGCCGCCAATGAGTAAAGGGTGACGAGACTCTGCGTGACAAATTCTGCAATCTGAATGCCCGAGTGTGCAACAAAAGACACTTGGTGTTAAAAAAATCAGTTGGCGCTTATTTTGACAGGTGTTTGCGCATGAATGTAAAACCGAAGGACTGCAAGGAGTCAAGGGTAAAGTAAAGCGAAAACCATAACCAAAACACTCCCATGTGCGGATGCTACAGATATTATGTATCTCTCTTGGCCGCAGAACCATGGCACGGCCTATAGATATCATAAACATTCCGCGTCGCAGCCTTAGCGTTGAACGAGGGAAACTTGCCGTGTTCATATTCTTCTCCTCACGTTCACGATGCGGCAAATCATTGTTGGCGCAACGGGTTTGCGCTACGGCACACCAAACCTGCGGCCGTTGAAACAGGACGGAGGTTTCGGGATATTCTGGCCAATCCAAACACTTTGTGCCTGAGAAGATATGCGCCTTTTGAGGGAAATTACATAGACCCTGAAAGTAGTAGCGCCATCGTGAGGAGGGGAAAGATCTTCAAGTCTTCGGTTTGAGATTCGATGGTCCTGGTGATGGAAGAACAGGCACCAACAACGAGGATTTTCGAAACCAGTTGCGACACCACCGCATGTCTTTCCTATAATTGGATTATCGTGGGATAGTCTTTGATTTGTTGTCTGCATCCCCGTGAAGGCGCTCGTTTATCCGAATGTGTGTGCGACCAGAGCCAGACCGTGGTATTCCACTTCGTCGCAGATGGGAGTGCGACAATAAGTTTTTGAAGGCCCGGGAGGACTGCGGTTTCGGAATGGCGGAGAAGTCCTCGGTGGAATAGGCCTGAGTTCTCGGATTCGTCGCATTCTGCTTTGGGACTCCATGCCTCGCTTCACCGCTTTCCGACGCACTCATTCCCAAGCCATCGTCGGTTTGTTTTTCCGCCCATCTTCTATCGTCCGCTGAGCCACTGGGGTGCTTTGACAATCTCTTTGCTCATGTACTTACTTATATATTTCCGGTGTGGTTGGTGTGAGACTGGTGATTTTAGTGTTTCCCGAGGGGCACCATCCTAAAGGGGATAACGCCAAAGGGGGTAAGCCTCGGTAGGCAGTACGACAAGGCTTACACATGCTTTTGGAATGAATGTGACAGCGTACCTTTGCGGAGTAAGGGAGATGCCCGCCTAAATGGCTGTCCTCGGGAATCGTGGTGTGTAGGCGGGGTTGTGGCGGTATAAGTGTACCGACGACGGCTACCCCTCAAATGACATGCAGCTTCCTGCGTCGATAACTCAACAGAATCAAATATAAAACATCAGCCTTTCGCACTTTTGAAGAATCTGCAAAGTCAGCAAGACATTGTACCAGCAAATATGGCGTCTCCCGCGAACATTGATATCAAGAACCTCGTTGGACAATGGACTATGGTAAGACTCTGGCGAATTCCATGATTACCAAACGAGTAATGCTTCAACAGATCCTCTAACGTTACCTCGCAGAACAAGTCCGAGTCTGATGCCTTCGATCCAGTTCTCTCACTCCAGGGTATCGGCTGGCTCACACGAAAGGCCATTGGGGTAGCAACCCTGACTCAATACTTGCACCAAAGCCCTGTCGATGGTTCAGACGGTGTGCCTACCACGCACATTAAGATCGACCAGGTCCTCACCGGTGGCATCAAGAGTTCGCCCGAAAACCGAACCCTGGACTGGACCTACCGCGAGCACACTGACTTTATCTTCGGCGTCATCAAAGGCCGTTCTCGCTACTCCACTCTCCAAAAATTTCAGCAAGAGTCCACGGAGACAGGTGCGACGGATGAAGATATTAGGTACATGACTGAGGGGTGGTTGAAGGAAACCCAAGAAGGTGAGATCATAGAAAGTTTTATGTCCAATGCGGTCAACAAGTGGATTTCATGGAACGTTTGGGGCTTCGCTGAATCTGGCGGAGAGAGGAAGTTAATAAAGAAGTTTACTGTTAGGAATATTGACACGGGTGCGGTTGTGAGGGTGAAAATGGTTTACGACTACCTTGGTCCATTAGAGGAGTAATCCGCACAGAGTATAGTCTACGAATTAGCTTGCCTTCATTGACCTTATCTGCTGAATGTTAAAGTTGTCTTTTTCTTCGCCGTGTCTGTATTTAAATCTCCAATCTGGCAGTCATATCCCTCAAGTCCACAGCTGTCGCACAGCATGTATTGCCCATAGTCGTGCGACTCTGCACAACGTTAGGATACAACTCAACATTTTGGTCAGATCCTCGTACAGTAAGGTTCGTGTGTGGACTCGCACTTCTTTTCTTGTGCTTTGCGCCTGATTGAGATGCAGTGACGTAGTGCACGTCGCTCATGCCAGGCTTAAATACGCAGTAGACTTGCTACCAGAGGGACCACAAGATCAGCAACACCTCTGGACTCGTCCTTTTGCATATTCAGACGGCAACTGACAGCGTCAAGTTGCGACATGATTGTCTCAAGCATCACGGCCAATCTCTTCCTTGGCCTGGTTGTCTTGACTTCGGCGATATTGATCGTAATCATAATTTACCTGCTCATTCGATTCGTCAATCGGCCCAAGAGAAAAGTTAATCTTCGACAAGATTTCGAGCCAAGGCTTCTCGACCCCGAAAGCAGTCGCGAGTCTCGTCTATCGCATCGACTTTCCCGACAGCAAACACAGCGAGAACAGCGAGAGGATCTGCTGCAACACTACTCGTCAGTGTCACGGCCACCATCTATCGAACTTCTTCCCAAGATCAAGACTAGTTCTAGCGATGACAGAGCAAGTGAGTGGTTGGAACAGGGTGTTTCTGATAAGGGGTTCGATGTGGTTGAAGGGGATCTTGGAGAAAAGAAGCATGAGATGCGACAGGTTGCGGTCATGAAACCAAAGAAACACCTGAGATGGGAATGTACAGACGAAAACATGGATGGCTGTGACAGAGTGCCCGGGGTAGCTGAAGATACAAAAGGTGACCGAACAGCATGTACGGAATACCAGTCGGAGAAGGCACTCGATGTTGCTGTTTAATTCGGATATACGAAAGGCAACCGCATCGTTGTTCATCGGCTAGTTTTGAGCTTCCATTGTTTTCGCCGAATATGCGAATATTTTCAGTTTCACTAGTCCTCAGAAGGTTCTGTTTTAGCATTCTGTTAGCACACTATTATGTATTGGCTGCTCAGCCAGTGTCCTTGCAACAGCTGATATCATGCCATTGAGGACGGTCAAATTCTATGTGACCGAATGATTTACGTAGCGTATCGTTGAGCAGAGAAATTCAGTATATTGTTAATCGTCAAACATAGTCAATGGGTAGATGCACAGAGAAGCTCACGTGCTTATTATTTTTGTGTCTGTTCCGCCGGCTAAGGCGTAAGCCTCGCAGACATGAGCAACGAACGCTGATCAGCAGAGATGCAGATACAGGGGTGAAAGACGTTGCGGTAGGAACATGGAGGAGCGGATACCCTTGTCCGGTTTCGGGCTAGCCCCGAAGCTCGGGCCGACGTAGCGACTAAATTTCATGACTCTCGTAAACAACGACTGTTTGGGCTTGATGCCTTGAGCTATTTCTCCTCTAGTTCACTGATACGGTGACTCTCTCTGCACCCAAGGGCCAGAACTCTCTATCAACGCGCCCATTTTCCGCATACGTAATCGTAGCTGCGTACCAAAACCGCGCCGCCGTCTGCCCCACTCGCTTCCATCAGCCGCGAACACCCCACCGCACGAGCACACGAGCGCTTCCATTCGCGACACCCAGCTGCAAACATGTCGGGCGATTTGGATATCGATTTCACGCGCCGGAACAAGAAACCGCGCCCGCTTTCTGAGCACGAGAAGGAGAAGCTGGATGAGTTTGTCGACGCGATCCACTACTCGGCAAGGTCGGTTGTTTGTTCAAGGAGCGGTCAGCGCGAGTTGTACTGACGCTGGCGATAGGTACTCGGACGACGTTTACGAATATCGCCATGTACAGCTGCCCAAGCAGATGCTGAAAGCGATTCCCAAGGACTACTTTGATGGCGCACGAGGCACACTGAAGCTGCTATGGGAAGAGGAGTGGAGGGCACTGGGAATCACTCAGGTACGGGCGCTGACTGAATATCCATACCGCTTGCTGACATGAAGACAGAGTCTGGGATGGGAACACTATGAGGTACATGAGCCAGAGCCGCATATTTTGCTCTTCAAGTACGTTTTGTTCTTTGTGTGCATACAGCAAAGTTTGGACTGACTGGGTATAGGCGACCTATCAACTACCAGCCGCCTATGCACTGAAGAAGAGGACGCCTCCGCGCGGCTTCCGGCTTTCTTCATGTCAAACGCGACACGCGCAACACTTGCGCAGACTATGACGGCACTCGACATGGCCTATTTTTTCCTTGGGATACCTTCCTGCTTGTTTGTCGATTTAGAGCGAGAGACGCTAGATATAACGACGATATGATCATGGCAAAACACATGACGCGCTACATGGCCTTCATATGAGGCGTGTTTGGGATTCCATTATGCGAGGGGGTGACGAGTGCCCAGACTTTGTACATACGATTATCACAGGAGCTTCGCCGAGGGCATGAGCAATCAGCAGATTCCGTGAAATTAGTACACGGGTATTGACTGTTGTATCAGAAAATCAACAACTGATCCTATATTGAATTGAATTTCTCTATCCGCTGGTGATGTCAAGATGCTTACGAGGATCACGAACTCTTTACACATGATGCAAAAAACACGTAACCAACAGTTGTCCGTGAAGTCTGTAGTTTCCATACGTGCGCAAACAGACTTACTCAATCACGACACCAAAGAAAAGCATTGTACCGGCACCGACATTGCGTCTTAGAAGAAGCTTGATGGGCGTCAAACGTGGATAAAACGAACCCTCAAGCCTAACACAATGTCTTCTATCTGCATCATCAGTGGAGAATAAAAAACAATAGTACCTCGGGCGTGAAGGTGAAGACCCATCACTCATACAAGATTAGGATTTGGCTCATGGCGGCCACAGAGCTCTGAGCTTGTTGCTGATCGGCCTAGTAAGTGGCAGCATGCTCACATGTGCTTCCCCAACGTCGAGTATTATTTTTGGTATAATCCCCAGACGTTTGGAATGGTATAGCAGATTTGGGGAAAATAGATATACATGTATCGGAGAAGTTGGAAAATGAGTAGCTTTGGATGGGAGAAAAAAAGGACTTTGCTCATTACAAGCAAGGCATGTACCTAGCAACGCCCCTCGGACACGGGATAGTTTTTCACAAGCTCATACAGTATGTATAAATGAGCACTCTGTTGCCCGATTTGCTTGCTTACCCAAAGTCAATTTACATGTTTACATTGTAGTGCGGAAACTCAAAAGGTTCGAGAAGGAAAATGACACGAAACCCACTAGGACCAGCCAAGACACTATGGCTCTTGTAAGATGTATGGTGCCAATGCTAGTAGGCGTGGTAAGAAGATTGATTGATTTTCATCGATATTGGTAAGTAGTATATTGCCATGTCAGCATTGGCGTGGGGTCCCCAATCCCTCGGCAAGTCTTGTAAACTTTAAAGCTTAAACGGGGGAAGTAATACCCCAGACCCCAGCTCTGAAAATCAATGTGACTAGAGGGGGGTGAGACGCAAAGGATATCCCGGATTGTAAGGATTGGCGACTCGCCTTGTCGAGACAACCTTATAGCCACATGTCAATCAATGCCAGTGCGCGCGCTACAGCTTCCGTGTTTCAGAAGGTGTCGTCAGCGAGACAATGATAAATGTTAAGTGGCTATACAATAACTGTATTCCTATCACACATATGTAATCTCACACCGCCGGATGGTACAACATGACGTGGAGAGACGGCCTGTCGGTGTAGGTTGCTGATGTAAGTAAGTAAACATGGCTCGTTGATCCTTGACAAACGGCAAATGCGACAACTGATGCATAAGAAGACGGCTGCAGAGCAGGCAGGTAAACATGGAGGATTGGATCCGGAGAATAGCGGCCCGACTTGCCAAACGATGCCATTGGGCTAAGCATAGTTCGCTCGCGTATGCTGTCACATGCAGATCTGCGATCAAAGATCTCGTAAACGTAACCATGGAACCCTGAAGTGTCTGAAAATTGATGTGGTTGGGCGGAAGTAGACATCCTCGAAATTGACCAGTGAGGGAGCGCGGAGTCTGAGCGCGCGGAGCAGAGGTCAAGGGCGGTTACGGGCCTTTGGAGGGTGATAACGACTAAGGGCAAGGTTCCGTTGTTGAGAAATTGGAACACAGTCCTTAGCGAGGCCAGATAGGGTAACGCAGAGAGGGCAGCTGGGGGACCCACCTGTCGCTTTGCACGAACATGACCCAAGTTTGAGGTCGCTGGCAGTGCAAGGCTAAAGGCTGAAGCTTTTACGTACACAAGCGTAGATCTCGACCGTCTCACCCCAGCAGGCGAGGGCAATTGACCGCGGCTCGGTAGCGACATGGGCAAGAATGGGGCTCCAAAGGAGCAGACAAGGCGGGTGTGACATCACCGGGAAAAGAGGTGGACGGTAGATGGGATTGGCGGAGGATTCCGGATGCTGCGCATTGCCGGTGGTCGGAGGGCAAAACGTTTTGCCTGAAGGGCGAGCGGTGAGGGTATCGTGGGCAGGGTTGGCGCGGAGCAGAATGGCAATCAGGGGACCCACTAGGATGTATTTCTAGGGCACTGTGGAGAAGACGGTCGCGCGACACGTGCGGAGGGCACCTACCATGGCACCTACCATGCAGAAGGGTGATTTGCAAGTCGAATAGGATTCCTGGCATAGTCAGCGAGCGGGAGAGTGGCATGAAATTGCTACTAACTAACTAGTTACTGTATGTCGTATACGTAAGCAGGTACTTGGTGTCTAAGTAGTAGTTACGTACACACATGCAGCGTCTGAGATTTGCAGGTGGCGAGGGCTGTGCTGTCTGTGTGTGGCAGGTCAGCGGGATCGGGACAAAACGGTCGGTTGCAAAGTGACAGGCAAAGCAAAGGGCCATGATGTCGTGTGCGTCGAGTCGTGGGTGACGTGCATATGCCAATGGCCCCAAGTATGGAGTCTGGTAACGAGTACATAAGAGTAACTGGCCTAGACAGGCAAACTGGGGCATGAGTAGTGCAGCACGGTAGATAAGCTCCTAGGCTAGAGTAATGGAAAGATCAAACGATGCAGGTGGGGGAGCGGTCGTGCGCCGGTCATTGGCCCGTCGTGCTTTCCTTATCTCTCGGCTGTACGTAAGATAGCACAAAGCAGGGACGGCGCTAGTCCCCATCCGGACTACTGCTCTGCCCATCCGTGCGCGGTCCATGTCCAAACCCATCCCGAGCACATGTCTGGCACAAAAGACAGTGCCGGCGCTCTCTTCAAAGCAAAAACATATACATACACACATACACACATACACACATTTACACATTCACCCCTCTACCCTCCCCGACCATGCACCAGCCCTCTCCCCACACCAGGTCTTAGCTCTCTGCCCCCCAGGACCAGCCCCGGCTTCTCACGCCGCTCCCGCCCCGCCGACGTTGCTCCATCTTCTACACTGTAGTAGTTGGGCACACGTTCAATGACGGCGCGAACCATCAGCCACCTCATTCTCCTCACAGCCGTTACCGGCAATCTGGGCCCTTGAGCAGCCGCTGTCTTGTCCCTCTCCCTCGCTCCGCTGCATTACCCAAATATATTTGCTGTTCTTGGCATAGCCCAATATCCAAAGTGACCTCGCCATCTCCCACGCGATAAGACCTGCCACATACCCTGCTCCGATAGCAAGATACTTGCATCCTGATCCGCAGTCTGGCCAACGGCCCGTAGTCTCTCATAGCCTTATCGCCCCCTTCCACGCCAGCTGCCCAGCCATGACGGCCGTAGCAATGCAGCAGCCGGCCATGGGCCCACGCCCGGTCGTCTCCATAGCACCAGCTCGCCCTCGCACAGTACACAAGTCACCCTCGACCAAGGAGAACCTGACCAAGCCAACCTCCGCCAACGGCCCCGTCTCCAACATCCGCTCGCGGAGAGAACGCCCGTGTGACGCCTGCAGACGGAGGAAGAGTCGCTGTGTGATACACGAGGGCGCCGCCCTGTGTGTCTTGTGCGAGTTCCACAAGCAGGACTGTACCTTTGTGCAAAGTCCCCTTCCCCGCAAGAGAAAAGTCGTCGACGGTGAGAAAAAGGATTCGCCCAGCAACACAAAGAAGAGGTATGTCTAGGCTCCTCCACTGTCCCGCGTTCGAGAAATTGTCCCATGGCTCGCTTGGGCAAGGAGCAACCACGTACATATACCACGCCAAACTGTCACGTGCTCACGTGCCATGCACTCTACCTGCCTTCCCTCCCCACCCATCATGTGGTTTGTATCCATTGCCTTTTGACACTTCGTTTTTGAGTTGTACTTTATGCGGCTAGATGGCATGACTGATACCGTCTGCTAGATCCGTCGACTCGGAACCTCCTCCATTGGCACTGTCGACCCCTACCATCACTGCAACGGCGCCAAGCCCACCATCACAATCACAATCACAACCACCACAACCACCACAACCACAGTTGTCCTACGTGCAAAGTCTGCACCTACCTCAGCTTGGAGAGACGCTGGGCCTGCAACGGCGCCAGCACAGCAGATACATTGGTTTGAGCTCCCCTTTCGACTCTCTACTTATTGGCCTCTCCCAATTCGATACCCGTAACGAATCCACTTTTGATCTCGGCACCCTTCGACGAGTAAACGATCATGAATGCTTCATCATGCTGCCTGACGAGAACACGCAAGATTTTGCCGGCGAGTCCGAGGCACTGACTCAGGTCGAGCAGCTTGTGCACCCACATGGCCCTGCCTTGCTAGACCTGTACTTTCAAGTAGTACATCCAAACTACCCCATTATCCAAAAGCACCTTTTCGTCGAGCGCTATCGCAGTGGCGATCGGGGCTTCTCACCCGCCCTTCTAGCTGGAATGTACATTCTGGCCCTAAATTGGTGGTCCTTCAACCCCAAGCTCGCAAGCTATTCCAAACCCGATGCAGCTCGATTGGAAGCGGTTGCAATGAAGGCATTGACATTGTCAATGGAGCGACCTAAACTGTCAACTGTACAGGCAGGTTTGTTGTTGCTTCAGCGTCCAGAAGCAGATTCGTGGAGTCTGACTACGCAACTGGTCGCCGTTGGCCAAGAACTAGGCCTGCACCTTGACTGCTCCTCGTGGTCAGTTCCTCTCTGGGAGCGTGGATTGAGGAAGCGCATCGCATGTGCGTTGTACATGCAGGACAAATGGAGCTCATTGATCCACGGTCGCCCCTCACACATCTTCAATGCTAACTGGGCAGTCAAGCCCATTACTGAAGAAGACTTTGTTGAAGAAGGGGACGGATATGAGACACGGCAAGAAGAGACCGAAGACGAAAAAGCGGACAGCCAGCGAGGACGGATACTGTTTGCCCAGATGATCGGACTTACCCAAATCATGGCAGAAGTCATGGACACATTTTACACCCAAACTGCCATACAAGATTTCGCAAATGCAGGAAAGAAGTCCACTGAACTCATTCTGGCCCGCGCCAAGCCTGTACAAATAAAGCTCCGCCAGTGGCACGAGAAGTTGCCTGCTGAAGTCAAGATGAACACGCCGGAGAAGGGCAAGCTCACGTCGACCGGCTATCTGCACCTCGCATACTTTGCGACAGAAATCACTCTGCATCGACGCATTGTGCAGTCTCTTGATTCGACCAACCCAGACTCTTACGGTCTTTTCATGTGCCGCAGTGCTGCGAAGACGCGATTAATTTCTGCCATGGACTTTGTCAACCGGCTCAAGCCAGAACATCTGCAGGCCTTCTGGTACTTTGCTTCCAAGGTCAACTTTACGCTCATCGGAACGTTTGGATCGCTATTGTGGGCTACAGCACCCGCCAAAGAAGAGGCCGAGTTCTACAAGCTGAGGTTGTGCGAATACCGCTGGACCCTGTCCGTCTCTTCCAAGCGTGCCGACTTTCTCGATTACGCAGTCTCCATGCTGGACGCTAGCCGTGCCATGCTCAGCAACCTAGCAGAAAAACCAAGTCTGGCTGAGCAGATTAGCAACGCTGGAGTGCCCCCTGCAGCACCTCTGCGACAATACTCATCCTTCTCAAACATGGGACCGCCACAGAGTTCCGATGGGTCGGGAAGGTATGAGCAGGAAGACATTGATATGGCCGATGGTGATGATCTTCAAAGAATGTCATCTGGTGAAAGTTTTGACGGATTCCATGATGGCTCGCAGTATGGTAGTCGTCCGCATACGGCTGGCAACTCGCCTCGCTCTCAATGAGCAGGCTCTTTATAGGATTGGTGGTTATGATATTGGAATGGTTTTGGTTATTGGGTGGTATGTACTAGATTTGGTGGTTACGATTTTCAGCGATTCAGCGACATCTTTACTGTTGGATGGCAGGCGTTTATGTACTGGTGGTGCGCGCAGATATACCACAAGGGCTATCACATATTGCGCAAAAATGGCGCCATATCGCGACACACAATGTCCGACACATGTGTGGTCGGTTCCATCTGCTTGCTTTTTTGCAGAAATAGTTATGATCTCATGTTTCATGTTAGCGCAGGTCGCGCCTTTGGTACATCCAGTGGCTTTAGAGAATGAAGCATCGGTATTCTGTCTCTTTTGAGAGCAGCACAAGCAGTTTCAGCCCACTAGTGAGTTGCAGCGTCACTACAAAAAAAAACAAGCACAAATAATTTGGAAAATGCCATGTAGTGTAGTGATGCTGACATAGTATGGTGATATTATAGTCAACTGACCTGAGCAGTGGCTGTGTACATAAAGTTGAAGCTATTCAGAGGGACAGGGTCAGCTGCACCATGCCCATGGTCCGTCGTTGACGCAGGCTGCGGGAGTCGGGTGGGCCCGCGTGCCGCCTCCTCTTGCTCTGAACAAAAGCATTGCCCACGCCACGTCGAGAATAAGCACACCCATCCTCCCTCAGCCATTTACCATTCATGGAAAGGATCAGATGACCTGTTCATGCACATAAGCATACTTCATCTGAGAAGCAAGTGTCATGTTGTAACGAACAAACAATAGTCGCCATTGGCACAGTCGAGCGGCACACCCTCAACCCCTCACAACTCGTCATGTCAAAAACTAGAAAAAGAAATGCCCCGCCTCCACCTTTCGCTAGGAGCCAGAGGAATCTGAGCAGCCCTTTTGTCCAACCTCTCAGTTGAAGGGAGTGAGAAACACAAAAATGCAGGCAGCGACATCGCCTCATGCAGCTGGTGCAAACATGTTTCTTGGCAGCCCGCCGTAGCTCTCAGCCATAACATAAACGATGGGGCGTTGCCTAGGTCAATTTGGGGGCTAACCCTCAGCTTCCCGTCGATCCTTCGCGGTGTAAGCTTTCTAGCGGACAGACAGCTGAAAGGAAGGATTACGCAGTCAGATTGCCTTATTGCCTTCCTCTCTTTTTTTCTACTGCCTGGGGTTGCCCCTGAATGTTACAATCGAAACCTTCTTTTGTTACGCTTGCATCCAATACAGCCTTGGTACGATTTTGGCATCGGCATACATATACAGCGATAAACTTTGCTGTCCCTGGACATAGCACCCCACTCAAGCATAATTACATCTTAACTCCCTCTCTTTGACCCACTCTACCATGACCGACGACGACAACAAGGCCTGGGGACGACGCCTCGTCATATGCTGCGACGGGACTTGGCAGTCGAGCGTCACTATCGAAACAAACGTCCCATCCAATGTCACTAAACTATGCCGCCTGATTGCCCGTGTTGGCTCGGATCGGAACAACCCCTCGAAAAAGTTTCACCAAATCGTCTACTACGATTCTGGAGTGGGAACAGGAAATCTCAGCTCTTCTGAAAGGAACCGACAAGGCGGTACAGGAGCTGGTTTAGCAGAGAACGTCATTGAAGCATACAACTTCATCGTGCAAAACTATGAGCCGGGTGATGAGATCTTCTGCTTTGGCTTCTCAAGAGGCGCCTACACTGCGCGTGCAGTTGCAGGACTCGTTTCCGACATTGGAGTCATAGCACCCATTAGCATGCAGTTCTTTGCGACACTATACAGCCTGTATCAGACAAATGACGAAGGGGTAGACTTTCGCGAAACACAAGCGTGGAGGTGGTTCACTGAAGGCAAGCTGAGCAAGAAGGGAGAAGAGATGGAGAAACAGGGTGTGGATGTTAAAGCAATTGGCTTAGACGATCTCAAGCTACTGGCAGAGGTGTGGGAAATTCGACCGCATGGAGAACTCGCCGTCAGTGAAGACAGCAGAAAGGTGAAAGTCGTCGGTGTTTGGGACACTGTTGGATCTTTAGGTATACCAGATATGATGGGCTTCAATCTAGCCTCTCAAAGAACGCAATACGGTTTTCATAATGTCAAGCTGACAGAGAGTAAGTCGCACAACTAGAAATCTGAGATTGCTGCTAAGTGCCCACTAGATATTGAGCATGCATTTCAAGCCCTTGCGCTAGATGAACGACGCAAAGCATTCCGTCCGACTCTTTGGTATATTCCAAAGGACCTCGTCGACGATCCAAACCGACCTACACCTGAACTCAAGCAGGTCTGGGTGCGTAGTACAGCACAGCGTATTTGAGATAACGAATAAACTAACAGTAGTTCATTTAGTTCCCTGGTGTACACATCAATTGTGGTGGTGGCTCACAGGACGCTCTTGGGGAGATGAAGGGAGACTCAGAAAGTCGGTTCCCAATTTGGAACTCAGCCAACGCAAATGCTAACTAGGCTTAGACATATCAACAGCAACTCTGTGCTGGATGCTTCAAGTCATTTCCCCGCACTTGACTATAGACCGACATGCCTTCTCAATGCATCTCAACCAATACAAGCGTTGGCTATTCCGTATTCGCTACGCCTGCACTTACTACCACCCAAATACGCTACAAAAGATGTGGAACAGTGTCCCAAGCCTGCCTTCTATCCCATTCCTGAGCTCTGGTGGCAAGGAGCTAAAACTTCCACGTGCTGCCTCACCACATGCGCATGAGAAGTTCGACTTCAGCTGGGGCACTGGTCCGCTCGTTGACTCGTACACCACAATGTATTACCTGAATGGTATGCATGTACGTATACCCGGCCATGAAAGCGGTGAACAGTACGACGAAAAGTCAAAAGTGCACACATGGACTAAATTGAGAGACTTGGGTGATACGAACGAGTACATTCACCCCATCACCTACTTTCGTAGTCTGATAAAGGGCTGGGAGCCGCACTCGCCGTTAGCAAAGTCATGGAACAGAGAGGCTTGGAAAGAGCAAGGCAAGATGAGGTTCTGGTGGTACATGGATGGTGAGAAGGAAAAGTGCGCGCTGCCTGAATGGGTAATTCTCCCAGATGAAATGAATGGCGAGTTCAATTTTGAAAGAAGGTGGTACAATGAGTGCGAGAGTTCGGAGAAGACACTCGAAAAACTTGCTAGTATTGGGGAGTTTGGTATGGAAAGAGACTTTTTGGAGGTGATGGATGAGAGGCTGGGATTGGCTGATGGCCGGCCCTCGAACGTGGCGCCATGAGCAGTGTTTATGCTTCGCTAACTTTCGGTAAATAGACTGAGAAAAGCATATGTTCTATTCATGGGAATCACGATAGTAAATTTGGCGATACATGATAGTTTAAGGCCTAAATTGATATGTTCGGTCTCCACTATTACACTTCGATCTTTCTAGCCCCTATTTCTTACACGATGCACTCCACTGTGCTTGCCTGATCCGCAGACAATTATGTAGCCTCGAGGAACCTCCTTTGCACTGTTTCCTTGGAGTTGTATGCTATTAAATCAATGCTGTATCAGAGGCAAGTGCAATTGCCCGAGTCGTCGAATCCCACTGTTTGGCACCTGCACTTTCCTTCACCTGTCGTCCAGCAACGTCATCGGCCCCAAACATAAACCTTGAGACACCGCACTGCACGTCAAAACACCACTTCTCTTCCCAACTCTTCCAGTCACCTTACATCCTCCACTACGAGCATCACCTACAACTTCCTCGAATCCCCATTGCTCACTATGAGTGAATTTCTCAGTAAGAAGATGTCTTCTGATACGAGCAGTCTTGCTACCAGCCATTCAAGTCAATTCCAGGACCAACTGGAGGTCATCTTGGACAGACTAAAGACCGATCCAAGCAGTATCACGGCTGATGACGCTCGTCTTCTATCTGAGAACTTCAATACACATAATGAAAGAGCGGTCCGCATTATCTCTGCCGTCGAATATCTAGCTATTGCTAACAAGGTGTGCACCACCAGGAATCCAGCCACACTCAGAATCATCACCGCTCGCTGCTGACAGCTGTCAAGGACCTGCATGTCGCCTTGGGTGGCAGCCCTGAGGAGGTCACTACAGAGGTCCTTCGCACCACACAGAGCATTGTTAGCAGTAAGTACAGACACCTGTCACATCCCTGACATCTTTTGTCCGTGAACAAGACTTCATTAGATATCAGAAGTCTAGATCACACGCTGACACTGCCACAGAAATGCAGAGGGCTCTCGGCCACACCAACGTTCCCCACCCAGAAGTTGAAGGCGAGCTCCAGGAGGAAATCGTCAAGATCGAGCCCAAGATTGCCCAAGGCACAGTGACAAAAGCTGAGGCTGATCGACTCCATTCGCTCGAGGCTCGTGCACATGGACACACTGAGAAGGGCGGTATCACTGCTGCCGCTCAGTCTGTTGTCGCGAGACGTGAGCGTCAGCTATCACTAAGTGGCGGCCCTGAGGCCTTGCAGCCCTCGGGCAGTGAACAGCTCCAAGCAAACAAAGAAGGCTTTAAATCACCTGAACAGCAATCTCAGTACGACAAGGAAGGAAATCTTCTGCAGGCAGCGGACGCCGTCAAGGACAAGATAGAGGAGGGCACTGTGACCAAAGCAGAGGCCAGCCATCTCCAATCCCTTAAATCTCGCGCTCACGGTGATACCTTCAAAGGATTTATTGCTGCTACTGCTCAATCAACTGCTGCAAGGCGCGAGTCGAATGCTAGCGATGCGCGCCCTTGCGCTGACAGTAAAAATACACTCTCTCCCCAAGAGCAACCCCACCACGACAAGGAAGAGAACCTTCGCCAAGTGGAACTCGCAATCCGACCGAAGATCCAAGACGGTACCGTCACGGCAGCCGAAGCCAAAAAGCTCCACTCATGCGAGATGCGTGCTCATGGACATACTGAGAAGGGTAGACTGGCCGCTACAGCACAGTCTGTTGTTGCCCATCGCCAGAGAACTCTCAGCGACATTTCCAACTCGCCTCATCCCTCGGAAACGGATGCTGGACCACACAAAGAAGACATTGACGTTGACAAGGAGCCCAAGGAGGTCGAGGGAGACTTGGGCGATATCGCAAAAACAGAGAACGAAGCTCAGTGAGATCGTTTCGAACAACGCAGCTTTGTTCGTTGTGATGCTTTTGAGAAGGGCATCATGGGAATGGTTCCGAGTATATATTTGAGGAGGAAGGTTAGTTCGTGAGGCGTGCAGAGAACTTGGAAGCCAGATATGATCAACAGCAAGGATGATACGAGTATGTATGTTTAGATGAACCGGTCTAGTAGCTTCCTTAAGAATTACGCTTTCTTCGAACCAAATTCTTTCTTTCTTTTTCTTGAGCTGCTGTATTTGGTCACATCGTCCAGCTCAATTCACTGCCTGTAGCGATTAAGTTGGTGGGCAGAGGACAGACGCAGGATAACAAAAGCATCATACAAGTGATGATGCTGGAGCATTGTCTATGGTATCGAAATGCTACAAACCCATTGATACTCAAGGGGAAAAAAGAGAAGAAAAGAATTAATGACAAAAGTCCTAGAACCGCTGAATGCAAAACGGTCTCCCCACCCCGCACCACAATTGACCAAACAAGAAACACAAAGACCAAGGAGAAAACCTACTTGATCTCCGTCTTGCTCATCAAGTCAGCCAGATCATCAACCTTTGCATCCTTGTCCTGTGCCACATTACTGTCCTCAGCCCTCTTATCATCCGCAACCTGTTTCGCCGCACGATCCTGCACCTCTCCCCTCTTCTCCTCCTCGTCGCTCTCCTCATCCTCGTCCTCGGCATCGCTCTCCAGCTCATCCAGCTCGTCCAGACCCCAGTACTCCTCATCGTCGGCCTTCTCACCCGACTCCTCTTTGCGAGCATCCAGAACCTCGCGCAGCTTATCGAGACTGGGGTCTTCCTCGTCGAACTTGTTGCCGTTGATTTCGATGCGGCGGAGGAGAGGGAGGGCGGTGGAGGAAGCGGAGGCGAGGCCCGCGAGACCCTTTGCGTTGATTTCGTTGAATTGGAGGCGCAGGACTTCGACTTTTTTGTTTTTCCCCTTTTCCAGGGCGGCGGCGAGGAGGATGCCGCCGCGGCTGCTGAGGAGGCAGTCGCCTACGCCGAGTTCGCGGAGGTCGGTCCAGTTCACTACGGCCTGGCTGAGGGCTTTTGCCCCCATTGCAGTGAAGGTGTTGTCTTGGAGGTCGAGGGTGTCGAGCTTGGTCAGGTGCGCGAGGCCGTTAGTGATGAGGTGGGAGATGCCTTCCTGCCTGATACCGTTTTGCGTCATCTTGATGGTCTTAACGCCACTATTTGCTGCGTATGCTTTTGCCCATGCGGCCATGCTGCCGTTTTCTAGGCGATTGCGACCGCAGATGACGAGCTCGAGGTCCGGTACATCTTTGCCTTCCTTGCGCGCGGCCTCCTTCTTTGCGGCAAGTGCAGTCAGCGCATCAGCGACGAGCACACCAGCAGCTGGGCCGAGGCCGTTGTTGTTCAGGTAGAGGTAGCGAAGTGGGGTATGTTGCGACAGAAAGTCGACGAGCGGGGCAACAGTGTTGAGACCGAAGGCGTTGTCGGAGAGATCGACGGTGTGGAGCTTTGGTAGCGTGAGGAGGGACGTGAGGAGGTGCGATAGCGCAGGAGGGATCTCAGAGAGAAGACGAGAGGTGAAGATGTCGGCGAGGTTTGCGACCTGTTGTTCATGTCAGTCAGTGCCCCTCAGTTGGCGATAACAAAGGGGAGTTTCCGGTACCTGCAGATTCTTCTTGGTCTCCAGAACCTTGGCCAGCGCCTCACTGGCTTCAATACCCAGAGTGTTTCCCAGAAACTTGACCTCTTCCACATCATCGTTGGTCTTTAACTCCTGAATGTGTGGCTCAATGTCCGCCGCTGTGGTGAGTTTCAGGCCCTTGCCCTCGATAGAAAAGACCTTTGCGCCAACCATAATTGTATTTGAATGTCCCTTGCAGTCGTGGTAAAATGCACTATAGCAGGGGGCGAGTGAATAATATTCAACGGGCGACGAGGTCGTGTGAGTCGTGGGGCGCAATGTTTTGGCGGGCGTAGTGGGGGTTGATTTGCCTAGACCCGCTGAAATCTTGCAGGGGGTTTGCCTCGTGGAGTGGCCGCCGCGGGAATGCGCGCCAAGACCAAGCCGACTGATGACAACATGCCCGGCGGGAACTTTTGGTGCACAATTCCGATTGCTAAGCATCTTTCCATTCACCACTACCACACATACACGCACAAAACATGTCGTCAGGTATGCTTCCAAGAGGATGCAATTATAGCAGCGACGTCAATCAACTGACACAAGAAATCACAGCACCACCCACTGCCGCCAATATGGGCTCAGACCTCAAGACATCCGAAAAACCGAAGGTGAAGCCATGCTGCGTCTGTACCGACCAGAAAGCGAAGCGCGACGAATGCATGCTGTTCTCCACCTCAAACGACGCGCAAAAGGAATGCGCCAACCTCGTCGACGACTACAGGCGATGCATGGCCGGTTATGGCTTCAAGATATAACGCCAATGGACTCTTATGGTGACTGAGTTAATGAATGGGTGGGAGAACATGGAAAACACGAGCATATGGGTGGCGTTGAATATTAGACGGCATCGTTTCTTTGCTGTACAACATGTATCAACAGAATTGGAATCTTCGCTCCAAACATCTAGCCGGGGTATCTCAAAGAAATACTGAAATCCTCCCACAATCATTCCCTTTGTTCCTAGTTTGTTTTGCTTTTAGCCTTTCCGACCAATTCACTCTTAACCACAAGCCGCCACAGGCACCACAGGTAGCAAAGGCCGAAACCGCCCGTTCCGACAATTGCGTTTGCGACAACCCAGAGATCCGGTTTGTCCGCTGGCGGAGGGAAGAATGCCTCCACGATATGCCACCCGACCATGGCAATGTAAATGTTGATGTGCAACACTTTGCTAAAAATATCAAGTCCGCTTCGGCTGCCTTCATAATAGGCCGAGAATGAAACGGGAGGAAGACCTAGAAGATATGCCCATAGAAGCGAAACGACAAAGTACGGGACCCGCAGTTCGTCTCTCTTCAACAGCGGAAACATAGTCCACACGCCGAGCATATTTGCGAGCCCTACCCATGCGCGGGTACTTGGTAGTAGACCTTCATGTCCGCCAAGAAGTAGAGTCATGGGTAACAATGGCAACAAAACATTTTTCTCATGCACCTGGTATGAGCAGAGGAAGAAGCCCCATGAAACCGCTGCGAAGGCGAGCGGGAGAATTTGTTTCTTCGGCTTGAGGAAGATGATCAAACATGGCGGCAGAATGGCAACCGACGTCGCGAGGAGTGCCAGCCGTTGGAGTGACTGGATCGGATAGCGATGCAGCTTGTGAAAGGTGTGGATGGTACACCAGATGTTGGCGACTTTGTCCTCGAATAGCCCTCGGGAAAAGGGAAAGATACGATGGATTGACTGTCCCACCTCGAGAACATAAGGATAGTACCAAGCCTCTCTGTTCCATGGTGTCATGAACCATTCCACATTTAGTAGCGGGGGTACCGTTTGAAGGCCATGATAGAAGCCAGTGTAAACATTGTATGCCACACCTGTAAGGAATGGCAGATACAATATAGCAAAGGCAGCGACAGTAGTCAGTGCAATGGCGAAGAACCGTACAATGTTGATTCGCGGGAAAACGCAAATGCCCAGGAGATAGGCAAAGATGGCAGGCGCATAGAACAGCGCCATCTGCTTGAACCCAAGAGCACCGACAAAGAAGACACAACCCCAGAGCGGCCTTCCGGCGACCACGCTTGACAGTGTGGCGACAGCGAAGCCGAGCATAACGGTGTTGTATTGGAAGTGTCCATGGTCAATCAATATGGCTCCTGGCTGCATCAATATGGCTACCAATGCAATTGACGATTCCCAGATGTTGACACCTTCGAGGCGGGAGAATCGGCGGAGGAAGATGACGAGGGCGGGGACGTAGATGAGGTATTCAGACACAAGGACGGTGGCTCGCATATATATTTTAAGGGACGGATCATCGAGACCGCGCGACTCGTGGAATTCGAACCACTTGGAGTTGATGGCAGAGCCGCTGTGACAATCGTCAGTATGAGCGTTGCATGTCTGATGAACTGAGCATACATGACCCCCAGAAGCCAACTGTGGTATGCAGTCAGAGGCGGATAGTCTAGTCCCCACCACTGCAAGTCATAAAAGTACCACAGTGAGACTGGAATATGCTGTGTGATTTCCATCCAGTGGCGCTGCGCTTCAAAGTCTCCATGCATTGGCGGCGATTGATAGCCCGAATATCCCCAGAGACCAACGGCCCAGCGGAACAAGCCGACGGCCATGAGTATGAGGGGTATGGTGATCCATTGCGACACGGTGCCTTTTGCAGGCCACAAGAACGCGACGAGGGGAAAGGCTGGTTTCGTTGAGTTTGTGGATTGGTCGTGGTCGAGGGTACCGTGTGCGACCTGAGCAAGGGATCCTTCTTCGATCTTTCTCCGCCGCCGCGGTTTATGGACTGCTGGTGAAGCCATGATGACACTGCTTGAACAGGAGTTGCACGGCTTCATGGTTCGGACTCGTGGAAGAATGACTACGCCTTACCGTAGTGGTGCTAGCGTAAACCCGCGTAAGCTCTGGCAAACTGTGCAAGCTATAGTCTCCAACGTCGAGGTAGGCGTGCGAGATCACAACCGGGACTGTCTGGTCTATTGAATGCATGTACATTTGAATTGCTAATTGAATTACAGTCTATCAAGTTTCTATAGGCACCATCTGTACAAGCAAAAGTGCTCAGCGCATAGCCAAAACTCGCCGTTTTGCTTTTAGAGCATGCTCATATTCATGTGAGTACATACATCCAAAGAGCCGTGCTCGTAATATACAGCTCCACTCTCTAATATCTACGTCCACGTATCCACGGCAAAAAAAACAGCGTCCCTTGCTGGACCCTGAGCCGCTGCTTTGCTGCAAAATACTGGCTTGACCGTGGCCGGCCAAGTTCGCAGTGGGGCGGTTCCGTCCAGCGTAGCCACACAACGCGTCGCGGCGCAGAGCACGGGCCACCGTCTCCGCTGAAAAGTTCGGCGCTGATCTTTTCTGCGCCTCCAGGTATTAAATGCCAGCCTCTCCCACTCAAGCACTCACCGTCTATCACCAATCTTTCACCTTACTTTTACCTCGAACATCACCAGTTCGAGCATCATTTGAGGGCTTTCGCGAACTTCAAGTGGGCTACTGAGGGCAACATCCAGTACCAGATCATATCACAAGTCAGTGGGCAACGTTTGGCATTTCCTTGACACACATTCTAGAGGGCACGTCTGTCGCTCGTCAGAGCACGGCAAGATCAACCAGAGGGCTTTGCGCTACTATGAGGGTTAATCTTCCGGCTTCTCGGCCATTGTGGGAACACGCTGCCTTGAAGCTCGGTTTTCTGTGGGCTCTTGTGGGCTTTTCGTGGGCTTGAGGGATATCCGCCTTGTGCGGTCTCGAGAGATACCAGTGGGCTTTTCGCAATTTGAGACAATCAGATCATGCAGGCTAGCGCATACGATGACCTTCGGGTATCAGCGCCTGAGCGACGACACTATTGCAGTCGGCTCCTCTCTTTGCTTCTTTTCACCGCAATTCTATTGATTTCTACGTCGCACATTTCACAATACTGATACATTGTAGATCTAGTACATTACCATCAAAATGGGCAAGACCAAGGTTGCGGACAAATCGTCCAAGAAGGACAAGAAGGCTGAGCTTTCGAGCATCAAGGCCGGTCGCGTTACCAAGCCTGCTACGACTCCTAAGTCGAAGAGCAAGGACATTGCCAAGTCAGTTGCTTCCAACGTCAAGGACAAGAAGAAGTCGAAGAAGGCTCCTACCCCCGAGCCTGAGTCTGATTCTTCGTCTGAGAGCGAGAGCGAGAGCGAGGAATCCGAGGAGAGCAGCAGCGAGGAGGAGGAGGTCACCAAGAAGACCGCCACCAAAGCTAAAGCTGCTCCCAAGGCCGCTGCTAAGGCCGACTCCGATTCTGACTCTTCCGACAGCAGCGAGGAGGATAGCGAGAGCGAGAGCGAGAGCAGCGAGGAGGAGAAGCCTACCCCCAAGGCCAAGGCCAACGGTGTCAAGACCAACGGCGCTGCTAAGGCCAAGGCTGAGTCCAGCGACTCTGAGAGCGACTCTGAGTCTGAGTCCGACTCGGACAGCAGCGAGTCCAAGGACGAGAAGCCTGCTGCCAAGGTTGAGGTTGGTTTTTACCCTTTCATGGTTTGATCATCTTTTACTAACTAATGCAGGCTACCTCTACCTCCGACTCTTCCGACTCCGACTCCGATTCTTCCGATTCTGAAAGTGATGAGGCTGAGGCTCCCTCCAAGAAGCGTAAGGCTGAGGAGGTTGCTGAGCCCGTCATCAAGAAGACAAAGACCGATGAGCCCGTTGCTGAGGACGGTGTCAAGAACCTGTTTGTTGGCAACCTGAGCTGGAACATCGATGAGGACTGGCTCCGCCGCGAGTTTGAGAGCTTTGGTGAGATTGTTGGCTGCCGTGTCATTACTGACCGCGAGACTGGCCGCGCCAAGGGGTATGTTCTGCAACAACTATACGTCTTTCTGTATGACCAAATACTGACCTGTCTAGATTCGGTTACGTTGAGTTTGCCAAAGCTGCTGATGCCGCCAAGGCACAGAAGGACATGCACGAGTACGAGCTCGACGGTCGTCCATTGAACGTCGACTTCAGCACCCCTCGCCAAAAGCCTGACGCCAATGCCCGTGCCAACAAGTTTGGTGACAAGCGCAGCGCTCCCAGCAACACTCTCTTCATTGGTAACCTTTCGTTCGACTGCACCAACGAGACCATCCAGGAGGTGTTCGCCGAGTACGGCAACGTCACTCGTGTCTCTCTGCCCACCGACCGCGACAGTGGTGCGCTCAAGGGCTTCGGATACGTTGACTTTGGCAGCCAAGAGGAGGCTACCGCTGCCCTCGAGGCTCTTCATGGCCAGGACGTTGCAGGCCGCCCCCTCCGCGTCGACTTCGCCGCTCCCCGTGATGACAACGGTGGCGGTGGTGGCCGCGGTGGCTTTGGAGGAGGTCGCGGCGGCGGTCGTGGCGGCCGCGGAGGCTTCGGCGACCGTGGTGGTCGTGGAGGTGGCCGTGGTGGCGGCGGCTTTGGCGGTCGTGGAGGCCGTGGCGGCGCTCGCGGAGGCGGCCGTGGTGGTTCATTCAACCGCGGTGGCTTTGGCGACTTCCAGGGCCAGAAGAAGTCTTTCGACTAAGCATCTTGTAGATTTCTACGTCGCTCGTATGCATTCTGTGTATTTGCTTTGATCATCTCGAGGAGAGAGAGAGAGTAAGTAATTTGTGGAGGTTTTTGCCCGTACGATAACGATGTGTGACATGATTATCGCATGAGAGAGGTCCTATTTTTCACGCTCTTATGGGATATATGGCGTTTACTGGGGATGGAAATAAAAAGTTGCTTGGTTAGACGACTGGACCATTTGCCATATAGGCTGGGGTCGTGATTAGCTTTAGTTATCTTTAGAGTATGAAACTCTTTGTTGAAACATGATTCATGCCTTGGTGTTCTATGCCATGATGTAATGTAGTTGAGACCATGTAGTTAATGCGTTTATAGGTGACGGTAACTCAAACTGTCACTTGTGCCAGATTTTGTTCTGACAACATGTCACATGGAACTGTAGTACCGAGTTTGCTCGAGGTGGAATCATGCACACATATAGTTACCACTTTTACTGCTTAGATAATCAAAGGTTACACATTTGACAGATTGTGGCACGGAAGTATGACGAGAACTTTAATGAATTGTTGTACACACATCCCCTCCAAGTCAGCTATCTAGCGCGAGATACGACGAGTGATGTCTAAAAAAAAGAAAATCCTGACGCAAAGAAACAAGTTGGACTAACAAAACAAACACGAAAAGAAAAGAGGGGGTAACTACGCAAAAAAAACAACAGAAACAGGAACAAAACAAAATAGACTCAATAAAAAAACAAAAGAGCCCACGCCATAGAGACTTCCATATATAAAATGAATGAAAGTGAGTGAGCAAATCAGAAACACACACGCACAAAAAAAAGAGTGAATGAGTTGTGGTAAGCGTGGAAACCTATACACTCTCCCCATCAGACTCAACATCCGTATTCTCCAGCTCGAATTGCTTCTCAGCATCAGCATCGAAGCACGTCTCCCAGCACAGAACTTCGCTTGGGAAATCCTTTTCTACGCTGGGCCGCTCACGCACGAACCAAGCGAGGCCCGCACCCGCAATACCAAAGAGGGCGAGACAAGTCCAGAGGGCGAGGTTGGTAGTATCTACGCTGACGTCGTCGCTAAAGTAGTAGGTGGTGCCGCTGACGGCGACGGCGAAGGCCTTGAAGAGACTGGCGACTTGCATCATGCCTACGACGGTACCCGCAGAGAAGGCGTCGGGGGTGGTGTTGAGGACGAGGAGGGAGACGACGACTACGGCGGCGTCGGTGAGGAGGTGTTTTGCGAAGATGGAGAAGGTGGAGATGATGGGGCCGAAGCCGGAGCAGGTGACGACGGCGGCGAGGAAGGGAGTCAGGATGTATGTTGCGGGGAGGAGGGCGGAGAGAGAGCGGTAGAGCTTGACGAGGCCGTGCTTGGAGGCTGCGCATGGGACGGCGTAGAAGACGACGGCGCCGGCGAGGCCACGTACGCCGAGGACGATGATGTTGAGCCATTCGCAGGGTAGGCCCATGCCGCCGGATTCGGTGCTGCTGTGACCGAGGTGGGGGAGGACGACGTCAAAGGTTGATGCATGGAGGGATAGGAGGCAGAAGGAGGATAGAAGAACCATAAGGGAGGGTGCCTGGAGGAACTGGCTGATGGTGATGGGTTCTGGGCGAGCAAAGTCCACGAGCGTTACGTTTGTGTCGTGCGAGTCGCGGCGGAGGAAAGCTGCCCTCTCACAGTCTATGTCTGCAGCGTCTGCTGTGCGCTCGTTGTGGTGAGGTAGCGTCTCCTTTAGGAAAACGCTCGCCACGAGTGCGATGACGAACACGACGATTCCACAAGCCAGCTCCGAGCCCAGGGTGGGGTAGTTTTGCCATACCATGTTGTATGCTTGCAGACTTTCCGAGACCATGAGCTGCATAATTGGACCCATGGAGCCGCCGAGGGAAATGACGGGGAGTCGAGCGACATTCTTTGCTCGTTCCTCTGCTGTTGCGCTCAAATCTCCGAGCATGGTCAGGGTTGTGCATACAATGGCCGAACTGACCATGCCTGCAATGAATCGGAAAATGGTGCAGCCAACAAGTGTGGTCGCAAATCCCATGCATAAGCAGCAGAAAAACATGCTCCAGAGTCCGATGAAGGTGACACGCCGTCTACCCATGCGATCCGCGAGGTAGCCCCAAAAGAGGCCTGTGGTTCCGCCGAATGCGTATGCGCAGTCGAGTATGCTTCGGAGGTAGGATGAAGATAGAGTGCCGCAGTAATCGGAAGATGAGAGGAGCATTTGGAGTTGTGGCTGCAGGCTCGACGCCATGATGCTGTAGGCAAAGGTTAGTATTAGTCCAGGGAGGGTTGGTAGTCTGTTACGATTGAGCGCCAGTCGGAGAACACATACGCTTCAGCGAAGAAGATGAGGTAAACCAGGACCAGTTGCCCTCTTTGCGACTTATCCGCACCATCCGGTATATCTTGACTATCCATCTCTTCCTCGACTTCTTGTTCCTCCTCTTCGACCATCGACACCTTGTCGTATTTGCCTAGATCCTTCACTGGGATCAGTGACCGCGTTCTCCTGTGGAAACCCAACATTTTTGCAAAAGAAACCCAAACAGCCTATCCTGGAATATTCGAATGTGCGGTAGAACAGTGTACCGCGATAGAGGGAGCGTAGGCAGGCACGACCAGCGTGAACCTGTGTGTATAGCGACTGCGACGGGTACAAAGGGACCCAAAAGAAATGGAGATACAGATGGCGAGAGAGCGACGAGAATGGACTGTCAAGGGAGTGACAGGCTCACTGTGGAAGAGGTAATAGAGACTGGACGCTCACGACGGCGGCGGCGGCGGCGACACCAACATGGCGCGAGGGGTTTGAGCTTGATGGAGCGTTTGAAACAGAAGGAGTGGTGCGTCGCGCGCCCATTGGATCTCAGCCTCCCGCCCTAGGCGCTAGCCACCGCCTAGCGCCAAGCCGCTTAACGCGGTCCCATGTGATGTCAGATTGAGATGGTTCTCGCCCGTGATCTGCCCCTTTGGGACGTGCTCGGCCAAGCTGGGGTTCAAATAAAGGTCATGATTTCGCTAACAGGCGCAGGATTCCATGCGCCCATCCGGGCTGTTAAATGCTTGCTTTAGTTAAGGCTTACAAGGGGCCGTGAGAGAAGATGGGCTGGCCCAAGAAAACAACAAGACTAGCAGAAACAATAAGCGTTAGACGGTCCGATGCGGAGAGACTGGAGTCGAAGTGATCTTACCACCGAAATGTTTGTAACAGGCTTATGGCGACGTGTAGTGCAGGAAGTGCGCTGGGTAGAACCAGAGGGGCGCGACCTCGGGGGGGTTTTGTACCTTATCCGATGGCATTCTTCTAGGATTTTTGGAATGAACTATATCTATGGGAGAGCCCAGTGAAAGACACCACAGAGAGGTTCGATGACAATATTATGGGCACACGCTGTTGAGTCACACCATTTCGTAACAAATATTACAATGCATGTTCGGTGGTTGGTCAGTCATTTGACGATACTTTGGTGGGATTGTGACCTTTCAAACATGTTGATGCTTATATTTGGTCTACACGCTTCTCGTCAACGTATGGCGGAAAGAAGAAGATTTCACCCTAAGAAAATTTGCTTTATTCTGGGCCGTGAATCATACATTACCTTTCATCGGGTTCGGTATGGGGTATTAAACTTAGGTTACTTGTTCGGAACCACAGTACCAGATCACCAAGTGCATTTCGTGAATTATGTGTAGATACAAAGAAGACGAGTTTCTAACGGCCGTGCGGCCAAGTGGGTGGTATACCACAAGACGACAACACTAGGCGGAGGATTCTAATTTAACAGAATATCGAGGATGTCCATATCATGTACGAAAACGACACAGTACAAGAGGGTGTGTATTTGGGGTAGGCGTGGATGCTGGTCTGGCATGAAAAAGAAAGTTAAAAGGAGATTACGACCGTCAGCAGATTGTGCTGAAATCATGGCGATACTAGAGCCGTATTGGCACATTTTCAACTTTGTCCTAGAGCACGAACAACGACCAAAGATACGGGCCCTGATTCCATGGAGAACATCGACGTCTTCACCTCCTGTACTTATCCATTTCCTCGAAGGACTAGTCGAAGCATCCGGGGCCGCTGCCTATCCATATTGGGTCTCACACCAACTCCGAAGAAGTAGTCACAAGTACAACCACTGCGACTATAGTATCCGGCTGTTTCTTGGTCATTTCTTGCGCTGTCTTCGAGAGGTGAATGCAAAGATTGAGTGGTTTGCGGTGGACGCGAAGCCGCTCATACTTTTCCACTGGTATGGCAATCCGCTTCAGCTAAAGGTACGGCATAGTGTCTTTAGCATCACGACCAAATCGGGTGAAGAGTACATTGCAGACTTCACAATCGAACAATTTGGCTACCCCAGCGCGATGTGGTTCATGGAGAAGAAGGAGTATGTTGAGAAGTGTACGACGGGGCAAGAGATGATGCAGCCATGCGAGGAGGAGATTGCCAGTGCGATGCAAGGGGAGATTGAGATGACATGCAAGGTGGAGGTTGTCAGAGAACTGTGCAGAAGGTTAGATTTCAGAAGGTGGAGGCGATGGGATAAGGACAGCAGGGTAGAGTGGTTGGAACAGCGGGTGCAAGAAGCATTATCGAGGAGAGGGGGGCGCAAGCTGTATTGATAGTAAATGTGATTGATAGGGTACTTGGTGGGAGCGGCCTGTGTAGCTCCGCGGAAGCCGGCGCTGGGCATCTTCGTCCGTCTAAAGCCGTGCCAGCCTCGAAATCGATAATGGTCGTCTGCCCTGCATGCGCAGCCCTAAACATGACCTGCAGGTTGACGACTGTTTCGGCCCCCACACGATACCGGTGAATAACTTGAGGCAGTGATGGGCCAATCAGGTGGTGTTGCATACGTATGTATGTCTGCGTGGACCCAGAACAGGACGGCCCTGCGGGCGACGAGAAGCGCGAGGACACGGGTGCTGTGCGAGCATGCGACTAGGGGAATTGCGGATCGGGTGGAGCTGCGCATTTGTGCAAGTCGCAGGTCGCGGGGCGGCGGGTTTTATCACCAGCAGTCGGCGGACCAGAATGGTGACGAGGGCGAGGATGGTGAGATGACTTTATCCATGCACAGCCTGGACGCCTTGCAGCGTGAGCGTGTGAAGGGCCCGCACTAACACCCGTTCCTGCGCTGTTTGGGGCTGACCGGTAGCCTTGGCATGGCCTCTGTGCCGGGCATGCTCTGGGTTGACAGCTCGTAGTGCTCGACAACTGCACACTTGCTGCCACTACTGCATATGCCCGGCGCTGCAGGTGAAGAACGGGCAGAGAGTCGACAGTTGACGGCTCATGACGGTGGTCGTGGGCGAGTAATGGGCGGTGCTCTGGGTTGAACTCGTATTGATCCGGGACTAGAGGCCATTGTGGCGCATCGGCTGTGGGGACGTGCGATCCTTGGCTTAGGCAACAGCGACACCAAAGCTCATAGTCGACGCTTCTCTTTTACTACCACCTATACCCCCTCCCCCCAATGCCTTGACTCTTCCTCCACCTTCAACCTCGACACCTCAGGCCTCCCCCCTCCGCCCCAGTGCCCATTGTTCTTTTTGCACTATCGCCGCCCTTTTTGCATCTTTGCCGCCCGCCGCCCACCGCTCGTGCTAGTCTGGCGGCTGCGCCTTCCTATATACTGCGCTACCACTGCTCCTCCAACTCTCCGGCGCCCTTGCTTCTCTTACCACTACCTCATTGCCTTCTCCCCTCCGGCCTATCATCTGTTTCTATTCCAGACGAGGTCCCACCATCACTAGTTCATGACAACGTGATTTCGGCTTTGTCGTTCACTTTCACTTGGACTGTTGGATCCCTGGCCTCTGGGGAACCGTGCCAGTCCGTGACAGTCCGTGACTCATAAGCCTGAGGCCGCCTCTTCCCCTCCTACCGGTCCTTCAACCAGTCATACCCGACATGTCTGCACCCCACGACCAGAACCGCCATCCCCGGCGGCGTCCACTTAAGGGCGGGGCCTCCCCTCTTAGCACCCATGCTATGCAGCTTCGCAAAAGCGGTACATTCTCGTCGCCAACCCACATATCATCCGATATCTGTGATCTGGATCGACACTTTCTGCCCAGGCGCTCGCCCACTAACACCGAGCGACTCGAACAGCTTGTCCAAGAGTCCATCCAGGATCCCAGTGTCCGCCGTGTGACCAACCTCCTCAACGACATCGAGGCCAAGATTGCCGGTCAAAAAGGCTCACCTACGTCCTCCAACATCCTTAGCGACCCTGAGGTCTTCCCTGTCCCGAGCTTGTTCCTAGACAACACCGTATTGGACCACACACCCATGGACATTGACTCCAAGCCATCGGCACACGACCACAGCCCCCACGACCACGCTTCTGATAGCGGTCTTGGTTCCAGCGTTAGCGGATCGAGATACGGTAAGAAGTCACTGCAGCCACCCATGCTAGACCAGGACGCTTTATTTTCTAACATACATAAAGACGACATCCGCTCCCGACGCTCCAGCGTTCGTGAATCTATCAGCACCTCAATCAGCTCAACCCACTCTGCAGTTACGCGCTCATTCTCCGCCTTGGGTGCGTCAGACGAAGGCCACACTCTCGGCGAGTACGCATGCAAGCAGATCCACGACAGCATTGTCAAGCCCATTCTCGCTGAGGAGTCCTTGAAGGACTTCCACGAACTTATTAAAGACGTCCCCCGACGCATAGGTGAGAAGAACATCCGCAACCTTCGCGATCTCGAGAAGACTCTCATCTTCTTGGCTCCGGTAAGTGATATTCGTTGTCTTTCTGGGAGTGCAAAAGCTTATTGCATTCTTCGCGGTTTAAAGGAGCTCTCGGCAACACCGGACAAATACTCCCGATTCTGTGAACGATCAATCCAGCTCTTGGCCACGACTGTCCAGTACCTTTCCGAACAAGACCAGCGACTGCCAACCGACCGCCCTTATACTGACGGCTACTTCCTCGACTTGATGGAACAGATTAGACGATACGCTTCAATTATGGCCGCCACCCGCGAAAAGGAATCCAAAGGCGAGGACCTGGACGACATGGACTACTCACGGTATGACCGCGCAGCCGCCTTTCTGTTTTCCCGCACTGACAAAGCCTTCCACAGCGATGAGAAGATCACGCTCCGTGGTGGCCTCAGCCACAACGGTCGTCCTGTTGAGCTCGTCCGGGAGAAGAACGGAAAAGTCATTTCCATTGATGAGGATGCCGCAAAGACTTTCAGGATCAAGCGTCGTCTGTCGGATGCCGACGTCGATGACGACATGGACGGCGACGAGGTTACCCGCTCCATGGCCCGACGACGCAAGTCTGAGAAACCAGGTGATGTCATTCATGCTTGCCGTGACTGCAGCAAGGAATTCAAACGCCCATGCGACCTGACCAAACACGAGAAGACCCATTCTCGTCCGTGGAAGTGCTCTGAGAAGAACTGCAAATACTTTGATCTTGGCTGGCCAACGGAGAAGGAACGCGACCGACACATGAACGATAAGCACTCTGCTGCCCCCGCACAATACAAGTGTCTCTACCCTCCATGCACATACGCCTCAAAGCGTGAATCCAACTGCAAGCAACACATGGAGAAGGCACACGGCTGGGAATACGTTCGCTCCAAGAGCAACGGTCGCAAAAAGGCTCCTTCCAGCAACAACCGTAGCCCCGCAACCCCTCTCACACCCTTCATTGGCACACCCATGTCTGCAGCCATGGCCACACCGGTGACACCATTTATTCCCTCGCCTCAAGTGCCCATGATGGACTTTGGCTTCGGAACACCGGCAATGAGCGCGAACGGTTACCAGGGTGACTTCCGTCGTGACTCTATTGCCACCGACGGTTCTCACTTTACTTATTCATCCGGACACTCACCCGTTGAACCCACATCGTTCAACGATGCAGTGGTGACTCCCGAGGATGTTGGTGTAAACCACAATGATGTGTACAACATGTGCAACCTCGACACAAACATTAACACTGGCTTCCAACAGCCAACGCCTATGAGCACTACGTTTGATTTTGAGCCACTGCAATTCACATCGAATAACCAAATGAACAACGGCTACCCCCAGCTTTCCCCAATGGCTCAGCCCGATGTGACACTCTTCTCACCACACATGGACGAAGGCTTTGGCGATATGGATATGAACCAATGTTTCAACCTTCCGGGCGAGGACTTTACTTTGTTCGATGCTTCACCACCCAGCACAATGGCATTCAACAACACAACGAACTTCTTCCCAGAGTTTAACCAGGTTGGGGGACAATTTGATGATTTTTGTCCAGAGCCCACCACTACGTTGGATGATCTTAACTACATGAATTTCATGAGCACGCAGTAAATCCTGCGCTACTTTGTATACGCTTATCACGCATTTGTGTAGCCATTTCTCCGCAAGTTGTTTGCCTTTGTACGTTGGAGCAGATTCATTCCCCCGAGCTGGCGTTTCTCATCGTTTTTGCAATTAGCGCTCATGATTATTTACGACAAAAGAGGTGGATCAGGATGGAAGTCCCATCGGACCTGGAATATAGGATTGTTTATCCCTCTCACTCCTGTTATTATCAACGCGTATTATCTTTTCCTCCTTTTTTTATCCCACTTCCTCACGGGAAAAAAAACTTCCAAAGAGAAAAAATCCTCACAAAAAAACAAATGATCTTTGTTTAAATGGCGAGCGGGTTTTTCCCTTCTTTGCGACTGATTTGGATCTCCCCCCTTCTTTCTCATCCCTTTTTTGCTTGTCCACCCTCATACGGAGTTTCAAGGCTGTGGTAGAGATCATCAGATAGTGTAGGATAGAAATACGAAATCAACAAACAAACAAACAAACAATATTCTCCCTCCCTCGCTCTTCCCTCTCCCCCACTTCTCTCTCTCTTTCTTTCTTTCTTTCGTCATTTGGTTCACGCTACCAATTGTGACTCTGAGGCTGAGTAAGGGTAGTACAAAATGCATGGTGCAAGTTACATGGCTGCATGTGTGCGTCAGCGCTAGTGACTTAGGTCGGTGTGATTGTGGTGGCGATGCATATGCAGCCCATCATGGAGAATGCTGATATCCACTATTGCACGTATACGTAAGTGGGTGCAGGTGTGTAGGGATAAGGGTGCGTAGCATGTGGAATTGTGCGTCACTGGTTGTTTGGGCAATGGGAGTCTGGAACGCTCAGGAAGGTTGATAAGAAAGTGTGGAGTAATGAGGCTTGTACGTCACTGACACTGGATTGCTGCGAGTGGGTGCGCTACATCTGCATGGGGCCAACGCGACATGTACGTATCCAAGTGTACCAAAAACATGCATATGAGACTAAACCTTTTGTAAGAAAACAAAAAAAGAGAGTCTCGAGATAGCATGTCATTCATAGATTCGTCTATTCATTCATTCAATCAACAGGCTCAGAAGGAATCCCCCACTCATTCTCCTCTTCCTGCTCTTCCTCCCCAACCCACCCCATTCCCCCCTCCACAACCTCAAACCGCTCCAAAAGCCCAACATCCCACCCCTGAAACTTCTTCGCTGTCGGTGGCAACAACCGCTGGCTCTGCCGTAACGCTTGATCCAACTCGTCGTATAAATCTTTGGAAAACTCTACGTCCTCTATACTCGCGCTCTCGGCGTCACCGGGTCGCAGCGGCTCCCAGGTTTGTCTTTTGTAGAAGATTTTCATGCAGCGTGTCGGATCGAAGCGGTTGGGGGTGGGGATGGAAGAGGAGAAAAGGAGGTCGGGGGTGAAGACCCATATGAGGATGGAAGGGGTAGGTGCTGCCTTGTTAGGTGAGGGAGGGGTAGGGGTGTGAATGTGGAATTTGCGGATTGCGGTGTTTTCGATGAGGGAGAGGAGACGGGCTGAGATCCATTTTTGGGGAGAGTTGAAGTAAGATGGGATGTTGGAAAGTTTGGAAGTTAGGGTTAAGCACCATTTGTGGATGCGCCAGCCGTTTGTGAGGGGATCTTGGATGCCCAGGGGTTGGGTGCAGTTTTTGCAGAGGATTGACTGCGGTCTTTCTTCTTCTTTGTTCTCTTCGACAGATAGCTATAAAGTGTTAGTACTACACAGAGAAGAAAAAGGATATCAACGTGTACGAAGAAAGGGCATGTAGCCTTGGCTAAACCTGTCAATCCCAATGGCCAAAGGGTATAGAGACAGTGAAACGCCAGGCCGCTGTCTTTACGGAGCCGGCAACCCATCAACCTCAAGAGGAGAGGGTACATCCAGAACCGGAAGACTGTGTATGAGCCTGTTGCTCTGGGGCGCTTGTATCAACGATAGTGCCACGGAAAAAGGCTATATCGCCTTCTTTGCGCCCCGACGCGCGTCCAGTGAAATAACAACATACGAGCGCGCGAACAAAGAAAAGCGGGAGAGAGCTATGGGCTTACCTGCGCGCCCTCACAATCAGAATCTGCAAGGAGGAAGCTTGCCAGATCCACAAAGCCTACCCCTTCCTTGGCCTGCAGACGGTTGGCAGCCGCGTAGCCCTTCTGTCCAATCGCATGTTCATGCGTGTGATTGTGCAAATGATGCTCATCCGGTTTATGGCAGTGCCAGAAATCCATCATCTCAGCCCAATTCTCATTAGGCAAATCTTTCCACTGCTGAACCTTTCCCTTTGGCATAACAACGCCCTCACACCTCTTGCATAGTATCTCTGCATCCTCTGCGCCGTTCAACGAGGCACCATCCCAAGGCACAATGTTAGCCTGTCGGTCTTGGCGTTGCAGAGCACCCAAAAGATCACTTCCTTCCTTCTCTTCCATTTGCAGACGTAGCGTCAGTTCCTTGCTTGGAGGACGCGATGGTAATTCGAGTGCGGCATCTCCAGCACCCTTGACGTTGATCGGCAGACGTATTGTTGCTGACTCTCCCTCATGCGACACGGTGATGTAGGAGCCATCGGCGGACAGCTTCGCGTCTGTCTGCCGCGAGTGATTTGTGCGCAGCGACGCAAAGAGCGTTACTGTACGGATATGCAGCAAGAGCTCGGCGTACAGCGTTATCGACGTTTCGTTGGGCAACATGGGGCGCGCATTATCCTCGTCGCTCTGTAGCAGATTCGGGGCGTGAACCTTGGTGGGCTCTGGCGCAGGCTTGGGATTCATCAGGTCTTTGAGCGCTTCAGGAGACAGACCGAGCGCTTCGTATGCTGACTCGGGAAGTAGCGGGCGCGACATACTTCGTGATTGCGCTCCATGGTGGCGGGGATGGATGTGGGGTTGCTAGTAAGTCAATGAGCTTGCGCGCGACAAAGTTGACTTAACCAAGACAAGAGTGGGTCCGCCTGGGAGATTCTAACTACATCCAGCCTTCCTGATGCATCTCGCCCGGAGCCATACGGCGCAATTATATGTATTATGTACTACTTCTGCGGCATGCAATAATGCTATCAACTGTGACATGAAATTAAATTTACTCAACCATGTTGTTCGTGACTTCTTTCAGCGTATTCAACCCGCATCTACTGCCCCTTCTTCTCCTCTGCTTTCTTTTCCTGCTCCAAAATGTATTGCACACCCCTCTTGATACCCTCGTCAAGATCAACAAGCGGCTCATATCCCAGTCGCTGCTTTGCTTTGTTGATGCTGTGGTATTTAGACATGCTACTGTACTTTACTTGAGCCCGGGTCAGGTTTGGTTTCTTGCCCATGAGCCAGAACACATTCTCCAAGACCGCGCCAACGGCCCATGCAAAATCAGCGCTAAGATGCCAGACGCTGCTCAAGGGCACACGGTCACCTGCCTCATGCCAGACTTTGCGTGCAAAGTCCCAGAAGTAAACAGGCTGGCCATTGGTGATGAAGAAGGCTTCACCATCCACACGCTCTGTGTCCAGAGGGATGGTGGGCAGAACTTTGTGGGTATGAAGGAGAGCTAGAACAGCGAGGACGTGACCATGGGCAACATTCTCAACATATGTAAAGTCGAACAAGTTTGTGTTGTCGCCGACCTGGAACTTGGTTTGTCCTTTGCGGTATGCGGCGACCATCTTGGGAAGCAATTGAACATCACCTTCGCCGAAGATGCCTGCAGGACGGATAGCGCAGGTCAGGAAGTTTTCGGGGTTGCGGTTCGCTTGTAGGACGGCGGTCTCTGCATAGGCCTACATGCACGGGTTAGCAATGACAAGTAAACAAAGAATGTCCGCTTACTTTGGTAGTTGTGTAGTATTCGGGCTGGTCAGCACCAGTGACAAGAGGCCACCTTTCGTCCGCATTGATGAGCTCTGTCTGGGGGTCGAGAATCACGCTTGCTGAACTTGTGTAGACAAAGGCCTTGACTCCAGCTTCTTGCGCCGCTTGCAGCAAGACCTTCGTTCCTCCAACATTGACCTTGTCGTGGATTTCAGGGTTCAGGTCGAAGTGTGGAGAGGCTGTGTGAATGACTGCGTGGGGCTTAACCTGGGAAAACAGAGCCTTCATTGCGGCAGCGTCAGTAATGTCGCCATCGTGGTAGGAGACAGTCGGGCTGGCATGGCGATTTGAGCTGGTCCGCAAATCAAGGACTGCAATCTGTGTTTGTGGGTGACGCTTTACAATGAAGCTGACAATGTGACTGCCTAGGAAGCCGCACCCGCCGACGACGAGGACCTTTCCGAGAGACTGTATTTCTTCCGCACGCGACATTGTGGACGATGTGTGGTAATGGCGAAAGAGACGGTACGGGGATTAAGGTTTGTTTGCGGAGAGAGGTCGGGGATCTATTTCCGCCCAGGGGTATTGCATGGATTGGCAGTCCCCGCATGTTGCTCAGGGTCCGGACGGTCTTATTAGTCCGGCCCTGCTCTACACATGGACGAGTCTTTCAGCATTACATCATTTTTTTAATCATGCTCTCGTGAGTGCACTACGAGAAGAGAAATTCACCATGTTTGAAAGTATGAGGTAAAATTTTGCACGCATAGACTTGGTCCGCATCATCTGGCTTTTGTTCAATGCCTGTAACCCATGTAGATGCATATACGCGCACATGTGCGCCCATGCAAGAACTCGATGTATTCATGATAAATTGTACCACCATTGGTTAACTAACGCCATATTTCGAGGTGGTCATCTTTCATACTACGATGCCTAGTAGAGCCCACAAACGCCGTATAATGCAAGCCTGGATCAGACTTGGGGTATCATGTAAGATCATAACTGATGCGGTCGGCCGTTAAATCGTCATCCGCATAACCCTCTTTTTTACTTAGAAGAAATTTCTGTCTTGATCAGTACATGACTAAGAAAGGATGATTAGCAGACCTACTCAGCGCTGTCTTGCGCGGACCGCCTCAAGCGACGGTTGTAGAGCTTCTTATCTTCTGGACTTCCCCAGAAAAGCTTTGCAGCCTCGGGATTCACCAACGTGCGTGGGTCGTACGCAGGCGATTCCTCCTCGATAGCTGCAATGATGGCCTCAATGTGGGATCGCATATCGTCTTTACGAGCAGCGTCATAGCAGAGAATACCGTCGGGGGACACGCGATGGTGGTATAGAATTGGTGTCTCGAACCGGACTCGAGGTAGGACATCTGGGAACTTGGGGCTGATGTACAGCCTAATCCTGAACATGCCCCCGTCTAGGTTCGTCATTGGTCGGCCAAAGAGAACCAGCTGCCATACAAATGGATTCTTGTCGACCAAGTCGAGGTCCAATGCGATTGCGTCTTGCTTCTTGTATTTCTCGACAATCTGTTCGTATTGCCGCTGAAGGTTGTTGGCAATGCTCATCTCTTTCTTAACGGCCGACATGCCTTCCAAGGCCCAAGATTCCATTTCCTTGTTGAGCGTCTCGAAAATCTTGACAAGACGCTCCCGGAGAGACGTGTATTGGAAAACACCCTCCATGGTATTTCCGGGGCCTTCAAATGGCATCTTCTCAAAGCGATCTCCATCTTTGTTCTGCTTGACAGCTTCATCTACCCGAGTGAGATAGGACTGATAATACCACAGAAAACGTCGCTTGCAGAGATCCTTGAAAGGTTCGAACGGCGCATCGTCTCTGTTGGATTGATAGTCTTCTTCAGCATTGTAGATTGTCACACCAGGCCTCTGTCGGTTGATGCCTAGATATTCCTCAAGCCGTTCAATAACAGATATGCGGAGAGACTCATGTCGAATCTTGTCCACGTATGCTTCTTGGTTCTTCTTGTCGTAGTCGGAGTTCGCGTCTTCAAAACCGGGCTCGTTCTCGTACGGGTTGCCAGACATGAGGCTCTGGATGGAGATCAGGATTGACTCAAGGCCCTGTGCAGATGACCACTCTTCGCCACGCTCGCCTCGCCATGTGCTGGATCATGTAAGTTTTGGAATAGGTAGAGAACGTGTTTATGCTGACCCAAGAATTGACAGGCACACCTTTCCGCCTGCGTAGATGTTAGGATTGAAGCGCGTGCGCCCGCCATTTGTAGTTATAGCTGTTACGCTTGGCGCTTTGGTTGGGTAGTCTCGAGTGAACTTGACAGCAAATTCGAAGAAGCCAAACTCGTATGGGGTATCAGGCGGGCCTATGATCAGTGCCCGCACATGGCGCACATCGATGTCGCGACAGGCGACAGCTATTGAGAGGTCGGATCCGCGCTGGATCTCGCCCAGTTCGCGGGTGATTCTGAGAATACACTGATTCGACATGGTCCTGTGGTGACGTCTCTGCTAGGGTCTCGTACGTGAGTAAGTTGTGCGGGCTGGAGGCGCGGGGTTGGTGGGCTTAGTGACGGCCTAGAGGAGACAGCTGATCGAACGGTCTGGAAGTCGTTATTGGGCAAAGTAACTGACAGCCGACAAGCAGTCGTTCAGGCACCTCTAGGCTACCGTATCGGCAGTCAAGTGCGCAAATACCGCAAGATTCAACAGCCTTGTGGGTTCGTTTGCTTGATTTCGCGACGCCGTTGGAGTTGTGGTTCAGAGGAAAGTGAGGAGAGAACAAACCACTATGTGGGCGACCTTGTATTCCTAGCCAACAGCAGTAAAAGAACTTGCAGGAAGGCCGTAGATCGTTACGGTGTCGAGGCAGGCATGGGTAACGAAGCCCTAGTAGCTCGGGTTGCAGGGAGATGCATGCGGAGGGGCAGAATCCGTCACCGCTCACGGAACCCAAGCCGCAACACCACGCTCTAATTGTCGCGATAACCAGCAGATAAGGCTGCGTCTGCAACATGTATGCCTCAGGCCTTGTATCATAGCGTTCCAGCTAACAGTAACAGGGTTGTCTTTGCACTCTTCATAGTAAGCAAGTCGGGTGGCCTCATCTATAACCGCGAGTTTCACACGGGCATGAACAAGCTCACCAGCAATGACTACCTTATGCTCGCTGGATCCTTCCATGGGTTAGGCCTATTACAAGCGCAATTATGGCTCTGCTGATCCCGCTCCAGCATGCACGCTATAACAGCCCAACTCTCTCCTGTTCCACCCGCTCGCGCGCCCCCTGCCTCAACCACCACCCCAAACCTGCAAACCTTCCCTGTCCGTGCTACCGGTATCGAGGTACTCGAGAGCTCCCACTTCCGCATCCAATGCTTCCAAACACAAACCGGAGTAAAGTTTTTACTCTTCACCGAGCCGCAACAGCCAAACGTGGATACAATGATAAAGAAGATATATGAATTGTATGCCGACTACGTAATGAAGAATCCGTTCTACACTGTGGAAATGCCCATCCGGTGCGACAAGTTTGATCGAGGGTTGGATGGATTTGTGAAGGTGAGAGGGTGAGGGCAGCACAGTCTCTAAGAAGGATATGACGATCGCGGAACGAGGGGTTGGTTATGGCATGTGGTCGCAATTGATATACATGGCCATATGGGAAACGCCCAGCTCGAACGCCCATGTTGCATGCATAGTGTGCATCAAGGAGCGCGGCGATTGAAGAAAGGCTGTTGAGCTTGAGAGCAGCATCTTCGAAGACAGACGACTCTCAATGGTTCCTACAGTTGCGACAGACGTCGACGTCATTGAAGCGTCGTTTGGATAGGGATAGCCGGGCTCGAAGGACACGAGTCATCAATAGACAAGACACACGATCATGCCAGGTTAAGCAGACTAGCAAAGTCATTATTTGTTTCATTCATCCATCTGTGTCAGATGTGGTAGACACTAGCTCTAGTCATACAGTAGACGCCGTAGATGCTCTGCCCGGTATAAAGGCTCTATACGGAAGCTGTGCTAAACACACCTTGACGCCGTGCCACGCTTACTCTGGTTCATGCTGTGTCCATCTTGTCTTGGTCATCGTCTTTTTTGTTCTTGTTTCCACTTCCACTAGGCTGGCCCTGATCATCTAGCAATGGTTGCTTCTCATCGCCCTCAGCAACTGGCTCTAGCTCCGACTTGCCCTCCGCAGCCTCCTTTGCCTTCTTATCCTTCTCTTGTCGTGCCTTCTCTTCTTCGAAAGACATTCTGAGCGCAAGTGCAAGTTCCGGATCGACCGAAGGATCTACTCCGAACTCGAAGTCGTTGCCACCCGACGCGCCGCCGCCACCACCTCCAGAACCGCCCTCACCCCCAGCGTTGGACGCTCCCTCTCCGCCGACAATGGGTGTGGTAATCAAAGAATCGCTCAGTAAGTTTGCGCTGGGTGGGATGGTGGCTAGGTAGGAGCCTTCGGCGCTCTGCACGTTGTCGCTGAAGGCCTGTAGTTTCCGCGTAGTGTCGTCACTGAGTTCGCCGAATGCGATGATATCAATGCTGATACCGCTCTTCTTCATCTTCTTCGCCAACTTCACCAGGTTCTTCTCCTCTTCCTCGATAGGACTGCAGTTGAATATGACTATTCTCTGCTTCTGTGACTTGTTCTGCCTATGCTTGAGAGCCAGCTGCGCGCCCTAGTCAGAAGTGATCTCTTCCAATGTTACAGGGAAACTTACCGCCGCCACGTTGATTCCCGTGACGAAATGTGAGCTACCCTTTATCTTTGTCCTGTGCAGTCCATCAAGCACCTTGCCAATGTCCGTTGTCAGAGTCGTGAGGATCTCTGGAGTGTTGCCTCCCATGCTCATCAAGCCCACAGAAGACTCTGGGTTTGCTCCAGTCTTCGCGGAGAAGATCATGTTGACAGCATCCTGTTGCGCTTCCCATCGCGAGGGTACATAATCGCCGTTTCGACTAGCTTCGCTGTTGTCAACACTGCGAAGGTTAGTAAGGAAAAGCAGGTGTGGGGTTTGGAGGCAAACGTACACTATCATGGAGGCTTCTAACACCATCTTGAATGTGATTTGTCTTAGGTGTCGAAGTGATAGTTTGGGGTAGTTGATTAGATCGACGGTACTGGTATGCTGCTGAGCTTAGGTCGCTGCAGCGGAGACCGGAGGCTGACAAGCAAACCCCCGACGTCACGTGGAAATGAGAGACAGCGGGAGACCGTGCGCAGCTATACCAGAAGAAATGACTCGTATTCCAATACAAGTAATCGAAACCTTACTCGTGTGTTTTGAGATATCGCGAATTGCGCGCCCTACTGTGCAGCGCTGTATTGCGGTCATTTTGTTGGAAGTGACTCATTCAGTGCTTGCTGAAGCATCAATATTGTAATTATTACTCTACATTATGTGCAGCCTGGAGGTGGTCGGCAACCTTGGCGTAGGTATAAGTACAAAAGCCTCGCCAACTGTCCATCCTTCCTTCCTCCACCATCCCACACGAGACAGAAACCGCAACCAACACCACCCACAACCGCAACAGAAGTCCCCCAAAACTCTCTCAGCTGTTGCAAAAAGTACCGGATAGACTCGTAGGGTTTTTTGTCACCTTCTATCTACTCTCCCATTATCACCGTCGCGGCCTAGTACGCGTTGTTTACTCTCTGGACACAGCACCTGAAGGACACAGCCTCAATCGCAGCGACGACACCAAAGCTTCTTAGGATTACCCAAGGATCTCTTCGAGACTCTAAGGGATTTTCTGAAAACTTCTCTTCATACCCGGTACCGCCATCAACCTGGTGGCTGTTCACGCGTCACTTCCACCATCATGAACAACATCACCAGCGGGCTTACAGCTGAGGCCAAGGGCAATATGCTTGCAAACCTCCAAATCGAACTCAACTCGCGCATTGAGAAGCTACGAGCTCAGTGCGAGGCTCAGTGCGCCAGTATGCAGTCGCGCCTCGAGCGACGCGTCAACCGCATCCCGGTCGTGACGCGCCAAACCACACTCGCCAACCTCCTCAAGGCATCAGCACCAGTACGACTTATTACCGCGCCTGCCCCACCAACCAAGGTCACAGATACAACCGCCATCACAACAACGACTACCACTACTGCCGCCACCAAGAAGACAGTTGGTACTGGTACTGCTGGCCGCAAACCTCGCAATGCTGTACCCAGCGCGCCTTCTTCGCGACCCGCATCCTCTCCAGAAGTGCGCATTAAGTCCACTTCCACAAACAAGACTATCAATACCAAAGCTGTCCCCACATATGCCAAAGCAACAAAGACGGCCCGAGCAAAGAAGCGCAGCAGCGACGAGCTGTCTGGCGAGGACAAGGAAAACTCTGAATTGCCTGTGCCCAAGAAGCGCACTAGAAATGTTGCTCCCAAGGCCGCAACTGAGAAGGTTGAGAAGGCCGAGAAGACGACGACCACTGGCACCACACGTTCGACTCGGGCTGGATCTCGCACCAAGCCTGCGGGCGGCCATGTGCTCTCTCCCAAGACCAATGCAGCCAACGTGCGCAAGCCTGCTCCTGCTGCACGTAGCGTCCGCCCCCGGTAGCGCCCTTAGATGGATATGGTTACGCAGCATTGGTTATTTTGGCGTTTGATGATGATACCCCTCTCGTTTTCGGCATCTGGGCGGCGCTTTTCAAAGTTTTTGATTGTTTTTTGTTTTGTTTTTCCGGAATTTACTGGATTTCTGGATTTCTGAATATCCGGATCTTTTTTACTTCTACTTTCACATCATGCCGACCGAGTTCGGCAGTTTATTTCTCTTGGCCATTGGCTTGAATGAAGGAGTCTTCCCCCGTTCGAGTTCCAGCCGCCCGCAAGGGAAGGCTCTTACAGGGGGGATTTCCGGAACACAGCCGGGTTGGAGGAGATATATCTTGCTGGGACTCGGAGGAATGTAGGGTTTGCGCTTCGCATTGTGTATTAGTTTTGTTGTTTTTGTTTTTGTTTGACTGTTCAATTTTACATAGCAACGAAGGCTTTTCTCACGTAGCGCAAGAGAGAGACATGAATCATGATATCACATTTTCATTTTTCGTCATAGCAATAATCGTGGTGTTTGATGAGCCTAATCCAGAGGCTGCAAAAGACAATAGGTATACAACGATGATAACAAAAGGGTAACTTTGCAACTCCTCCCAGACGCGACTTTTTCCTTCAGTCCCATTCCATAATAGCTTCCTCGACAAGCGGCTTGATGACCTTCCTGCCCGCATCCGATCTATGCTGCCAAACCATCTGCCTAGGCGCCAACTCATCCGCCCTATGCCACGGCTGGAAATCAATGCCTTCTTTGTTATTCTCAATCGCGTCCTTGACAAGCTTGAAGAGCGAATCCGCTTGATCTTGATCAATGCGTACGTCGTCGCGGACAACGAGCACGATTTCCCTGATCTTCTCTTTGCTGCCGTCCTTGTAGTGCTTCTTGTACTTGTTGATTGAGACGGAGACGTCGACGTTGGCTTGGGCGGTCCAGGCAGCGTGGATGGCGAACCAGTCTGTGCAATATTGTTAGCTTGAGACTTTTGGGAGGTGAAAGAAGGAAGGACAATTGAAACATACCAAATAGCTCCTGAAACTCCGTCTTGAGGATCTGTTCGTCCATTGAGTAAGGGATGGATGCGAAGCCGACGCTTATGGCAGGGGTGCGTGGAGAAGGCGTGTCGATTGCGTCGGACTTCCAGTCGCGGCGGAGGAGGTCGTATAGGCCGAGATTGTCAATGTCCTTTTGGGCCTTGGTGAGCTCGTCGTCGAGGTCCTCCATGACGTCTTTGAGGTCGTCGTTTCTCCAATTGCTGCGTGCGAGGATGCGCTTGGAAGTCTCAATGTCGGCTTTGGTGGTCTTGTCGCCTGTGAGGCCGCCAGAGTCAATGGCAATGGCGCTGAGAATGAGCTCGAGGAGCTCGTGCGGCATGTGGTATTCTTCGTCAAGCTTCTCCAATTCGTCGAGCATTTGACGGGCGACGAGGGTTGTGCAGCTCGCTGCCGTCTCAAAGACACGGGGATCAGCGTCTGGCGCGGTGCCATGGTCTTTGTGATGATCGAAAATACTCAGAATCTTGGCGGTTGACCATTTCTTAAGGGGTTCGGAATGGTCGACGAGGACAATGCCCTTGAGCTTGGTGCTCAATGTCTCTGGATCTTCGGGCAGTTCGTCCAGTGTCAGTAGGTCCTCGTGGCCAGGCGTCATTTGCGAATTGTCCAGAGCCAGCTTGTTCTCAGGCCTCAGATCAAGGGCATGGGATGGTGTCTGCAGCAGGGCAATGGCCTTGAGGGGGTTGGAGGTGTTCATGGTAGCATGCTCGAGATGGTATGCCCAAGTAAGAGCTGCAGTCATCGAGTCCATATCACCCCCCTCATTGCCTTGGACCAAAATCCACTCCGACTCTTTTCCAGCTTGCCAATCGACCAAAAACTCCTTCTTGGTCTGGCGACTCCATTCGCTGAAGTGGCCGACTCCTATGGGCTTGGCGGATGGCTTGTCCAACGCGTCAAGGACTACCTGCTGAGGTGCCGCAGCAACATGGCTGACAGCCATGAGGCCCGGCAAGAGGACGCGAATAGGTTTCATGGTGGAGCGAGGTGGGATGTGATGGCGATAGGTAGGAAGAGAGGACCTGAGTACTATAAATGTTGAGTGGGCGCAAAGGCGGCCCTGTTTTAGGCATAGATGGGGACAGCAGGCGTGGGACAGTTGCGTCACAGCATTGGCCAAAGCGTGACGGGCCAAGGTAGAGACGCGTCTCAGCCCTATAGCAAGCTTGCCGCATGTAGTAAAAACACGCCTCGCCGGTGGTTTTCTGGCGAGGTGTTGGGCTTTGACGGAAAGCATCAAGCGACAACATAAGTACAGAGGTACTGTGGATTACACATTAGCGGATTTGTCGTAATACTACACCACACAATCCGGGCACATGACTGCGGTGACAATGACCATGCTGTGCGTCGCGTCTTCGGCTGCCGTAGCTTGTACTTATGCTGTCAAGGCTAGACTAGAGCCCATGAAGGATGCGGAACGCTGGCACGCTAGCACATGGCCAGGGCGACGGCTCGTTTATGTTTTGGTGGCACATCACGTTACAGCGCGTGTTTGTATGCACATGAGATCAGTCGCATATATGTAATTAAGCAACAATATATAGTATGTATATGCATGTGGTAGCTGGCGGCACCGTGCAAAAACGATATTTGCACACCCCGCACGGCCAGCGTGTTTATGACGCAAAATTTCCGGCTGCTGTTTGGTCCGGGCGCCGGCCGTCGCGGAGTGGCTGTGGCGAGCCCTTCCCGTATACGCTGCCGCCCGTCCTCCAGCCACACCACTACAAAGACTACATCCATGCCAACTCCCTCAAAAACCTTTGTCCACACCCTTCCCAAGACGCCTTGCATCCACATATGTACATATGCTGCTCTTCCCCTTCCTAGCGTCGCTCTAGCCCGCTCGCTGCCCAGGGTCCACGCGCTGTCTGCTTACTGAACCATCAACTAAGCTCTTGCCGGTTGCGACCGGACAGACGCACGCTTAGCAAGCACTGGATCAACCATCTGCCTTTCTACTTCCCTAGCCCGGCTGCTCTGTTGCCCACGCTTTTTTTTCTGGGGGAACGCCCGTCGTGATTACTGCAACCATGGAACCCAGGCAAGACGATCAAAGCCCCCCACAGGCATCGCCCACCACTTCGACTACTACCACCACTACCACCTATGGCCCCCATACTACTACTGTCTCAACCACTCACACCACTCCGGGACAGGGGACTACGCTACACCACTCTCCAGAGGGTTCAACTACCATCACTCACCCTACTGTTACCACCACCACCCACATACCTGCGCCCCAACCTTCTGCCTCATCACAGCGCGTGCACCAAGCGCCATCGTATCCCCTAAGACTACGCAGTTCCTCCATCCGCGCCCAGAGATCTTCACTCCCACCTGCAAATACTTCACAGACTATCCAAGAGGCCGATGCAGCGCCCGCTCCTTCCTCACATCAAGCTCTAGCTGTCGACAATGCATGGCAAGGTGGTCGTAGACGAAGCAGTTCCGAGCCGCGCCCGCCTCCACAAGCCATGTTCAACGACGATGCCCTGCGGCCTCAACTGACAGGAACGACACATTTACAGCCATTGTACGAACATGATTCACAAGCTACAACCCCTTTTTCTGGCAATGGTCCTCCGCCGGCTCAAGGTACTAGCAACCCGCGAAAAGGCCTTACTCGGACGTCTTCAGCCTTTCATATGCGCCGCAGCGAGAAGACTCCCCGTCAAAACATGATGGGTGATAATGTCGTTGATGTACTCGATGTCATTGGTTAGTCCTCTCTCTCAGCAGTTCACTATCGTAGGCTAATGCAATTCCCAGACCCCGAAATATCTACCCTGACGACACTAAACAATGTTCAAAACTCGCTGTTTATACCCAATCTGCCCTGGCTCTACAATCGCCAGCCTACATACGATCTGGTTCAGACTGAGTCCGAGTCATCGGACGAAGAAATGGGCACGGCCAGGGGGGCAAGAACCGCAGAAACGACACGAACAGGCGAAGCAGGACGACCAACGAGTGATGCACGTGGTGATGATGGTGAGTTGCTTCGCCGAAACTCAATCGACTCAGTTCTGTCCACTATGGAGGAAGGCCCCGGTCACCACTATGCCGTGCTCCCTCACGGTGCTTCCTTGACAGGATGGACAGACGAGGAGAAGGCAGCTCTCGATGACCATGTGCGCCACCTCCTCCACTCGCGACGCGCAAAGTTTAAGCGGACCATGAAGGGTTTCGGACGCTACGTCCGCAACCCGCTCGGCTTTATTGTCACCTTGTACTTCTTCCTTATTACCTTTTGGGGAGCAGCATGGGTTCTGTTTCTTATCGGTTGGATCTATGTCGGCCACCGACAAGATTATTTTGTTGAAATCGCCGACCAGATTCTTACCGCTCTATTCTGTGTGGTTGGAATCACCATGTTTCCCTTCCGCCTTGTCGACACTTACCACATGGCTTTTGTCGCCTACTACGCGCACAAAACCTGGAGGATTCGCAAAGAGAGGGGCCTAAAGGAACTCAAAGATCACAACGAGCTGCCAGCTATGCCACCAGCTTCTGCCTGGGAAACTGGAGAAGCGATGCAGGAAGATGTGGAGACACCTGTGTTGACTGCGGAGGAGCAAAAGAAACTGGAACATCACCAGGGCAAGTTGGCCAAATCGCATACGTTCTATCGGCCTCACGAGACATACACGCACCATGCCTTTTCCATTCGCCTGCTCATCACCATTATCGTCCTTCTCGATTTCCACTCCATGTTCCAATGTGCCCTTGGTGGCACTACATGGGGTATCTACTACAAGAATCGGCCCAAAGAAGTCACCGCTATCATCCTCAGCTGCAGTCTTACATGCAATATTACTGCTGGCATCCTCATTGGCCGAGGCGACCGGCGCAGCCGCAAGACACTAGTCGTAGAGCAGATGCTCCGCCAAGAAATGACAGAGGAAGCACTCAAGAAGTTAAGGAAGGAACGCGGTATCAAGGCAAAGGGACTTATGAACAAAACGGAGAAGAAGCAGATGAATAAGAAGTTGGGTCAGAAGACCAAGAATCCATTGGACACTATTTTGCATCGCGGTTAAACTACTAGCGTTGTTGTTTACGTTTCTTCAAATAGTATAGAAAAGTTTTGTGAGAAGCCATATTCTCGTTGTATTGGATTTAATGACATATACCCTTTCTGGCGGTCTCGGTTGCCATTTCTCTTCACATGTAATACCATATTTGTTCATTCAGCATTACTCAGTCTGACCGCATCGAGCTATACTTTGTTCTCCATTTCCGAATCTGATCACTCCTCTTTTTTTTCCACCTCCCTACATCGCTTTTCTTTCTCTCTTAAAACCCTTGCTTCCCCAAAAGAGGTAAAGAGCGAGTTTCCTCAATCGTCTTCGTATCTCCCACTTGGCCCACCTTCCCTTTTCGACAACTGGAAACTTACGAGTAATGGCATGTCCCCTTCCGTAACCCAACCCCCATGTCTGACTCGCCTATACGTGGATCCCCTAACCTAGAACAACTTTATCCCCTGTTCTCATCCCTCTGTTCCCGAAACCTAAAGCAAGAAAAGATTGAGGCAACGAAAAAAAAAGAGTTTAGACACGTGGTGGGGCTGAACACCTCTTTAAACTTTACGAAGGAAAAAAAATCTAAGAACTAAAATCTATTAGTGTGGAATTAGGCAAACGCCACAAACGTATAGTTATGTACCAAGTTAAACTAGAATCCGCGAAAGTTGAGAAATTTCATTGCGTATGAACTATGTGCGTAAAATATTCCTCAACTGTGGAATCCCATAACTCCACCTCGTTAGTCTTTTCCAGCCCATCCAGGAAATCAGCAACCGCTACAATATCTTCATCAACAGACATACTAACTACGTCTTGCAAATTATCCAGCGGAATATCACACGGTATACCGTCGATGATGTCCTACGCGCTGGCAAGATGGACGGGCACCTGTGAACGTCCAAAAGGCCTGGGCACAGTGCGCATCTTGCACGAGTAGAAGAAGCGTCTTCTTTTTTACCACCTGCACGAGGCAACGACTTTAGCATAGGTCTCTTTTGTGGAACATTCATGTAGATATGTATTATATCGAACACCAATGCTAGTGTCGAATTACTATCCACGAACGTGTCAAGGTTGTCTTACTTGTATGCGAAGAAGATCAGCGCAAAGTGCCTCTCTTTCTTTTTGCTTTAGTTTCAGTCTGATAGTGTACATTCTCAATGTCCATGTCTTGGTGTGTGTATGTGTTTCTAGTCGATTAATCATGCCGAATTGAATGTGTATAAGCCACGATTATATACAAGCCGGGGATATAAAAAAACTTTATTACTCAACCGCTTTAACTTGGGCGAAAAAAAATATAACAAAGATTAATTTCTGTACGGACTGGAATAGATGGGAGGTTAAGAGAATTAAAAAAACAACCCCCCCCCCCCCTTTATTATTGCTTGGGAAAAAAGCGTAAGGTAGTCTAGTCGACCGAGAGAGAGAGAGAGAGGTTCCTCGAAAAAAAAATATGGGATATTTTGTTTCGAATATTAGCTCCAGACTCATCTTGCGGTAGGCCCGGTGTGGAACTTCTCCAACTAAACCTTGCATTCTATAAGAATCTAGAGTTTCAAACAATGCCAATCCTTTCAAATGGGCCCCTTGCTTTAACCACAAGTAACTTACAAGGAGGGACAGTATAAAGAAGGGATACCGTAAACTTGATCTTTCTTACTACTACTACTACTACTACTGTGACTAAACCGCATATGATACATTTTTCTTTCCTCCCCGATACACTAGAGTGATATCAAAAGAAAAGTACTACTAGGATCAGTAACAAAGAAGAATTTCTCTCATCAACGCTAGATAGAGATATCAAGGAGGTATAGTTAGAAGACCATCGCCTGTAGAAATCTGCGCGAAACTCTTTGCGAGAGAATCTCACCATCTCAGGGGCGCCAATCTAAGCGCTGATTTCCAGCATAGATCGCTAACCTTGACCTTGGTTAAAAAAAGGTCCTAGCTACTATAGAAGGACAGTGAACACCATACATAATAAACAATCACCATGGAACCTTGTTACAAACAATATGGACCTTAGTTGTTCACAGGCTATGGTAAATACAGAGCATCCGTCCCTTTTCGGTGATATACTAGAAGTACAAGTCAAGAGATGCCTTTTTGAGTTTTCTCATCTTTTTAATCCACCCTGGAAATATATGGCGTATAAATTTTGTCCAGCTTGCCGGGTAATTACTCTCTCCTGCAAATAGATGATGCCCTACGCTCACATAGTAAAAATAAAAGTACCCTCCTCTTCGCCTCGGGAGACCATAAAAAAAGGCCGCAAAGGCCATGCTACGAGAATTTTTTCCATACTGAAAAAGGCCGTAAAGCACATTCGAAAGTAATCAACGCCACGCTCAGGGGGTTCAGTTGGCCTAAAGTCAATCAAGGCGTGTACACATGTCGATATAACACTGGAAAGTACACCCGCCTCGAACCCCTCGATGAGAAAGAGCAAAAAAAAAAGGTTAAGAGGAACATCCCGTAAATGTGGCATGACTGGATCCGGCGCTATATCGATAACGATTGCGCAAGTTTTTGTCCGTCTGCAAACTGTGTAGGATAGTGCCAAAGACAAGCTGTTGAGCAGAAGCGCTCAGCCTGACTGAGTTGGAAGAGAAATATGGTTTTAGCGGTGTGAATGTTCGTATGGGCGCATCCCACCAAACTCGATGCCCTGCATCGCATTCGCATGCGGTGGCACCCACGAAGCTGGCGGTTGTTGTTGTTGTTGTTGTTGTTGTTGTTGCTGTTGCTGTTGCTGAAGTGGTGGGAGCACGGTAGTGGCAGAACCAGGCGTTGTGGGATGCCCTTGAGCGAGATGACCAGTCATGCTTCCGTAGACGTGTGCATTGTTGGGGTCAACACGACGAAGAGCATTCCATACGGCTGTCAATTCGGAGCGAAGTAACTCGTTCTCTTCTTGGGCCCGTCGACAATATTCAGCGTCAGGTCGTAAGCGACCAATCTCTTCGCGAGCAGTCTGATGTGCTCTGGTGAGATTTCGTATGTACTCGATGGCTTGTAATTTGTTAGGAAGATACATGGGAGAGGCCGTAGCAAAGCTTACCTTTAGTAAGTATCTCCCACTTGCTTGATTTGCTGCCTGGCGAGTTGGGCAAGATGTTGTTTAGGTCATCAAACAAAGTCTTCATCTCGCTTCTGCGTTTTCTCTCAGCCATTTTGTGGCTCACGCGAAGCTCGGGTGTCCGACTATAGCTTCCGCCACCAGGAGTCAAAGGATTGCTGGGATCTATGCTCTGAAGATTCGTAACGCTACGATGTTGCATAGAATGATGGTGGGTACTTGGAATGTCTACATCAGTCAGTAATGTCACACGAGACAGACTGGGATACATGCCGTCATCTAGACGCTGTTGGCCTTGCGGTAATCTTGAGTCAGTAGCGTATATACTACTATTGATTGAAGTTGCAATACTGTTTTGACGCGAAGGCACATTTGAGCGGTCAATGCTAGACTCACCACTACTGGATGCTCTTTTGTCCTCATGCTCAAAATCATCTGCCGGAAAGGCCCAAGCATATCCCTTAGTCGGTGCCGAGGCGGTAGGATTAGGGGCTCCAGATACACTCTTGGGGTTTGGAGTAATGACGGGAGCGCGCCGTGGAGGGTGGTTGGCACGTGGACCATGGCGATTAGGCGACAGAGGGGAAGTGCCATTGGGGCGCGACTCGGGGTTTGCAATGCCTCGTTGCTGCTGCAGATTCGAGACGAGGGACACCCGGGATGCATTCTGGCTCTCATACGGTGACTGTGGATGGATGCTGAGATGGCCCATACCGACATTCATGCGGCTGTCTACACTGCTGCGTCGAGATTCAAGATGTGAGCTAGCATCAACACTTAGCCTGTTGTCAAACCCTTGGTTGAGAGATGGCAAAGCACTTGGTTGTGAAGACTGAGAGAAGCCAGAAGGATACCTCGCTGACGATGGTGTCTCTGGTATCGATGCACGCGAGGGTGAATCGTCTGAAGGGTTCAGAAGAGTTTGCACCTGCAGCCCCATGTGCTGAGAGATGGTAGATGAGTCTGGCGTGCACGTTAGAACAACGTGTAGGTGACAGGCAGGTGGTGTTGGATACTCACGTTTGCTTGGAGCAATGGACCAATTTCCCGAGTCGCGGATGTCCCGGCTGTCCAATTGTTGCTTTGGTTGGGCCGGACTGTGTTCGGCCGTGGGCAAGCCGTTTGTGAGGGTTGATAATGGTGGCAGTGATTGCTGTCCTTGAGGCAGTTTACCATGCACACCATTGCCATGCTGCACTCGCGGTTGGGCTGATGAATCCATGGCTGTGGGCTTTGCTCACGAGCGAGCTGTTTAATAGTAGCGGGCAGTGTGGCCTCTGCGTTAGCGAAAAAGGTCTCTTGGTAAGGTAATGGATCACAGGGTTGAATGGTGACGAGAGACAGGACCAATAGGGAGGCTGACAGGGTGGCGTGCAAGTGGTAACGGGTCAGGGCAGGACCCAGGGTCTGGAAGAGGGTCCAAAAGTAATGATTGAGAAATAAAAGGGGACCTGTTCCCAATGATCGACGTATAGTAGAAGCGTGGAACGGAGAAGTGAGAGCGAGGCGGGGTGGGAAGGATAGTCGAGCTGAGCAGGGGATACTGCTTTGCACCTGCTCCAACGAGAGAATGGCAGGCGATGAAGTGGGGCAGGGCAGGACAAAGCTACGCCAAGCCAGACTGGCACCGACTCAAAGGGCAAGCGCGATGCGACGAGGCACGCGGGAGGGCGCGCGCACGTCACACGTTGAATTGCGTCGACGACAGCGACCTGGACAGCAGCACCAACGGCGATGACGCCAGAGGCAGCACGAGGACAGGGCAAAAAAGGAGCGTGCGGCGGGTGCAATACTGCCACGAGAGCGTGTGGGAGTGGTTGCTGGCGGGCGCAATTGGTCCAGGGCGTCCAGATGGTGGGATTTAGGATCGGCACGACGGAGAGAGGAACTGTGGCACTCTGGCGTCAAGCGAAGCGTCGTGGCTGGCGCTCGAGCAAGAGGCAGGCCGGTTGGGCCGACTCAGTGGACGGGGAGGTGGGTGGCGTGGAGCTGGCGTGGTACACACGACGAGTTGACGTCTTACTAGGCTCAGGTGCGATGAGGTGAGGCGAGGCGTGAAAAGAAAGTCGAATGCGGGTGGCAGGTTCTGTAAGGGCCAGGGCGCGTGAGACCGAAGAATGCACCTGGGGCGTTAAGCACATTCGGCAGACAAGCAGGTCGGGTGCATGTCGCGAAGAAGGTGGGGAAAAAAGAACGAAGTGGGCGAATAATAAGAAGAAGCAGCAGCAGCAGCGGAAGAAGAAGAACAAGAACAAGAACAAGAACAAGGACAGGGAGCCGGGCAGGGAGAAGAAGGGGAGAGGGGAAGAGAGAAGGACGGGACAGCAACAGCAGTGGTGCCTTGCATAGACGGCCCCAGGCAGTTCCAAGGACGCTGGGGTGGGAACACAAGCGGGCAGCGGGCAGCACAACAAAGCAGCGGGCAGCCGGCGGTTGGCGGTCAGGGAGCAATGTACGACCGTCGGACGAGACCTTGTAGAGAACGGAGAGAGTCAAGTCGAGTCGAGTCTGCGAGAGCTTCGGCAGGGCCAGGGCACAGCCAATTAATGGATATGCTGGCGCCGAGCACACGAGCGAGCCACACGTGGGAAATCGTTCAATCGAGGCCTCGTGTATCTCAGCAGCCCGTCTAGCGGCGGCTAGCTGCACTTTAATATGGGCACCCTGTCTCGACGCGTGAACTGGTGCCCGCGCTACCGACTCTGCTCCAGACGGGGGACGCGGATTGACTCGGGGCGGCCAAGGGGGATATGGGCCTGCACGGCGCAGAGTGCCTACTATGTAATAGTACACTAAACTAGGTACAGTATATGTACAGTATACAGTACATACATACAGACAGACAGTATCGTAACACAGCGACAGGCGAGCAAACGGCACGACTACGACTACGACTACGACTACGACTACCACGCCTATTATTTAGCACTCAGACTTACGACGGCGGAAGCGGGATGCGAACATGGTAGAGCCTGGTCCTTTTGTCGTCACCGTCGCCCAAGCCGTAGTGCTAGCCCGCTGCCCGCTGTACCGCCACGAGGTCCCACATGTCCCTCTGCATATGCTACCCAACCGGCGAGTGCGCCGAGCCCAAGCAAATTCTGCGACAGGACAGGGCAGGGTAGGACAGGACAGGACAGGACAGGACAGGACAGCACTCACGCCTACGCCCTCGCTCTACTGCATCCGCCGCGAAACAAATCGACGTGGCCACTCCTCGCCGCCCAAGCTGCAGCCATGCCGCGCTATCAGGACCCTCTTCCTCCACGTTCCTCTTCCCCCCCCCATAACCCCGATCCACGCGCCCTTCCTTCACACGCGCGCCTCGCCTCTGCATCCGTCCGTGGCAGCACATGCGCCCCTCCCCTGTCCCAAGCTCCCGTCGCCTTCGCCTTCGCCATTGCCATACTCTGCTAGCCCCGTGCCTGTGGTGCCGGGGGCCCTCTCGCAGATCGCCAGTGACCGTTGCGCCCAGGCAGACTATCCAGCCATAGCCCTTCATACCTGCTGTTTCCATCCTTGGGCGCTCGAAAGAAGCTGTCTGACAAAACCAGGATTGCATGCGTCAGCCACCAGAATCATGCCACTGTAGCCCCAGCCCGTAGTCCTATTCGCTGCCGGTCCCGTGTTTCTGCTACTCTTGGCATCCTCAATCCACTCTATCCCGTCCACAAACAATTCACTCGTCCCTGCTTTCTTGATCGACATCCCAGTGCCCACTACGCCCATCCGGGGCAGACGAGATCCAGTATCCGTGCCATCCTGAGGTGACACGACGGAAGGCTAAACCCGCTTCTATTAACTCAGCATTAGTCTTGCCACCAACAACAGCATGGGTCACGGCCAGGCCTCGCTGCTGACTGCATTCTCTGGGACAGCTGTTCTTGCACCGCGTGTCGCTCTTTTGCCTCATGCCGACTTCGGCCCTCTATTACACCAAGCATGCAGCATATGTTGTCCTCTCCTCACTCTGTAATTACTTACTCGACTTGACCGTGCCACCTAACGCAGACCCAACCACCGGGTCCATACATTCAACGGCACATTCAACGGCACATACAACGGCACATACAACGGCCAGCTGCCAGCTGCCACCTGATGTCTTGTACCAGCACACTGCTCCATATGCTCTGTCTAACCAGCGTGTTCTGCAATTCCACATTAGTACCGTGGATCGCTGGATCACGGCACCAGCACCGTCGTCATCATTATCATCATAATCATCATCATTATTATCATTCCAATAGTATCCCACCGTCCACATGGCCCTAGCACCAAGGTGCTAACATTCCTACGCAACAAATCATCATCAGTAGTCTTTACGCTTCCGTCCCGCTTCGTACATGGATGTCAATACTTGGAGCTACAAACACAGCATCACTAGCATGTAAGAGATGTGCGCCTCATCAGACACAGACGCCGTTGCACATGCAGGGCTACACCCCCACAAGAGAGGAACGGCCCAGGGACCTTTTGTTGATAAAGCTTCAAACACGGCATACACAGTACATGCCACTCATGACGCTGCAGCATTTGAACACCTTCTTTCTGCATCATCATCATCATCATCACATGGCCCGGCACGTTATCCAGATGCGCCAGATTCGCACAGCAGACGGGCGTCAAGGACGGATGTTGTGCACTCACTACACAACGCGTCAACCTGCCAGCGGCTGGTATCCGCTCATAGGTGGAACTGTTGGGGCGCTGGGGGTAGTACACATGCAAGACAAGCCCAAACCCGTCATTACATGCTGAGTATCGGTTGGCAACAAAGAAAAACCCCCACCCCAGTCGGCCCACGACCCGTATGTATACAGCCTCCGCAATGCATTGATTCAAGGGCATTCGGTTGTCAAAGGGCTCAACCAGTTTGGGGTGCTGGCTAGTTTGGTTTGGTGCTATCCAATCCAGTCAGCTCGGCGCTAATAGGGCCATGACAGACAAAATGAGATGACTGCCGACCCGTCCTTGATACATGTGTATTCTGCACCTTGTCTCTGCATGCTTGCTGGTGACAAACTCGGCGTGCCATGGGCCCATGAGGGTGGCGACAGTACCTGAACAGGCAACATACCGTAACCTATCAGCAATCGAAGGACTGCAGCGCCGGCCACAGACTGGAGTGGTACATGCATATGCACATAGATACGACATATGTACATGGACCAAGTCCTACCTGTATGCCGTGCGACCATGAGTAGAAGAGGTTCCGCTTGGCGTCGACTGACTAAGGCCTTCATAGAAGGTTGGTTGTTAGCTTCGGGCGATGAGAAACCTTCTCGGGGGGCCATTGCCTCACGAATCTAGTAGCACAACGAGACTCGGCCTCGACGGCTTTTGTCGCTTCAGGGCTCCCTACTGACGCGACTACTAGCGACCCGAAAAGACGGCACGCTACGCGTATGAAGGTCATTACAGGCACAAGTCGGCCCGTTCTTCCAAGCTCTGTGTCAGGCGCTTGCACCGCCATGCTGCCGCACGACAGGGGTGGCGTCGGCACTGAAAATCTGCCTTCACGTGAGGATCGGCGTGGCGGGGAACCTGGAACACTTCCCTAGCTGCTGCCTAGCGGGGCAGGGCTTGCTCTGCAGACAGGAACACGACGCGTGAAGCGGAGAATTAAATTACGAGAAAAAAAGAACACGACGCACAATGGCTGCCGTTGATGCGTACCATGTCGATGCAGTAAAACACCAAGGTGAGGATGCACTGCTGCAACAAGCCATCTTCCCTTTTCTTAAACTTCCTCGGGAGCTCAGAGACCATGTACGCACTTCCTCTCTACGATCCATGCACACACCCATATTCTGCCGTACAACTAACAAGACATATAGATATATGACTATGCCTTTGCCACTCAAAGCCACCGTTGCCAGCGGCCCATTGAGCGGCGCAATCTAAAGTACTTCCAGCCCAGCGCTGCTGCCATTCTCCTCATAACCCGCCATGACTACTTCCTCCTCAACCGCCAAGTCGCCCGTGAAGCGCTCGAGGTGCTCTTCAAGCACCATACCGTCTATCTCAGTTGTGGACCCTTCGTACTCAAGACTCTGTTCGAAAAGATTGAAGAACCAAATGGTCCCGGCAGACAATGGCTCAAGTGGCTGAAAAAGATACACCTGGACTGGGAGACACTCCCCAACCTACGCAACTATCCCCCCGAGCGAGATGAGGCCCGAGTCGATGACTACTGGGAGCACGACCAAGTTGAAGTCGACGTCGACTACATCCGAGGCGCATACTACAACGCTCACTACGACGAATACGACCATGAAGGCCAACACTACGACGACAACCTATACGACCCCCCAAACATGCCTCTATACCCTTCCTTCCGCCACCGCACCCCCTCTCAGCCCCCCAACGCAAACGACCCCTTCGGCCTCTCAACCCACTACCCCTTTATCGACCCCAACCGCGATCCCGCACAGGGTGCCTCAGCAGTCGATATATCCAGCAAACTCGACCTCCTCGTCTCCCTCGAAGTAACACCCTTATTCACCTACCTATCCTCTCCTTCCTTCAACTTAACCAGTATAACGCTCCCCCTCGCCTTTATATCCCGTGAGTCGTACCACCACCGCCACCTCTCCCGCCCGGGCTACGCGCTCCCTGTGAAGATCCGCTACTGGATCCAAGTCTGTGTGCATGCACTACTTATGCTCGTTGCTCCACGTGCACTTGGCGCGGCGGAGGGCTCCTCGACAACGACGAGTCTACAGGAAGTGCGTGTCAGGTACGCCCCCACGGATATCTGGGCGTCGATGGAACCGACAGACGATCTGGGACGTATGGTGGATGAGGGGGTATGGTTCGACGCTCCCGACGAGGGCCAGGAAGATGAGCGCCAGGGCCAGGGCGAAGCGTTTCGTGCTGTATGGGAGGGCATGAAGGCGAGGGTTCCGGTTGAGCAGCGCAAGGAGCTAGGGAAGCGCTGGGGTCTACGTGCCTCGGTCTCGTTTGTGCCTTGGGATGGCGAGATTGATAATGGCAGGGTTGGTGACGAGCTTGAGGTCGTGTTTACGAGGGATCATTCCCCCCGATAATTATGCCGACGGTTGACATGTTGATTGAGTGATTTATTTCGCTCGCGACGTTTATGTAATGAAGGTGGGCAAGAAACTGTACTATTAAATCAAGGACAAGTTTCCCGAGTAAAAGACCTGGAATACTAAGAGGCAAAATAACCAAACTGTTTCATTTCAAAAGTGGGCTTTCGGTATAAAAAAAAAGGTAATATCCTGAGCCCCCCTCACCCTTCTAGCGTTTGAATTTTTGCATGTTGTTATTATTGCAAAAATGCCTATACGCTTCCTCTCTCCTCCTTGCTCAAGACTGCAAAATACATATTGTCCATTGCAAAATAGCAAAATCGCGTGTAAAGAGCAAAAAACGAACCCCAGGTCAGCCTTGGGTATCGATAAAAGACAAGAAGAAGAAGAAGACTAATGTACACTCAAAATGGCTTTACAATCTCTTATTGACGCCGCCGCAATCCCGCATCATTAGAGGGTTTTGGGGGGGGGGGCATCTGTTAATACAAAAAAAGGCTTTCATGGCGTAACTCTCCCCATCTTCATCCCGAGAAAAAAACGAAAGATTGACAAAAACACATACACACACACACTGAGAGAAAAGACAGATGTAAGCCAAGCCGCAATCCGTCCGGCACGTGGGAGCCAAGCAAAAGGAAGACCGAAAAGCGAGCGTAAATGCTGACTTCCCTATTTTTTTTATTACCCTTTCTTGTTTAAAAGTCCCAGAAAGACTTGTCAGCCGTCTTGCGCCCACCCATGCCATCACCCTTGGTCTTAATGCCGGCCTGCCTACCCGTGCTCTCTTTCTTGGCGGGACTCTCGTCGAACAGGGACCAGGCAGCCTCGGTGCCCTTGCGGCCGCCCATGCCGTTGCCGGCAATGTTGATGCCGCGGTTCTCGGGCGAATCGGCGTGCGTGCCCCAGTGTGTCTTCATGGAGCTGCGGACCGCTTGGCTCGACTTGATGTTCTCTTTCTTGCCTACGCCGGGGCTGTCTTCGGTCGTGTTGGTGATGTGGTCATCGTAGAGGCCTTGGCCTTGGTCTTTGTTGCCCGTTTTGCCTTTGATGGGGCGTGCGCGCTGCCCCTCGGGTGTACCATCGTCGTTGAATTCAAAGTGCGCATCCGCATCAGGGCGGGCCTTGTGCACTATTGGGCGGCGGACGGGCGAGACATCGTCCTATAGTGGAGACATGTTAGCATCTTGTTTCTTCTCTCAATGACGAGCAGAGACGGAGATGCAGCCTCTGTCTCTGCCTAACAAAACAAACTAACCTCATCGTCGCTCCAGCCAAAGTGTCGAACGGCCTGGGGGTGCATCTTGGGCTTGGACTTGTCGGGGGTAGCAAAATCGTCAAAGTCCCAGTGCGCAGAGTTCTTGGTACGGAGCTGGTTCTGCCTTGGTCGTAGAGCCTCCGGGGCTTTTGGCGTCTCCTCGCCGTCACCAAACTGGAAGTGGTCATACTTCTTTGAGTTTGTCTTGACACTCGAGGGCGCACTGGTGACAGATTCTTCGTCGTCTTCGTCAAACAGGCGGTTGGGCTTATAATTCTTTCCAGCGCCTGATTTGGCTGGGACCTTCTGTGATGGGGTAGGCGAACCGCCCTCGGCGGTAGCGAACAACTCGGAGTACTCGCGTGGCGGAGGTTTGGCGGACTGCGCGCGGGGCGCTCCAGGCTGGCCTGTGTAGGATGACTCTTCTTCAGTCTCGCGTGGGGCAAACAGCGAGAGCGACGCGTGCGGGTCATTCATGGCATTGCTTGTCGACCTCTGCGAACGCGAGGAAATGGAAACCTCGTCTGCGCCGCGAGAAGCGGCTGTTGTTGGGCGCGACGAAGCCGCAGACTCGGGCTGAGAAGCAGAGGCATTGTTGGATATCAAGCGGATCTGTTCGCTGGCGTCCCGAATAGGCCAGTTGCGCGATCGCGCGCCGATGACGTCGATCTGCCTGAGGAGCGAGCCCTGGTCCCAGTACTGGCGAATCTGTGTGATCTTGCCTGCGTGATCGAAGTGGACCACGTGAACCTGTTCGTGTCAGTATCGGTGAATCGCTTGGGTAAAAGCCAATGCATACCATGGGGAACGTGGCGGTTCGGTCTGCAACAAAGTTGTCGTCTAGGCCTGGGAGGTATGCGCCGCCGCCGTTGCTGAACTCAATGGTCGTCTCCACATCAACGCTCAGGGCGCGATTACCCTCAACGGCGTCGAGGATGTTCTGCTTCGTCTTCTTCAATAGCTTCTCCTGAACCGACAGGTGCTTGATGATGGCGGTCGCATCGCTGATGCTAGTTGTGGTAGAGATGTAGTGAAGAGATGCGTTCTCAGCCAGCGCGCTTGTTGAGGGCGTGGCCAGGAATCTGGCATACGTGTCGCGGAGCGTCATGACGCCTTTTTTGTTGTTGTTGTTGTTGCTGCGGTATGCTAATTGCTGTTGTGCGTATGGATGATGGATGGTTGCTGGCGCAATGGCGGCTTCTGGAGGGGCGCGATGGGGGGATGGTGGTACAGATGTTTGTGTGTAAACAAGCAGAAGCCAGGCGCGCGCGCAACTAAGTACCTATGTATGGATCGAGACAGTGGAGATGGTGAAAGGGGAAAGACCTTACGGCCCGCAGCAGCCGCAGCAGCCCCCGGCTTCTCATCTCAGCAGTCTGTTGTTGCTGCAGGGGCACTCCCGCCGTTGCAGACACGCCCCACCTCCAACAGCCACCAAGACCAAGACGGACTGCGGAGATCCACGTGGATAACTATGTCATGCAGCTAGCCATAATGCTACAGAACTATAATCCATCTCCGCTAACACTCTTCTCGCTCTTTGCTATCTGGCCATGTTTGTCGACTTGGGAGGATACAATTGCCATCTGCTTACGTCTCTTCTCGGTAATGTCCACAAACGGCGTGTTTCAGATCGCTTTGATGTGCCCGTACAATCTCGGATGCCTGAGCGCTGATTTCACTTTCCCCGCCAGTGCTTTTTTTTAGGGGCACACAACACCTGGCCAGCACACGAGCTACTTGGGATATTCTTCATTTATTGGGTACGCTTGACATTGACAAGCAGGACTCTCCTTGTCAATAGCATTATTTCGCTTCTACCCAAGCCTGTCACAGCACACCACCCAGGCCAACTCAAGTGTAAAGGGGTATATTTTGATGCAAAGCCATGTCCGCCATCAAATAGAAGTTGGAGTATTCAATTTCCCACACACAAAGAATAGGAAAGCCACACTTCGTCCAAGACAAGCAGTGTAGCCTTTACCCCACGCTAGACCACGCTTGTACCGTCTAGTCATCCGAGCCATCCTCGGGCAGATTCCTCAGCACGTCTTCCACAATCCTAATCAGCTCGTCCACATCTGGGCGTTCACTTGGTTCCAGTCTCAAGCATTTCCTGACCACCTCCTTTACGCTATCTGAGATGGCATCCTCGGGATTGGCCTTTTGCTTGCCCCTTTGGATGCCTTCGTCTGGGAACCTCCAATCTCCACCCAGCACGCAAATACTTAAACTACCTCCAGTCTCATCTGATCGTGCTTCGAAAGGGCTCTTGCCTACAAGACACGCGTACAATGTGCAACCTAGCGACCATATGTCGACTTTGGTATCAATGACGGAACCAGTCTTGACATCAAATAGCTCAGGTGCGCGGTAAGGCATTGTCGAGTGTTCAGCAGCAGTATCTTGGACTTGTAGAGCAAGAGAGCGTGATGTGATGGGCGTCGGTGAAGGTGCGAGGGAGCCAAGATCCATTAGGATGGGTGTCTTGCCGTCGTCATCTATCATAATGTTCCCTAGTGTTTCTATTAGTCTTCGCGATTGAGATGTTCATGTGATGGGCCACTTACCTGGCTTAATATCCCTGTGCGCATATGCTCTTTCTCCGCCAGGCGCAATGCCTTCGTGTGCCGCTGTAACCTCAGACTCCTCAAGAAGCCCTTCGGCCTCTTGCTCGTCATCTTCGTCATGGTCGCGATTCCGTCTGCTTGGACGCATCTCCATACTCTCCGCAGCCTCTGCGTCTGCCCTCTTAGCGTCTCTCCTGACTTTCTTCGCTTTCCCCTCACTCGCCCCGCCTCCGGGTCCTCCTTTGACCTTATATTGATGCATCGCTTTGAGAGCTTTACAAACGCCCAGAAATAGCTCCATCAGCCTGCGTTCCGGGAATTTTGTGTGGTTGACCAGGTTCGCATTGATCATGTCTTGTAGGTTGCCGCGGCGGTAGTACGGAAGGAGGATGTAGACGGTCTTTGCAGACGGGTCTGACTTGTCGGTCTCGACGGAGTAGTCGATCGAGTGAATAATGTTCGGGTGTGGCGCAAAGAGTGAATATGCCTCAACCTCTTTCAGCGCAAGACTGACACTTTCTTGTCCAAAAGGACATCTTATCTTCTTTAGCGCAAGCAGCTGCTGATTTGAATTGTCTTGCACAAGGTACACATAGGAAAAACCACCCTGCGTTGAGATCAGTTAATTGAACACAAGTTCAACCGCGCCTTGTGAACTTACCTCGCCTAGCAACCGCAGTATCTTGAAGCTTCGGCTATTGACTTTCAGTTGAGGTGAGCTTGGAAAGCAAACCATGCAGTTTGTGAAAGAATAGACGAAATCGAGGAAGTATGTGCCTAGTGACCCCATGGTTGCAGTTGTTGCAGTTGCGATACTCTGTTTGCCAGCTATCAACAACTTTCGGGGCGCGATACTAGCGTAGAGGCCGGACGCGCGGTCGATGGACAAGCTTCGATTGCACACCACACCGCGAATATTGCGAAACTATTGTAAATACCGGGTACAGTCGTGGGAATTGTGAAGATGGTGTTGCTTGCTGAGACAAGGCGCAACGGTGTTCGGAGAAGCTGACGACGTGGTTCGTCCGAGATGCGCCAAGGGTGTGGCTGTGAACTCGTAGCTCACGTCACGCTTCTGGAGGCTCGACACCCCTCCGGCCAAGGCCCCGCAGACTATGAGCCGCTCAAGCATAGCCGATATGTGCGAACCGCAAAACATCAGTCTTGGATTATTCATGTCGTAGAATAGATTAGATATAATTTACAATTTCTTCATCTTACGTAAGATCCATCGGGCGTATAGCTCAGTGGTAGAGCGCCCGCTTTGCATCAAGCAAAGTTGCGGGAGGTCTGGATTTCGATCATCCATCCGTCCAATGTCGTGGACCAACGAGTGTTCGTTGATTTCTTTTTTTGTCCAGCCTTCCCCCCCTCCATCCACCAGCCATAAGTTATGTTTTTGCTGAATGAGAATGTTACCAATAACTACTTATAGTTAATGTAGTGTTGTGTTTCATGCTCGCCTCAATCAATCAGAGCACTCAAATATCAACGGTGTTCAGGAATAAAATGCAGGTTGGCAACTTGTAGCCCACTGAATATAGCAATAATCACAGCTAGAGATGTCTTCCTGTTGGACATATCACCGCTATTGCTTCCGACAAGTACGAACTGTGGCCCGTTCGGATTACATGTACGAAAGTCGGTGACCCCGCAGAAAAAGAAGGTATACCATCCCGCTATTGTATCTAGTGTGCTCCTGCTATGCCACCGGGTTGAAGAAACCCACTAGATCTCATGTTGCTCAACGCCTATGAGTAAGCACCACGAATACCAGCAAGCCACCCATCAGAAACTCAGACGCTGTCCAACAATGACCACCACTCCCACCGGTCTCCTCAAGCTCCCCCTCGAACTCCGCCAACAAATCTACCACTACGTCCTCGTCCCAACCCTCCAAACCCGCACGATTGCCATATCTATCACCCTTCGAAACTACTCCTACAAACTACACGGCTTAGAACCAATCCAAAGCCTCATCTTCACCAACCGCCTCATCTACCACGAAACCCTCCACTACTGCTTCGCGCACTTCATCTTCCACCTCCACAATGGCTTCTACTCCATTCTGGACCTGATGAGCCAATTCTACCTGCGGATCGGCAAACGAATGCGGAAGCTGGTTCGGTATATTGTGATCCCGCGGTTCAGCGTTGACGCGGTGTTTTTCCGAGATGTGTACCAGTGTACGAGTGCTAAGAATAGACCCGAGAAATACAAGGAATTGGTGGAGGAGATGGAGATGGCGTTTAGGATGCTGAAACGCTTTAGGGAGCTGGAGGAGGTGCAGTTTGGGTTGTATTTTCCGGAGGTGAGCAGGGATAAGGGGATTAGGCCTTGGGTTGGACGGGATGATGGGGAGCGGGAGCGGGAGCGGACGGGAACAGAGCAGGTGTGGGATTCGTATGTTATGGGGGTTTTTGGGGAGGTGAAGTGTTTTCCGCCGAAAGGTAAGATTGGGATTTGGTGGGAACGTTTGCCAGAGGATCTTTCTAGTACGGAATCACTGCAGCTTCAGGAACATGGTTTGCAGCAGTTGAGGGCAAAGGCTGCGCCTATTCGAGTTGAACTCGTGGAAGCTCCATCGTAAATTATTTGGACAAACCGCTACGAAAAACGAACGGATTGCAGAGATAGTATCTCTTTTTCTCCATACGCCCCCAATTTAATACTCGTCATCAATCCCAGCCTCCTTTTCAGCCTTTTTCCTCTCCTCATTCATATCCCAAAACCACTCATGCGTCACGAGATCCGCCTCGTTATGCACATCTTTCCCATTCCACGGTTTAGGAGCCAGAATATAATGAACATTCTTGACCTCCTCATCTCTCCAAATAGAATCATGGACGCCTTTCCAGCGTAGAGTCTTTAACGCATTGTACACATACGGCAGTCCAACCCATCGGCCACGGAAGAGATCAGAAAGTAGCGACTGATCGGCAAAAGCGTAGTCTGCTGTTTGTGGCTTATCCAGAGTTTTCAGAATGAGGTCATATACTGCTTTGCTGGGATTGACGACCTGGAGGCCGCCGTTCATGTACTGAAGTCCAGTGGTGCAGGGAGCTCCAGTTGTTTGCGCCTCATCCGGTTTACCGTGTTGATGTGTGTAAGCGCAATTCTCAGGGACCCTACTACTCGTCAGCGACTTATCTTCTAGTAATAGTGTTTGAAATAGAAGAATTGACGTATGTGTGTTAACAAGATATAAACTTACCAATCACTGGGATAATGTGCTCTCTTCAGGGGATTGCACACACATGCATGCGAAGCTGCAAAGACCCTATCGCCCTTGCCTTCGAGGGCGGGCGAGTCGAGTTCAATAGTCATCAGTTCGTCCATGTTGCGCATGACAAGCATGTCACTATCTAGCTGGACGATTCGCTCGAACTCTGTTAGCCCGAAAGGAACCATCTTGGTCCAGCAGTCGTAAAATCGTGGGTCATTGCTATAATCGTTGCCAGCTGAAGGTAGTAGGTAAGGAACGTGCCGCTTGCGGATGCCGCGGCGGTCGAGTGCCTCATGAGCTTCGGCTGGTAGTTCATCCGTATACAGTACGATGAGCGGGTAGAGAGATTTGGATCGTTTCAATGAGTAATCAAGTGTTAAAAGACCAGTGAGGTAGGCTGTGTTGGTGAGGAGTGTTGTCCAGACTGTTCATTGTGAGCAAAGTGCAGTGATGTGTTGGTTGCTTTACCAGGCCGTGCCATGTGGCTTACCTCGGGGTGGGTGGTCGCCCACCGGTGTGTCCACGCTAATAGCTGAAGGTGCCATAATCTCAACAGTTGGAATGAAGCTCAGATCGGGTTTCTTAGACTGCGACGTTAGCTCACTCTTGTGATATAGGCCTCACAAGAGGGGCGCCGCTGTACTTACCCAGGGGCCAGCATTAATATGATACTACTTGGCATCAGTTCGGGCGATGGTCAGGCATACTCACCTTAGTACCAAATCGGTAAAATGGTGTGATAACCCGACGCTAGCTTGCCTCTGGAGGAGATGGGAGTTCATGTAACCGGTGAACGCATGCAAAGACGACAGGGGTATCGAATCCCGAAGGATAGCCCTATGATGGTGTGGGATTCAGAAAAAGTAAATCCTATGAAACAAGTAGAATAAAGAGACCTTATTCCTGATAGTGCACACACAGAGTACAACGAAACATCAAATCCAAACTGTGAGCTCGATGAACAGTCTGTCATAAATTATAAATCCAGCTGCGCCAAGGTCGGTAGGCAGGCATGTTCTCGGACTATCTGTATATTGTAGCATCGTTCTGTTACTATCCGCCTGATTGGGCAAGGAATTAGACACGGGACTTTGCATTAGTCCATGCAGCCGCTCTCTTTTTTTCTTCGGCCAAGTTGCAGGTTGAAGCAATCGCATACATACATGAGACGATTTCGTGTCATCAAACACACCAGAGTACGTACCGATTACCTTGGCAAGCTGGCATTAATGATCAACACGATGACTGTATGAGTCTGCTGCAAGAGGGACACCACGTTTTTTCCAGGGTCCTTTTTTTTAGACCCCGCACCAGTAGTTCCCACGCGATTCGGTCCGATTCCAGACTGACTTCGGGTGAAAAGCGCTCGACGCGTCATGGTTTAGAGGCCGGAATATTCAGTGACTATCTCTGTGATGTACCGAGACTTATCCGTTCGGAAAATAAAATCGGAGATGATGCTAGTAGTGGCTGGCAGAGATATCAATAATGCACATAAGATATCTGTAGTTGCCCTGATATCACTCCGACTTGAGCATCACATGCTTGTTCTCTCACTCACTGCTGTCTCGACCCCTGGCTCCCAAAATCCGCGCAATTTGCTTACAAAAAGACGAAATCACAATGGCCGAGCCATATATCAATGATACTACATTAGGAGATCACGTTGTCCTCACACACAGTCTTTCTATTGCGATTTGATCAGAATTCTGATGTAATGCAAAGGACTTGATTAAGCCGCTTAAAGAAGCTATCCGGGATTTTTCTTTCGTCAGAAATTGGCTTCTCGATGCCGACTACGCAGCCGGCGTCCCGAAACCAAATGTCCAGTAAAACTAACAGTAGTCTCCCGACTCCCTAATTTCCTAGCTCATGTCTTCACTCAAGTACCAGAAAAAGAAAAACAAATCATAGATAAACAATCATAAAATTAGTTATAATTATATCCCACTCAACTCAATCTTTCAACGCCCAACGCACCCTAATAATCCGATTTTTTCCCTTTTCATCAGCCAACAGGTATATAATCTACCACACAACCTCATACTCCCCTTGGCACCCCTACTCCTCATCCTCCTCCTCGTCACTATCCTCCTCCATCCCCTCCGCAGCCTCAACCTGAAACGTAGGCGCCTGATCAACACCAAGATAACTATCACTTACTAGATAAAGTGTCAACTCATGACTACCGGGCTTCTCCAGCGTAAACTCCAGCACCGTCTCGAGCTTCCGTAGGATCGGTACTTTCTTAATAGCAAGCAGCGTGCGCTCCTTCTGGTCTCCAAGCACAAGCCACCAGCTCTCCGTCTTGTCGGCAGGGTAAAACGGAGCGTGGACTTCGGTCTTGGGCTCCTCGTCTTCTTCGAGGTTGCGCGTGACGCGGACTTTGAGTTGGGCAGGGGTGTTAGAAGCGATGTTTTCCGGATCGACGAGTTGGTGCTCGAGCTCGACGTTGGGGTAGAAGTTGTTTGTGAAGTTTGCAATCTCGGCGAGTTGGCGTTGGTCGACATTGAGGGCGGATATGAGTTGCTTGTAGTCTGGGTTTTCGTCTTCGTCCATGGCATTGATGAAGTCGTCGACGTCGTTGATACCGAATTTTTGGGCGGCCTTGATGGTGTCGGCGTCGAAGTGCGGGATTTGCTTGAGGGGAGAGTCCTTTTGCCACATTGCTTGAACAACCATTTGGGAGAGCTCCATGGCGGACATGGCGTTGAGATGTGCTTCTGAAGAGAGGACGTCGACACTGGCGCTGAGAATGGTAAGAACCTTTCGCAAGACAGTCTCTTGATCCTTGGCTAGATCGATAGGCAGCTGCATGCGTGAGAAGTGAGCTTGGAGAAGGACAAAAGCCTTAAAGTGCGGCGTCTCGAAGTTTGGCTCTTGCATCTTGAATGGAACACGGTCGTAGATGCGCTGGAGAATGTGATCTTCGTGTCGTCGGATCTGGATGTCTTCAAACTCTGTGGCGGCAGTGATAATCTCCAGTACGCCCTTCAAGCTGGTTCTACCATTCAGCGACATCATGAGTGTCTGCATCGTAATGAACGAAATGTTGTAGTACGCTGCAATCATGCATGGGTTGAGTGGTGTAATGGCATCTTCATCTTCGTCATGCTCAATGAGGTTGGCATCCGTCAGCTCCTTGAGGGTCTGTTCGACCATGTCGGACAAATGTGCACTGAGTCCTTCGTGAGAAGTGTCGTGAAGGTTGTAGTAGCTAGGGTTGGCGAGTAGGCGGCGGTAGAAGTATGTGTATGTCGACCAATCAACAGCCTCTTGTGTAGACTCAATCGTCTTTGCGCTGATCTCCGCGACAAATGCATCGTGGAGGTAGTCATGGAGGTAACTCTCAATCGGCAGGGCCTCGTTCAAGAACTTCTTATAGTACTCGCGCTTCACTGCAGGCAGCATGAGCACACCCTTGGCTGACTTGTCCAGTCCAACTCTGCCAGCCTTGCCAAACATCTGCAGAATGTCGCTGATGGGGTAGTCGACATATCTGTGTTCACGCCCCTCGTAGAACTGGGTACCTTGGACGACAACAAGATGAGCACTGCTGTCAATCTCCCAACAAGAGTCTCGTGAAACAATCATAACCTGGATAGCACCAACCTTGAACAGGTGCTGGACAGCCCGCTTATCGAACGAGTTGAGAGCCTCATGGAAGTAACCGATACCGTGAGAAAGCGAAGTCGCGAGCGCTTGCTCATTGATCTTCTCGAGGATGGGTTGGATCTCCGATAGGTCGACATTGAGGAAGCGGTCTTCATCATCATCCGCAATGCACGCGTTGAACAGATCAACAGCAGAGTTGCGGGCTTGCTTTCTGTTCGGAACGAAGACCATAGCCGGCTTATCGGGCGACATTTGCGTGATGGCAGAGTATGTCGGTCTCGCCATGGCCATCATCAGAGATGGGAAATGGGGAATGGTGAACGATTGGATCTTGAGCTCGAGCGGTACAGCTCGGATAGCTGGGCTGAAGTTATAGATGGTGTGCTTGTTTGCGCCTATCCACTCGCCAATGTCTCGTGCGTTTGACAAAGAGACACTCAGTCCAACGATACGCAGCTTTGACTCGAGCTGAGTCGCCATAGCCTGCATACGAGAGACGACAATCTCGTACACATGACCATTGGATCCGCCAAGCATGTGCAATTCATCAGTAATTAACAGTGACACAGACTGCACGTTCTTTCGGCGCTGCCATTGACGAGAGAGGGAGTCCCACTGAGAAGGTGTAGCCAAAATGAGGTCACCCTTCTCAAGGAGTCGCAGATCTGCTGTAGTTTCGCCAGTAAGCTTGACAATGTCCTTGCCTCCAGAGAGACCCGACAATCGCTCATTCCAGTTCTTGTACTGATTGTCAACAAGTTCCTGGAACGGCGCTAGGTAAACTATGCGGGCTTCGTCACCAGAGCCCCAGTGTCGCAAAATGGCGAATTCAGCGCAGATGGTCTTTCCAATACCAGCAGAAGCACCAATGAGCGCATTGTCGTCTGTGGTGTAGAGGGTGTTGAAAGTTTGCGTCTGAACCTTGTTGAAGCGACCGATGTTCTCATACAAGCCCATGTATTCCTTCCTCTTCAGAGCAGAGACAGGCAATGGCTGCAAGTCTAAGACAGGCGTGTGAGCAGGAAATTTCGCCGGCAGGATAAGCTTCTGGAACGAGACAGCGAGCTTGGTCTCGGAGGCCATCCATCGATCAGAGAGGACTGTGACGAAGTAGTTTGGCGGCATTGGCTCGTCAATGGGTACTGTGATCTCAAGCAGATGCTCATTGACGTCGCCATCAGCATAGTCACGACGGAGAATGAAGGTATCGTGGAACAGAACTTGTTCACCATCGCAGTCTTCAACCAGAATCCAGAAGGCTTCAGAAGTTCCGTGAAGCTCGTTATCCCAAACAAAGTCTGGCCGAATGGTGAGTTCCAGACGAAGTAGCGATCTGGTTACCGGGCGTGGTGTTGCTTCAATCTGAAGTCGGGGGAACTTCTCAACCAGACCACAGACGAGCCTGCCTGCCTTGGGCATACCAAGCAACTCGCCCATGCTTGGTGGATCAAGGCCAAAGTAGCTCGACCAGCTGACATCAATACGCTCTGCTTTCTGCACGATATCGCGGGGGCAAGTGGGGAACTGTCGTAGAGGAGTCATGGTAGGCCACATGCGCTTCTCTGCCATCTTGCACATGTCAAGAGCCAGCTTGGCAACTTGCGACCAACCCTTCTTGAGGCAAATCTCAAAGATTGCGCGAAGAATACGTCCAGCTGACTGTGTGACGTACACCAAATCTGCCATGAGCGCCAGACCCTCGAGCTTGAGACGAGAGATGTAAGCCTGGAGAAGAACGTTGATTTTGGCCTGAGGCTCTTCCACACCCTCCTTGACAGGAATAGGAACTTTTCCAAGCAGCTTAGCAAGCTCCAACTTCTCGTCTTGACGAACAGGAATGTACTTGAACTCCTCGCTCAGTGCAAATACTCGGAAAAGCTCAATCGCGCTGATACCGGGCTGAACATGCATATTGTAAGTCGCCATAGAGTTATGGGTGATGTAGTAGTGGGAGGCGATTCTTCCGAGTTCGGTAGGGTTAAGGGCTCCGGACTTCCTGTCGTACTTGATAAGACTGCACTTTTCAAGAACATGCGCAGCTGCGTGAATGAGGTCTACACGTCTTTGCTCCAAAACCGTATCGTTCTCGTACTCGGGGCCTACCCGGTACAAAGCTGGTGACCGAAGCATTCGAACAAAGAGGTATGTGTAGCCAAGCCAGTCCACAGCTTCGTCTCTGCTCCGGACGTTGCCCAGAACAATCTCAGCATTAAGGTTGTCTGCAAGCTTACTGATGAGTTGCGACTCGATAGGTAGCTGCTGGTTGAGCAGTGACAGGTAGTACTGAATCTCAGACTGTGTAGTGATGATAATACCCTCTCCATACGTATCGTATTGAGGTCTACCAGCACGACCAAGCATTTGCAGAACGTCTTGTGGACTCAGTTCAACCCAGCTACCCTTCTCGGGAGAGTAGATCTGTGTTCCCTTGATGATGACTGTATGCGCTGGCAAGTTGACACCCCAAGCCAAGGTTGCTGTACACACCAACACTTGGATTGAACCATCAGCAAAGAGATCTTCTACAGAGGTACGGTCCGCTCGCGACATTCCAGCGTGATGGATACCAAATCCGTAGGGCATGACGTCCTTGAGATCGGCGTTCTGTATCGACTCGGACTCCTCTCTCAGAATTTCACGACTAGCAGCGTCCGATCGGAGAATCTTGCCTATAGTCTCCTCTTCAAGAGCCTTGTCACGAATGTACTTAGCAGTCTTTGCAGTTTCCTTTCGTGAGTGTACAAAGATAAGCATCTGGTTGCGGTGCTCGCCGACTTGTTCGAGAACTTTAGTGTAGCAGACATCGTTCATGGTCTTCAACTGCTTAATAGCCTTCTTGTCTGTAACACCGATGAACTCTTGCTTCAGGGGACACGGCCTGAAAGTACCGTCGAAATGGAACAGTCCCTTGTCGGGGTCTACACGAAGGAAGCTTGCAACATCGCGGTAGTTGGGAAGAGTAGCACTCAAACCTACAATGCGTACGTGATCACCGGTCTGTTCACTGTGTCGAAGGGTTCTGCTGACAATGCTCTCAATGACTGGACCACGATCATCGTGAAGAAGATGGATTTCATCAATACAGATGAGGCGGACGAGATTAATGTAGCTTGTGTCGGTAGCCTTACGAGTGATGACATCGTACTTCTCAGGAGTGGTGACAATGATCTGGGTCTCTGCGATTTGCTGTTTGGTAAGTTGACGGTCACCAGTAAGCTCAGACACCTTGATACCATACGGCTCGAGACGCTTGCCAAAGTTACCGACCTGTTCCGCAACCAAAGCCTTGAGCGGAGCAATGTAGATAATCTTGAAGTCATCAAGGGCGATTTCTCCCGTCTGGGGGTTACGGTGTTTGCCAATCTCTCGCAACATGGTCAGCATGGCAACGTTGGTCTTTCCGGAACCAGTGGGAGCGCAAATCAGCATGTTGCCATCGTCGTTGAAGGCGGTCGGGAAACACTTTGTCTGGATACGGTTAAGCGATTTCGAGTTGCCGAAACCAGGGCGCGCCCAGTCTGGAAGTTCGGAGGTTGGCATAAGTGGCGGTTCGTTAGGATCGCGCTTCGCCTTTGGTGCAGGGACGTGAATCTCTTCATATCCCTTGAACTGACGTCTTGTTGATCCTTGAGGCAGCTTGACATTCGCATTCGTCATGAGATGGTTACCTTGATCAAACACGATGTTGTCCAAGTTGACAAGTCGGCTTGATGGTTGTAGGCCGCCAACAATGCCCTCTGGTTTGGCGTCGGCCATTTCGACATCGTTTGACACATCGGGAAGACTGATGTCTTTGAGATTAAACTTCATCTTTCCTGTGCTAGCACCCTCTTCTGCCTTGATGCCCGTTTCTCGTGCGCGCAGCTCTTGCAGAATTTGTTGCTGACCGGCAGCCTTCATCTCCCGCTCAACAGCCGTTCGCTCATCATTATCTTCTGCAGCGCGTCGCCACCTTGTAACCCAAACGACCCTATCACGGTTGAGAACAAGTTTGGCGACCAGCTCGTGATGTTCGTAATCAAAGAGATCCATGAGGTCGTTCTCAATCTCACGCAGCTCCTTCTCTTCACCGTCTTCCGAGACACCCGCAAGAAACTTGAGCGCTTCCTGCGTCTTCTCTTGCTGTATATGCGCATCCTCATAGATCTGTCCAATCTGCCGTTGTAACCAGTATGCGTCGATCTCGTGTGCAGGAATGAGCTGGTCTGCGCCGTTTTTGCGATCCGAAATGGCCGCATCGCCTTGTATTATCGTCTCCTCAGTGTCCGCAAAACCTGTGTCCTTTGCATCGTCGCCTCCAATTTGTTCTATTGGCGCCTCTGCCTCATCCTCTTCATCCGAACTGTCGGCATCACGCACTTCAAAAGTCTGAGGGCCATCCTCGTCCTCCTCTTCATCATCGAAGACGACAGCTACACCCTGGTTGTCGCCAGTATCTGCGCCATCGCCATCCGCCATCTCCTCATCGCCCCCTTCCTCGTCGTCTTGTGCATCGTAATCCGTAATCTTCTTGCCGAGGTTCACAAGCTCGTTGAACTCCTTTGCGCCCATAGAAGTACCTAAGAGATCGTCCACCTCCTTCTTCTTGTCAAAGTCCTTCATAGAGTCATCCTTGAGGTATTCCAGAACTTGATCGGCCGCACTTCGCGTGGTCGCAGGGTCGACATCGCCAAGAGCTCTGCTCACAATCGTCGTAATGAGTTCGAAAGTCTGGCGAGTAGCAGGTGTCCGGGGCTTGTATGTGAGACCTTCGATATTCAGGTCGGCGGTAGCAATAGCCCCAAAGGCGCTTGTGCCATCATCCCGTTTCCTCTTGCGCTGCTCTCTTTCCAGCACATCGCCACCCTCTCCAAGATTGCCTCGCTCGACACCGGGCCCCTTGAGCTTCTTAGTTTGCGCACTTGCACTGTCACGCGCAGTACGCGCACCCATGTCGCGGATGTTGATGCGGCCTGCGAGCGACTCGGGGTCACCAGTGTGTTCGTCCGGTCGGCGCGACGTAAATCGTCTGTCGGCCTGCAGGACCAAATTCGACATGGCCGCATATTTGAACTGCGCGAGGTTGTTTTGATCTTTCGACATGGTGGCGGTGGGTATCGTGGTATTGCGCGGCTTGCGCTTTTGGTCTCGTCTTCTCGAGCTGTCTACACGCGAGATATAATAAAATACACGACGAAAGAACGAGTCGCAGTCCTATCAAGATCAAACGAAGGAAAAAAGTTGTCCGATTGAGTGTGGTCGGGCTGTGGACATGCCCTGGTGGTGGATATAAATGAGCGGCGGCGGAATCTCGAAAAGTTCAATGATAGAGCTTCCAAAGGCTGTAGTCAGAACACGTGACACCGCATCACCTCCGCTATCACCAATGAACCCATAGCCCTTGGATGTCACACGCGCACGTTTTTCAGGCAGACAGGATTTATACCCTCTCTTTACACATATTGAGCGCTTGTTGGATTTGTTCACGCAAGCTGACGTTTGCCTTGAGCAATAGTACTATCATTGATTCCATAGTTACTGCATCTACAGTTTGGTTTGTCTAGGGGCCCACGAGACCCATGCCTTTCATATTCTGCATCACCAATTTCTCACCAATCGACTCCAATACACGTGCTGAAATGCACATTTCGTACGCCTTTCAAGTATCGCGTCTTCTTGTCTCTCCACACCCGCACTTTGCACCCAAAGTATTCAAGCTCCCTCAGCCTTCTTCTTTTTCTTATCCTCGACCAACTCCACATTGTCCTCCGGCACCTCATCATACTTGTCTACCAAGAACTCAAGTATATCTTCACTCAAATCTCCCTGTACCGTGATTTCCTCGCCGCCACCGGGAATCTTGGTCACACTTGATCCAGTCGCGAATTTCTTGCCAAAGTCCTTGGCCACCTTCTTGATGTCGAGACCGAATGCTTCGAGTCCTTGAACAGCAGTCACATATTTTCGCTTGTTACGCTCGATACGCTTGATGAGAATCTTGGAGGATGCGCGTGTCTCGGCTGCTCGTGCCTCGGCGGTTGCGGCTTTGGCAGCTTTCTTCTGTGCATCCTTTTCCGCGCGTTTTTGGGCGTCGACAGAGAGCGAGGCCATGTTCTGCTGTAGTGCTTCTGGAGGAGGTGTTAGATGATTTCTCGTGCTATAATTAATTGCGCCAACTAAGCGCATCCCAGAAGTTGAGCAGCACATACCTGCCGAATACAACTTGGCATGAAGGTCTGGGTGCGCTTCTGCAAGCCATTCTTCACACTTTTTTGTTGTGCCGCCAAACTCGCAGTACTAAATGGGGTTCAGATTACTATTAAGTTCGGTATCGACGCGTCTCAGTGTCATACCTACTTCAGGTGGTAGACTGCATACTGCTTCCCGTTAGTAGATGAGTAGAGAAGCTACCAGCAGCAATATCTACATACCTCCGCAGTAAATGACTTGTTTTGGTACTGTATCGTCAGACATGGTGAGTGTGCCAACAGTCAAACTGCCGGCTATTCTATGCGCTGACAATGTATCTGGTGGGGTGCAGAGAGTTTTGGGGTTGACGCGAAGGAGAGAGCTTGGTGGGGCAGAGCAAGCGTGGCGGGGTAGTACGTATAAGAAGTTGGGCACGGGTCCTTGGATGTGCTTGACACTTTCACCTAAAGCTTAGTGTACTATGGTATATATCTCTTTTTTTTTGAAATTACGACCGTATATCTACATATACATTGGTGGATTCATATTGTTCTCCAGAATATAGATCTTTGGCTGCATCCATATCATGGGCCAGTAACCCCTCAACAAACTATTTCTCAATCGCCCTTCCAATCGATACCATTCTGCTCCAACTTTGGAAGTCCAGTCATCTTGCACATCGATAGTTGGTCCGCTCCCCTCATACAGAGGTCTGAATTCATCTTTTCTCTCCTCCCCTGGCTTCAGAAGCCTGACCCCACCGAAGCCGTACACTACATGTACAACAGTCCAAATTCCAATTATCCTCTCTGGCTTCTCGGTAAGAACATAATCAAATTTTGTCCAGAACATCGGATCCAACAGCGCGCTCGGGTCCTCAGTTTTGTCATAGGCCCATGTCCGGCTTTGCAGAGCATTTTGCTCTTCAAGAACATCGAGTACTGTCTGCGGGCCTCTGTGGCTTTCTAGGAAACGTGTGACGCCTGTCTGACACGCAAGGTTGTCAAAGTATACGTTGAAGTGTTTATCGTACGGGTGATTCATTCGTTTGTGTAAATCGTGCAGAGCCTTTCCTCCGGGGTAATTGAGACTAGAAATACCCAGGATAGCTGTGGATGCAGCAAATGACACCAGGACTGATCCTACAAGAGCCAAGCTGAGGACAGCATATATGATAGACTTAGATCGTCGAGTCCAAATCCAGGCTGCTCCATCCGCCGCTACTGCCGTCAATCCTGGTATTACGTAGAGAATGAAACGCCATTCTTTGTGGGGAAGAAAGCTATATATTGCCACAAAGCTGAGTAGTGGAATGAGTATATCAAGGCTTCGTCTTTGGCTTGTCGGATTCGAAACAGCAATTGGTATGCAGACCAGGTAGGTTATAGGGTTAAGCATTAGTCGCGGCAGTGCATTCGCAAAGTAGAAATACCACGGCGAGACACCCCAATTAGCCGAGTTTCCTTGGATGGTGTTGTAGTAGAAACCTGTCCACTCAGGCCATAGGGGAAAGGTTTGCCAAAAGAAAGAGTCCAGAGGTACTGTGCAGATAAGACCGACAATGAGACCCCCGATGCCGGCTGGAATGATGACGCTGACGATCGATATCTTGCGTGTGAGAAACAGATACACAGTGATAGTGGCGACCAGGATAGCTAGTTCAGACCGGAACACAACCCCAGAAATAGTGAGCAGATACAGGCTCAACCGGTAGTGTCCCGAGACACTCGAAGAAGTACTGGGCGAATTACATGCAAGAACTAGACTTCGCAACGCCATATTGCCTGTAACCATAAGCCAACAACCACTTCAACAAGCATACCGAAAACTTACTAAAGATGAAAGCAAACATATTCGGCAGCGTCCTCGAAGCATAATAGATAGCATGAAACTGACTTGCCTGAAACAACGCATACCAAATCCCCGCCGTAGTCCCAAAAGCCTTCTGCACACTCCTCCCAAATGCAATCAGCGCTGCAGCATTAAGCATCCCGAGCACCGCCCTAACTACCACCTCACCGTTAGCCTTCTCCTTTGCGACCCCACAAAAAGATTTTGAAGTAACTCACCAAGCATCTGCACATACTCCCAATCCTCCATAAACCCCACAAACGGCCTACTCAACCCGCTCAGCACCGCCGCACCCGCAAACGTCCTGGGCACGCTCCCCGGAAAAGAAACATGGTCGTAATTCGCAGTCAGAAACTGGTCTACGTTCTCCGTCGGGATACCGTGCATGAGAATGTCATGGACGGCCTGGATATTAAATGACTCCTCGACTTTTGTGTACGGCGAAACATATAGGTGTATCAAGATTACTGTCGGGATGAGGAGGAAAAAAGGCCACGTTGATGCCATTGCATCTAGGTTTGCGCAATTGCGCGGGTTCAGAATCGTCTGCTTAGGGATCCAGGATAGCTAGATGGAAGGCGGTGAGATGGTGTGTATTGATGGCGGTCAAGTAGATTCGTTGGGTAAGATGAAGCAAGTGCAACTTGATCTTCGGAGGACGGCTGCCAATCACGTGCTTTCGCGATCCACCCTGTACACGAAACCCTCTAAGCGTGACTTTGTAAACTACTCCTTACCCGCCCATTTCCGCTCTTATTTGCATCTTCCATCCTGGTTTTTTCCCCATCGGATGTTGTCACTAAGATGGAACTCTCACAACTCGCGGTACCCGCAGTCTATGCGTTGATATTGTTCCTCGGGTGCCCCTCGCAGTACCTGCTGATGCAGCTCGATCCCGCGCCATTGAGCAAGAACGAGATTATTGCGACCAACGTTACTTTAGTGCTTATTCTTATTACGTATACGCAGAGTGTGTTTGTAGATCCGGGGACGATACCCAAGGATTGGAATGTTGGGGGTGCGGTGAAGGCGGAGGGTAAGGAGGGAACGGGGAACGAAGCGGAAGATGTCGTGGGGAAGAGTAGGAAGTGGTGTTTTCGGTGTGAAGCTGCGAAGCCACCGAGGGCCCATCACTGTAAGGAGTGTAAGAGGTAGGTTGCCTTTTTCTATATGTTCATGTTTGTGTTGAGATATATATATCAAGGTAAAGGCTTGATGGCTAGACACTTGTCTAATAAGCCGCAAAGTCACGAAAGAGTTGGTGAAGATATGATGAAGATTTGGAGTAACAAGGAATCTACCGCTCACACATCATCCCAATCTCATCAAAAGCACAGCTAACTACCTCCCCAGATGCATCCCCAAAATGGACCACCACTGCCCCTGGACAAACAACTGCGTCAGCCACACCACCTTCCCCCACTTCATCCGCTTCCTCTTCTACACCACCCTCGGCCTCTCCCTCCTCGAATCCTTCATCTTCACCCGCCTCTCCTACCTCTGGTCACACTCCGACATGCCCTCCTCAATGGGCCCAACGCCCTTCCAGCTCGCCCACCTTTTCACTATCCTCATCGTAAACAGCCTCACGCTCTTCATCCTGGGCGTCCTCTTCCTACGCAACATCTGGTGCCTAGCCGTCAACACCACGACCATCGAAGGCTGGGAGATTGAACGCCACAGGACGCTGCTGCGCCGCGCCCGCCAGTACGGAGGCTACCTTCCCTCGCCCGACGGGACGCAGCAGATTCGCATCCGCAAACAGGAGTTTCCCTACGACATTGGCATCTGGGCGAATATCGTGCAGGGCATGAACTCTGCTAATCCGATTGCGTGGTTTAATCCTTTTGGTGCAACGCCGAGTCTGGCCAGTGGTCTGGCGTTTGAGACGAATGGATTCGAGGACCCGGGTACAGTGTGGCCGCCGCCAGATCCCGATCGTGCGTATAGAAGGAATGCCAAAGCGGTGAATGTGGGCGCGTTTCAGTTTATGGAGGCGGAGGAGATGAGTGCTGAGGAGACGGTCAAGGCTTTCAAGGCCAGGCAGGCGGAGGATGCGTTGAGGAGGAGGGGGTATGGGGGACAGGCGCAGCAAAGGGTGGTGGAGGACGAAGCAGAATACGGCAATAATCGTGACGACGATGGAGGGTATACGTACGGAGATGATGCCAGTGATGATGCTGAAGAAGAAGAAGAGGAAGAGTCTGAGAAGAAGTACGGCGAAAAGGGACGGGAAAGAGAGGCTGCATGGCGCAATGCGGAGGGTGAGCGGCTAAAGGACTTTGGCGTTGATGAGGACGTGGAGTTTTATGATGAGCAGGAAGACGACATACCATTAAGTCAACTGATAGCTCGAAGGCAAGGTGCGTCGACATCAGGATATAGCCGTCCGTAGGATTTTTCGCACTACAATGGTATCACAGTAAATACTCAAGTGGTTGCAGCATTGGTAAAGCAATTTTTAATCTGTTTGATTCCCAGTCGCATAACGAATGTCGGTCGGCCCGTGTGAGCAAAAGATAAAATCTAGACCAATAGTAATCCAGCGTGTAAGAAGACAAAAGGTATCCGAATAGTCCACGTGTGCCCTTCTCTGTCCATCCTATCCGTACAGAGTCCTGGGACAAGACCTCAAGGTGACATCTTGTCGACACAACAAGTATTCCGTTCCCACGCATTATAACCCCACAACAGATGCTCTGGCAGTCTGAACAATCTGATTTCAACAAACATGTTTTCAATCCCATCTCTTCATGAATTCTTGACAAGTAACTTGTTCGTAAGTTGCTCATTTTCTGGTGATCTAGCAGCTTTTCCCATGTCTTTCCTGGACGATGGATTCCTCTACTTCCATCTTTTGTACTGCGATCACCAGAGCTTGGCGCAACTAGTACTCTGTTCCGTTTCCATTGTGGACGGGATAGCCAAAGGCAGTTGAGTCGTCGCCCATTTCGGAATCGCCGCTCAGTACATGCTGTTGGTTCTCTGACCCGCCTGCGTTGGGCCCGCCGGACCCGGCTGCAAACTGCCCAGTGGGTGGCTTGTTCTGATTTGCGAGGAGGGTCTCGTACCACCAATCAATACCAATAGTTCAGATAAACGTTTTCGCCAAACAATAGGCAACAAAAGAAGAGTGAAACGGGTAAAAGGAAAAAGGGGTAGCTTACTTCGCGGTACCTGGAAAGGTAGATTTTGAGAGCTTCGGAGTAGTTTTCGAAGCCAAGGGAGGTCATGGCAAAGAGAATGTCCTCTCCATTGACCGTCTTGCGCTTCTCCTGCTGACACTTTTCGGAGGCTGCAAACATGATTAGCGACTGGTTCTTGGGGGGAGGGGGTCCGAATCGGAAACAAATAGACTTACCCTCGCTTGTGATGAAGGAAATGAACTCGCTGACGCATTCCTGCATGCATTCCTTTGCCTCCTTTGCAATTTTGGCGTTTTCGGGAAGAGCCATCTTCATGATACGGGCGACTGGAGCAAAGTTGCGAATGTTAGCATCTGAAGCGGCACTTTGGCTTGTGTTTGCATTCTTTGACGTTGCTTGTGGCGGGGACGTCGAC